GCAGCCGACCCGGCTCCCCAGGCCGCTGCGCTCCCCCCTTGTCCCGTCCTCCGCGGCGCGCCTCAGCCCCGTGCGCCCCTCCCCGTCCCGCGCCTTCCCTGCGTGCGTGACCTTGTCCGCAAGCGGCCGCAGCCTGTGCTTTGGCCTTTCCAAGCCCGCCGGCTCCCTGCGCCGCTGCCCGCCGCAGACGGGGTTGGGGCGGTGCCAAGTCTGTGTCTCAGCCGGGCGCGGACCCGAGCCCCGAGGCACAGCCCCGAGGCAGGACACCTCTGAGGAGCGGCCCGCGGGGTCCCGGCGGAGGCTCCTGTGGGGTGGCCTGCGGGGCCCCGGCAGGGGAGACCCGAGGGCTCCTGGGAACGGACCTGTGAGCCCCCAGGGCTCCGCGCGGGGCAGGCGGCCTTGACCCCCCGGGAGCCGGCCTTCGGGGTGCAGCCGCAGGGTGGGGGGCTCCCGGAAGGCCTGAGGCTGCGCCCCCGTCGGCCACCGCTGCCCATGACTCGGGAGCGGCCAGGCTCCCGCCTGTGGAGGACCCCGGGGTGGAGGCGGCGTCTGGCCCCGGCAGCTGGCCCGGGAGGCCCCGCGGAAGGGAAGCCCCGCGCGCGGGGACTGGGGAGGCCTGGCGAGAGGCCCTACGCGTGCGGCCAGGGCGGCCAGGCCTCGGCGTCAGGTCCTCCTCGGGCCAGCGCGAGCGCGCACACCGGGGAGAGGCCGTTCACCTGCGGGGCCTGCGGCCAGGCCTTCCGCCCGAGCGCACCTGGCGCAGCACCTGCGCGCGCACGGGGAGCGGCCCCACGCCTTCGGCCCCAGCTCCTCGCTGGCCACACACCAGAGAGCTCCCGCGGGGTGCACGTCTTGGTAGCTGTGACTCGGCCCCGCGCGTGTCCAGACAGACCTGTGCGCGCATGGACTCGGGCCCAGCACACGCCACAGACACCCCCAGCGGGCTCACAGGGATGGGTCAGGAGACATGGAACGCTCGTTCAGCCGTCCCTGGATGCCAGGTCAGTGGGGCGCGGGGGGAGAGGGTGGAACCCCTTCAGCCACACGCGCCCGCTGACATTACAGCGGAGAACACAGGAGAGGTGGGGCACGTTCTGGGTCTGGGGGTGACCATGCAGGGACTTGCCTCAGTCCCTGCCACAAGGTTTGAGCACCGGGAGCGGCCAGGGCCACGCCACCCTGCACGCAGGATGGAGAGGAACCCGCAGTGCCTTCCGCGTGAAAGAGCCAAGCGTGGTCTGAATCCACCGTCACTGCACGTTGGGCTCTGGGGGACGGTCCCTCTGAGGGCGCAAGTTGACTCTGATGTTTGCAGGAACAGCTGCCGGGTGTGGGGGTGCGAGCGCCGTCCTGGGGGAGTCACCGCCCACGCTGAGTTGTTTCGATGCAGACTGTCCTGATTCGTGTGTGGAGTGTTTGGTGGAGGCACAGGCCACGGTCCCACGGGTGTGAGGGTCACGTCAAAGCATCAGCGTCTATCCCTAGAGCAACTCGCGCTATCTTGCAATAAATCATTCTTTATATGCACTGGAGTTGGATCCATTTGTTTAGGAGGCTTGAAACGGAAGCCACTGCTGGGGAGCCTGGCAGGCTCTGGTAGGCGCTCGCTGCTCTGTGCTGCCGCCAGCTCCCCCCAGGACACGCGGTGTCACAAATGGGCGTCGCCATGACACAGAAAGAGGAAGATCCTTCCTTGGGTTAAGCTAGACCTGTTTCACAAGGCCTAGCTATTGAGAAATGGGCAAAGGGCATTAACTTTTTTTTTTTAAAGATTGATGTATGCACACAAGAGCTGGGGTACAGGCCAGAGGTTTGAGTGGTGAGAGGATTCACCAGAGACAGACTGGAGAGCAGAACAGGCAGACCACCTGAAACACCCGGCTGAGGCGAGCAGCGGGGAGACAGGAGAGGTCTGCCGTACCGTGTGGGTAGCTCCCTCGCCGGGGATGGAACTTGTGCTGCGGAGGCTGTGGACAGACTCACAGCGCTGCGCTCAACCCGCTGCGCCACCAGGGAGGCCCAAGGGCATTAACTCTTGAACAGCTTTTTCACGCTGAGGGTTAATGTGCTTTTGCTTCTATATAATTTAACTAGGAGTTTCCCGGTATTTCCTCGATCCCTGAACCCGCCGTGTCCCTGGCCCTCCGGCAGTGAGGAGCCCCGCCCTTAGACCCCCATGAAAGTTGTCACCTGGTTCTGGTCACCGGCCACCAGTTGGGCTGGGTCGGTGAGTTGAAGCTCTTGATCACAGTAGGGGTTCCCAGTAGGTGAAAGCGCCTCCTGCTGGGATTCACTTGGTTACTTAAAAGCACTAAGAAAGTGGCAGATCGAGGTGCTCTGGGGGACGTTAGCTGTTGACTGTCACCTTAATAGTCCCAGCTGAACCGAAGGCGCAGACGAAACTAATGTAATATCCTCCCCCTGGCTCCCCACCATACCCCAAGTTCTGCCGTTTCAGCGTCACCTAAGAACCCGCTGCCATGTCCTGGGCAGGGGTGGGGCCACCCCCGGATGCCAGGGAAACCACATCTTTGGTTGGGTGTGTCGGCCTCCTACCCAATCGGCCAGCGCAGGGGGCTTTTGGGGGTGTCATCCCTTTTCTGGACACTCCAGGCCACCTCCTTAGAAGGAGGCAGCTGTGCAGGCTCAGCGTGTGCCAGATGGAACGCCTTGGCTCCCGCTGGCTTCAAATGGTCCGGCTAGCAGCCCTGGTTTGTGGGGGGTCTTCTTTCCCCAAGAAACCGTAGGGGGACAGTATGAGCGGGACAGCAGGGGGCGTGGGGCCGTCGGGAGGCCCTGGGACCATGCTGAGCCCCGGCCCATTTGTGCCTAGAGGCAGCGGGGCCTCGCCTGGGATGGGGAGACCTAGCAGAGACCCCAACAGCGCAGCTCAGGTGTCCAGAGTGACCTGCTCGAAAGTGGGGGGGACAGGACCTGGGGAGCCGAGGGATAGGGTGGCGCTTTCCATCTTATGTGGACTGGGAGACAGTGTCCGAGGGCCTCGCGCCCAGACCCCCGCAGGCTGGTAAGTGGCTTCCCTGGCTCCAGTAACTGGAGAGGATGTTGGGGCACACCCAGGGCAGCCCAGGCCTTGCAAGTCTCGGTCGGCCCTGCCACGCAGACCTTCTCCTTCCGAACTAGCGTCTCCCACAGACCAAGACGTTTATTTATCATCAGAACCCCCTGGGTGCCGCTCCCCAACAGGAGCCCAAATCTTGCGGAGGAGGCGGGTGACAGGACTGACTCCAGCCTTTTCTTGGAGAACTCTCCAGAAACGCGTTCGTGCTGAAAGCCGTCACTGGTCTGTTCCCTGGCGTGGGCCTGCCAGGCTCAGCAACCTGAAGGCTAGGGTGGCGGGGGGCATGCTCACTGTCACCCTGTTTCTCCTGCACAGCTCAGGGGCTCTGATCCTGACATTCACTGGCAGGAGAGCGCCACACCCGAGGAAGTCAGGTCCTGACTGGAAGTTCCCCCTCTAGGGTCATAGCAGTCTCCAGCCCAGGGTGCTTCCCATTAGTTTCCTTTGAGAGACACCCATTAAGAATGACAAGACACCCCTCAAACCTCCATAACTTTTCTTTTACTTAAGAACCAGGGACGAAAGACCCAGTATTATGACAGAAGGTGCTCCCATTGCTGGGGATATTCCAAGTTCTGGGGATGGCAGCTGTGGATGAAGACCAGACACACAAGAACTGTATCTTGGTCATCTCAAATACCTATTTCCTATAAATCACAAAATTACAAATAGTAACCTTTTTTTTTTTAAGATTTATTTTATGCATACAAGAACTGGGGTACAGGCCAGAGATGCATGGGGTGAGAGGATTCACCAGAGACGTGGAGAACAGAACAGGCAGACTGACTGAAATACACTGTTGAGGGAGCAGCGGGGAGACAGGAGAGGTCTGCAGCGCCATGTGGGAATCTGGCTTGCTGGGATGGAACCGGCGCTGCAGAGGCTGTGGACAGCTTCACAGCTCTGCGCTCAACCCGCTGCGCCACCAGGGAGGCCCAAACAGTAACCTTATGAATTCCTAGAACTTCAACTAAAATCCATCCCAAAGTTCTGGGCAGAACCAAGCTCTGGACCAGAGGCAGAGGTATTTGAAGAGACCGTGGGACAGGAGGGTTGAAGATGAGTGTGAACTGGCTGTGTAGGGGAATGAGACAGTTGTTCTAATGCCCGGACACTTGTGGAAGCAGCTGCCTCATTCCCCCCCCTTTTTTTTTTTTTTAAAGATTTATTTATTTATGCAAGCACTGGGTACAGTCAGAAGCACAGGTGGGTGAGAGAATTCACCAGAGCCAGAGCGGGGAGCAGAGCAGGCAGAAGGACCGAAGTACACTGCTGAGGGGAGCAGCGGGCAGCAGGAGAGGTCTGCGCACCATGTGGGACCCTCGCTGGGGGCCGGGGATCGAACCAGAGCTGCAGAGGCTGCGGGCAGCTTCGCAGCCCAGCGCCCAACTGCTGTGCCACCAGGGAGGCCCTCTCATTCCCATTTTGAGGTTACTTCCTCCACCCCTTCCCTCTCCTTTCCCTGCCTACTTCTGGCTTGAGACTCGCAGGAGCAGTTGTGTTACTGAGACTTATAAAGCAAACCAGCATTGTCAGCAAAGACCCTTGGCGCTGTTTAGACACGCATTCAGTCCCAAATGGTTAAATCCTAAAGCAGTTAAGAAGGGACCCACCAAGACCCAACACAAGGGCCTCCCCAGTGGCACAGCGGTTGAGCCCTGGGTTGCGAAGGTGCCCGCAGACTCTGCAGCGCCGGTTCGATCCCCGGCTGCTCCCCGGCCACCTGAGGAGGGTCCCCCATGGCGTGCAGGCCTCTCCTGCTGCCCGCTGCTCCCCTCAGCAGTGTCCTTCGGTCCTTCTGCCTGCTCTGCTCCCCGCTCTGGCTCTGGTGAATTCTCTCACCCTCCTGCACTTCTGACTGTACCCAGTGCTTGTATAAATAAATAAATAAATCTTTAAAAAAAAAAAAAAAAAACTTGTCAACTAAATGAATGCATGAAAAAAAAAGACCCAACACAAGGAAATTTACGCCATGGGGCCTGGGCTGCTCTGACTCCAGAGACACTTTGGCCGCGAGTCCCCTCACACTTTGTCTGCCGCTGGCTGAACCTGATCTAGTCTTTATGATAAAGCCGGGTTTCTCCAAAACCACCTCTTTGGGCAGCACCTTATTATTCCTTACCAAATTATTGTAGTGATTTACGTTAAATTACGATGTGGTATTACATTAGTAACGTCTGATTTATAATCAAGAAATAAATCATACAAAATTCCAGTCTGCTAAGAAAACCATTTATTTTTCCATGATGAGCTTCCAGTCTACATCCAGATGTGTGCCTTTCTTTACCTGCCTGTAACAACAGCAAAACTGGTTTTGTCTACCTGGTGGTTGCTGCCACATGAGAAACATTTTCAGCTGGAGAACAAGCCCTTTGTAATTGCGGTTGAACGTGGTTGTATGGCACAACTTAGATGGGCCCTCAACACACAGCAGGGAGGTGTTAACACAAACATAACTCTAATTTTTCATACAAATAAAGCAACAAATCGAGTTCCTCGGCAGCAGCCCTTTCCACCTTAGTATGAATCCACTTCAGTCTTTTCTGAAGAGGGAGAACGTCATTTTCACTCACAAGCAATTTTCCTGTCCCGCTCTCCTCCTGAAGTGAGTCCTCAGCACCTAGGGGACCTGAACACAGAAATACATTCAAAGAGTCAAGTGGAATGTTGTGTGGCGCCTCGTCAGCTGTCTCTGCTGACACAGAAAAGACAGGAAAGAGCTCCAGCCAAGAGCTGCTCTCACTGACCACGCCTGATCTTAGGCAGCGTTTGCTTCTGTCCAGTAAGGCGACAGTCCCCACCAAGGGGCTCCTCGCGAGGATTCCTTACTGAACGTGTTCACGGTTCTTGCAGGGACACACTGATGAAGGAGTGAGTGGGGATCTCCAGAGAAGTTTCTTCTGCCATTCACAGGCTTTAATCCAGTGTATGTGCTACCATGTGAGGCATGGGCTGAAGCCTTTTCCGTATCACCGCCCCATGTTCTCTCCATGAGCCCCCAAATCCAGAGTTTTATTAGTATGGTTAAGGGGTGTCTCACACTCAGTGTTTTCCGGATAGTCTGGAGAATGCTGTTCTACCGAGAGGGTAGCTTCCCCCGAGGACATTCCTTCTTAACATAGATCTTGGACAACAAGCAGGCAATGAGTGTGGCCGTTTCATTAAGTTTCCGTGGGTTGCTCTCCAGGGTGTGTCCTCTGATGTCGGATGAGGGACGAGCTCCTTCGGAATGTCTTCCCGCACTGAGGACATCGGCTGGGGCCCTCCCTGCTGTGAAGTCTCTGATGTACCGCAAGGTGAGAGTTCTGCTTGAAGGACTTCCCACACTCTGGACACTGGTACGGGGTCTCTTTAGTGTGAATCCGCTGGTGCTTGCTCAGACAGGAGCTGTCCCTGAAAGCTTTGCCGCACTGATTACACTCATAGGGCTTCTCACCAGTATGAGTTCTCTGGTGTCGGATGAGGCCAGCAATGTTCCGGAAAAGCTTCTGACACTGGTTACAGCCATAGGGTTTCTCGCCAGTATGAATTCTCTGGTGCCTGATGAGGTAAGCACTCTCAATGAAGGTCTTCCCACACTCTTTACATTCGTAGGGCTTCTCTCCAGAATGGATTTTCTGATGCACGATAAGGTGAGAATTACGGTTGAAGGACTTACCACACTCCACACATTCAAAGGGCTTTTCTCCAGTGTGAGTCCTCTCGTGCTGGGTGAGGTAGGAGCCATCTCGGAAGGCCTTCCCACATTTGCTACATTCGTAGGGTTTCTCTCCAGTATGGATTCTGATGTGCACGGTGAGATGGGAGATATCCGTGAAAGGCTTCCCACACTCATTACACCTATATGGTTTTTCCCCTGTGTGAGTTCTTTGATGCAAGATCAAGGATGAATTTCGGTTGAAAGTTTTTCCACATTCAAGACATTCGTAAGGTTTCTCCCCGGTGTGAATTCTCTGGTGCTGTGTCAGAGCAGAACCATCACTGAAGGCTTTCCCACATTTACTGCATTTATAGGGCTTCTCCCCTGTATGAATTCTTTGATGCACTATCAGGTTGTAGTTCTTGGAGAAGGATTTTCCACACTCGTTACAAGTATAAGGTTTCTCTCCGGTGTGAGTTCGGTGATGCAGCACTAGAGAAGCGTTCCGTTTGAAGCACTTGTCACATTCAGTACATTTGTACAGTTTCTCTCCAGGGTGATTCCTTCTGTTTTCATTAAGAGATGAACTAAGGGGAAAGAAGTTCCTAAAGTCCTTACCTTCATACAGTTTCTTCCCTCTCTTCATTACTTTTTGTTCACCAAGAGGAGTAAAATGGTTGAAAGAGTTAACATTTTCAGCGTATTTATAGGATTTCTCGCTCGTTTGATTTCTCCCAAGTTGGATAACTTCCAAGGAATGGTTGAAGTCACCGTCACTGCTTTTTTTAGCTGCACAAGTTTTCTGCATAGTTGGGGCACTATCCAGACCTGTGACGTCTGAGTCATACATATGGAAACCATTTGTTGTAGGAATTCTCCGAGCTGGTAAAAGGCCTGAGCTTGCACTGAAAGGTTCCCCCAATCCAGGATAGTCACAAATGGCTTCCCGAGTTTCTGGCTTCTCCTGAGTTAAAACTGATTTCCTCAAACGTCCCTCCTGGTCCTTGCAGTCCCAGCTGTCACCTGGAGTGGAAAAGTGGGGACCTTCCTTCATCAATTCTTCCATGTCCTTGTCACAGGATCTCTCTTCCTCAGGGATATTCTGAGCTGTCATTTTCAACCTGGAGTCCCAGGCTAAAAGAAGAAAACAAATACAGACTGAAGTACAAGTTATATCTGTAAGAGGAATGAAAAATAATGAGAGGCAAGGCATGTGGGTGCGTTATTTTCTCTTTCAAATTCACACCCACAAGAGGAGGTAAATTGAGTCAGGATGGAGCCAAGAACAAATTCAAAGAGAGTCCACATACCACTGTCATCCTTCTATTGGAGGCAGGAGGCACAGAATCGGGTAAATTTCACCAAAAGGATTAGTCTGAGACGGGGGAGACCAGAGGCCAGGTGTTAGGGCTCACACTGAAACAGCTTGTTGGCCACTGCTATTCCAGCGTGAGCCACCCCAACACCCACTGGCCACGCCAACAGTCAGCACAAGGTCCAAATCCTGGCTCCGCACTGCTTACAGTGGCGGTGACTGAGCAGGTCTCACCTCAGCTTTGTGGTCAGAGTTCTGTCTTCTTGGGTGGGATGCTATACAGTCTTGGCGAGTGGGCAGTTCTGGGAGTCCTGGAACTGTCAGTGACCACTGTGCAGGGCCATTGGGAGAATTAAAGTTATCTGAGTTTAGCTCTGAGCTAGGGCCACTGAAGCTGGTATATTTACCTTTGCAGAGCTGCTTTCAACCACCCTCTGACCCCTTGGTTTCATGATGGCACAATAACTGACTCTCCCTATTTGATTTAGGTGAAATGAGACTCATATCAGAATATATACTTTCTAAATTCCAGGTGGAAAAAGACCTCAGTATACAAAGCAAAGTTTAAACTACGTAGTTTTCATCAACAGGCTGAACCAGCAAAAACCACACGGGCAAGGATTACTGCATTTGACATCAAAAATAAAATTTCCACACAAGATACAGTAAGATGCAAATAAGTGGCAGATGGAAAGATAAAATAGAAGACAGACAATAATAAAACATAAGACAGACAAAGGCTCTACAAAGTATTTTTACAGGACAGCACAAAAAATAAAAAGGCGGGGAAAGGATACAAAGAACTTCTCCATACGAGACAGCAGAAATGTCCTGAAAACATGAGCACCTGCCATTCTCACCACCATTCAGGCATCACAAAATACAACTGGGTGTGAAAACAGAAAGCCTGGGCAGGCTGTGCAGGAAGATAGTGGATGGCGTGCAGCAGCGGCCGGTCAGCTCAGCAGGGCCCTGTGGTAGGCGCCGTCACAATATACAGGAGACACATCCCAGGCCTCAGCAATTTCTCTGCAGCCTCACAGTTCAGAGGGCGTGCGGCCCAAGCACACACGAACATCCACCCACGCCTAAGGAGACTGTCTTCAAGGCCAGCAAGGAGAGCACAGATAAGGGAATGAAAAGCAATGGAAGGTTCTGAGAAGAAATGCTGACTGTATTTAAGGGTGTTTAAGCAGCTGGGTCAACACAGAATGATCGAGCCTTAGATGTCATTGTGTGGAAGTGGAAAAATCCAGATGTAAGAGGCAAAATACAGAAAATCAGGTCAAATGGTGTCATCAAGGCCCACGGTGTCATCAAGGCCCACTGTGTCATAAAGACACCGTGTCACAGGCGGTTTTAAAATGTGCTTGTAACAGACCTAAAGTAAAAGGATATAGGAGATAAAAGCAAAGAGGAGGGAACAAAAGCTAACAAAACAGAGACTTAATGGCTCTTCGATAACCAATGATAAACTTCAGATATGATAATAGCAATAAAATACTGGCACAAATTTCTACATTTTTTAAAGATTTTATTTATTTTTGGGTAGAAGAACTAGGGTACAGGCCAGAGGTGCGGGGGGTAAGAGGACTCACCAGAGAAAGAGTGGGGGGCAGAACAGGTGGATCCACTGAAATACACTGCTGAGGGGAGCAGCAGGGAGACAGGAGGGGTCTGCTGCATCCTGTGGGCCAGCTCCCTGGCGAGGGATCGAACTCAGGCCATTGCTGTGACAGTGCTGAGGCTTACTTACCCCCCTAGGCCACCAGGGAGATCCAACAGCCTGTCTTTAATATGATTATACATATATTTATTTTAAATGCTTCAACTTTCTTTTTTTAAAAAAAATTTATTTATTTATGTATATTATTATTTATGTATACAAGAGCTGGGGTATAGGCCAGAGATTTGAGTGGTGAGAGGATTCACCAGAGACACAGTGGGGAGCAGAACAGGCAGATACACTGTTGAGGGGACCAGTGGGTAAGACAGGAGAGGACTGCCACGCCATGTGGGTCAGCTCCCTGGCCAAGGATTGAACTCAGGCCATAGCCTGATAGCGCTGAGACTCAACCCCTGCGCCAGTAGAGAGGCCCCAGATTTCCACATTAACAGCAAATTACAATCCTCTCGCCCTCCCGTGCCTCTGGCCTGTACCCCAGACTTGTATAAAAATAAATAAATCTTTGAAAAAAAAAAAAAGCAGAAATTGAGAAAAATTGCATAGAGATAAGGAGGAAAGGACACAATTAGCCTAATCACACAGCTGATAAGGAATCATGTATGTTGGCGCCAAACCCATCACAAAAAGGGGACCATTTGCTAACACTGCTCTGTGACCAGGCTGAAGAAAAGACAAAAGGAAGGCTAGACCATGGTCTCGATGGTAATGCAGCCAATTTAAGAATCAGGGACAGCAAGAAAACCAAATAAAATCTATGAGTTAAGCAAACCACTATTTCTTTGAAAAGAGGAAAATCTATTTCTCAGTAATTCACAGATGAAAGAGAATCTTAGCCAGAGCAATCAGACAACAAGAAATTTATTTGCAGAGGATATATATAATTACATAGTAAATCCTAATGGAGTCATTTGTCTACACACAGATATTGACTTATAATGAAGTGCAAGTATGTTATGAAATGTATGTTAAGATGCAGTGATACTTCGATAAAGTGGTAAGTTAACCAACCAGACCTTTGAGATATCAAAAAGCTGTCAGAGGGCCTCCCCGGTGGCGCAGCGGTTGAGCGCTGGGTTGTGAAGCTGCCCGCAGCCTCTGCAGCGCTGGTTCGATCCCCGGCTGCTCCCCGGCCACCGGAGGAGGGTCCCACATGGCGCGCAGACCTCTCCTGCCGCCCGCTGCTCCCCTCAGCAGTGTCCTTCGGTCCTTCTGCCTGCTCTGCTCCCCGCTCTGGCTCTGGTGAATTCTCTCACCCTCCCGTGCTTCTGACTGTACCCAGTGCTTGTATAAATAAATTAAAAAATAAATAAATCTTTAAAAAAAAAAAAAGCTGTCAGAAACAATAAATGAGCATAGCAGAAAACACAGAAAAATCTGCTGCGTTCCTATTTGCAAATAACAAGTAAAAAGAGAAAGAAATTAAGAAAACAATCCTCCTTACATCGCATTAAAAAGAATTAAAAACCGGCCTCCCTGGTGGCACAAGGGGTTAGGATGCTACCTATGAAGCTGTCCGCAGCCTCTGCAGTACGAGTTCGATCCCTGGCCAGGGAGCTACCCACATGGCGCAGCAGACCTCTCCTGTCTCCCCGCTGCTCCCCTCAGCAGTGGATTTCAGTGGATCCACCTGTTCTGTTTCCCACTCTGTCTCTGGTGAATCCTCTCACCCCCCACACCTCTGACCTGTACCCAAGTTCTTGTATAAATAAATCAATCTTTAAAAAAAAGAATTAAAAACCTAGGAATAATCCCCCCCCCCGAACAAATTTAACAAATCGTATACAAGGAAAACTATAAGACACCGTGAAAAGACATGTAACAACACACACGGAGGTGGAAAAATAGCCTGTATCATGAATGGGAAGAACATAGTCAAAAATGTCCACTGCACCAAAAGCAATATATAGATTCAATCCAATCCCTATCAAAATTCCTATCAAATTTTTTTTTTATAGAGGCATGTTTCATTTATTTATATATTTGTTTGTTTTGTTTTTGTTTATACATGCACTGGGTATAGTCAGAAGCGCCAGAGGGTGAGAGAATTCACCAGAGCCAGAGCGGGGAGCAGAGCAGGCAGAAAGACCAAAGTACACTGCTGAGGGGAGCAGCGGGCGGCAGGAGAGGTCTGCGCGCCATGTGGAACCCTCCTCAGGTGGCCGGGGAGCAGCCGGGGATCGAACCGGCACCACAGAGGCCGCGGGCAGCTTCGCAACCCAGCACTCAACCGCTGCGCCACTGGGGAGGCCCCCTATCAAATTTTTTAAGGAAATAGGGCCTCCCTGGTGGCACAAGGGGTCAGGCACCACACCATGAGACAGTCCGCAGCCTCTGCTGCAGCAGAGTTTGATCCCCAGCCAGCCAGGGAACTACCCATATGGCGCAGCAGACCTCTCCTGACTCCTCACTGCTCCCCTCAGCAGTGGATTTCAGTCAGTCTGCCTGTTCTGTTCCCCACTCTGTCTCTGGTGAATCCTCTTACCCCTGTATCTTTGGCCTGTACCCCAGCTCTTGTATGCATAAATAAATCTTCAAAAAAAATTTTTTTAAGGAAATAGAATAAATACACTAAGATTTATATGGAAATGCAAAAGATCCCAAACAGCTAAAGCAATACTGACAAAAAGGAAAAATGCAGTTGTCGTGTTGCTCAATTGTAAACTATATTATAAAGCAAGTGTGTGGTACTGGAATAGACAAATTTGTGAATGGAACAGAATCAAGATCCCAGAAATAAAAGCACATATACATCAACACCTAGTTGATGACAAAGACGCCACGGCCTTAGCTCAGAGAAACACCTCTTCAACAAACGGTGCTGAGGAAACTGGCCAATTTCATGTGAGAGAATCAAAGTGGTCTCTCCCAAACTCCACACACAAAAATAAGCTCACGTGGATTAAGGTGTGGACATAAGACTGGAAACCACAAAACACAAAGGAGAAAAAAAACACTGGTGATAAAAGTTCTGTGGAGTCAATGATAGAGGGCTCTTTGGTAGGAGGGAAATGAAAGCAAAGTAGATCACTGGCGCCACATCAAGTTAAAAGCAATAGCGCAGGGGCCTCCCCTGGTGGCTCAGGGGATGAGCGCTGTGCTATGAAGCTGTCCACAGCCTCTGCAGCGCTGGTTCTATCCCTGCCGGCGAGGGTCCCATAAGGCCAGGGAGACCTCTCCTTTCTCGCCCTCTGCTCCCCTCAGCAGTGTATTTCGGTCAGTCTGCCCGTTCTGTTCCCCGCTGTCTCTGGTGAATCCTCTCACCCTCCCGCACATCTGGCCTGTACCCAGGTTCTTGTGTAAATGAATAAATCTTTAAAAAAAAAAAAAAAAGCAACAGCATAGGAAGTTGTCAGGGGACTAAACGGAGAGCTACTACATTGGGGGAGGTGTTTGCACATCAGTCTGAGAAGGGCTAACTCACCAGCGAGGATGGAACTTATCTGGCCAGACACTTTTCTAAAGTTTGACAAGTAGCGTGCAGAGAAGCTGGGCCCCTCGCTGAGGATGGACATGTGAAATGCTGCAGCTATTCCAGCAGTCTGTCAGCTCCCGGAAAACATAAATATACCTAACAACCCAGTATTAACACAAGAGTTAATGCTAGAAAAATCCAAAAGAAAAGAGGTGCAAATCTTCAGAAACATGGATACGAGAAAAGCACATGTGATCAGAAACCAGACTGGATTAACCAAACCAAATAACGCAGCAATTCTCTGTGCCTATTCATGACTCTTATGTTTCACTGACTGTGAAAAGACAACGCGCGGAACAGGATGAACTATTTGCAAATCACATACCTGGGAAGGCAGTGGGATCCAGAGTAACTCTCACGCCTCAGTAAGCTCGACAGCCCGTTCAGTCAGCGGCAGACACACCGCGGTCCACACAGACACAGCCGGTCAGCAGCGCCGGGGACGCGCCCTCAACCTCGCCCCACTCCACACCCACCAGGGGCCGCCGTGGATTCCGCTCCCCCTTGACATCCGGTCCTGCGGGAGGGACGGGGGAGATGGAGGTGCCTGGTCACGGGGGCGGCCTTGTGAGTGGGTTGTGGATGCGAATCACAACTCCATAAGGCTGTTTAAAAGAAAACACGCAGGTGTTGAGTCCGTCAGGGTCAGAACCACTGGGGCAGACGCACCCGCCACGGTCATGAGAATCGGCGTGCGCCGGGCGGGCAGGATCCCATTCGGGGCCCTCGCCTCTCCGAGGGGGGGTCCCTGCGGAGGACTCCGCCTAGGCCTGCCCCGCCGGACCTCAGCCCACGACGCCAGCCTCTACTCCCCCGCCTCTGGAGCGCCCGCAGCAGCGCCTCCGACTCTGCATCCCCCGCAAGAGCAAATCCCCACCCGCTCTGGTCCTGGCCTCAGTGGCCACCCGACCGAGGACTGCGAGATTCCCTCTCGGCTGTGTGACCACCGAGGCCAGGCTCAGCTGCCCCCGCCCCCGCCCCCTCCCGGAGGCGCAGGTGACAGGTTGGGAAGAGTCTGGGGTTCCTCCTCGCCAGGGAGCTGGTTCGAGCCCAGCCAAGCGGGGCTGCCCGCGTCCCTCCTCCTGGCCACACCGGAGGCTCCGTGCTGCCCCCCACCCCCGCCCGCCGGCCAGCAGCTCTGGCCTCCCGGGGTGCGCCCGCGCCGGGGGTCGCGAGACGAGGACCTGCGGCTTCTCGGGTGTCCTGGGTCCAGAGACCCCGCGTTTCCACAACCGCGGCCGCCGCGGGCTGTCCCGGGTGAGGCGCCGCTGCCCCGCCGGCCCCCGACGCGGGACGCCGGCTGCAGGGGGGGCGGGGACGGCGGGCGGGCGGAGGCGCGCGCAGGCCCGGTGGGCGTCCTCCCCCGCAGGGGTGGGTGTCTACACCCGCGGGGGAGGGGGGGTGTCTACACCCGCGGGGAGGGGCGATCGTGGTCACCGCCGGGGTGACGGGGACGTGTCTACACAGCGGGGCGGGAAGGCGGAGGTGTCCACACCCGCAGAAACGGGCGATCGGCCTCACCGCGGCGGGGTGGCCGGGACGGGGCGACACCCGCGGGGCGTCCTCGCCGCCCGCTGCCCAGCCCGAGCCGGGACCCGCCCCCCAGCGCCGCGCGGTACCGGGACGCGGACTCACCGGCGCGGCGGCGGCGGCCATGTTGGGGCGGCTGCGCGTGCGCGTGCGCGGGAGACCCGGATGTGCGCGCCCGGGCGTCCGCGCATGCGCCGCGCCGGCCCTCGGAGGCTGAGCCGGGGTTCTGAGCCGGCCGGGAGCTGGGCGGGGGGCGCCGTGCACGGGAGGAGAAGAGCGGCCGGCCCGGCGGGGGTGCGCGTGGGGACCGCGCGTTGCGGGGGGCTGGGGGCGCTTGTGAGGACCCCGCGGGACGGGGGACCCCGCCTGGGGAGTCAGGGCGCCCCTGGGAGGGGTGGGGGGGATTCGGGGGTCAGAGCCCTCCTGCACCCCCGGGCCCCGGGCACCGCGCAGCCGAGGAAGCCGGAGCTGACGCTGCAGCCCCAGCCGCGGGGAGGGAGGCGCGGCCCCGACCCCCAGGGGACCCCGGGCAGACCCCAAGGGGACCCCCGCCGTGACCCCCGGCCCACCCCTCTGGACCCCTGGGCCAAACTGAAGGGGCCTCCCCCGGGCCGCGCAGCCTGGCCAGAGCCGCCGCGCGCGGAGGCAGCGCCTGCAGCTGTGCTCACTGCCCGGGGAAGTCCCGTCTGTGCAGCCGCCGCAGCCGCTGAGGAGCCAGGTCGGTCCGGCCAGGGAGCGGCCCCCAGGGCCCCGCAGACGCTCCTGTCTCCCCGCGGCCCCCTCAGCAGCGGACCCCCCTGTTCCGCTCCCCACTGTCTCTGGGGCGGCCTCTCCCACAGCCCGCTCCCAGCTCCTGTGCGCACAGAGTCAATAAACCCTGAACGCCAATTAGGTGCCAAAGGAGTTTCCCCAGTCACGAGACCAAGCGCGCAGGCCCGAGCGGCCGCGGCCCCTCGCGGAGCAGGAGCCTCACGCGGCCCTGGGCGCCGCGGCTCGGGGCTGCAGTCAAGGCCGCTCGCGGCACGTCTGTGGGGACGCGCGGGACGCGGCGGTGCGTGCGCGACGGGACGGCGGCCCCGCGTGCCCTGCAGGCCCCACGCACGGACTCGCACGGCGGCTGTGGGGTCGCGGTGGGGTCTGCGAGTGCCCCCTGCGCGCCCACACAGAGTAACGCTGACGGCGCCTCCAGCGCTGCCGCCAGGGGCCCCACCGGGCCGTCGCGGCTCCACCGCACGGCGGTCTGGCGGGGGCGCCTCAGAGCCCTTTCATGCCGCCGGGTACGTCCTGGGTCAGGGGCTGGGCCAACCGTGTGGGAGCCGGGAGCTGATTGGTGCTAAACAGCCCGATCAGCTACAGGATTGGAAAGCGGCCCAATCACACTGGGGGCGGGACTCCCTGAGAGGATATAAGCCGGGGCCGGGGCCGGGGCCGCGGGAGGCGGGGCCGGCCTTGAAGACAGGGGCGCCGGCGGCGGAGCGGAGACCAGCCTGGCGCGAGCCTGGAGTCCGCGGCGCGGGGAGCAGCTGAGGACGTCGCCGGGGCGGCTCTTCCTGCGGCCTGAGCGGCGCCGGCGCCCGGGCCTGGCATCATGAAGAGCTGCTCGTGGGCGTCGCCCAGCGCCTCGCAGGGAGCTGTGACCCTGGGAGTCTGCGACCCGCGTCTGGGGGCCCAGTGGGAGCCGCCCCGAGCCGCCCGGAACCCTGGTGGCCGGCGAGGACCCTCCCTGGTGCTGTCCGGGCGCGGCGGCCTCCCCTGCGGCCATGCGGGCCTCGCCTCTTCGTGCCCGTAGGGCCAAGTCCAGCGCGGTCGCGCCTGAGCCCGGGGCCGCCCGCAGCCGCGCGGGGGAGGCCCCAGCCTGGCCCGGCCTGCGGGCCCGTCCTCTGCTGCGCTCCCGGCGCCTGGCGCGGTCCTGCTGCCTCCCGGGTGTTGTTCTCCCGGGGCCTCCTGGCGCCTCGCATCCAGCCGCGCCCCGTCCTTCGCCGGCCTCCCGTCCCGTCCGCCTGCTCCTCTCCACCGCAGGCCGGCCCCGGCCTCCGACGACGCCGCCGCTGCCCGGCGGGCCGCCCGGGCCTCCTCGCGCAGCCAGGGAGCGCGCGGCCGCCACTGCGCTCGCGTTCCTCCCCGCGCCGCCAGACGCTCGCCCGCTGCTGGCAGCTCTCAGAAGGCCCGCGGGGCTGCCCCTCAGGCGGGGCGCGCGCTGTGGGCGACCGGCCCCCAGCGGGACCCCGGGGCCCCTCGCGGAAGGCCGGGCGCTCTGGGAGGCCTCGACCTCCGGTGTCTGCGGACACGGGGCCGCGCGTTCCTGCGAGACCTCAGGACGCGGGCGCTCGGGCCCTGGAAGTGGCCGTTGGCGGACGTCCCGGTGCCCGCGTCCGGCGCGCCACTGTGGCTCGAGGGGTCTGCGTCGTCGCGCCCTGCCCGCCCCAGCCTCCGGCCGCCGGCCGCCGCTGGTCCCGCCCTGCTCGTTCCCTGGCGGACGGCGCTGCTCTCCGGGCTCGTGTTTAGTAGTCGGAGTCCCCGCAGACCCTGGGACGGGCCTCCTCGGCTTTCCCGAGCCTCCGTCTGGGGCGGGGACGTCGGGGTCCTGCGCCTCCCCCTCGCCCCGCGGCGCCGTTTTCCCGATGAGTGAGAGGGCGCCTGGCGGGTTCTCTCCCATAGGCCGGGGGCGCCCGGGAGGGCACTCGCCCTCTGGCGCCCTCGGGATCTCGTGGCCGGGCGCCAGACAGAGGCTTCCGTCACGGATTTCACTCCAGTTCTCGACAGCCCGCGGGTCTGCGCCCCCCCGTGCCGGGTGATTTCCGGGACCCCGCCACCTCATGCTTTCACCCGGCTCCATGTCGGGGACTGCACCTCGCAATGGTGAGGTCACGGAGCAGCTCCCGGCCTCCCTCCCCTGGTCACAGTCCACGGCCCGGCGTGACGAGAGGGTTAGACGCGGGTACAGAAAGGAAAAGCGTTTTGCTGGACACACATCCGAGCCCTTCTGGCGAGGCGGGGGTTGCAGGGAGAACAGCGTGGTCTCTGCCCCCAGGGGGAGACCCCCAGCTCACTGCAGGCGCCTCCTTGGAGGGAAACAGGGCCGCAGCCACTCCGGTGTGCAGGCCTCTCTGGCGGTGCACGCCCTGCCCTGGGGGTTGGAGCCCTTTGGGGGGTTGTAGGGTCTAACCCAGGTGCGATCTCCACCCCGCCCCTGCGCCCTCTGGGACCTGATTGCTCAGTGTTCTCCCGGGAGAAGATTGCTTGTTCCCACGTTTCTGGCACATGGTCACCCCAGGGGAATGGACAGGAGGCACATGTTTCCTTGTAAAAGTGTGTGTGTGTGTAAAATACATATATAGCTTTATTTGCATATATGTACTGGTCATGAATATACATCTACATAGATTTTTAGATGTATTTATGCATACTGGAGCTGGGGTACAGGCCGGAAGTGTGGGGGGTCGGTGAGAGGATTCACCAGAGACAGAGTGGGGAACAGAACAGGCAGAGTGACTGAAATCCACGGCTGAGGGGAGCAGCGGGCAAGTCGGTAGAGGTCTTCCAGGCTATGTGGGTAGCTCCCTGGCTGGGGATTGAACTCGTGCTGCATTGGCTGCAGATAGCTTTATAGGTTGTGTCTTAACCCCTTGCGCCACCAGGGAGGCCCCAGAAATATATATTTTAAAGAACAGTGGAATAAGCCACAACTTGATACAAAGAGCCATCCACAAGCAGTAGAGGAACCAGGATAGAAGGTGCACTCTGAGTATAGTCTATATGGTCCTGACTGACATCTCTGACGTATAGAATTTAAATCTTTCAAACGTACTGATGAGAAATAGCTCAATTTTCTTAAATTGTGCTTCTTCATTAACATTTATTTTTAAATGTTTAGGAGAAACTGCAAAATAAGGAGGAAATTACCCAAGGATTATTATTTTCCTCTTGTATCAGTACCTGTACCCAAGCATATCACATGGTAAGTGGCCATGACACTTCTGGTAGGTTACGTGTAGCATGTGGCAGGACGCATCACCTGCGTCTGGAACTGGCTCATTGGTGCAAATGTGGTGCCTGGCCATAGGCAGGTCACTCTGGCCTTGTCCTCGGTCTCTGGCTGGAAACATGGAAACTGGCAGATGAGGTGGTACTCACTAATGATGTGCTGTTCTCACACAGACTCTTAAGCTTTGGCAGCCGAAGGCCAGGAACTGTTGTAGTAAAGGTCTTCACAGCTTTCTTGGCTTCGGGAACAAATCCAAGATCCTTTTCCGTCCTCAGCTACTTATACTTACTACCATTGACTGCTGCACAAGTATTACCCGGAACATGATCTCTCTGAACATTTTCAATTTTTTTGTTACCAATTGTCTTCTTGTGAAGTTTTTTTTCTTATTTATGATCATACCACATAGAATCTTTCCTGTTACAATATTATGTCAAGATTAAAAACAACAATCCTGTTTGGACCATTAGACAAAGGAAAAAGCACTTTTTCCATTGCTACTGGGCACACAAGTAAGTCAGTAATTACCAGAATAGGATTGTGCAACATACTGCCCCCAGAACTCAGTGGCTTACAACAAGTCATTATTCCGCTCATAATCTACAGGCTAAATGGACATTGGCTGATGGAGGCTGACTGCCATGAGCTGGCTTTGGGCTCCAGGTGAAGAGTAGATCTGCTCCCCTTGCCTGCTGTTCTCCTTAGATCAGTTGTAAGCCAGGTCATGCTCTTGCTATGTCAGTGGTAAACACACAAACGCATATGTCCAGCCACACTGGCACATTCTAAACCTCTATTCACTTCACAACTGCTGACATTCTTTTACCAAAACAAGTCTCACATGTTAAGTCTGAAGTCTGGGAGTATTAGCTATCCTCTGCTGTGTAACAAATTACTCTAAAATGTCATGGCTGAAAACAAGGGTAGCAGACTCTTTGTGTAAAGAGCCAGATACTAAGTATTTTGTCTGGTGGGCCATACAGCCTCTGCTGCGACTGCTGAAACCCACAAGCCATTTCTCTTAGAACCATATGCTGTCCTGGAAATAGAAACAAAAGGGAAAAACTCCTCCACATTTTGGCAATGATCATGACTGTGAGGCCCACTTAGAGGAGCAATAGGAACATCAGGAGAGATAAATGGCTTTGAGAAAACACTGATTGAGGACAGGCCACAAGAATAAATTTTGGGGAAAATAGAACTCAAGCCTTTTCCACAGTATAACAATAATCAGAGAAGTCATACTAGAGAGAAATCATATAATTAGTATAGTGAAGTCCTTGAACAGACCTCAGTCCCTATTAATGATGAGCATTTTCATTCAGGACACAAATCTTACAATTCTGTTGAATGTGCGAGAGCATTTACTGAGGAAGATTGCCTCCATACACTTCAGACCTCAGGGTGGGGGCGGGGGGCAGCTGGAAATGCGCATGCACAAAGAAGACCCACCTCTGCTCATGAGAAACTTTGTATTTGCTGTGAACTCAGGAAATTATTTTCAAGGAGTGGCTGTTTAACTCTACATGTAAGAACCCATAAAGGAGAAGGATTCATGCTTTTTCTTTCTCCATAGCCCAGAACACACACTGGAAAGAAACCTGTGGACGCTGACACCATGGGAAAGACTTTCAGCACAGTTCAGTGCTTATGAGGCTGCATGAGAGAACTCATACTGGAAACAACCTATAGATGTAATTATTGTTGAAGTTCCTTGAGGAGGTGTCCTCACTTTTCACTACAAGAAGACTCCTGCTGGAAGATGACATGAGTGGGGTCAGTGTGAGCAGGTTTTTAACAGTGGCTTTCACCTTATCTGAAACCAGTGTCAGATTTTATTGAACATAATTAATATGGAAAAATACTATCAGTATTTCTTTTAAAAAATATGTTTATGTGTAGAAGAAATAGGGTGCAGTCCAGATGTGCGGGGGCGGGGAGGTGAGAGGACTCATCAGAGACAGAGCCGGGAACAGAACAGGCAGACTGACTGAAACACACTGCTGAGGGGAGCAGCGGGGAGACAGGAGAGATCTGCTGTGCCCTGTGGAAATCTCCCTGGCAGGCCAGAAATTGAACTCGCATCGCAGAGGCTGCAGACAGCTTCACAGCGCTGCGCTCAACCCACTGTGCCACCACAGAGGCCCTGTTAATTCCTTTTTGACATACTTAAGATTATAGAAATTTTGTGTACATGTGTGCAGTGATATGTCTTTTTTAATTCTATCTGATTTACCGCAATCTCATTAATTTTTTAAATTTACAACTGGGACTTTTTTTAGTTGCCTATTTCTGTATTTTCTTTTACAATAGTTATAGCACTTAGGTGCTGTAACTTTCATATTTTATTTGTGGTAACAAGAACATCTAAAGTTTCAAAATTAAGATTGCTGAGAGCAGATAACCTTCTTTTATTCTGAATGTGTATATCCATCTATGGTTTTGACTAGAAGGTAAACAAACAAGGCTCAAGAAGATGGGGGGGTGATTCCCCTCAGAGGACAAGTTCAGTTTCCTATGGCTGAGGGATGTTGAAATGGGTTGCATTCAGAACCGCAGCAACCTGTGGCTGGCTGTGCCTTCCCCGTGCCCCAGTGCTGCAAGGATGAGACCCTGCCGCGATGAGGACAGCAAGCAGCAGAGCAGCAGCTATTTGTGGATGACCTTCTTGGGCCGCATGTCCCACACTTGGTGTCACCTCAGGGACTTTTTGTGGAAACTGGTGTTATTTATGGTAGTTAAATTTCTGGTTATTTACAACCACACACACTTTTGGGACATAGGATACAAAGGAATTAACTGCATTATTCCCAGCCTAACTTACTGGTTTGTCCAGCATTCTGTGACTTTCCTGTTTCCCTCACTGATTTTCTGGAAGTTGGGGTGATCAGCTGAGGCTCAGGACAGATTCTTCGCCTTCCCTCACGTGACCCTATGAGCCTGGGTGTTCTGGATGCTGATCTCATAGTTGATACCAGGGAATGCAAGCAAAGAATGATATGTAGCAGCAATGGGTAGACCCAGAAACTAGGCTTCTGGGAAGGGGATGAGTAATAATTCATAGGGAAAATGCTGATCAAATGAATTGTGCTGCTCCAACCTGCAGTTCCCGGTTCTGAGGTGTTCATGAACTGTTCTAGCGGCTCACATTTTAAACACAAAGATGTGTTTTTCCTTTTTGATTGATTTATACATACAAGAACTGGGATACAGGCCAGAGGGCAGGGGTGAGAGGACTCCCCAGAAACAGAGTGGGGAGAACAGGTGGATCCACTGAAATCCACTGCTGAGGGGAGCAGCAGGGGAGACAGGAGAGGTCTGCCGCGCCATGTGGGTAGCTCCCTGGCTGGGGATTGAACTTGTGCTGCAGTGGCTGCGGACAGCTTCATAGGCTGCGTCTCAATCCCTTGCGCCACCAGGGAGGCCCCATCTATTTTGAATGACTTTTTAAAAATGTGTTTCCCTTCACATGGAACAATTTGAGATGCACTGTGATAGAGGATGGTGAATGGTGAATGAAAATAACATCATAGGGCCATGATTCCATTGCTCTTGTCACCAGTAGCCATGGTGATTTGATCAATATATAATTTTATATCTTATTTTTAGTCATATATTGTCTAAATTAAGCCAACAGCGCTCTGTCGATTATTGGAAGCAGAGAAAAAAATGTTTATTTCAGCAATTTAGTATCTCTAGAAGCATGTGTCTGTGGAGTATACCAAGAGAAAGTACAAATTAAACTTTACAACTGAATGAACCAACTGTTGCTGTTCAGCCTTTGTTGTTTATGAGCCACAATACTTTTCTTGCAGTTCTAAATTCCAAATCTTTTTCGAGTGAAGTTTCCTCTGTCACATGTCTACAGACTGTCCGTGAGCAAGTGTATTTGTCTTTCTCCCACCTGCCACTCATTTGCTCAAAATACAGGGATCCTGCATGTATTTTGGTGCAGATAAACTCAAGTGTGAAGGTCAAGACCGCCAGATGTCACACACTGGTGTATGCACCTGCCTGTCCTGCTCAACTCCAACTGGTTGTGAACTGCAAAGCATTCCTAGCCCTGAAGGGTTTGAAGAAGGTATCGGGGCCCTCCTGCAAACAGGTTGTGTAACATTTTGACATTTGTCCAGAAATTACGGGTTTTGTTTTCTTTTTAAATAAATATAGTAAATTATACAGCATGTTTAATTTGCTAAACAGGAAGAACAGCTTGTGAAGAGAGATAGTTAAGTGGCTTTCATGACTCAATCTTCAACAACAAACTTAATGTAAAATCGCTTTTAATCTAAAATCCTATTTTTCTCAAATGTCCTATAATCAGGAGAAAATAATTTAACAAATTTTCACGGGTGCTCGCTTCCTAAAGATGGTGAGGCCTCCCTCAAGCTTGACAGCGAATCACTAGAACCAAAGAAAACTGTAACTAAACAGGAGAAAGGTGGTTTCCTCTCACTGCCTGGGGCTGTATAATATCACTTTATGAAAGCAAAAATGAAGCAAAAAATGAAACAAAAAAAGACCAAATTGATTATGAACTGGGGATATTTTATCTACAAAAGCCAAGAAATATCCAAGGAAATACATTGGTATTCTTTTTTTTAAGATTTATTTATTTATACAAGAACCGGGGTACAGGCCAGTTGCGCGGGAGAGAGAAGAGTCACCAGAGCCAGAGCGAAGACCAGAACAGACAGACTGACTGAAATACACTGCTGAGGGACAGTAGCAGGCGAGACAGGAGAGGTCTGCTGCGCCATGTGGGACCCGCAGGCCGGCCAGGATCGAACCAGTGCTGCAGAGGCTGTGGACAGCTTCATGGTGTGGCGCTCAACTGCCTGCACCACCAGGGAGGCCCAAAATACATCTGTATTTAAGAAGACTGAAAGGCATCTCATTGGTCTAAATAGTAATACGCAAAAAAACCCAGGATTTCCTACTTCCAGCAATTTCTACGGACAGTGGGCAGCCTGCGGCCGGCTGCTCTCCACAGTGGCTGTAGAAATTAGTTCCCGCAGCAAGCTTAGCAGGCGCTGGACGGGCTGGCCTCAAGGGAGGCCGCGGTTGCGGGGCCGTCTCAAGGAGAACACAGCAGGCCCCGGGCCTCAGGCGTACGGGGGAGAAGCCGGCGGCCGAGCCCTGAGGAACACAGGAGCCAACAGGGCGCCGTCGCTGCGGAAGAGTCCCGGGCGCCCAAGGGAGGCGAGGGCGGCCGGGCCCTCCGAGGGCAGCCGGCCCCAGGCCAGGCCGCTCCCTGCCCCAGGTGGTCCCTCGGCTCGCAGAAGCGGGTGCTGCCCAGGCCCCCTAACTGCCTGCCTGCCCAGGAGCCGTCGGGGTTCAGATGGCCCCACGCAGGTCCTTTCCCCAAGCTCCGGCCTGCGCCCTCTGCCGTCACTGCCAGGGGGCTGTGCTCAGAGCGAAGCCCGGCTCTGCCCTGGGCGGCTCCTTCCCGAGCGGCCTCGGTCTCCGCGGCTTCGCCGCGCGCAGCTCCAGCCTCCCTCGACAGCCTCCCGCCTGCCCCAACCCTACCCCCGCCACGCGCATGCGCCCAGCCCTGCCGGGACGCGCGCGGGGGCTCGCCCCGCCCCCTCGGGGGTTTCCGGCCAAGGGCGAGCGCGCCGCCCTTTGTGCGTTTCCCGCCCGGGCCGCGGCGGGCGTTGGCCCCGCCCCCTGCGCGCCTCCCGCCTGCTCGGTGGGCGAGGTAGGCCCCGCCCCGCCCGGCCCCGCCCTCCTCACGCCGCTCCGTCCGTGCCCGGTGGCCTCGCGGCGGGACGCCCATGCCCCCCGACCTGCGTCGCCGTCAGCGCCAGCCTTAGGGCCTCGGCACGGGACTCGGGCCAACGCGCCGAAGGGCCCGGCCGCTCTTCGCCCGCCGGCCGCGATGGCCGCCAAGATGGCCGCGCGCGGGACCGGCCGCCGCGCCGCAGGGGTGTCTGGGAGTTGTAGTCCATGGCCCGCGTTGACGCACTTCACCCGGGCCGACGGTCGCCATTGTACGGCGCGCGCGGGTGAGTGCGGCCGAGACGTGCGCCCGTCGGGGCGGCGGGGAGGCCCTCGGGGGCGCGCGCAGCCCCAGGCCGCCCCCCGCACCCCGGGGCGGGGCCCACTCGCCGCCGGCCGCCCCCGGGCGGAGAGGGGCGCCGGACGCCGCGGGCGGGTGGGGCCGGGGCGGGGCCGGCCCGGCGGGCGGGCGGGGGCGGGGCGGGGCGGCGCGTCGCGGCCTCGGGCGGCAGGTGTCCTCGGAGTCGGGGCGCCCGCGCCCCCTCAGCGCCCCCTCGGCCGTCCCAGGACGCTGCAGCCCGCGCGGCGCCGGCAGGAAGAGCGCGGCATGGCTTCCGGACTTCCGACGGCCTGGCTCCGGGTGAGTGCGGGCCGTGACCCCAGCCCGGCCCTGCCCCGGCCGCGGGCGGCGACGGCGGGGCGGCCGCTCTCCCGGGGTGCCGGGGCGCGCGCGGCGGGCGGGCGGGCGGGCGGGCGGGCGCTCCGCGGGGGCCGGTGCCCGGCGGGCCCGGGGCAGTCAGGGCGCCGCGCCGCCCGGCGGGGGCAGCGGGTTTCGCAGGGCCCGGCCGCCTGCTGGTCTCGGCGGATGCTGAGAAACCGACCCGGAGCTGATGGGAGCGCGGGGCCCGCGGAGCGCGGGGGGGCCCCGGCGGGGGAAGTGGAGCCGGGCCGTGGGTGGAGGCTGTGGTTTCAGCGCCGGAAACCCCCCTGGAGGCGCCGCCGGGAGTGTCTGCAGCGTGGGGCCCCCGGCCTCGCCGCCCGCAGGGGCCTTCAGAGAATGAAGATGGGGCTCCGGGGGCGCGGGCTCGTCTCAGAGCTGTGAAGCTGGCCGCGGCCACCGCCGCACGAGTTCACCCCGGCCAGGGAGCTGCCCACAGGGCGCAGCAGACTCTCCCGTCTCCCCGCGGCTCCCCTCAGCAGTGGATTCCAGTGGATCCGCCTGTTCTGCTCCCCGCTCTGTCTCTGGGGAATCCTCTCACTCTCGCACCTCTGGCCTGCACCCCAGCTCTTGTAGCACAGATAAATTTTTTTAAAAAACAACATAGAATGAGGATGGTCCTAGGGCCTCCCCGGTGGCGCAGCGGTTGAGCGCTGGGTTGCGAAGCTGCCCGCGGCCTCTGTAGCGCCGGTTCGATCCCCGGCTGCTCCCCGGCCACCGGAGGAGCCCACATGGCGCGCAGACCCCTCCTGCCGCCCGCTGCTCCCCTCAGCAGTGTCCTTCGGTCCTTCTGCCTGCTCTGCTCCCCGCTCTGGCTCTGGTGAATTCTCTCACCCTCCCGTGCTTCTGACTGTACCCAGTGCATGTATAAACAAACAAACAAACAAATAAATAAATAAAGCATGCCTCTATAAAAAAAAAAAGCTTATTAAAAAAAAAAAAAAAGAATGAGGATGGTCCTCCCAGCTCACGGCTGTGCCCTGCTCGGGTTAAGCTGGGGCTTTCCGTGTCAGGTGAAGACAGGGATTTCTGATAGGAGGAGCGGCCCCCCTTCTGCACCCAGGCAGCCTCCCCTCCTGTCACCGGGGAGAGCAGGCCCGGCTGAACAGGAGCCTGTGGGTTTTAGGAACCGGTGATCTTTGATGACGTGACCTTGCGCTTTTCACCGGAGGAGTGGGGCCTGCTGGACTCGGAGAAGAAGTCCATGTACAGGGAGGTGATGCTGGAGAACTACCAGAACTGGGTCTCCGTGGGTAAGGCCGTCTCGGGTCAATAAAGATCTGTGCTTCGCAGCGGGAACGTGGTGCCTCCGGTGTGTGTCTGCTTGGGCTCAGGCGTGGGTCGGAATGGACGTGGCGCTGCCTTGGGGCCTGAGGGCGGGGGCTCTGCTCTGTCCCGGTCAGAAAAGGGCAACGTCATGTGGGACTCTGGAGCTTCCTCTTACCGTTCCACAGAGCCCTGAGCCCCAGGGGGTGGTTTCATCAGGGATGCTTCCAGCTGCACAGCAGACGCTTGTCCTGGAAAGGAGGACCCCAGGGGACATGTTGTCAGTGTCCAGCAGCTCAGGAGTGTCTCCAGGGGCCCAAATCCTTGCATCCTTGTGGTTCGTGTGACCTTTCCCACCCCGCGCCTTGTGGCCAGCAGCGGCAGGGCTGTGGCTCCAGGAGTCACGTCTGTGTGAAAGGGACAGGAGGGGACGTGTGAGCCCGGGCTGGCTTTCTCCCAACTGTCACACATTTTAAAACGCTAACAGCCCTGAGCCGACAGAGTTCCCTCTGTGTCTCCTTGGCCAAATCCAAGTTCCTCTGCCCACCTCGCTGGCAAAGGGGTCCACAAAAGCGGGAGCTGGTGGGGTACACGGGGTCACCATCCCCGCCCTAGCAGGGGAGAAGGCGGGGCCCGTGAGCACCACAGCAGAGTGAGTCTGCTCCCGAGCACGGGCCCCAAGCTCTGTCTCTTTTCCCTTGGGCAGAGCATCAGCTTTCCAAGCCAGATGTGGTGTCTCAGTTAGAGGAGGCGGAGGCGCTCTGGTCCATGGAGAGAGGCGTGCAGGACACCTTTGCAGGTGAGAAGCAGACACACGGGAACCCCGTCAGGGATCGGGCCAGGTGTCTCGAGGTCGCTCGGCCGGGGCACAGGAGGAGTAGCCTGCGGGTCTGCGGGGCCAGGCTCCGGGTGGACGGCGGGCGGAACAGGACCGGCGCTGGTGTCCGGCTGGGCAGCGGGGGCGCCCTCCTGCGGCTGCTGTGTCAGCGCCGGTGGCTGCTGGCCGGCCGCTGCAGGTAGCCTCGTTTTCCCGGGCCTGTCTGTGCCGAGGGCATCGCAGAACACACCTGCCGTATGTTTCCTTGAGCGCTGCCGTTCTCTGTAGGTGGGTGTGGCTCTGGGAAGTGAGTCTGCGGCTCAGCCAAGACGGCTGAAGATCCGCTGGCGACAGGTTGTCGTCTGAAGTCACTCAGGTCCTCGGCTGCTCGCGCATGCGAGGCCCCGTCCCCTTCCCGCAGCCCCTGCCAGTCTTGTCCGCAGATGGGCCGGGAGGAGGGGTGTCTGCGGTTTGGCTCCTGTTTGCCTCACGCAGTCGCGTGCGCTCTCCGTTTCTGTTTGTATTTGCTTGTGTGAGCTCGTACACCTTGTTATTATTTGGCGCGTGAAACCGTCCTGCAGGCGTTCATGTGGCCACTGTCCCCGGCCAGCTTCTCTCTTCCACTTTCAGTTTCCGTGGAAAAGTTCTGTGAGTTCCGACATTTTCCCTCTCAGATCTCTGCTCACTGCTGCTCTCGGTTTGCTAGCACACCTTCCCAGAAACACGCTCTCGTATGCCCTTTGGGTTTTGTTGAGCTGCCCGCTTCCCGGGAGGACGCTGTCCAGTGACTCTGTACGGGCTGTGGGCCTCCTTCTTCAGCACCATTTTTTGACAAGACTCTCAGGCTTGTCTGGAGACACGGTTATATCAGTGACTCAGTTCCCGTGTCATTGTCACGCGCAGACCCTCTTCCCCTTTGATCTCTGTGTCCCTGAGCAAACACTGTTACCACATTTATTGTACCTTTATAAGTCGTTCTGTGGCTTTAGCAAGCTGGGATCGTGGCAGCTATTGAAGATGTCTCAGGCAGCCGCCCGGCATCATTGTGTCTAGGTTCATTGAGAAAATCCTGTTGAAATGTCTGCTACGTTTCGTTGGGTTTAGAAATTCCCTGATGCAGATTTGGTCTTTGTAGTCAAATTTTGGCACAAGAGGGCTGTTAGGAGTTCCTTGTATTTGCCTTTATCTGGCCTGGTTAATTGTCCTTGCAGTCTTAGGTGGTGGTTCAGGCTGAACCAGTCGAACTCGCTAAACTCCTCTTACTGTTGTAACAGTTTTCAGTTCTCTCAGCACAGAGTTCCTGTACCAGCAAGTCTGAAGGAGACATTCCTTATTAACATCTTTTTTGTCCAGTCGTATGTGCTCGGTGAGCCGGTCCTTGCAAAACACGGAAGCTGAGAATGTCAGGTGTGTCTGATCTCTGGCACTGGATGACATGGGATTTTGATTTCATTCAAGTCAGTTTTTATCTGGCAAAAAAAGTCCTTGGTCCCCCAGCTAATAAATGACAAGCCAAAAGCGGCCCCAGTGTCTCCCCTTCAGAACCTTCAGAACAAGGTGATCACGGGGATTTTCTCCTTCTAGTAGTTAACAGCGACGTAACAGACAGAAGCACCTTGGTTGTGACGTGGTCCTGACGTCCATTAATTTGATTATTGTGGATTTTTGCATCAGTGTTCCTGAATACGGTCGGGGGAGCTGGTTTTCTCTGCTGCTCCCGTCAGTGTCTCTGTGAGTGTTCGGAATCTCTGTAGGAAGCGTCGGCTGCTCTTCCTTTCCTGTGTCCTCTGTGCCTTCATGCCAGTGACATCAGGCAGACCTGCTGGCAGGACGTGGCTGGGACTGCACCCTGCCCCGTGTCTGGGCTTCTTCACAGGAGAGAGGCTGGAGTCTCGTTCCTTGGCTCTGCCCCACTTTCTCATCTTGTTGCAGGTCTCTCCACGTGCCGGCTTGTGGGGCAGCACCAAGCTCTCTGCTTTCTCTTTTGTTTTCAGTCCCTTCCTTCCCCTCCCTGCGCTGAAACCTCTCTCCTAAGCACCAGCGCAGCCCACTGAACTTGTCCTCTTTGGGGCGACCTCCGCAGCACACGCATTGTGCCTGCCCAGCGCTCGCAGTCCCCCTGCTGGTACCCCTGGGTGCGGCCTCCTGATGCCCTCCTGTCCTGGTGTCTCATCCTCCCTGGGTTGCATTCCATCTCCTGCATGGGCAAACCTCCCGCCTTGTTGTGAGGGAGGAGCTACGGAGGGCACAGGGTGGTGGGGGCAGTAGAGGTGCCTGTGGTAGGGGAGAGGTGATGGAACCTAGCCTGAGAGAGTAGCAGCGGTTGGGGAGACTCCAGCGCGGCTTTCCCCACAAGTAGGTCATTCAGAGGGGCTCGCCGAGTGGGGTTAACTGACTAAGGCTGCAAAGAAAAGGAAACTGCCAGGAATTCCCCGCAGATGACAGGAAGCTCTCAGAGGGTTTCCTGTTACTGTGCTGTCCAGTGCAGGCCCCGCACTGTCTGGACGCAGCGTGGTCCCTGGAAACCTCTCATCAGAGTGGTGGCAAAAGAAACAGCAGTTCCGTAATCCCTGACCCAAGAGATAAGCCGACAAGACTATACCAAATAGCACCTAAAACCTAAAATAGCACTGACATAGGAAAAGCAGCAACAACGCGAGCCATGCACTTGTGGGAAGTCGTCCCCAGGAGCCGTGGCAGTGCCAGCCACGCCCAGCTGCCTCCTGCACAGCCCATCAGGAGACACCGAGGAGTAGTTTTGCTTTCGCCTTTTGCTATAGAAATGAACGTCCTCTTTGGGATTCTTTTGGTCACCAAAAACAGGTGCTAATCAGGTCTTTTGTAAAAGTGAGGTGGCGTAAGGCGAGTTTTTGAGAAGAGGGTGTGAACAGAAGTTACGTGATAGTACAAACCGCATCCCGGTCGCTTCTACAAAGGTTGAAGTTCCACGGCCTGTCCCATTTTTTCCTCCCTATGTAAATGAACACGAGTGGGAGGGGGTTAGAGGCGAGGTTTGCAGGCTCAGCCTGAATGCACCTGCCTGGATCCGGCGCTGGGAACGTGTTTCCTTCATGTTCGCCGAGGCCGGCATCTCCGGCTCTGGTCTCATTCCCAACCCGTGCATGAATGTGCTTCTCTTTAATGCAGAAACACCTGCGATTGACTCAAAAGTCAGGCCTTGCTGCCTCCACTCAGTTGGCATGCCTCTCCATGAAAGCAAAAGTGACAGCGAAAACCGTGGTTGAAGTAGAAGGGAAAGCGGGTAAACATGTCGGTCGGGTGGCAGCGTCAGGACGGAAGGGGCGGGAGTATTTGCTGGCGCCCAGATCTCCCGCCGTTCCTCTGATTTCAAGAAAGCATTGCCATAATGGGGTTCAGGTAGAAACGAGATATAATCTAGATTTACTCGTTAGAAAAGCAACAGAGGGAAGACACTTCAGAGGCCACGGCTCTTGGAAAGCCTGCAGGCCATGTAACCTTTTTCCAGAGATCAAGGAGGAGACGAGCCCTACAAACGGGAAGTGCCAGTTCAGATTGAGTGCAAGCATTGGTAGAAAACGTAACATGAGCAAAAAGGAGACCCTGCTCTAGATTTCCTCTTCGTGGAGCCTGCTGGACTGTCAGCAAAAGTTTTTTTGTAAGAAATCAGTTGTTTTATTAAAAAAAACAACAACAACAACAAAGCCTGGAAAAACGTGTGTAGTGTGAGAAAGCCCGCTTTCCCATCAGCTGGGCAGCGTTCAGCTGAGAGAAGGGCTCCGTGTGAGACAGACATGCAAAGATCTAACCAGAGAAAGTTCTCTCCCTGAGTTTTCTGACATGAGAACTCAACAGGGAGGAAATCCCAGTGGGTCATAGCAGGAAAGGTTTGGGCACGATTCAGTCTGACGCAAGAACGTTCAGACCGCACCCAAAAAGGACAGGGGTGTTAAATTTGGAAAAGTTCTCAGAGCAAAATATCATTCCATCTGAGAGTTCTGAAAGCATGGGGGTGTCATTATGGTGGCAACGGTCTGGCGCACAGCTGGCTTCACGCAGCGACACCATGACAGACAGGAAACCGCTGGAGCGCGCCCTCAGAGCCGGCGCAGGCTTCAGGATTTACAGCGCCGGCTGGCAAGCAGCCCTGCAGTAGGAGTCCTCATTGTGGTCAGCATCAGAGGACTCATATGAGAACAGACCCTGCATGTGATCTGTACAAGCAGATCGGCGGCCTTGGTTCTCTTCTTACTTGACGGAACAAAAATGAAACAACACCAAAAAAAAAAAAAAAAAAAAAGGTACGCTGTAGAGGACCATATTGAATAATAAAAATGAAATATTTCATTTTTTGAATATAAAAATACTCCTATTTTTAGAACAGATGAGTCATAAAGAAGGCACATTTGATCACATGCAGCGCGCAGATAAAGCAGGTCCTGTCTTTCCTGTAGAACTTATTCTCGGGCTGGAACATCTAGAGCAGATGTGAAATATCGTGGGTGCAGGCAGGCCTCCTCTGTTTCCCATGTATGTCCCCAGTTGCTAACACAGTGACTCCCTAGCTCAGGAAACATTGAGTGAATAAATGAAGAAATTGTAAGTAGCAAGAAGGCATCTTCCAAGAAGAGACATGGACGACAGTCAGGCTTTGCATTAGAAGTGGGGAAGGAGTGGTAAGGTTCGAAATAATGAGGTAACAGATAATGCTATAAGAACTTTGAGGTTCGGACCTCCCTGGTGGTGCAGGGGTTGAGAGCTGGGTTGCGAAGCTGCCCGCAGCCTCTGCAGCGCCGGTTCGATCCCCGGCCACCGAAGGAGGGTCCCACATGGCGCGCAGACCTCTCCTGCTGCCCAGACCTCTCCTGCCGCCCGCTGCTCCCCTCAGCAGTGTGCTTCGGTCCTTCTGCCTGCTCTGCTCCCCGCTCTGGCTCTGGTGAATTCTCTTATCCTCCTGCGCTTCTGACTGTGCCCAGTGCTTGTATAAATAAATAAATAAATCTTTAAAAAAAAAAAAAAGAACTTTGAAGTTCTTCGGGCCTCCCCAGTGGCGCAGCGGTTGAGCGCTGGGTTGCGAAGCTGCCCGCAGCCTCTGCAGTGCCTGTTTGATCCCCGGCTGCTCCCCGACCACCGGAGCAGGGTCCCAAATGGCACGCAGACCTCTCCTGCCGCCCGCTGCTCCCCTCAGCAGTGTGCTTCGGTCTTTCTGCCTGCTCTGCTCCCCGCTCTGGCTCTGGTGAATTCTCTCACCCTCCCGCACTTCTGACTGTACCCAGTGCTTGTATAAATAAATAAATAAATCTTCAAAAGAAAAAAAAAAAGAACTTTGAGGTTCTGACTCAAGAGTCTAAAATGCTGAATCATGTTTTGGCAAGAATTCAGTCTTGGAAAGTATACTTACATACTGTGCTATCTTTTTTTAAGATTGATTTATTCATGCACACAAGAACTGGGGTGCAGGTCAAATGTGTGGGGGGAGAGGATTCACCAGAGACAGAGTGGGGAACAGAACAGGCAGACAGACAGAAAATACACTCCTGAGGGGAGCAGCGGGGGAGACAGGAGAGGTCTGCACCGTGTGGGTAGCTCCCTGGCTGGCTGGGATTGAACCTTCCCTGCAGAAACTGTGGACAGCTTCACAGCGCTGTGCTCAACCGCCTTCGCCACCGGGGAGGCCCCATACTGTGCGATCTTAATACAACACCACTTTCCGTTCTCTGTCACCCAAATTTGCAAAGGGCCTTGTGCCCTTGCCTCTCACTGGGGACCATACTGCATGGTGTCCAGATGTAGCGCCTGGGGTAAGTTCAAGGCCTGAGATCCTTGACTATTAACTAAGTGAGAAGGAAAACAAATGACCTAAGCATTTGACTCAATCAACTTTTAGAGGAAAACTCCAGAAGTCCAAGGGAAAGATTAAAAATGATAAAGGCAGGAATAAATGAATCAGAAATGGAGGAGAAAAGGAATGCAAGAGCTCATTTTTTGGGTAGATCAAATGTAAGACCCACTTTGATTGAATAAAGAATGAAGAGCAGTCTTGCTGCCCACTTGTGACTGTGCAGGGGCTTCCTGTCACCACCTCTCTCCCCCGCAGGGCAGCGGCCTCCTGCTCCTCACTGATCTCCTCTGGGGGGGTTGCTCCCATCAGGGCCCCTGCCTGCAGCCGTGCAGGCCTCTCAGCAAACCTCTCCCTCTCGGGGCAGCCCTTCTCCTGCCCACTGGCCTCTGTGCAAGTGTCCTTTACTCTTCTGTCCCTTTACTAATACGCCTGCTCTTTCAAGTGTGGGAAAAAAAAAATTAAAAGCAAGCAAAAACCTATACTAGGGAAGGGCAGAATCTGTACAGTCACGTGTACTTTTCCATTCAATATTTTGCACATCTATTCCAAAGAATGTGCCAGCCTGTATGTGCTAATATGAAATAATTTCCAAGAAATGTGGTTTCTTTTCCAAAATATTTATGAATACAAGAACTGGGGTGTAAGCCAGAGGTTCTGGGGGTGAGAGGCTTCACAGAGAGTGGGGTGCAGAACAGGTGGACTGATTGAAAAACACTGCTGAGGGGAGCAGCACGGAGTCAGGAAAGGTCTGCTGCACCGTGTGGGTAGCTCCCTGGTCGGGCATCGAACTCATGCTGCAGTGGCTGGCGATAGCTTGATAGTGCTGTGCCACCAGGCAGGCCCATGTTTCTTAAACTACCTAGTTGCTGCCCATAACCATGGACGTTGTGGTCCAGAAATGTCTTTCTGACAAAGTGGGCAGTTGCGTGTCAGCACTGACTTGGGAAGATCATTTCCACGGAACTGGAACATGAGTTTGCTTGAACACAGGCTTCAGTGTTAAGGGACACTCTGCAACGTGTGTTTCCACCACGGCGCCCGATGTGAGAAACAGTGAGGCGGGGGGAATACTGGCAGCTCATGAGAAAATCACTCTCTGAAAGGGTTACAGGTGTAAGAGCTCAGCAGGGTGCGGGATTGCAAGACACAGGGGAAGCTTTGGACTTTCTACCCGCGACAACCCATTTACAACAAGGGAGGGGGGATTTCCTCCTTCGAGGAGAGGAGCCGAGGGGTAGCAGGCCCTGCGGCAAGGAGGTTCGTGGAACACGGAACGTTTGACTCGGTCGCAGTCCCGAGGGCCCGCGGTGGCCAGCGCCTGGCGGCCCGAGCAGCAGGCCTGGAGCGGTGCCCGCCGAGGTCGCGCCTGAGGGAGCAGCAGGGCCCGCCCCGCGGCTGGGGAAGCAGCAGGCGGGGTGTTCGCAGAGCCGGGGGCCTGGGCCCGGCCCCTGCCCGGGATCCCAGCGGCAGCCGCCGTCGGGCGGGACGCGAGGCCGGTGCGGGTTCCCGGAGCTTGACGAAAACGGGGACATCCGGACAGAAGCCCCGCGGCTCGTGGGGAGTCGCCCGGACGCCCACCGCGGCCGCCGCTGTTGCTTCAGCTTCTGTCGTCCGAGCCCCAGGACGACGCTGGGGGGGTGAGGCCTGCGGCCTCGGGGGGCCTCGGGGGGCCTCGGGGCCTGCGCTCGTCCTTGGCCGGTGCTTCCTGGGCACGTGGAGGAGCCGCCCACCGCCCGCCGGCCATCGCCCCGGCGCCTCGGCCCTGCCGCACGGCCCGTGTGGACGTGGCCTCCCCGACGGGCTGCCCCGAGCCGCAGCCGCAGCCGCAGCCGCTGCCGTGGAGAGAAGGGACGCGGCTCCGAGGAGATGACCCGGAGCGGGGCGCCGAGCCGAGGGGTGGGGACGGTCCACAGGCGGGCGCGGCGGGGGCACCTCCGGGAGGCGAGACGGCGGCCGCGGAGGCCCGTCTAGGTGCCCAGGGCGCGGACCGACGGGGCTTTCATCGCGGGCGCTCTTTCCAGTAGGCGGCGCGGAGCGGGGCTCGGGGTGTGGGGGGCTCCCCTCACGTCGAGCCTCCGACGCGCCCCGGGAGCCCCCGCCCTGCCGGCCCCGCGATGCGTCTCGGGCCGGGCTCCGAGCCGGCCCCTGAGCGCCTGTCTCGCCGCCCACAGCGTGTCCGCAGCCGCCCGGCGCCCCCCGCCCGCCGCCGGCCGCCGCCGAGAGCCCCCTGGCGAGGATCGAGCTGGTCGAGGTCCTGACGCTCAACCGCGAGGTCGCGCGCACCCGCAACGCCCAGATCCGCGCGCTCTACGCCGACGGCGCGGGCCTGAGCCCCGACGCGCCCCGCGAGCCCGCCCCGGGGCCCCGGACCCCGAGGCCGCGCGCCAGCTGTTCCGGGGCTTCCGCTACCAGGACGCGGCGGGGCCCCGCGAGGCCCTGGCCCGGCTCCGCGAGCTCTGCCGCCGGTGGCTGCGGCCCGAGGCGCGCTCCAAGGAGCAGATGCTGGAGCTGCTGGTGCTGGAGCAGTTCCTGGGCGCGCTGCCCGCCAAGCTGCGCCTGTGGGTGCAGTCGCAGCACCCCGAGGACTGCCAGAGCGCGGTGGCCCTGGTGGAGGACATGGCCTGGATCGCCCAGGAGGATGGTGAGTGCGGGGGCCGCGTTGGGTGGGGCCCCAGGGAGCCCTGGCTTCTTGGGGCCAAGGGGTGCGGTGCTTGGGCTCCACTGCTGCCAGGGCCAGGGTGTCCGGTGCCGCTCGCGCTGGCAGGAGGCTGTGAGTTCGTCCTGGGAGCAGATACCCTGGTTAGTGTCCAGAGGACGGAGCCCCGCGGTGCCCCCAAGTGGGCAGTGAGAGTCTGAGGCGTGAAGGTGACCACAGGAGGCCCCAGCTTCAGGCTGGGCTGGATCCAGCGCCTTCTCGCCTCAGGCCCCTCCCCAGCCTCCTGGGCTCCGCCTCCGAACCCTGAGGGAACCTCTAAGCAGCCAGTGCCCCGGAGGGCACAATGTGCTGGGTCCGGCTGGATCCTTGTCCTTCTCGATTGTGGGGTGGGGTCCAGCGACAGAAGCCAGGGCACAGGTGGGGACTCGGAGGCTGTTGTCCCCTCAGGTGGGGAGACCCATGTGACTTGCATCAGGGTGGGCGTGTGCCCAAGATTGGCCCCCGTCCAAGGACCACCCACCCCTGGGGCTGGCAGAAGGAGGGAGGTAGGAAAGGCGTCTGGGCCTCTGCGCAGGGATGGGGCCCGCAGCCCAGGGAGCCGGGGTCCAGGTGGCAGCCTGGGGAGGACTGGGCTGGAGTAGCCACTCACTGACCCCAGCTGCCGTCCCCCCCAGCGCCGCCCACCCAGGACCCTGCCTGCGCTCCCGAGGACCCCACCCCGCAGGAGGAGGAGGAGGAGACCCGAGAGCACAAGGCGGCCAGGCCTGTGAAGGAGGTACCTGAGGTGAGTGGGTCCCCCCCTCTGCGGTCAGTGCCGGTGGAGGGGCCGCCACGCCTGTCAGGAGAGCGCGGGGCAGGGACACACCAGGGTCAGCCTTGGGGGCTGAGGCTGTCTGGTCACTGGGAGGAATGGCCCCGTCCCCGGGGCACCCCCAGGCTGTCAGCCTGACCCAGAGCGGAAGCCCCTGGCCGCTGGCGCGGGGTGCACTGACTCGGCTCTCGTGGGGTCCATTCTTTGGGGCCGGTCCTGCAGGGCTGTGTCTGGGGGCTCCCGGGGTCAGGTTCTCTGGACTCAGCCTTGGGCTCCGCTTCCTCCCACTCCTACCCCAGCAGACTCGGCCCCTCATGGGCATGAGGCTACCCAGAGCCCTGGTCAGCTCCTCAGAAGGCCCATCCTGGAGAAAGGGGGGGTCCGGGCGGTGGTGGCCCGTCGGGGGAGTGAGGTCCCGCCCCAGCCCAGGCTCCCCTCCAGGAGACACTCCGGCCGGGCAGGGTCACATGTCAGCGTGGCCAAGTGAACCCCAAAGCAGGTGTCCTCCAGTTTCCCCACCTGGCAGTGACCCTTGATCCTGACATTGCAGGAGCCTGTGACCTTCCTGGACGTGGCCGTAGACTTTAGCAGGGACGAGTGGGGCCTGCTGGACCTGACGCAGCGGACCCAGTACCACGACGTGATGCTGGAGACCCTCGGGCACCTGGTCTCTGTGGGTGAGGCCCCCTCCCCACCCCCTGCTCCCCTCATACCCCACGGCCCCTGGAACCCCCGTGGGCCTGCAGGGCAGGCGTTGAAAGGCCCCACCGGCCGTCCACCCCCAGGTGGGAACGGGCGCCCCCCAACCTCTCCACAGCCCATCGCCGGATGTGCTGGGGGAACAGTGACCTCTGGGTTCTTCACGGTATTAACCCGCAAGGCACTTGCTTTTTTTAAAGATTTATTTATTTATGCATCCAGGAGCTGGGGTGCAGGCCAGAGGTGGGGGCAGGGGTGTGTGAGAGGACTCCCCAGAGACAGAGTTGGGGGCAGAACGGGCAGATCCACTGAAACCCACTGCTGAGGAGAACAGCGGGGAGACAGGAGGGGTCTGCTGTGCCCTGTGGGTCAGCTACCCCTGGGGGGGTTGGGGGAATTCAGGCTGCAGCAGTGACCCCTGAGACTGGCCCCACCAGCAGGGTGGGACACCCGCTCTCCAGGCGTCCACACCCTCGGTTTTCTTGCAGGGTGGGAGGCCACGCTGGAAGGCAAAGCGCCGGCGGAGACGTCGGGTGTTCCCGAGGAAGCGTCGATCCTGGACCCCAAAGTGGAAGAAGCGCCCAGCGACGAGGCCCCCGGAGACACCCTGCAGGCGGCGGCCCCCGGAGCCCCCGCCCCGGCCCTGAAGCCCGCCAAGCCCGCCCAAGAGGGCGCCGCGCCCGGGACGCCGCCGGGTGCGGACAGTGGGGCCCCCCAGGCCGCCCGCCGCCGCCGCGCCCCGCTGCACAAGAGCGTCCCCCGCAAGGGGCTGCGCCGGCGGGACCCCCAGCTGCGGGGCGGGGCGCGGGGCCAGCGCGCGGGGCCCCGCAGACGCCGACGGGCGGCGGGGACCGGGCCAGGCGGGCCAAGGAGCCCCGCGGAGCGGGGTTGGGGGGCGGCGGCGGGGGGCACCGGGCCGGGCGGCCCCAGGAGCCCGGCGGGGGCGGCCGCGCCCCGCTCCGGCCGCAGCAGATCACCTTCGTGCGCGTGCACAAGGGCAGCCAGGTGTGCCGCTGCAGCGCCTGCGGGAAGGTGTTCCGCAACCCGCGCTACTTCTCGGTGCACAAGAAGATCCACACGGGCGAGAAGCCCTACGTGTGCGGCGCCTGCGGCAAGGCCTTCGTGCAGAGCTCGTCGCTCACGCAGCACGAGCGCGTGCACACGGGCGAGCGCCCCTTCGAGTGCGCGCAGTGCGGCCGCACCTTCAACGACCGCTCGGCCATCTCGCAGCACCTGCGCACGCACACGGGCGCCAAGCCCTACCGCTGCCCGGCCTGCGGCAAGGCCTTCCGCCAGAGCTCGCACCTCACGCGCCACCGGCGCACGCACACGGGCGAGCGGCCCTACGCCTGCGGCCAGTGCGGCAAGGCCTTCACGCAGAGCTCGCACCTCATCGGGCACCAGAAGACGCACGGCGGCGCGGGCCTCCGGCGCAAGCGGCCGGCCTCGTAGCCCGGGGGACCGCGCGCCCCGTCGGGGCCCCTTGGCGACCGGGAGGTCGTGCGCGCGCGCCCGGTGCCTGCGACGGTGCGGAGGCCACGTTGGCCACGTGTTTCCGCCGTGGGGAGCCCCTGCGGACTTGAAGGGTGAGGCCGCCGGGGCCTGGACGTGCTTCTGGTCCGCAGGCCCCGACGGGGCGGCCCCGCGAGGACACCGCAGCGGTGCACGTCCACAGACGGGAGGCAGCGCCGCGGTCAATAAATTATATATTTCTGTGGTAGGGCCGTGTGTCTCTTCCGCACCTCTTCTTTTAAATTCCTTTGCACTCGTGATTTATTTTTAAAAGAAACCGTCGAAAGCAAGGAGGCGGAGTCTGCGCCCGCCCGCCCGCATCGCGGCAGGAGGCCCCGGCCCGGCTGAGGAGGCGCATCCTCAGCCCGTCCGGACACGAAAGGGCGCCCGCGTGGGCCGGCGAGACTCCGGGGCGCCCAGTCTCCGGCCCACAACCGAGCCCCTCCTCCCGGCCCCGACCGCCGCGCACAAGCCGTCGTGCACCACGGCCCCTCGCGCTGCATGATTTTCCTTTTTCGCCCTTGCATGTAAAAGGCAAGTGCGGGATGAGACGTTCCTGCTGCAGGAACCCCCGCCCCAGCTCTGGTGGCGAATTGGGGAGATCCCCACTACACCGCTGCAGGGCCAGACCCGTGGGTCCCGCCCAGGGTCCTGATAAGCTGGCCATTCCTGGAGAGGCCGGTGTGGAGAAGCCTGGAGGGCTCACTGCAGGGACAGGCGCAGGTGGGCAGCACAGGGGTGGCGAGGAGGGGCGGCTGCCCACCAGGTCCCCGGCACCTGGTGCTGAGGTCCTTGCTCAGCGCAGGTCCGTTGTCCTAGTTGTGTCTTGCAAAGTCCGTGCAGACGCCTCTGTGCGGGGAAGCAGGCATCTGGGCTGAGTCATCCTTTTAAGTTCGGTGGTTTTCAATAGACCCACAAGGTGGTGCAACCCCCCTGGGCTTCAGAACATTTTCTTTTTAATGTAAAAGAATTGGGGTACAGGCCAGAGGTGTAGGGGTGAGAGGAGTCACCAGAGACAGAGTGGGGAGCAGAACAGGCAGATGGACTGAAATCCACTGGTGAGGGCCACAGCGGGGAGACAGGCGAGGTCTGCTGCACCCTGTGTGTCAGCTCCCTGGCTGGGGATGGAACTCAGGTCATGGTGGCTGGCGATAGCTTGTTAGTGCTGAGACTGAACCCCTTGAGCCCTAAAATAAATCTTTTCAAAATTTATTTATACAAGAACTGGGGTACAGGCCAGAGGTGCAGGAGGGTGAAAGGATTCACCAGAGACAGAGTTGGGAGCCGAACAGGCAGACTGACTGAAATGTACTGCTGAGGGGAGCATCGGGGAGACAGGAGAGGTCTGCTGTGCCCTGTGGGCAGCTCCCTGGCAGGCCGGGGATTGAACTCGTGCTGCAGAGGCTGTGGCTTGCTTCATAATGTGAAGCTAAACCCTACCGTCCCAGGGAGGCCCCCGGATTTAAGAACATGCTAATCATTGCCCCAAGGAGCCCTGTGGCCGATCACACTGAGGCTTCCCCTGTCTCCTGGCAATAGGTTGCCTAGTTGACATTTCGCTGCATGGAATCACCTGGGTGGGGGCCGCCTGTGTCTGTCCTCAGGGCTCATCCATCTTGCGCAGATATCAGCACTCCATTCCTTTCAGTGGGCAAAGAGGACACCCCTCATGTGAGCAGCAATCCTGGGTTATGTCTTCATTATCTTTGATTGTTTTTTGAACATTACCACTGGCTCCTATCCTGCATCCAAGCCACCCCTGCACACCCTGAATGCATTACAGGATTAGAAACAAATCTGAGGGGCCTCCCTGGTGGCGCAAGGGTTAAGACGCAGCACTGTGAAGCTGTCCACAGCCTCTGCAGCATGAGTTCGAACCCCAGCCAGGGAGCTGAGCCACAGGGTGCAGCAGACCTCTCCTGTCTCGCCCGCTGCTCCCCTCGGCAGTGTATTTCGGTCTGTCTGCCTGTTCTGCTCCCCACTCTGTCTCTGGTGAATCCTCTCACCCCCGTGCCTCTGGCCTGTGCCCCAGTTCTTCTATGCATAAATAAATCTTTAGGGAAAAAAAGAAAGAAAGAAATCTAAGACACCTCTGCTTCTCTGTGCGTCTTTTGCGGCAACCTCCCTTTCTAATGCTCCTCCAGTCATGGGTTTTGGGTTTCTTTCAGAATGGGAGGCTGTACTTAAAAAGGAAGAGTCAGCTTGTGACGGAGATATTGCTAGGGAAGAGCCATCGTACCTCCTGCAAATGAAATGCTGCAGACAAGAGCTGGTCCCCTGGCCAGTGTCACTAGGAGAAGGACAAGATGGCAGAGGTGAGTGAGGGGAGCACCCGGAGGACTCTTGGAGTCAAATGGAACGTACCTCGGAGACGCTGCTCGCTCAGGAGCGCCACTGTGAGCCTGACCTTAGAAGTTACCAGAATGTAAGTCTCCTACCTCCGACATTACCTACAAGAACACGTTTCCATAAGCTTGACTCACAGGCTTAGGCGCTGAAACAGAATTCGGTTTTAATTAATCAACACAAAAGCTGGGCCCATCTGGCGCCCTGTGAAAATTATCAAAGCACTAGAACCTTGTGTCAGAGAATTTCCTCAAAGCAACGTGCTGATAACGAAATGGGAAATGAAAAACCTTGTGCCTATTCTGTCGGTAGTAACTCTTTCAACTATGTTGCTTCCCTTCATTTTCATAATGGATTTTTTTCAGCAGAGAACAGCAATGGCTGTAAGGACTAGGGAAGCACTGCTAATCGTTGCGTGTCTCTGAGGGAACATGAACCAGTGCATGTCAGGGCGCGTCAACGTGGGTGTGACAGGTACTTTCTCCAGACCAAAATCACTGCTCCTGGAGAGTGTCGTTCGGATGTGAGCAGGACCGTGAGGCCTTCCATGGGGCCGCACCTCTGACTGACTATGATACCCCCCAGGCTGGAAAGAAGCCCTCTGCTTGTTCTAAGTGTGGGAAATCTTCCAGCTGCTGCTCCAAGCTTGTCATGCACCAGAGAACACACTCTGGGAGAAGCCCTGTGAATGTACTCGACGTAGGACGTCTTTCAGCTAGAGCTCTGATCTTGTTGTGCACCAGGGGACTCACACTGGGAGAAGCCCTGTGAACATCCCCAGTGTGGGAAGTCGTTCACCCAGACTTCCAAACTTAACGGCATCAGCGAACATGCAACTGGAGAAAAACCCTGTGAGTGTCATGAATGTGAGAAATCTTCCAGGTGGAGCTCTAACCTTACTACGCATCAAAGAATTCAAACTGGAAAAAAGACTTATGAGTGTGCTCTGTGTGGAAAGTCCTTGAGTCAGAGCTCTGGCTTTGTTGCGCATAAAAGAACTCACACTGGAGAGAAACCCTATGACCGCAACCAGGGTGGGAAGTCCTTCACCTGAAGCACTCAGCTTACCAGGCACCTTCGAATTCACACCGCAGGGAAGCCGTATAAATGCAACCAGTGCGATAGGGCCTTTTCTGGGAGCACCCACCTCATGGGACATCAGAGAACTCATACTGGAGAGAAGCCTTCTGAGCGGGATCAATGTGGGAAAGCTTTCCCTGGGAGCTCCCACCTCCTTTCACACCAGAGAATTCATTCTGGCGAGAAACCATATGAATGTCGTGACTGTGGGAAGGCTTTCCTGCAGCAATGCAGGCAGCCGTGCATGAGCAAACACATCTGGAGAGAAGCCTTATGAGTGCCATCATGGTGGGAAAGCCTTCAGCCGGAGCTTGCCGGAGTCCTCTCACCTCCCACACCTCTGGCCTGTACCCCAGCTCTTCTACACAAACATCAATAAAATCTTTTTTTAGGGCCTCCCTTGTGTCGCAAGGGGTTGAGATGCAACCCATGAAGCTAACCGCAGCCTCGGCAGCACGTGTTCAATCCCCAGCCAGCGAGGGAGCAACCCACATGGCGCAGCAGACATCTCCTGATGCCCGCTGCTCCCCTCAGCAGTATACATTGGCCAGTCTGCCTGTTCTGTTCCCCACTCAGGGCCTTTAGCAGGACTTGGGAAACTCAGAATGGAGCCATCCCCACCAAATAATCACTTTCACCCAAAACCCATCCAGACGTCATCAGATGTTGCCCTTATAACACATTTGTGAGAATGATGGGAGATTGACAGATTGCCTTATATTAGAGCCCTAAAGAAGGATCTGTCGCTTGAGAAAGTTGGTGTGGAGGAACAACATAGGAAGCCAACCTTGTTCACTATGAAGAGCACTTTGGAAGAGTAATTGAAGGAGAATGATGGATGGCCTGGGAGTCTTCTGAAATGGCTTTACTGTTGGAATTAAAGACTGACTATAAATATTTCAGGAATTGTGTTTTCCTCTAACTTTGTTACTCAGTTAGGCTGAGCACAGGGTGCCCGGGACATGGAACTAGAGGACTGCACAGAGCAGGTGCTAGCCCAGCTGTAGACTGACAGAGAGGCCAGACAAATTGAAGGGCTGTGACTGAAATTCACCCCTGCCCCTTCTTTTCTTGTCTTACATTAAGAAGTGTCTGCCTATGGGTACGTGCAAAAGCAAAGGAGTTCGTGCTTGAACAGAATAGTGGGGGCAACTAAGGAAACTGTGTATTATGCTCCAAAAAAGGGCTGCCTTCTTTTGGTGTTTCAGCCTTCATCCTCACAGTTGATTCTTACCCTTTTCGCCCTGAAGTGAACCATGCAATTAAAACAGTTCCACCCTCCCACCATGAGACTTCCACCCGCATTCCGATGGCCTTCTCCATATGGATGGGAGCCAATGAGCTGAAGACGTAAAAGCCTCTAGTGTGAAAGAAAAAAATCTAAAGGAGGGCCTCCCTGGTGGCGCAGTGGTTGAGCGCTGGGTTGCGAAGCTGCCGGCGACCTCTGCGGCGCCGTTTCGATCCCCGGCTGCTCCCCGACCACCGGAGGAGGGTCCCCCATGGCGCGCAGACCTCTCCTGCCGCCCGCTGCTCCCCTCAGCAGTGTGCTTCGGTCTTTCTGCCTGCTCTGCTCCCCGCTCTGGCTCTGGTGAATTCTCTCACCCTCCCGCGCTTCTGACTGTACCCAGTGCATGTATAAACAAACAAATAAATAAATAAAACATGCCTCTATTTAAAAAAAAGAAAAAAAGAAAAAAATCTAAAGGAAAACAGAAAAACCAGGACCTCCCTGGTGGCACAGGGCTCAAAGTCAGTGATACCAAGCTGTCACCAGCCACTGCGGTCTGAGTTCGATCCCTGCCAGGGAGGTGACCCACATGGCACAGCAGACCTCTCCTGCCTCCCTGCTGCTCCCCTCGGCATTGGATTTCACTAGATCCCCCTGTTCTGCTCCCTACTCTGTCTGGTGAGTCCTCTCACCCCCACCCGCATACCTCTGGCCTGCACCCCAGTTCTTGTATGCATAAATAAAAATAAATCGTTAAAAAAGAAAAGCCAGTCCTAAGAGGGGAATCAAATGTTTGAAATGGTTTATTCTTACTTTTTTTTTTAAGATTTATTTAGTTTTATACCAGAGCGGGGGTACAGGCCAGAGGCACGGGAGGATGAGAGGATTAACCAGAGACAGAGCGTGGAGCAGAACAGGCAGACAACGAAACCCACAGCTGAGGGGAGCAGCCGGGAGTCGGGAGAGGTCTGCGGCGCCCTGTGGGCAGCTCCCTGACCGGGATGGCACTCAGGCCACTGCGAGGAGGTGGCGTTTCATCACAGGAGGCGCTTACAAGACCAAAATCAGAAACGAAGAGGAGGGCTGACGGGAGGCAAATCCTAATCTTCATCAGAACAGGATTTCAGCAACGTGGAAAGGCGACCCACGAGCGGCGTCCCGGGGGTGACCGCAGAAGGGGACGCGAGCCGAGGCAGTGGACGAGGGGGGTGTGGCGGGAGGCGCCCCCTGGCCTTGCCAGCCCGCCGGCGCGCTCCTCTTCTGAGAAGTCACGGCCACCGTGATTGTTGGGGCCCACGGGACAGGCGTGGGCCGCAGCGGCCGGCGCCGCACACCGGCCGCTCCGCGGGCTGCCCCAGCGGCCTTCTCGGGGGTGTCGCGCCGCAGCGGGCGCCGCTGTCCGGCGGGCGCGGGCTCCGAGGCGGGCGCGGCCGGCGCCGTCCACCCTCCTCCGCGCGTCAGAGCCGAGGCCCGCGGGAGACGCCCTTGGTCTCCTGCCAACGGCCTGGTCCCGAAGCCCGGGGAGCAGGGCGCGGGGGCGCGGGACCCCGTCAGGAGCCGGGTCCTCAGCCGGGCGCCCCGGCAGAACCTGCAGCTCCCTGAGCGCCCGCCCGGGCGGCCCCACCCTGTCACGTCCGCCGCGCGCCGCCCGGAAGGCCGCCGGCCGGGCCCAGGGCCGGGGGGCGCGGACGCGACCCGTCCCCAGCGGGTGGGGGCGCCGACGCGCCGCCCGCGCGCCCTTCCGGGTCGGAGGCCCCGCCCAGGCAGTCGCTCCAGCGCTCCTATTGGCCAGCGGCCAGCGCGGAGCCTCCCACTGGCCCGAAGCCAGGAGGCTGCCATTGGGCGAGAGCTCGCGAGCGAAGGTTCCCATTGGCCTGGCGCCGCGCGGCCCTCTGGGAGCTGTAGTCGCGGCGGCGCCGGCGCGGCCGCCATTGTTCGGCGGGCGGCGAGTCGGGCGGTCCCCGCGGCGGGCGGCGGGCGGCGGGCGACGGGGGCGGGGGCCGGGGCGAGCGCTAGGCCGCGGCCCGTCGGCCCAGGATGGAGCCCGCGCAGGGGGCGGCCGCGCCGGCCACGGCCCCGCGGCAGCCGGCGGAGCGGCCTCAGGTAACCGGCGTCACAACAATGACGGCGACGTGGCGCCGCGGCCCCGCGGCCCCCCCGCGCCCCCGCCCGGCGCGCCCGGAGGAGAGGAGCGGCCGCCGCCTCAGCCGGGCGGGGGCAGCGCCTGCCGGGCCGTCTGGGGAGCGTCGGGCCGCCGCGGCCCGCCCCTGGGAGCGGGCCCGTCGGTGCGCGGCGCCTGGCGGGGGGCGCCCGGCGGGGGCGCTGCGGGCGGGCGGGGCGCGCGGCCACGCCCGAGGCCGCCGGGCTGGGGGCGGGGCGGGGTGGGCCGCGCCGCGTCGGGGGACCCCGGAGATGGGCGGCCGGGAAAGCCGCGAAGTCGGATTCCGGCCGGGAGCGAGCGGCGTCGGGCTCGGCCCTCCTGGCGGTGGCGCGGCGGGACGGCGCGGGTGACCGCCGACCTGATGGCCGCGCCTCTTGCCCGTGCAGGCGCGGAGACCGCCTTGAGGACTGTGGGAAGGAGTGTGGAGAGGTGAGGATGGCCAGGTATGGGACCAGATATGGCGCTTGCAAAACTGGGGGATGCAGAAATGGTTGCACAAGCCCCAGGGGTAAGGCCGAGAGGAGGAGAGGGTCGGAGCAGCCAGGAGGCTCCGCAGGGGAGGGCCAGGAGGCAGCTCCGCGGCCTGTTGCTGTGGGCCGGGTGCCAGCGCCGTCCCGCCCGTAACAACCGCTACTTCCCAATTGCTGGGGGTCGGGACCCCGCAGAGCCTGAGCCTTGCGCGCCTCCATCCTGCGGGGCTCCTTCCCTGCTCGCCTGGACTGAAGCTCACCTGAGGCTTGACGGGGCTCGAGCACCCACCGCCCGCGCCGCACGGTCGCCACCCAGGCCGGGAGACCCCCCTTCCTTCCCACGCGGACCTTCCTGTGCGGCTGCCCGGCTTGTCCTCCCGGGGCTCTTGTCCTCCCGAGGTCCAGGCGGAAGCCGCGGTGCCGTCAGTCACCTGGGCTCACGGCCCACGGCCTGGCTTTGCCGCAGTATCCTCAGCGGCCCGGCCACCCTGCCGGTACAGGAGGGCGCTGCGCGGGCCGAGGATCAAGGGTTGGCTGTGGAGGTTGCCATCGCAGTCTGCCACAAAACACTCGTTTACCCTCACGGCTCTCAGGGACAGAAGTCTGAAGTGGGTATTGCTAGGCTAAAAGCAAGGGGTGAGCCGAGCCAGCCTTCTGCTGAGGCTGGGGGAGACTGTTCCTGATTCTTCCCGGTCCTAGAGTCGTGCCCTTCCTCTCCCTGCCTCATGTGCTTCGCCTGACGCCAAAGCCGGCCGCACAGCGTCTTGTGGCAGCGGCCGCACTGCCTTTGTGCTGAGGTCCCCCCGCGCCTTCCCCTGAGAAGGACACTTGTGATGGCACGTAGGGCCCACTGGCTCATCCCGGGTGATTCCCCGTTTTCAAGTCCTTAGTCGCATCCCCAGAGTCCCTCTTGGGTTTGTGGCAACAGTCATGGTTTCCAGGAGTCAGAACCTGCGTGTCGTTGGTATCCAGCCAGCCCAAGCCAGGCTGCAAGGCGCACGCTGTGGTCAAAGGTGAGACGAAGCCGCGCAGGTGTTTCCAGTGGGCACGGCATGGTTCTGAGAGACAACGTTCAGGCATCTGGGCAGTGGGCATGAGAGAGACGCCGAGAGCCAGCTGGGGGGCGGCCACGGAGAGCGTGTGCAGAGCCGGGTCCGGCACAGCCAGTGCAGAGAGCTGAGGTGGAGCCACAGGCGGGGACTCCTGCTGCAGTTCCCAGGACGCGCGGGGCTCCTGTGGTGCTACTGAGTGGTCTCGTGCCCCGGACAGGCCAGGTGCTGGCCTCCCTGGTGCCGGAGGGACCCGGGCCAGGAGCTCAGCAGGCTCTGCCTGTCTCTGCTCGCTGGTGGTCAGAGCCGCGCGCCACTGGCCTGAGAGTTGCCTTGACATTTTAAAAGCCGCCTGTTTCATCTCAGAGGAACATATTCTTTAAAGCCGAGGCACTTGGCATTGGCTTTGATTCGCACTTCCCTGCTGGCCAGCGGCGTGGCGCTTGTTCCATGTGCTTGTTTGCCATGTTCACATGTTCCTTTATGTCTTTTTTGCTAGATCCTCTGCTCGTTTTCACTGCCTTGTCTTTATGATTAAACTGTAAGAGATTTTGTATCTTCTGGGTACGAGCCTCTCATTAGATATGTAACCTGCAGCGTTGTCTCCCGTATGTGTCACTTTCCTGCTCTCTCTCTTGATAGTGTCTTTTGGAGCAAAAGATTTTGTTTTCTGTTTTTTTTTTAAGATTTTTATTTATTTATGCATACAAGAGCTGGGGTACAGGCCAGAGATGCGGGGGGTGAGAGGATTCCCCAGAGACAGAGTGGGGAGCAGAACAGGCGGATCCACTGAAATCCACTGCTGAGGGGAGCAGCAGAGAGTCTGGCGAGGTCTGCTGCGCCCTGTGGGTGGCTCCCTGGCTGGTTGCGGACAGCTTCACAGTGCGGTGCTTAACCCCTTGCGCCACCAGGGAGGCCCTGGAGCAAAATATTTTGATGAAATTCAATTTTTTCTTTGGCTGCTGGGGCTTTCGGTGTCATATCTCTGGGTCGTTTGCCAGATGCAAGGTCATGGAGATTTAGTCCTTTATTTTCTAACAGTTAAATAGGTTTCATTGTTACTTCGTCTTTGATCTGCTCTAAGGTAACTCTTACCTGGGACGTGAGGAAGGGGCCTGCATGTGACGGTCCGGTTGTTCTGCAGGAAGAGGTTTTTTGGGGTTTTTTTGTTTTTGTTTTTTTTTTTAAGATTTTATGCATGCAAGAGTTGGGTGCAGGCCAGAGGTGCAAGGGGTGAGAGGATCCCCCAGAAACAAAGCGGGGAACAGAACAGGCGGATCGACTGAAACCCAGTGCTGAGGGGAGCAGCGGGGAGACAGGAGAGGTCTGCTGCGCCCTGTGGGTCACCTCCTTGGCCGGGGAGCGAACTCCTGCTGCAGTGGCTGTGGACAGCTTCCTAGTGCTGAGACTCACCCCTTGCGCCCCCAGGGAGGCCTCTGCCGGGAGAGTTTTTACAGCCAGGGGATCCCTTCACCACCCCAGGAGTAATTCCTGGTTTGCAAGGGAGCAGAGAGGTGGCTCGAGGGCAAAGTGACCACTTTGCATCAACTTGTAAAAATTAATAGACGTTTTCGCTTCAGCGTGTTAGCTCGTTTTCAGCTTCTCTCGGAGCTTGGCGGTTCTGACCACGTGGGGGCAGTGTTTCCCCAGTCTGTGGGTTGAGCCCCACCTGCCCTTGCCACGGGACCCACATTCCCTGTCACCTCCCTTCCCCGGCCCCCTCACTCGCTGCCCAGCCCCCGAAGGCCGGCGAGTTCCGACTCCAGCTGTTCATCCCCCTTGTGCAGAGCGGGAACCAGCGCTGTGAGTGTGAGGCGGTCCCTGAGCCGGTCCCTGAGCCAGCGGTGACAGACTTAAGACCGGGACCATGTCTTTAGTCGCAAATCTGCAGCCCAGTGGTGCGGGCAGGTCTCGCGGGTCAGCAGCCAGCCAGCTGGGTGGCTTTGGAGGCCTCGCCTGGAGGCTCTGACTTGCCCTCCCAGGCCGGCCCCACCCTCCCGCGGCAGCCCCCGAGGTCCGCCGAGACTGATCCGCGCTTGGAACCTGCGCGCCCGGGACTCCGGGACTCTGCTGCCTGCCCCTTCCCGCTCCCTGCACCCAAGACAGCCGGCGGGGTGGTCCGCTGACAAGGGCGTGTGTTTCAGGAGCCGGTGACCTTCCGGGACGTGGCTGTGGACTTCACCCAGGAGGAGTGGGGGCAGCTGGCGCCGGCCCAGAGGACGCTGTACCGGGACGTGATGCTGGAGACCTTCGGGCACCTGCTCTCCGTGGGTGAGGCCTGCACCCGCACGTCCCTGTGGCGACCGTCCTCGCGGCCTGCAGGTCACAGTGCCCCTCAGAGGGCCCCGCTGAGGACCTGGCCTCCGGCCGGGACTGCTGGGCTGGGGGCTCCTCCCCTGTGGGGCGTGCAAGCTGGGGGTGCCTGCCCTTTCCTGTCAGTGCGAGACCTTCCCCTGTGAGGCGGCCCCTGTCCTGGCGGCCTCCACACGGGCCACAAGTCTGGGCTGGAGCCTCGGCCTGTTCCTCCTCCCCAGAGACACGTCCTCTGTCTGTCCCTGTTCCCAGGGCCTGAGCTGACCAAGCCCGAAGTCATCTCCCAGCTGGAGCAAGGGGCTGAGCTCTGGGTGGTGGAGCGAGAGCTCGCCCAGGACCCCTGTTCAGGTGAGTCCCAGGGGACACCGCCAGTGGGCGCAGCCCTGGGAGTGACTGCACCCCCAGAAGGTACCCAGCGAAGTTTGTGAAAGGGGGAGGCGGGTGGCCGCAGGGCTCCGAAAGGGGCCTGAGGCCTGTCTCTCGGGGAGCTCGTCCCCTGCAGACTCGCGCTACCACGCGGGAGATGTTAGGGACGCCGCGCCGGGGCCCCTGGGGCGGCCCCAAGGGCACCCCCCGGGCACAGACAAGAACGCAGGCCCCAGCGGAAGGCAGGGGTGCTCCGTCAGCCGTGTCAGCGGGCGGCCCCTCGTCTCCCGGGTGCTCGCTGCCCTGGCGCCTTCCGGTCCTCCCGGCCCCCGCAGCCCTGACCCCGGGGTTGCTCCCTCGGGCATCCAGTCCCTGGCCTGAAGCTGCTGCTGGGCCCGCCGGGAGTGGCCCCGGTAGCTTAAGCTCTTGAACCCGACCTCCCGTGGTCGGAAGGCGTTTACTGTAAAGAGGTGCGCCCCGCGCCCCCCTCCCGCCCCCCACCGCCGCGGCTGGCCGGCAACCGCGGGCCAGGGCCGGGGTGTTTCTGGTTACACGGCGATGCCGCAGGCTTTGCCCCCCGGCCCCCGCCCTGGTCGCTTCTGATCCGTCTCCTTCCAGCGGGCCTGTCCTGGGAGCCCGTGTTAAGGGAAGCGGGACCGCGGGGCTTTCCCGTGCGGCGGCTTCTCCTCAGCGTGTTTCCGCGATTCAGGGGGTCGTCGCGCCTCGGGGCTTCGCTTCTCTCTGTGACTGCAGGGGGGGCCTCCGCCGCGTGCACAGGCCGCACTTACGTCCCTGTTGGCGACATTTGGGTTGCGTCTGCATGTGAAGACCTGGATCGTGCTCTATGCGTGGGCTCCGTAGGGAGTGACTTGTCTTGTCTACACCCTGTGGGTGCCGTGAGGAGTGAGGCTTGGGGGCGAGAGGCGAGGGGGAGCAGGGACCCCCCCCCCAGCCCAGCTCTGCCTTAGGCGTTGTGGCTGAGCTCTTGTTAATCTCGCGGGTGTGTGTGTGTGTGTGTGTGTGTGTGTATGTGTGTGTGTGTGTTCGTGTTCGTTCGTTCCCTGCCTCCTGTCAGCCCTGGGCCCTGGCTCGGGGAGACAGGCCCTGAGGCCATGAGAGCGTGTGGCTGACAGAGCACCGGCAGTGGGAGCCCCTAAACAGCAGGGAATCCCGGCCCCAAGCTGTCCACGCCCTGACCCCAGAGCCCGAGCTCCAGACTCCGCTTGACCGAGCTGCTTCTGCAGGCTCTGGGGAGGGTAGGTCTCCCCAGACTGCACAGCCACAAACACCCTGACTGTCGGGTTTCCGGACCCCGGAGTGTAAGTGCAGGGGTGCTGGGTTTGTGGCAAGTTGTCACAGCAGCACCCTGAGCCAAGGGACTGCCTCTGGGGGCGCAGGGCCTGTGCTGACCGAGGCAGGACCCTCACTCCGCAGGCCCCAGGCCTGGGGCAGCCTTCCCGGGGTCTGGTCTCTGGCCAGCAATACGTGCCTTGGACCTCGTGGGCCGCTCACGTCCCCACTCTGCGTTCTGGTTCTTCAGTTTCTTCCTTTTCTTTTTTTTTAAGATTTATTTATTTATACACGAACCAGGGTACAGGCCAGAAGCGCAGGAGGGTGAGAGGATTCAGCAGAGACAGTGGGGAGCAGAGCAGGCAGACTGACGAAATACACTGCTCAGGGGAGCCGCGGGCGAGACAGGAGAGGTCTGCCGCACCATGTGGGAATCTCCCTGGCCGGCCGGGTTCAGACCCACGCAGAGGCTGCGGACAGCTTCACGGTGCAGCGCTCAACCGCCTGCGCCACCAGGGAGGCCCTGGTTCTTCACTTTCTAATTGCCACAGGCCTCAGGCAGCACGTCCTTCCTCTCACAGTGGGTCGGGCCTGACTCGTTTGTCCTCTCTGGGTCTCAGACCCAAAGTGGAGGTGTCCTCAGAAGGGCACTTGCCCAGGGGGCGGGGCCGTCTCCAGCTCCAGTACCCCCCGCACAGCCAGCCTCACCCTCCTCCTGCTGCTCCTGGAGCTCAGGGGTCAACTTTGGGGCCACCCAGATGGGTCAGAACCATCTCCCTATTCCAGGAGTTGGGGTCAGCTGCTGAGCGACCTTCATGTCACCCGCGAAGTCCCTTCACAGCTCTCCCCAGATGAGGACCGAACAGCCAGGGACAGCGCTAGCCTCCTGCTGGCCTCCGGCGGGTTTTTCTCTGCCCACTTCCAAAGCATAAAAGCTGCAGCTCGCGGGCCCCACCCTAGCCAGCGTCTGCCACCCCCACTCCCCACCCTGCCCCCCCCACCCCGTGTGCACTAGTGCCTCTGTGCTGCGGGGCGGGTGCTCGGCACTGAGCTGAGCAGACGGGGCCTGCCTGCCTGCGGGGCGCTGGGCGTCGCTGTCGTGAGTTTTCTCGCCAGTCCCTCAGGGCTTCGTTTTCTTTCAGGCTGGGGACCTGGAAGCCGAGTGTCACCCACACAGCGGGGCCTTCCGGAGGGGCCGCCAGCCCGTTTCTTGGCCAGGGAAGGCTGCCCCGGGGAGGCGCCCCCTGCCACCGCCATGCGGGACGACTGGGGCGGTGAGAGCCAGGAGCGTGTCCCCAAGGAGGACCCGGACGCTTCGGGGCAGGCGGCACTGGACTTGGCTGAAGTGCCTGTTCAGGATCGCGGCTGTGGCAGCCTCAGACTCGAGGGAGACTGTGTCCTGGGCTCCGCCCCGAGCCCGTGTCCGGAGCTCCCCCGGGGCCAGGACCTCTGTGCCGGCCACTCGCAGGCCGCAGCCCTGGAGCGCGGCTCCCGGCCAGTCAGTCAGCAGACGGTCCCTTCGGGCGGTGGCGACGGGGCCGGGGCCCTGGGTGCGGCCCTTCCCGTCCCAGAGCCCGCCCCGAGCCAGGCCCCCGACAAGCCCTACAAGTGCGCCGAGTGCGGCAAGTCCTTCAACCACAACGCGCACCTGACCGTGCACCGGCGCATCCACACGGGCGAGCGGCCCTACGTGTGCAAGGAGTGCGGCAAGGCCTTCAGCCAGAACTCTTCGCTGGTGCAGCACGAGCGCATCCACACCGGCCACAAGCCCTACAAGTGCGCCGAGTGCGGCAAGTCCTTCTGCCACAGCACGCACCTGACGGTGCACCGGCGCATCCACACGGGCGAGAAGCCCTACGCCTGCGGCGACTGCGGCCGCGCCTTCAACCAGAACTCCTCGCTGGGCCGCCACCGGCGCACGCACACGGGCGAGAAGCCGTACGCCTGCAGCGTGTGCGGCAAGGCCTTCTCCCGCACCACCTGCCTCTTCCTGCACCTGCGCACGCACACGGAGGAGCGGCCCTACGAGTGCAGCCACTGCGGGAAGGGCTTCCGCCACAGCTCCTCGCTGGCGCAGCACCAGCGCAAGCATGCCGGGGAGAAGCCCTACGAGTGCCGGCAGCGGCTGGTCTGCGAGCAGGCCGAGGCCCTGGCCGCGCGCGAGTGGGCCGAGGCCCTGGGCCGCGACCCGCCCCTGAGCCCCGAGGAACGGGCGCGCCGGAGCGAGCGGCCCTTCCGCTGCGGCCAGTGCGGCAAGTGCTTCCTGCAGAGCTCCCACCTCATCCGGCACCAGATCACGCACACGCGGGAGGAGGCCCCCGCTCGGGGCCGGCGGCGGGAGTCCGCCTTCGGCCGCAGCCCGCACGCGGGCCGGCGAGCGCGCCCCGGCGAGAGCCCAGCGGACGTCGCGAAGGCGGGCCAGCCGCCGGGCAGGGCCCTCGCCTTGTTCGACATCCGCGAGATCATGCAGGAGAAAAACCCGGTGCACGTCATTGGGGTGGAGGAGCCCCCCGGGGCCGCCTCGGTGCTGTTTGACATGAGAGAGCCCTCGTAGGGGAGAGGCCCTCAGGGGGCCTTTTCAGCCGGAGTCCAGGGACATGGTAAGTCCACGGCGGGGGGCTGGGCCGGCGTCCTGAGGAAACGGTGCTCCCCGGACCGGGCTGTGCTCACCTGGCCGCTTCCTGCCCCTCGACCCCACCGTGTTGTCACGCGCCCCCCACCCCCGGGAGACAGCTGCCAGGGGCGGCCCCCGCCCGTCAGTGAGGACCTCAGCGTGGTGCTCTGTAAAGGACGATTAAAGCGAGAGTCTCTGGTGCGCGTGTCCTGTCGTCGGCATCTCACTGGCTCCCGGGCCTGGCGGTGGGGACGCCGCCCGCTGCTCCATGCTCCTCCAGGTCCGCCTGGCCGCCAGATGCTGCGGGGTCCTGCGGGAGCCGGTTTCCAGCGAGGTGACGGCCTGCAAAAGTCTCAAACAGCGCAAGCCCCGCCACGTTCCCGCAGCCCCCTGCCATGTTCTTAGCGGGATCCAGTGCGTGGTTAGGCGTGGGGTGGACTCAGGGTCTCGCCTCGCCGCCACAAAGTGGCCGAGTCCCATGCGCTTACGTGGCCCGCAGCAGCCCAGCCGCCCGGTGCACTTCCACAGCGGCCCAGTAGGTGTCAGCACCTGCCCGCGGTGGCTGCCTCGGCCAGCATGTCCCTAGACCATTCTCCCGGGGTGACTCTCCCCAGGCTTTGGTGATGGCGACAGGGTGATGACATCCAGTGGGTGGAGACCAAGAGGTGCAGGGTGTACTGGTGCCAACTCACAGCATTGCCGGGCCCAGTGCCATACCTCACTTCCCAGTCACATCAGCTGATAAGGCTGGGCCAGCAGCTCTGCTCGATTTTAGCAAGTTGCTGTCATCAGCTGGTTCTTGCATGCCCTGCTCTTTACTAATCTTCCTACTCCCTTCCAGCAGCCTTCTTTTTAAACGATTTATTTATTCATGCATGCCAGAGATGGGGGGGGTGAGAGGACTCCCCAGAGGCAGACTGAGGAGCACAACAGGTGGATCCACTTCAATACACTGCTGAGGGGAGCAGTTGGGAGACAGGAGAGGTCTGCTGCGCCATGTGGGTAGCTCCCTGGCTGGGGAATAAACTCATACTATCGTGGCTGCAGACAGCTTCATAGTGCTGAGGTTTATCCCCTTGTGGCACTAGGGAGATGCCTCAGCATCCTTTTTTTTTTTTTAAGAGATTTATTTGTGCATACAAGAACTTGGGTATAAGCCAAAAGTGTGGAGGGTGAGAGGATTCCAGACACAGAGCGGGGAGCAGAACAGGCAGATTGAGTGAAATCCACTGCTGAGGGGAGCAGCGGTGAGACAGGAGAGGTCTGCTGCGCCCTGTGGGTAGCTCTCTGGCTGGGGATGAAACTCCTGCTACAGTGGCTGTGGACAGCTTCATAGGTTGTGTCTTAACTGCTTGCGCTACCAGGGAGGCCCTCCTCCAGCATTCTTTTATTTTTTTTTTTTAAGATTTATTTATGCATACAAGAGCCGGGGTACAGGCCAGAGATGCAGGGGGATGAGAGGATTCACCAGAGACAGAGCGGGGAACAGAACAGGCAGATTGACCGAAATCCACTGCTGAGGGGAGCAGCAGGCAAGACAGGAGAGGTCTGCTGTGCCATGTGGGTTGCTCCCTGGCTGGCCAGGGATCAAACTCAGGCTTCCGAGGCTATGGACTGCTTCATAGTACTGCGCTTAGCCCCTTGCGCCACCAGGGAGGCCCTCCTCCAGCATTCTTTGTTGTTGTTGTTGCTAGTTTTTTTTGTTTCTTATTTTTTTAAAGATCCATTTATTTATTTATACAAGCACTGGGTACAGTCAGAAGCGCAGGAGGGTGAGAGAATTCACCAGAGCCAGAGCGGGGAGCAGAGCAGGCAGAAGGACTGAAGTCCACTGCTGAGGGGAGCAGCAAGCGCAGCAGTAGAGGTCTGTGCCATGTGGGACCCTCGCCGATGGGCAGGGATTGAACCGGTGCTGCAGAGGCTGCGGGCTCAACCGCTTTGCCACCAGAGGAGGCCCTCCTCCAGCATCTTAACGGGTGTGAAGAATGGAGGAGAATCCAGTTTTCTGGACAATCTGAATTTGGGCATTTCAGTGTGGGCATTACAGGCATGGATGTTTCCACGGGTGCCTCTCCCTGCATCCCCTGCCCTCCCACCACAGGGTTATCGCCACGTCAACCCCAGAAGTCTTGCGTTTTTCTGAGTGTATCTCCCAGAGGAAAAGACTTAGATGAGTACATTTCATGTGTCAGCAACTTGTCCCTGGGGACAAGCCCAACGCCGTGTAATCTTGAGCTGTGGACTGGTGCCCCGAGTTGGTATTCTTGCTGAGGGTGCAAAAGCAGCAGCGAACCAACTGGGATGCCTGAGTGTGGGGCAGAGACCCCTCCCCTTCTCCCTTGTTTGAAATGCTCCTTTTACTTGGCTTTTTGTGATGATGCAGCAAAATTATTTTATTAGAACATCAAAGCTGGGCCTCCCTGGTGACGCAAGGGGTTAAGCGTCGCACCATGAAGCTGTCCGCAGCCTCTGCAGCCCAAGTTCGATCCCCAGCCACCAGGGAGCAACCCACATGGCTCAGCAGACCTCTCTTGTCTCCCTGCTGCTCCCCTCAGCAGTGTGTTTTGGTCAGTCTGCCTGTTCTGTTGCCCGCTCTGTCTGGGGAATCCTCTCACCCCCTCATCTCTGGCGTTTATCCCAGCTGTTGTATGCATTCATAAATAAATCTTTAAAAAAAAAAAAAAAACGTTAAAGCTATGCTGTGACTGTTACCTCAGCAGAATACCTAGTGCTGACATGTTCTGGTTGCCTCAGGTCCGGCTTGGTTTTCTCTTCACTTTGTTGTATCCATGGTCTCCTTTCTTTTTTTTCTTTTTCTTTTTATTTAGAGATTTACTTATACAAGAGCTGGGGTACAGGCCAGATGTGCGGGAGGGTGAGAGGACTCACCAGAGACAGAGCGGGACAGAACAGGCAGACCGACCGAAATACACTGCTGAGGGAAGCAGTGGGGAGACAGGAGAGGTCTGCCGCGCCATGTGGGTATCTCGCCAGCCGGCCGGGATCAAACGTACACTGCAGAGGCCGCAGACAGCCTCACAGTGCTTCGCCACCAGGACGACCCTATCCCTCTTTATGTCTTTTATTCTTTGGGAGGGAAAGACAACAGGACAACCCAAACCTTGTCCCCTCCTGAGCCTGCCTGCCAGGCACCCCCCGGCCTGGTGGGGCGACTTCTGACTTTGCGTCAGACCACTGAGCTGGGCTGAGGGGCCTCATGAAGTGTGACCCCACTGTCCCCAAAGCTCCCCTTCCCCACCTCCAGCACAGCGTGGGAAGTTGCTGGAGGGCCTTTGGGAGACAGCCTTTCAGCCACTGGTGCCAAGTTCAGCCAGAATTATAGGCAGTGGTGCCTGCAGGGGCCATTTCCATGTCCATCTTGGGAAACTCCACCCTGATCCTGTTGCTGCTTCTGTCCAACCTTACTCCTCAGAGAGGTGACTTTTTTTTTTTTTTTTAAGAATTTTTTTTTTTTATAGAGGCATGTTTTCTTTATTTATTTTATTTGTTTGTTTTGTTTATGCAAGCACTGGGTACAGTCAGAAGCGCGGGAGGGTGAGAGAATTCCCCAGAGCCAGAGCGGGGAGCAGAGCAGGCAGAAGGACCGAAGGACACTGCTGAGGGGAGCAGCGGGCGGCAGGAGAGGTCTGCGCGCCATGCGGGACCCTCCGCCGGTGGCCGGGGAGCAGCCGGGGATCGAACCGGCACCGCAAAGGCCGCGGGCAGCTTCGCAACCCAGCGCTCAACCGCTCCGCCACCGGGGAGGCCCTAGAGGTGACGTTTTTGACTCTCCTTTGGGCCGTTCTTGGCCCGAGGATGTCCTGCTGGCCACCACCGCCCCATGGCCATGTCCTCTGACACCTACTTCAGGGTGAACGGAAAAGTCAGCGTCAGTGATGCAAACACATTACCTTAACCCTTCAGCTGGCTGTAGGAAGCGTCTCTCAATGATTCCACATTGCCCACTTGTATCAAAAAATTTTTTTAAGATTTTATTTATTGGGCTTCCCCCTGGTGGCGCAGGTGGTTGAGCGCAGCACTGCGAAGCTGTCCACAGCCTCTGCAGCACTGGTTCCATCCTGGCTGGCCCGCGAGACTCCCACATGGCATGGCAGACCCCTCCTGTCTTGCCCGCTGCTCCCCTCAGCAGTGTGTTTCATCAGTCTGCCTGTTCTGTTCCCTGCTCTGGAGAATCCTCTCACCCTCCCACAATTCTGGCCTATACCCCAGTTGTTGTATAAAATAAATCTTTTTTTAAAAAAAAAAAGATTTTATTGGGCCTCCCCGGTGGCGCAGCGGTTGAGCGCTGGGCTGTGAGGCTGCCCGCGGCCTCTACGGCGCTGGTTCGATCCCCGGCCCCCGGAGGAGGGTCCCCCATGGCGCGCAGACCTCTCCTGCCGCCCGCTGCTCCCCTCAGCAGTGTCCTTCGGTCCTTCTGCCTGCTCTGCTCCCCGCTCTGGCTCTGGTGGATTCTCTCACCCTCCCGCGCTTCTGACTGTGCCCAGTGCTTGTATAAATAAGTAAATAAATCTTAAAAAAAAGATTTTATTTATTTATGCATACAAGAATTGCGGTGCAGGCCAGAGGTGGGGGGGGGGGCGGATGTGAGAGGATTCCCCCGGGACAGAGGGGGAGCCGAACAGGCGGACTGACAAACACACTGCTGAGGGGGCGGCGGGGAGACAGGAGAGGGCCGCCGCGCCCTGTGGGTCACTCCCTGGCCGAGGATCGAACTCCTGCCAGAGTGGGTGCTGATAGCGCCACAGCTTGGAGACTTTAACCCCTTGTGCCACCGGGGTGTGAACCTCACCGGTGGATGGTGCATGTGAGAAGCCTTAAAAGCGGGGGCTGCCCGTCTTCTCCGCGGGCAGGAGGCCCGCAGGGCAGCAGGAGAGGTGTGGACGGGCGTGCGGCCTGTTTCCACTCCGACGAGGCGACACCGAGCGCAGGCTCCGGAAGCGCCCCGGGAGCCGGGCCTGCGGGCGGGCCCGGGCCGGAGGGATGCGGAGCTGGCGAGCGGTACTTTCCGCTCAGAATCCCTGGAGTTTTGAAACGTAAAAGCAAAGTACCGCGGGCCCCTGGCGCGCAGGGATCAGCCCCCGCGCCGCCCGCCACTGCCGCCCCCGCGCCCCTCCCGGCGCGGGTGGAAACGCGCGTGACGCCCGCCCGTCGGGCCGGGCCGCGGCGGGGCCGGGCCGCCCAACTCCATTTCCCAGGAGGCCGTTCGCCTTGAGCCCGGCCGCTCCCAGGCGGGCGGCGCGCGGTGCCCCCTGGGAGCTGGAGTCCCCGCGGCCGACGCGCCGCCCTGCCCTGCGGACGGGGGCGGGTGGGGGGCAGCCTGCGTGGACGGCGGCCCTTGCTCGGCGAGGGGCGCCCCTGAGTCGGCGCCGCCCGAACCCCACTAATAGACTCGTCCCGAATCCGGGCGCCCGGGGCTGGGCCGAGCGGGACGGCGCGCCCCGGCCGGGCGGCCCCTCGCGCCTGCAGCCGCCCCGCCGCGGCCCGCGCGCCCGGCCTCCTCCCTGCGGACGGCCCCGCGCCGCGCCGCCGCCGCCCCCCCAGGGCCGCCCCGCCCCCGCCCGGCGCTGTCCCTGGTGCTGAGCCGCGGCCGGCCCCGGCGCTGCCGCCGCTGCCCGACCGAGCTCCTTTTCGCGCGGCCCGCGGTCAGGGCTGGCCTTGGCCAGTCGGCGGCCCGAAGGCCCAGCCCTGCCCTGAGCAGCCCGGCTCCTGCCCCGCGGGGGCTGCGCCGGCCCAGGCGGGCGCCTCGGCCCAGGGTCGCCTGGTGAGGAGGAGCCGCTTCCTGCGGGGAGCCCCGGCACCTCCATGTCCTCCCGCCGGGCGGGGCGGCCGCGTCTGGCTCCGGGGCGGCCTGAGCACCTGGCGGGGCTGAGCTGTGCCCGGCCGGGCCCGGAGCAGCGGACCCAGGCAGCAGCTGTCGGGCCGGGGCCCGGGAGCACGAGGGGCCTTTGGATGAGGGGACTCGGGGCTGGTGTCTCTGGGCCTCCCTCCTTGCTCCTGCCCCCAGGGGCACGTGGAGGACCAGGCGGGGCCTGGACACTGGCCTTCCCAGCACACGCCTCCCACGTGAGTTCCCAGAAATGCCCGTGGCCGCAGCAGGCCCCCTCCTCAGTCCTGGGGCCTTTCCTGGCCCCTCCTCTCCTCTCAGTCCCCTCCACCCAGGGTGGGGCTGAGTGACCCAGGACACCCTGGAGGAGTGTCCCCCTTAGCAGGCCTGGACACAGGGACTGTCTGGCTGCGCTGTCTGACAGCCAGTGTCCAGGGTGGGGACAGGCCAGGGCAGGCCACCCGCGGGCCCAGGGGCAGCCCCGCACAAGTGGACAGCGCCACCTGCAGCATCCAGACAGGAGGCTGAAAGTGAGGCGGTCAGCGTGGGGAGGCCGAGGTCAGGCCCAGAGCATCTCAGAGATGATTCTTGGGGATGCCTCAGGGCAGGAGCACCCAAGGGCAGGGGGAAGCTTGGAAACTGTCACCCTGGCTGCTCCTACTCCCACCCTTTGTGGATTTCCAGGCTCGGCCTTTCTGGGGCCTGAGGACCTGGGGACTTTGCATCTGCTGTAGATGGGGTCCTGGGAACCTGGGGCCCCAGCAGGCCCAGTCCAGTGGAGGGGGGGGTGGATGTGGCCCAAGGCTGAACGGGGAGACCCAGAGTTCCCAGAGGGGAGCTAAACCTCAGAGGGGGGCAGGTGGCTTCTGGAGAAAATGGCAGCTAAGTTGGGCCCTGGGGAGCCAGAAGAAATTAGTCAGGTCAGAGAGGGACCTAAGGACAGGAGAGTAACAGGGACAAGGCTGAGAAGAGGGGCCTCCCTAGGGGCGCAAGGGTTAGTGTTAGCACTATGAAGCTATCGCCAGCTACTGCAGCCTGAGTGCGATCCCTGGCCAGGGAGCTACCCACATGGCGCAGCAGACCTCTCCTGTCTTGCCTGCTGCTCCCTTCAGCAGTGTGTTTCAGTGGATCTGCCTGTTCTGCTTCCCACTCTGTCTCTGGTGAGTCCTGTCACCCCCTACTTCTGCCCTGCACCCCAGCCCTTGTAGCATCAATAAATCAAAATCTGGGCCTCCCGGTGGCGTAGCGGTTGAGCGCTGGGTTGCGAAGCTGCCCGCAGCCTCTGCAGCGCCGGTTCGATCCCCGGCTGCTCCCCGGCCACCGGAGGAGGGCCCCACGTGGCGCACAGACCTCTCCTGCCGCCCGCTGCTCCCCTCAGCAGTGTCCTTCGGTCCTTCTGCCTGCTCTGCTCCCTGCTCTGGCTCTGGTGAATTCTCTCACCCTCCTGCGCTTCTGACTGTACCCAGTGCTTGTATAAATTAAAATAAATAAATAAATAAAGCACAAATGTTTAATGAAATATTAAAAATAAATAAATAAATCAAAATCTTAAAAAAAAAAAAAAGGCTGGGAGGAACAGGGGTGTCAACAAGAACAGGTGACAAGAGGCCATACGACCATCACAGCTGCCCCTAGAAGCGTCAGGAGTGGGTCTCGCTTTGCTACTGTTTGCCTCTCACCCTGTCGAAGGCCGTGGCTCCTTTCAGAACTTTGTGCCTCTGCCCAGGGCTCTTGTCTTAGTGGGCGCTGCGCTGACCGGGAGTCAGCACCGACACGGGAGGGGAGAGCACGAGAAGAGCTATAGGACCCAACACCCGTTAGGTTTGTGGGCTTGGGCGGGACAGCCCTTGGTAAGGGGGATGCTTTGGGGTCTGCTAGGAGAGGTTACGTTTTTTCGGCCGCTCTGGGCTATGAAAGAACAAAGTACTATGTGGAGACTGTAGAGACAAGTAAGAGTGTAACAGGCCTTAGCGAGGATGTGGGAAAATTGGAGCCTCATCTACTGCCAGTGGGAACGTAAAACAGTGCAATGACTATGGGAAACAGCCTGGTAGCTTCTTCCTTTCTTTTCTTTTCTTTTTAAATATGTATTTATTTATGCATACAAGAACGGGGGTACAGGCCAGATGTACAAGAGGGTGAGAGGATTCACCAGAGCCAGAGTGGGGAACAGAACAGGCAGATTGACCGAAACACCCTGCTGAGGGGAGCAGCGGGGAGGCAGGAGCGGTCTGCCGCACCATGTGGGTAGCTCCCTGGCCGGGGATGGAACTCGTGCTGCAGTGGCGGTGGACAGCTTCACAGGTTGTGTCCCAACCCCTTGTGCCACCAGGGAGGCCCTGAAGTCTCTAGTTTCCTAACCTAACTGTCACTTAGTATCATAGCATAAGCATTTTGTCATGTCATTAAAAACTCCTGAAGTTCCTTTTTTTTTTTCATTTTCAATAAGCTTCTTTTTAACTAATGCAGAAGATTCAAGTACTATTGATATAATTTAATGTACTTGCTAATTTAATTTACTTACTGTTATTCATCCCTGTCTACTTTGCAGATTTCTCCTGGCCAGGTGGATCAGACCTGGAAGTTTTGCCCCCACCTCAGGCACCCTCTGGGATGTGTGGGTGTGTATGGTACCCTGAGGTGGGGAGATTGTGGGGTCAGGGGGCTAAAGTTGTCCAGTATCAGGCTCAGGCCTCAAAGGAAGTGTTGTCCCCCCTCCAGTGTCCATACCTCTTCATCAGCAAACAGGCTGAATTCGGAGAAGAGCTGATTGTCAGGCAGAGGGTACAGCTGTTGAAAATCTCGGCCCACATACCATAGAGTTTTCAAAGGTCATCGAGGAAGTCCCATGTGGAGCAGTCGCCACAGGACATGGGGGCTGCATTCACACCCAGCTCTGCACCCACTGGGGCTCCCTGGGGCTCAGTTAAGAGTGGGAGAGGCGGGGCCTCCCTGGGGGCACAGGGATTAAGGTCTCAGTGCTATCAAGCTGTCCACAGCCACCCCAGCACGAGTTCGATCCCTGGCCGGGGAGCTGACCCCCAGGGCGCAGCGACCTCTCCTGTCTCCCCGCTGCTCCCCGCAGCAGTAGATTTCACTGGATCCACATGTTCTGCTCCCCGCTCTGTCTCTCCTCTCACCCCCGCACCTCTGGCCTGCACCCCAGCTCTTCTATGCAGAAATAAATTTTTTGAAAAGAAATCTTCAAACTCCATCGACACCCGTGTATTTCATTACATGCAAATTAAATGCTAAGGAAATTGATTTTCAAAGATTAGGTTTAAATCCGTTTAAGTCAGGAAATTACTTCTTTGTGTAATAAAAAGTTTAAACCTTCAGATAGTTCAAGGTGATGAAGCTGCCACTATTTGAATGTTCTTAATCCACAGAAAAGTAATTTCCTATTATTTCAAACCTATTTTTAATCTTAATATTGAGCTGTCCTTAATGTTTGCCCCAAAAAATCCATCTAAACGTCTACTCTAAGCGCCCGAAAAAGGAGGACTAAATGGGAAGCGGACGGCGGGAACAGCCACCCACCCAGACGCGCAGACCGGGAGTCGCCCCAAGGGGCACAGCCCGCGGGATTGAGAGCGATAAGGGGGTGCCGCAGCCCCCCGCCAGCCTCTGGGCAAGGAGGGGCCCGGGAGGGGCCCAGGAGGGGCTCGCATCACGGAGAGGAGACGGAGCCCGCGCAGCCCGCGGCCTGGCTCTGGAGTCCCACGGCCGCTGCGGGGCTGGTCGGCGCCCAGGGGCCCACCCCAGGGAGGAACACGGAGCCGCCACCCTCCCGGCCTCGCGCTCCGCGGGGGTCCCGGCCCCGCAGCTGCTGCGTCCAGCGCCCCGGGACCGCCAGACGCGCCCCCCAGCTCGGGTGCGGAGGGCTGGCGTGTCCGCAGCCCAGGCTGCCCCTCCTCCGCCCGGAGCAGGACAAGGTCATCGCGGGAGGTGAGGGCCGCAGCCCTGCCCTGGCCGCGGGGTCCAGCCCGCGCCCCACCCCGCACGCCGGGCTGCCGCTGACCAGGGACCACTCGGGATCTGCGCCTTTATTGGTTCCCGCAGGAACAGGGGAGCCCCCCGCCCCCCCCACAGCGGCCTCCACAGCAGCGCAGCGGTCGCTGGGATGGTCCTCCCCGGGGCGCCAGCGAGGCCGCGGCCATCAGCCTGGACGGACAGGGCAGAGGAGGGGAGGCCTGACCCGCGGCTGGCGCACGACATGGGGCCGCGGGCGGGAAAGGAGCGGCTTGGGGGCGCCCACACGCGCCGGGCCTCCAGCCCCCGACTTCGGACACCCCCCTCCCCTGTCTGGCGGGGTGGGGGCGGGGCGGGGCGGGCGGGGGCGGGCGGGGGCGGGGCCGGGCCTCACCTGCCACCTGCAGCTGCACCGGCGCGCTGGGCTCCGACCGGAAGGGGCCGCGGTCCCAGGAGCCGTAGCGGCAGGTGTAGGCGCCCGCGTGCTGGGGGCCCACGAAGGGCAGCACCAGGTCGGCCGCCCCGTCCGCGTCCCGGTGCGCGTGCGCCCGCACCTCGCCGTCCCGCAGCAGCTCGAAGAACACCCCGGGCAGCGGGCTCCGGCAGCGCAGGACGGCGTCGGCGCCCGCGGCCACCGCCCCGCTCCACAGCGCCTGCAGCGTGGGCGCCGGCGCCAGCCCTGCGGGGAGGCCGTGAGGGCGGGCACCCCGCAGCGCCCCGCGCCCGCGCCGCGCTCCCCTGCCGCCCCGGGTCGCGCCTGGCCAAGCCGGTCCGGGCCCTCCCCCTCCACGCCGCGGGGCCCGCCTGTGGCGGGGGGGGGGCGAGGACGGGGGGGGGCCTCGGGGTGCAGCCAGGAGGGGGCGCGGCCAGGACCGGGGCCGCGCCTGCCCCCGTGACCTGCGCGCGGCGGAGACCGATGGCGGAATCAGGCACACACCGGCCGGGGGACGGGCAGGCGGGTGCGGGCAGCGGCCTCCGCAGACGCGGGCCGCGCGGGGGCGACCGGCGGGGGGGCGCCCCCCGGCCCCGCTCACCGTCCAGGCGCAGCTCCAGGCTCGCGCTGGGCGCCGAGCCCGCGCGGGGCGTCGCGGGGTCCACGTAGCTGCAGCTGTAGTTGGCCGCGTCCGCCGCCGACACCGAGGGCAGCTGGAAGTCGGCGCGGGCGCCCTCGGGGCTCAGCACGGCCTGCACCTGGCGGCCCGCCCGGTCCTCGCGCTGCAGCACGAAGCGCAGCCCCGCGCGGGGCGCCTCGCACCGCAGCCGCACGAGGGAGCCGCGCGCGGGGCTCGGGGTCGCGGGCTCCGCGGAGAACTGGGGCGCCGGCAGCGACCCTGAGGGGAGGCGGCGGCTGAGCGGGGCCTGCGGGTCGACCCGACGCCCCGCCGAGCCCACCGCCCGCCTGCCCGGGCCTCGCGCGGACTCGCTCCGCGCGTCCCGGCCGCTTCGTGGGTCCGCGCAGCAGCCTCGGGGCCGGGGCGCGCTCGCCGGGCCTCTGGGGAGCCCCGGGGTCACCCGCGCGCGGGGGGCGCGCCGTCGCGGGGCCTCGAGGCGGCCGTGGGCTTGCTCCGTCCGCCTTCGGGGACACCGAGGCCGGGAGCTGGGCCGCCGCGCCCGGGCTCACCGTCGCTCACGAGCAGCTCCACCGGCGCGCTGTGCTCGGACCAGGCCCCGCTCTCCGCGTGCAGCCGGTAGCGGCAGGTGTAGCGCCCGCCCGACAGCGCCGCCGCGCCGTCCTCCGGCAGGTGGAAGTGGACGCGGTCCAGGTGCGCGCTGCTCAGGCGCACCCGCAGCGCCTCCTCCCCGCGCCGCAGCTGGAAGTGCACCCTGGGCAGGGGCGCCACGCACTGCAGGGTCGGCTGGTCCCCGGGGCCCGCCAGGGCCGCCAGGCGTCTGTCCACCTGCAGGGTCGGTGGCGGCGGCGCGGCTGCAAAGGGGGGGGCGTTGAGGAGCGGGGCGACACCCCAGCCGGGGCGTTTCCCCCGGACCTTCCTCGGCCCAGCCTCCCGCACCCCCACCCGCGCTCGGGTAGGGCCATCCAGGCCTGGGGCGGCTCCAAGGCGGAGCCGCCGTCCTCCTCCAGGAAGCCCTCCGGCCGCCGCTCACCCAGCTTCTCCACGGTCACGGCGGCGCTGGGCGGCGAGGGCGCGCCCTCTGCGTGGGTCCGGTAGCTGCAGCTGTAGTTGCCGGCCTGGTGCACGGGGAAGGCGGCCTCCAGGGCGTCGGGGGCCTCCGCTGTCTCCAGAAACGCGTCATCGCCCTCCCGCCTCAGCAGGAAGGTCACCCCCGGCAGCCCCGCGCGGCAGAGCAGGTCGGCGTTGCGCTCCGGCGTGACCCAGGACACCCCGCGCGCGCGCAGCGAGGGGGGCGCCAGGGACCCTGCAGGAGGCGGCAGGGGCGCTGGGCGCGGGGTTCTGCCAGACGGGGGGACCCTGAGGCCCAGCCCGCCGGACCTGGCGCCCGAAGGACGCAGGGCGCACCCGGGCGCGTTGCAGGCAGAGGGAGGCGGGGAAGCCCCCCCATCTAGACCTGGGGCCCCGCGGAGACCCCAGCACCTGAGGCCGCACAGGAGCCGGCGGGGCGCGAGCCCAGGGTCACCGGTCAGCGCCGGCGGCAGCGGGGGTGGCCCGGGATGGACGCCCCGCCCGCGCGGGGGTCACGCACCTGGGCCGGCCACCTCCAGGACGTCGCTCATGGAGGTCCAGCCTTGGCCCAGGCCGGAGCGGCAGCGGAAGCGGACGGGGCCCTGGGCCACGGCCCCGACGGGGAAGCGGTGCTCCAGGGCCGGGAACCCCAGGTCCACCCGCTGCCACGCCGCCCCGGCCTTGAACAGCTCGAACTGCGCGGTGGCCAGGCGCGCCCGGCACAGCAGCGTCAGGCCGGCCCAGGGCTCCCGCGGCGACTCGGGCTCTGCCCACAGCACCGGGGTCGTCTCCACCACTGCGGGCAGGCGTCAGCGTGAGCGCGGGCGCGGACAGGCGCCACCCCGCCCGACCCCCCCAGCCCCCCAGGCTCCCCTGCCCGCGCCCGGGGCCTGGCCTGGCGGGAGCAGGGAAGGGGCCGCGCCCCCCCACCCGCTGGGCACTCACTCACGGCCGCCTCGGTCACTGGGCCCAGGGCGAGACCTGCGGAGACCACACCTGTCAGGCCCGCTCGGGCGCTCCCCTCGGGGGCCCGGCCCGGTGCTCACCCGCCAGTGTCAGCAAGGCCAGTGCCCACATCCTGCTTCTCCGGTCGCCGCCGCCGTCTGTGCGGCCTGCCAGCGGGGCCACGGGCACTGACCCTGCCTCAGCCCTTCCCAGAAGGCAGGGCGCCCCCACCCCCCGGGGCAAAGGGCGAGCCTCGTGCCTGGGGCCGCATCGACCTCGGACAGCTGACCCTGACCCCGACAGCCTCGCCGAGGCCAAGCCGCGTGATAAAGACTTAAAATGACAGCACAGACGTAAATGGCAGGAGATCGCCACCTCGGGGAAGGAGAAACTCCGTGATGAGATGAAATTGAGGTCAACATAAAAGTTAAGAACAAACAAGACGAAAACCAGTTGAGGGGCCTTTCTGGGGCACAGGGGTTAAGGCGTATCCTGTGAAGCTGTCCGCAGCCTCTGCAGCACGAGTTCCATCCCCGGCCAGGGAGCTGCCCACATGGCGCAGCAGACCCCTCCTGTCTCCCTGCTGCTCCCCTCAGCAGTGGATCTCAGTAGATCTGCCTGTTCTGCTCCCCACTCTGTCTCTGGGGAGTCCTCTCACCCCCTGCACCTCTGGCCTGCGCCCCAGCTCTTGTGTGCATAAGTAAATAGATCTTTCACAAAATAAAAACCAATTGCAGAGATGAAGGGAAAGGATGCAGAGAGAAGTAACAGCTGGCACAGAAGGACTGAGGAATGTAGCTGCCAGAGCCCCGCGCAGAATAAGCCTGAACTGCGGACAGTCAGTCACAAAACAACAGAACCGCAATCCCTGTTCGCTTTCACCCACGCACTGAAATGACAGGGAGGACTGGTTCGCAGCCACACGGAACAGGACCAGGAGCACGTTGCAGGTGAGGGCCATCGCCTCTGCTTAGGGGTCTGGGCACCCTGCACGTGCTGGCAGGACCGGCGCCCCTCCCCCGGGAGCTGGAGGTGGGGAGGCCCAGCGCTTTCTGCGTGTCCCCAAGACCATCTTGGATTCTTTCTGTGTGGGTGACTCGCAGCCTCGGAGGCCCCTTTGCACGGGGCAGTGGCTTGCAGGCCTGCTCTGGTGGCCAGCTGGGGACAGCTGGGGCCCAGTCAGCCCCTGCAGGAGCAGCCGGCAGAGGTGGCCCCTCTACTCTCCTCTCCGCAGCCCCAGCCCTGGGCCTTGGGCTCCACTCTGAATCCATTTCCTGGGAGCCTGGGGGTTGGGCCAGCCGGGCCTGCTGGGCAAATCGGCCTCACTGGGAGAAGAGTGCCCTGCCCTGCTGGCTTCCCAGTCAGGGGCAGCAGTGACCCCTTCCCTGCGCCACCTGGAGGCCTGCGGGCGCCCATGGCCGCCGCCTGCGCAGCGGCCTCTGCTCCCATTTCCACGTTGAAGTGGGAGCAGGCTGGGGGGGGGCTCTGTCAGTTTTGGGGGGAAAGTGACAGGGTTGGGGGATCCTCTGGGTCTGCTGAGTGAGGGTGACGCAGGCCTCTTCCTGCCCCAGCCTCCTGCAGCCCCACCCCAGGGCCTCCATGGCCAAGGTGGGCTGAGAATCCCTGTTGCTCCAGCCACCTCCTGGGCCCATATAGCCCCACAGAGCCTGAGGCCGCTGCTCTGCCAGGGCCTGGGCACTGCTCCTGTGCGGACACTTGAGTCCACCTCCCTGCGCAGGAGCGGGCGCCGTCCTGAGAAGGGAAGCCTGAGATGCTACTGTGCCGGCCTCTCTCCAGGGCTCTGGAACCAGCAGGGACAGGCCCGCCGGTGTTGCGTTGAGCACCTGCTGTGTACACTGGTGGTGGGGGCAGGGCTGAGCACCTGCTGTGTACACTGGTGGTGGGGGCAGGGCTGAGCACCTGCTGTGTACACTGGTGGTGGTGTTATAGGACAGGGAGAGGGTCAGCCCAAACCCCGCAAACCTGCCTATTCTACATGGGTTCTGCCACCCGCCGCATCAACACAAAACATATGAGACTTTAATGGGAACGAACTTTAATAAAACTAGGAAACAATACAGGAAAGGCAAAGAATCTAGTTTCTAAATCAAGCACCAAAATTTACCCATCCCCTCGTGGGTAAAACTCCATCCAAATGGGATCGGCCCAGAACAAGGCCCCAAAGCCTGCTACAAGTCTAAAGCATCTTCCAGTGGGGACCCACAGAAAAGGGTCACAAACAACCAGACAAGCCCGGAAGGAAAAGAGCAAAATCAACATCAAGATAAAAGCTGCCACTGTCACCTCCCCACAGGTCTCACCCACATCTGTGTCACCCCATCCACGACCAAAAGACAAGCGCAGTTTCTTCACGTGTCTCTAGGCTCCATGTGCCTCCTCCAGGTCTCCTGGCTCCATCCTGCTTCCTTCCTCAGTCTCTTCTGCAGCTTCTCCTCTTCCTGCTCAGCTCCACCCTCCCTTGGGTGGGGCAGGGAACCTCCCCCTCTCCTGGGGACCACCCTGTTGCAGTGGGGGCAGGGCTGAGCACCTGCTGTGTACACTGGTGGGGGCAGCGCTGAGCACCTGCTGTGTACACTGGTGGGGGCAGGGCTGAGCACCTGCTGTGTACACTGGTGGTGGGGGCAGGACTGAGCACCTGCTGTGTACACTGGTGGGGGCAGGGCTGAGCACCTGCTGTGTACACTGGTGGTGGGGGCAGGACTGAGCACCTACTGTGTACACTGGAGGGGGCAGGGCTGAGCACCTGCTGTGAACACTGGAGGGGGCAGCGCTGAGCCAGGGGCATGGGGCAGGGCGGTCCTGGGGCAGCCCTGGAGCTGTGGGAGGAGCGTCCCCAGGGTGTGGGGGGTGAGGGGTGCACGCCCTCTTGGAGGCCGAGGTGGGCTGGAGGACGTGGGAGACGCGCGTGGCCAGGCCCGGAAACCAGCTCCGCAAGGCGCCACCGCGCCACGTGGCCGCCGCCTCCGGGGAGCCCGCCAGGGCGCGTCCACGCCGCCGAGGTCGCGGGCAGCCCCGGGGACGCGCGCGCGCCGCCCGGATCGCGGCGGACACTGAGGCGCACCCCCGCGCGTGCAGGACCGGGAGGGCGGCGGGCGCGGCTTCGGGCCAGTGCGCGGTGCAACAGGGGCGCCGCCGGCCGGTGCCCTCACTAGAGATGGCGGCGCGGGCCGCAGGGCCGGTACCGGAAGGCGGACTTCCGCCCGGCCCGCGAGTCGGGCCGCGTCGGCGACGGCGCATGCGCAGGGCGGCTACGTGCGGCGAGAGGCGCGGAGGGCGCCGTTGCCTCCTCGCTCGGGCCCAGTTCGTGACTCCTCGAGCGTTTGTGCGCACGCGTCACCTCCGTTGACCCGGAAGTTTTCCTCTCCTTTAAAAGGCCCGGCCCGCGGGCCGCGGCCTCTTCCTGTCTGTGCTAGGCAGCGCGTGGTCGGCGCCGAGCGATCCAGACGCCCCGGCTGCACCCTCAGGTGAGGCTCCCGCGGGGCCGGGGGCCGGAGGGGCGGCTCCGGGGTCCTCCGGGGGCGCCCGTGGGCCCCGGTGGGCCCGCGCGGCCCCGAGCGCGAGTGCTGAGGCGCCGCGCAGGCGCCGGAAAGTTCTCCGGCCGCGGCCGCCCGACCCGGCGCGCCCCCCCCCGGCTCCCCGGGGGCCCCGGCGTCCTGAGGGGCAGCGCGGGCGGCCCCCGCGGCCCCCTCGCCCGGAAGCCCCGCTCCGTGGCGGCACGCGGAAACGCGAGGGCGGGCGCCCGCGTCCAGAGCAGCTGCCCCGCCCGGTGCTCGGCGCGTCCCGGGCTTGACCCCCGCGGGCGGCCGTCGGAGCTGTGGACGCCCCTATCCAGCCGCGGCCCGCGCCGCGCCCAGCGGCCCTGGGGTTCGGGGCGGGAGGGCCCGACAGCTCGCGTGGTTCCCCGGGGCTCGGGGTGACGAGCCGACGTCCAGGCGCACGTCGGCTGTTCGCGCCCTCAGGGCGCGGGCGCGGCGGGCGGCCCCCCTGACGGTGTCTGTCCCCAGGATGACCGAGTGGGAGACGGCCGCGCCCGCGGTGGCGGAGACCCCCGACATCAAGCTCTTCGGGAAGTGGAGCACTGATGACGTGCAGATCAATGACATTTCCCTGCAGGTGAGGGTTTGTGCGCCCCGTCGAGGGTGGAGACTGGAAGGTCTGACAGGTAAAGGGCCTCCCTGGCCCGCCGCACAGCTCGCTCCGAATCTCCTTGAGCCTTGTGGAGAGGGTGCTAGAGTGCGAGACAGGACGGGCTTCCTCTGAGGTAGCTGCACGGTCCACGCGCTGCTTTCGCAGACAGGTGCACTAGCAGGTCACAGAGTTGGCGTTTTCAGGTCCACGTGCCAGACGTTCTTGCAACTGTGGAATCCAGCTCCAGCAGCACGTGTTTTGGGGCCTTGGGGAATACCGGGTGCTTTATATGACAAATTCGGACCATCAGGTGCTTGTACTTCAGTCTTTACTGTGCACTGTGCCGCTACCCCGGAACCATTGGTTGAGTGTTTCCCTCACAGATGGCCGGGATCGGCTTGTGACTGAATACCTGGGTGCATTTCCCCACTCGGCTTTTCCCATGGCTTTATGTGTCTGTCCTTATGCCAGTACTACGCTGCCTTGACTGTAGCTTTAATCAGGAAATGTGAGTCCGCTGTCTACACCGTGCTATTTTACTCTTTGCCTCATTAGGAGTTTTTGTGGGCCCTTCAGAAAATTTAAAAAAAAAAAATTAGTATTTGATTGCATTCATACAAAGACAAAATTCAGTTTGGATTATATATTTTCTGACTTTGAAAGAAATTTCTTTGTCAAACCTGGGACGTCTGCACTGTTCCTAATGGAGAATTCAGCTTGTTATTGACTCTTAATGTCTGGAAGATTGTTGTCCTTCGAGGCTACGTTGGGGGTGTGGTCTGGAAACATAACAGGGCCAGATAATAAAAGTTAGACTTTGCAGACCACACGTGGTCTCTGCCCTCCTGTGTTTGCTTCCTTCTGTCCTTCCTTCCTTTCTTTCTTTTATTTACTTATTTTTTTGGTGGGGGCTGGGAGTGGTCACAATTCTTAAAACATAAGACTTTTCACCTTCCCCTGGTGCTGTCTTAGGGTTTGCAGAAGCACAACTCAGTGAGGCACTGAGGGTCTCCCTGGTTGAAAGTTCTGCTACAATCCACCATGAGTCCAAGTGATTTAACCAGAGCCTTGCTAGGAGATTGGTGTTTTAATTTTTTCCTGTACACCGAAGCCCTCCATGAACACCCATTTATTTCTGTATTTGTCCATCTTAGATACTAGGCTGTCCTGCCAGTATTGTAATCTATGTTGCTTGTTTAATTTGTTTTTGTTTTTATTTTTTTTTTAATTTATTTATTGATGCATACAAGAACTCGGTTCAGGCCAGAGGTGCAGGGGGGTGAGAGGCTTCACCAGAGGCAGAGTGGGGAACAGAACAGCCAGATCGACCGAAATACACCACTGAGGGGAGCAGCAGGGAGACAGGAGAGGTCTGCTGCGCCATGTGGGTAGTTCTCTGGCTGGCCGGGGATTGCACTTGTACTGCAGAGGCTGCCGACAGCTTCATAGTGCGGTGCTTAACCCCTTGTGCCACAAGGGAGGCCCTGTTTTGTTTTTTAAAGATCGATTTACATGTAGAAGAACTGTTTTATAGGCCAGAGGGGGGTGTGAGAGGGGATTCACCAGAGACAGTGGGGAGCAGGACAGGCAGATGTCCTGAAATACTCTGCCAAGGGTAGCAGCGGGGAGACAGGAGAGATCTGCTGCGCCTTACGTAGGTCAGCTTCCTGGTGGGGATCAAGTGCGGGCAATAGTGGTGATAGCCCTGAGATGTTCTGTAGGCCACCAGACATATCTTGATCCTTGTGTTTGTAGAAACACATGTTTTTATATATTGGTGTTACCTTGGGTGTACAGGCCAGAAGTGTGGGGTGGGGGGCAGTGAGGACTCAACAGAGATAGAGCAGGGAGCAGAACAGGCAGGCTGACCAAATCCACTGCTGAGGGGAGCAGCGGGGAGACAGGAGAGACCTGCTGCTCCTTACGAGGTCAGCTTCCTGGTAGGGATCAAGTGCAGGCAATAGTGGTGATAGCCTGAGATGTCCTCTAGGCCACCAGACATATCTTGATCCTTGTATTTGTAGAAACACATGTTTTTATATATTGGTGTTACCTTGGGTATATATATATATATTTTTTTATTATTATTTTTTTTTTAGAATTTTTATGCATACAAAAGCTGGGGTACAGGGCAGAAGTGTGGGGTGGGGGGCAGTGAGGACTCACCAGAGACAGAGCAGGGAGCAGAACAGGCAGACTGACAAAATCCACTGCTGAGGGGAGCAGCGGGGAGACAGGAGAGGTCTGCTGCGCCCTGTTGGTTTCTCCCTGGCCAGGGATTGAACTCATGCTGCGATGGCTCTGGTTAGTTTCATAGGTTGCATCTTTTTTTTTTTTTTTTTTTTAATAGAGGCATGTTTTATTTATTTATTTGTTTGTTTGTTTTGTTTATACATGCACTGGGTACAGTCAGAGGCGTGGGAGGGTGAGAGGATTCACCAGAGCCAGAGCGGGGAGCAGAGCAGGCAGAAGGACCGAAGGACACTGCTGAGGGGAGCAGCGGGCGGCAGGAGAGGTCTGCACGCCATGGGGGACCCTCCTCCAGTGGCCGGGGAGCAGCTGCGGATTGAACCAGTGCCGCAGAGGCCGCGGGCAGCTTCACAACCCAGCGCTTCACCGCTGCACCACCGGGGAGGCCCTCATAGGTTGCATCTTAACCCTTTGTGCCACCAGGGCAACACCCCCCCCCTTTATTTATTTATTTATTTATTTATTGTATGCATATAAAAGATGAGCTGTAGGCCAGAGGTGCTGGGGGAGGCTGAGAAGATTCACCAGAGGCAAAGAATGTGGAGCAGAATAGGCAGAATGCCTGGAGTACACTGCTGAGGGAAGCAGTGGCCCAGACAAGTCTGCCATGTGGATCAGCTCCCTGGCTAGGGATCAAAATCGTGCTGCGGTGGCTGCCGATAGCTTCAGAGTGCTGAGACTTAAACCCTTGTGCCACCAAGGAGGCCCCCTGGGTATATTTTCTTTTTCTTTTTTTTTTTAAGATTTTTTTTTTTTTTTTAAAGAGGCATGTATTTTTATTTATGTGTTTGTTTGTTTGTTTGTTTGTTTATACATGCACTGGGTACAGTCAGAAGCGCGGGAGGGCGAGAGAATTCCCCAGAGCCAGAGCGGGGAGCAGAGCAGGCTTCCAGAAGGACCGAAGGACACTGCTGAGGGGAGCAGCGGGCGGCAGGAGAGGTCTGCGCGCCATGTGGGACCCTCCTCTGGTGGCCGGGGTGCAGCCGGGGATCGAACCGGCGCCGCAGAGGCCGCGGGCATCTTCGCAACCCAGTGCTCAACCGCTGCGCCACCGGGGAGGCCCCGCTTGGGTATATTTTCTAAAATAAATTTTTATCAAAATAACCTGGACGTACTGGGCCTCCCTGGTGGCGCAGGGGCTTTAGTCCCAGCACCGTGAAGCTGTCGCCAGCCACTGCGGCCTGAGTTCCATCCCCGGCCTGGGAGCTGACCCATAGGATGCAGCAGACCTCTCCTGTCTCCCCGCTGCTCCCCTCAGCAGTATGTTTCAGTAAATCTGCCTGGTCTGTTGCACCCTCTGGTGAGTCCTGTCACCCCCGCGCCTCTGGCCTGTACCGCAGTTCTTGTGTGCATGAATAAATAAAAATCAATCTTTAAAAAAATACAACACTGAGTTTTAGTTGTACAGTGTTATAAGGTAGCAGCTGTGTATTCTACGTCGTGTTGACCAGAGCTCTAGTTTTCATTCCTCACATGCAGTTGCTCTGATTTCAACCTGTGGTGCTGTTCACATGTTTTGTTGGGAAATGTCTGTGTAAGAATTCCTGCTCAGGGGTGCTTTCGGGACAGTGTTTCTCTGGGGTTGATTTCCCCCAACAGCGGCCACCAGGCCACATTTAGGTAAGTTTTTAGGTGTCAAAACCGACGGTGCTGTTGGCATACTCTGCAAAATGGGGGTTATGGACTTTAATGTTTATTTTCCCCACCGTCTCACATTAGAAGTTACTTGGGTTTTGGTTTTTTCTCACAACCAAGCCCCCGTGTGGGGTGCAGCCCTCCTTGGGTGCTCAGGTCTTCTGGTCCCTGGCCAGGGCCCATCCTGCTTCTGACCGCGGCCCCCCCATGCCCTCTCCCTGCTACCGCAGGACTACATTGCCGTGAAGGAGAAGTATGCCAAGTACTTGCCCCACAGCGCAGGCCGCTATGCCGCCAAGCGCTTCCGCAAGGCTCAGTGCCCCATCGTGGAGCGCCTCACCAACTCCATGATGATGCACGGCCGCAACAATGGGAAGAAGCTCATGACCGTCCGCATCGTCAAGCATGCCTTCGAGATCATCCACCTGCTCACAGGCGAGGTAGGGCAGTGAAGCCAGGCGGGGCAGCGTGGCCCCAAAGCCACCCGCCCCAGCTGTCCATGCTGGGCTCCTCGTGGCTTGAGGGACGAGATTGGGCGAGGGGGCCGGATTCCGGGCTCACCGGCCCCCTCCTCCCCCCCTCCTAGAACCCCCTGCAGGTCCTGGTGAATGCCATCATCAACAGCGGCCCCCGGGAAGACTCAACCCGCATTGGGCGAGCCGGGACTGTGAGGCGGCAGGCCGTGGATGTGTCCCCGCTGCGCCGTGTGAATCAGGTGGGCCCGGGGCTTTGGCACACATGCCTGGGCAGGAACAGCCACTAGGCCCTGGTGGAGTCCTGCCTGGGGCCAGAGAGAGAGGCTGTGTCAAGGGCTCATCCCTGTCAACGTGTTTTACTTGGAGTGTCATTTCCTCCAGGAAGCCTTCCTGGATTCCTACATCACGCAGGGCACATCCAAGCTCTGGGCCTTCTCCCGGGCAGTGTTCGGCTGATTTGTAGTTGGGCTTGGATGTGTGTTTTCTTGGACCACATGCGCCATTCTCGCCTATTCTCCCTTAACACTTCCCTGGGTAGCCCTAGAACAGGGACATTCTGCCCCATCGTCCCTCCTGAGGAATTTGACAGGCTCGCTTGTCCAGTGTCTGTCGCTGCTCCAGTTTACGTAGCTCTCCCCAGTGGGGCCTTTGCACTTGGCCCTGCAGTCGGGTTCCAGCTAAGAGCACGTGCCTGTGGGGGTCTGGATTATCACACCGCATCGGGCGGTGCTGCGGGCTCCCGCCGGGACCTGGGCCAGTGGGTAGCAACATGGTGGAGGGTATGTGTGGGGACTTAGGGCTGGAGGACTGCTCCTGCCTACTCTGGGGGCCCCCCCTGAGCCCCAAGCTCAGTTGGCCTGTGCTCCTCAGGCCATCTGGCTGCTGTGCACAGGGGCCCGGGAGGCCGCCTTCCGGAACATCAAGACCATTGCTGAGTGCCTTGCTGACGAGCTCATCAATGCTGCCAAGGTGGGTGAGGCCCCATGGGGACCAGTGTGTCGTGGGGGGCCCCGCCCCATTCACAGCTAACCTCTGCCTCCCTGCAGGGCTCTTCCAACTCCTACGCTATCAAGAAGAAGGACGAGCTAGAGCGTGTGGCCAAATCCAACCGTTGATCACCAGACTGCAGCCCCAATAAACCTGCCTGTCTGCCCTTGAGGCAGCTGCACCCAGTGTGCTACTGTGTCTACTTCTGGGGGGATACTCGGGGTGGGGGCCAGGGTGCTTCTCTGGGGACTTGGATTCTTCAGGAACTGCGGGTGCTGGGAAGCACGCTTGACTCAACCCGGCACTGGGGTGCGGGCCTGGAGGGTTCCAGCCACCTTGGAATGAGAGGGCGGGGTGTGGGCAGCCCAGAGGTCACTGGTCCAGGAGGGGCTCGGCGGGTGTCCACCCTCCTGAGGGTGTTGGCTGGGAGCATCTGCAGGGAGAGGGAGCCCAGCCCTGCGCATGGGCCCTGGGCATCCCCAGACTCTTGCCCACCGGCTGGTAGGAGCCTCCTTATTCAGTTCTTGGGGGTCTGCCCTCCCCCCCCCCCCCCCCAGGACTGCAGCTTACCTCCCCTGCCCTCCTGTGCGTGCAGCCGGGTCCTGGGCACCCCTGCAGGCCGGGCCACCCAGGTCCCCCCCACCGGGAGCTCACAAGTGGGGTCCTGGGGGGGTCCCCAAGGGAGGCGGAGGTGGCCCACCCAAGGGCCCGCGGTGCCACGGCCCTGTCAACCTGTGCCTTCCGCCCCCCACCCCCGCCATCCGGCCGGTCAGCCTGGTGTTCACCTTGGTGACACCCGCCTTGGGGGCGGGGCTGGCGGTCGGACTCGTCTGGCGGGTGCCTGGGAGCTGGAGGGGTGGCCGTCCACCGCCCGTGCCCTCCTACAGGGAGGGGCGCCAGTGCCAGCCTCTGCAGGCTGTGGACTGGGGTCAGAACAGGCAAGGACTCGCCAGCGGAGGGAGGAGTTGCCAACAGGTAGGAAGAGCCCATTGCCTGTTGGGGTCCCTGCCCCTCCCCGGGCTCCCCCCTCCCTGCTCAGTGCTGCTTCCGGGCCCCTCTTCCTGGGACTTGGTGTCTTCCTGGCCTGTCTCCCCCTCCCTGGAGTCTTCCCGCTGCCCCTGCCCACCGCCTGCCAGCTCTCCCGGGAGCGCCCGCTCTCTCCAGGCGGGAGCTCGGTCCAGCGGGGTCGTCCGGCGCGCGCGCCCCCGGCCCGCGCAGAGGTACCCGCGCCCCCGCGCCGCCCGGGCCCCTGTCCGGCGGCGCCCGCGCCAGCCCGCCGGCCCCGCGCCGCCCGCCGCGGCCCCCCCGGCCGCGCCGGCCCCGCCAGCCCCTGCCCGCGGCTCCTCCTCCGGGTGACCCTGCCCGCGTCGGGGTGACCGCGCCGGCGTCCGGCCCCGAACCTGCTCGCTCCCGCCGCGCTGACCGCCTCTCCCGCAGGTCCGGCGCGATGCCCTGCCCTCGGCTGCCCTGGCTGCGCCGCCCGCGGGACCCGCCGGGCTCGGGCCCCGGCTCCCCGGGCTCGCTGTCCCCGGGGCCGGCGCGCGACGAGGACGACGAGGAGGAGGAGGGCAGCGCGGGCTCCAGCCCCATCCTGTCGCCCGTGGAGTGCCTCATCTGCGTGTCCCCCTTCGACGGCGTCTTCAAGCTGCCCAAGAGCCTGGACTGCGGCCACGTCTTCTGCCTCGAGTGCCTGGCGCGCCTGTCGCTGGCCACGGCGGGCGGCGGCGACGCGGTGGCCTGTCCGGTGTGCCGCGCGCCCACGCGCCTGGCCCCGCGCCGCGGGCTGCCCGCGCTGCCCACGCAGCCCGGCCTGCTGCCCCGCGAGGCGCGCCTGCCGCTGCCGCGCCAGGGCTCGGTGCGCTTCGACCGGCGGCGCGGCCTGCTCTACCTGCGGCCGCCGTCGCCCTCGCCCGGGCCGCGCAAGGCCCGCGGCCCGCGCCCGCCCCCGCCGCCGCCGCTGCGCCTCGGCCGCCCGCTGTCGCGCCGCCTGTCGCTGTCCAGCTCCGCCTGGGCCTTCAACGCGGCCGTGGCGCTGGCCGTGCTGGTGGCCGCGGGGCTGGTGGTGTCGGGCGTCTACATCTTCTTCCTCATCCCGCACGCCAACGGGCCCCCGCGGCCGCAGCTGGTGGCGCTCGCGCCCGCGCCCGGCTTCTCCTGGTTCCCGCCGCGGCCCACGCCCTGGACCCCCTTCTGGACCCCGCGGCCCCCCCCGCGCCCCGCGCCCGACGCGCCGCGGAAGCCCCCGGAGCCCGCGCGCCAGGCGGCGCCCCCGCCCGCCGAGCCGCCCAGCCCCGCGCCCCCCGCCGAGCCCCGCAGCCCGCCCGGCCGCGCCGCGCCGCCCCGGGAGCCCGCGGGCCCGGCCGGCGCGCGGCCCACCGCCCGGCCCGCCGGGGAGCCCTCGCGGGAGCCCGAAGACCCGGCGGAGGCCGGCGGCACGCTCGACCCGCTCGCGGACCGCAGGTGGGGCGCGGAGGCGGGCCCCGGCCGGGTCCCGCGGGCCCTGGGCGGGCGGAGGCTGGGGTCGCGGTAACCGCGCCCGCGCCCCGGGGCCCCCCCGCGCCGCCCTCGGGGGCCCGGCCCGCACTGCGCGCGCCCGGCGGACGCCCCGGCGCGGCCCGCGGCAGGCGCCCCCCGCCCCCGGGGGAGCCTGAGCATGCCCGCGGCGCGCCCCCCGCCGGGGCACCCCCTGCCGCCCCCCCCCCCGGCCCTCCGGCGCCCCCCGGCCCCCCCACGCCCCCGGCCGAGGCCGGACCCCGACCCCCGGAAGGGTCGCGCTGACCAGCTCCCCGAGCGAGGAGGGGCCCCCCAGTCCTCATCTCCACGTGACCCCCGGGCCCAGCCATCGCCAGCGCCTGGGGGTCCCCCTCGCCTCAGGGGCCCAGCCCCCCATCGCCTGTGACTGACGCCCCCCTCCCCGGGGGCTCCCGCCCGCCTGGAAGCATCTGGAAGCGTCGGGAACCATCGCAGACCCCTCCCCGCGCCCGAGGACGCCGCCCCAGGAGACTGCGCCCCAGCGGAGGATCCAGCGTCCCGGTCGCTGCCGCGCCTGCTGGACACCTGGACCAGAGGGACTGGGGTGGCCTGGACAGCGGTGGCCTCCCCGGGTGGTGAGGGACGGGGGGCCCGAGGCTCCAAGACTGGCGCACCTGGGTGCTGGCCCAGCCTGCCCGACCTCCCGGCCGGCGCCCCATCATTCCACAGATAGTCCCCGCGGCTGTGGGGACCCCTGCCCCAAGCCACGTCCCCCCCCCCCGAGGGTGCAGACTGTGGTGCCTTTGCAGGGGTCCCCAATGCTCTCCCTGCCAGGAGGGCCCCATCTCCTCCACACGCCTTCATCTCTCAGGGCCATTTCCACACTCCTCTGGGGCCCCATCCACCCCACTGGTGTCCCTGCCGAGCCCGCAGGTGAAGCTGGTGCCCCGGAGCGCGGTCCCCAGGGGCACAGAATGAAGAGCAGGCAGCGCAGACCCTCCCCCCACGGCCAGCATGCGCCTAGCCCCCACCCCACCTCCCCGCGCCCAGGGCGCTCCAGAGAGGAGGCTGACATCTGCGGGGTGCAGGTCCTGTGAGTTGTTTACATGTGTGGCCGCACACAGTGGGTGCCAACTAGATGTGCAGGAAGGGGCAGCGCTGCAGGAGATGCAGAGGCAGCCCTGGAAGGCCCGTGGCCGCGGGGTCCCCTCGGGCCCTCCCGTTCCCGGCGAGCCGCCGAGCCCAGGCAGGACGTCAGGTGTGCACGGGAGTGTCCTCCCAGACCAGTTCTTGGCCCACATCTGGTGCCGATGTCACCCACAGGGGCCGGGGCCAGGGTGCTGGGTCACGGGGCGGGCGCCAGGCAGGCAGGAGCGGGCCAGAGACAGGCTCCCGCCCGCCACTGGCACAGTCACAGGCGGCTGCTTCACACACACACACGAGCTAGCGCGGGCTTCTGCCGGCCAGAAGTCCTGCCTGAGTTTCCTGGAGCGGGGTGAGCGGCCGCAAGGCCAGCCTGGAGCCCGGAGCGGTCATTCTATAGTGTTTGCAGCTCCCAAGCTGCGTGTGCGGCTCCTTCTCTCACCTCAAAGGCAGCAGCATAGTATCTTCAGATCTGTCTGGCCCGCCCACCTCCCTCTCCCACTCGCAAGACCCTGTGACTCCTTTGGGCCCCCCCGGATTATCCCGCATCAAGCCCCCAGTTCCACAACCATGATGTAATGACACCCACAAAGTCTCTTTGCCTCCTAAGGTAACATTCCTGGGATTAGGATCTGGATCTCGTGGGGGGCCACGCTCCACCTGACTAAACGACCCCACGCAGCCGCCCCTTCCTCCACCCCGGGCTACGGGTAGGGCAGGACTGCACGGGGCCCAGGTGGGCCCTGGACGGGAGCTTGCCAGGGGCCCTTGGCTGACGGCTCGGGAGTGGGGATGCGCTGCCCGAGGGTGTTCAAGGAAGGCTGCCTGGAGAAAGGGACCAAGGCCGCGTCCTCCAGGACGCTGGGGAGAAACAGCTTGCAGGGGACCTGGGGGCCGCGAGCAAGCCGTGAGGGCAGGGACAGGGCCCCCCTAGGGCGCGGACCGCCAGCTCCCCGCCGTTGGGGGAGGCCGGCTTGTACCCCGCAGCCCGGCCGAGGCCCGCCTGGGTCTTGCAAGACGGCGGGTGACAGACAGAGCCCGGGGTGCCGAGCATCGTCCTGAGCTGATCACGCCCGGAGGCCCGCCCGCTCCTGCGCCCCCAGCCCCCTCGGCCGCCGGACCTGCGCCCTCAGCCGCCCCGCCCGCCCTTCCTCGCTGGACCCCCCTCCCCTGCCCGGCGCCGCTGGCGCCAGAGCCCGCGGGACTGTGCTTCGCTTCTCTTCTGTAAAAAGCGTGACAATAAACCTAAGTGCGCGGGACTCCCGCCTCCGAGCGCGGCGCGGGGCGCGCGGGGCCCGGGAGGGAGCGGGGCGCGCGGGCGGCGTCCGGGCGGGCACCCCGAGCTGGCGCAGTGCGCCCCGAAATCCCAGCCCGCCGCGGCGGGCGCGCTCCGGGTCCGGCGGGGGAGGGGGTCAGGGCGGGACGCGCCGACGGGGAAACCGAGGCAGGAGCGCGGGCGGGGCGGGGCGCGCGCCCGGCCTTCCGCGGAGCGCGCCCCCCGCGCCCCCGCAGCGCCCCCGGCCCGGTCCCCCCGCAGCCGTGGTTCTGCCCGTCGCCTCAGTCTGCGCGGAGACGCCGGCCAATGGGGGCCGCCTGCCGGCCGGGGCGGCCCCGCGTTGCCATGGCGACGGCGCCCGCATCCGCCCCCGCGCGGCCGTCCTGCGCGCGCGCTGCGGCCCCCGGCGGGCGGGCCAATGGGAGCCCGAGCCCCGCGTTGCTATGGCGGCGTTACTACGGTGCCGTTGCTATGGCGACGTCGCCAGCCTTCTCCGCGCCGCAGGGTACAGCTACGTGCGCACCCCGGCCGGGTGCGAGGCCCCCAGAGCGGGGGCCAATCAGAGGCCAGAGGCCGGCGTTGCTATGGCGACGCTCGCCCTTCCGCGCCGCAGAGCCGCGCTGCGTGCGCACCGCAGGGGGGGGTGGGAGGCGCCCGCGCGGGGGGCCAATCAGGCGCCTGAGGCCACGTCGCTATGACGACCGCTGACGCTAGCGAGCGCGTCCCGCAGGCAGCGACGGCCATTCCCGGAAGGGAACGGCGAACGCAAGAAACGGAGCCTGCGGCCCCCCTGACGCAAGAAACGGGGCTCGTGTGTTATCGCATTGACGCGCTTCCGCGGTGTCCTCGGCCGACCCCGCCGGCCCGCGCCGCAGACGGTGACACAGGTGAGACGTTAGCAGCCCTGACACCCCCCGGGCACCGGCGCCCCGCCAGCCGGGCCTGTCACGGGATGGGGGGGGCGGCCAAAGCGACGGGGCCAGAGGTCGTGGTCCGAGGGCCGGAAACGGCAGCGGGGGGGGGCAGTCCCCAGAGAGGCCCTCGCCGCCATGACGAAGGGGCAGAGATAATTCAATGGGAAAAGGATAATCTTGTCAACAAATGGGGCTGCAACTGGACATCTGCGTGAAGGAAAAAAGTAGAAAGGAATCAAGACCCACACTTGACACATTTCACCAAAACTACGTAAAAATGCATCACAGAGCTCAACTAAACACGCCAAACAACGCAACTTGCAGGGGCTGACGAGGGAGACAAACAGGGTGACTTAGAGTTAGGCAGCGGTATGACTTTTGGACACGACACAGAAAGCACAGTCCACGAGGGAGAAAAATCGTGAAGTACGATTTGACTAAAATTACAAGTTTTGCTCTGTGAAAGAAGCCACGGAATGGGAAAAAATATCTGCAAAACACAAATCTCATGAAAGACATGTACCCACATTATTCTTTTCTTCCATTTTAAAAGGACAGGAACATTAGGAAAGAGAAAGAATTGTTACAGGGCAGGGAGAGGTGCAGCCTGCACAGTCCCAGGCTGGCAAGAGAGCCGCTGCAACGCTTTTTTTTTTTTTAAACTCAAAAAGAAATCAGCTCATTTTTAAAAAGAGAGCAGATTCCCAGGTGACAAAATTATGAAAATATGCCCAGCTAGGGACTTGTCAGTAAAAACATAGATGATCACCACACGCCTATTCGGGTGGCTAACATCCAACATGCAAACTGCAGGAAAAGCAGGAACTCACTGCTGGTGACACTGCAAAATGGAATAGCCATTTTGGAAAATATTTTGGTAGTTTCCTACAAGGTGATACTCCTCTCAACTGAGGAGTATGAGCCAGCATCACAATTCGATGGTATATTTTTTAAGGTTTATTTTTTTTTTCTTTATGCATACAAGAACTGGGGTGCAGGCCAGAGGTGCCAGGGTGAGAGGAGTCACCAGAGACAGAGTGGGGAGCAGAACAGGGAGAGCCCCTGAAACACCCTGCTGAAGGGAGCAGGGGGGAGACAAGAGAGGTCTGCTGAGCCCTGTGGGTCAGCTCCCTGGCTGGGGATGGAATTCATGTTGCAAATGGCTGGCGGTAGCTTCATAGTGTTGAGACTTAACCCCTGCGCCACCAGGGAGGCCCTCCTCAGTATTTAATCAAAAGTGTTGAATACCGTTGTTCACACAAAAACCTGAGCTTCCAACTTGTATGAAAAAGAACCTTCTAGTCCTTCCTGTTGCCACCTGTAACCTGAAATATTTATAGCCGCTCCATTCATAATTGTTCAGAACTGTAATCTACTCAAATATCGTTCAGTAGATAAAGTAGTAAAATAAGTTGCAGTACAATCATGCAATGGAATATTATTCAGCAATAAAAGGAACTGAGCTCCAGAGTCACAAAAAGGCATGGAAAAAACTTAAATGCGTATCTCTAAGTGAAATAGTCTGAAAAGGTTACATGATACATGATTCCAATTTTAGGCATATTGGGAAAGGCAAAAATCTATACAGTAAAGGTAGGCCTCCCTGGTGGCTCAAGGGGTTAAATCTCAGCACTATGAAGCCATCTGCAGCCTCTTGTAGCACGAGTTGGATCCCCAGCTAGGGAGCTGACCCACATGGCACAACAGACCTCTCCTGTCTCCCTGCTGCTCTCCTCGGCAGTGTATTCCAGAAGATCTGCCTGTTCTGCTCCCCACTCTGTCTCTGGTGAGTCCACTAACCCCCTGCACCTCTGGCATGCACCCCAACTCTTAGATATATAAATCAATGAATCTTTAAAAAAAAAATCTATACAGTTAAATTGTAGTTGCCAAGGCCTTAGGAGAGATATGAAGAGATTTATTTGTGCAGCAAATCTATTTGGTATGATCCCGTAACAGTTGAAACACATTATGCATTTGTCAAAAACCATGAAAGTGTGAATGCTAACTATGGGTTTGCTTCATGATGTAGTACTACTGACTCAATGGTAACAAACCTATCACACTAAAGATGTTAAAAGTAGGGGAAAGTGTACAGGCAGAGCAGGGATCCATGGGAAATCTACACTGTCTGCCCCATTTTTCTGTAAATCTCAAACTGCTCTAAAAATAGTGTCTATTAATAGAAACTAGAGTATTATTGGCAAATCACCATCAAAAAATTTAAAATGAGCCAGACTAGGAACATTCCCTGGAAGAATCTTGTGAATCCAAACTACACTCGAGAGATTAGTATAGTTGGCTGCTGTGTGGCAGTGTGCGTCCAAATGTAAGACACAGTTCTTCCATCACATGCCCAAGGGTGCCCCCACAATGAACCTAAGAACTGTACTGTTTTGGAGGGAAAGTACCCTAGTACGGTATGTCAATTCAAAAATGTTGGCATCGTGGGGCATCCCTGGTGGCGCAGGGGACACAAACAGTGCCATCAAGCTATCTCCAGCCACTGCCTAACCCCTAGCCCTAATCCTGGCCAGCCAGGGAGCAACCCAGTTGGTGCAGCAGACCTCTCCTGTCTTCCCGCTGCTCCCCTCAGCAGTATATTTCAGTGGATCCCCCTTTCTGCTTCCCACTCTGTCTCTGGTGAATCTTCTCACAAGCCCCCACCCCCCGCACCTGTGGCGTACACCCCAGCTCTTGTATGCATAAGTAAATAAACCTTAAAAATAAAAATGTTGGCATTGAACATGGATTGTTCTTATTATAATGAGCAAATACACCCCCCAAAAAACACCCTTGGAGAAGTAGAAGCTATTCTATGCTTGTTCAATAGTGAAAAGTCCCAACTCAGGTTTCCTGTTGGTGCTTGGAGGTCTCTGCTCTGTCCCCTACTTCTCTCTTTTGAGCAGCCTGTTGAGCTGGGGCTTGGGTTGTCTACTGGTCTAATGTCCACAAACGTGCCTGAAGCAACTTCTTTGGGCTCAGAGTAAAACTCCAGGCATTGATCTGCCACCACATAGGACACCAAAGAGCTCCGGTAATTATGTAAATACAAAGGCATAGTCCTTATTTTAAAATCACCTATTGAAAACCACCTATGTAACTGTACTGTCTGGCCTATGAAAAACAGACACATAGTTGCCAATAACAGCACAAAGTAGGTGGGTGGAACAAAACAAATGAGCTAAGGAAATGACTCAGAGAGTAACTCCAATCCAATATGTGGGTGTATTTATTTGTTGGACCTCATCAAACTTTGCAGTTGAAATGAGTGAAGTGTTGTTTTACCGTAAGTAAGATGCTTTTGAAAATTCCAGTTAGAAGGGCCTCCCTGGTGGCGCAGGGATTAAGACGCAACCTATGAAGCAATTTGCAGCCTCTGCAGCACAAATTTGATTCCCTGCTGGTCAGGGAGAAACCCACGTGGCGGGACAGACCTCTCCTGTCTCGCTGCTGCTCCCCTCAGCAGTGTACTTCGGTCAGTCTGCCTGTTCTGTTCCCCGCTCTGTCTCTGGTGAGTCCTCTCACCCCCAGCACCTCTGGCCTGTACCCCAGTTCTTGTATGCATAAATAAATAAATCTTAAAAAAAAAAAAAAAGAAAATGGGCAAAAAGGCAAACAATTCACTAACAAGGAGATAAGGATAGCAGATACGAGATGTTCAACAGCTATCTCTGGGGGCAACATAAAATGGCACAGCTGCTCTGGTAAGGAATTAGTTTCCTTGACATGTTAAACATACACTTGCTACACAAGTCTGCAGCGGCACATCCGGCCAAAATGAAAATTTTTTCCCCCAAATGAAAATTTATGTCCACACAAAAGCAAACATGTATAGAACACACAGAATACCAAGGACATAGTAAACTTTATTTCCAACATCGCCCCCCCAGATGTAAACAACCCAAATGTCCTTCAGTAGGTGACCAGACAGACGGTGGCACATCCATGTAATGGATTCCATTCAAAGATGAAAATGAAAAGCTATTGACACACACAACTCACATGGATCTCAAGGGCAATATGCTGAGGTTCCAAATTCAGAGATGATATTTCATGACTTTGTGTGTGTGAAAGAACTGGGGTCCAGGCCAGAAATGTGGGGAGTGGGAGCATTCACCAGAGACAGTGGGGAGCAGAACAGGCAGACCGACTGAAATACACTGCTGAGGGGAGCAGGGGGCAAGTCAGGAGAGGTCTGCTGTGCCACGTGTGTCAGCTCCCTGGCCAGGCATTGAACTCAGGAGGCAGTGGCTGCTGATAGCTTCATCGGCGGAGACTAATCCCTGCGCCATCAGGGAGGCCCCCTCAAAGCACTATGGTTATGTACAGTTATCACTGATGGAACCTAGAATGGGGTACATAGGAACCCTCTGTAGTGTTTTGAAACTTCATTAAAAGAAAATTTTTTGTTTTACTATAAATGCCCAATTAAATGGAGAAATGCAAAAGAAGGTGTGATGAAAGCTGTACACCCTTATCAGACTGGCCAGTGTGAGGTAAACGAGCACTTGTGTACCACCCAGTGGACAAGAGGGCCAGACACACAGTTACCCCTGGCTACCCGAGGGCTACGACTGGGACCATTCCTCCCACAAGATCCTCAGACGCTGCTGGGTTTCGCGAGTGGGGGTCGAGGTGGGGACAAGTCGTGGCACCTCTGAAAGGTCCATCCCGAGTGTCTGACCCCTTCAGCCTAGCAGGTGAATTAATAGGGGAAGTTTGCACTTTGACAAGGGGCATGTGGGGGTCATTATCCTCCCGGCTGCGTGGAGAGAAGGGTCTGCTGTTTCAAATTCGGGGTAGAGAGTGTGGTGGGTAGTAACTGTGCGCCTCGTCCTTCCAAAGGAACGCTCTTCCCACTTGATTGAAAAGGAACCTTCTAGTCCTTCCAGGTGCCCAGCGCAAGAGGCGGAGGGTGAGCGCTCAGGAGGTCGAGCCGGGCTGGGTCTGGGCCCTTATCCCCACAGGGAGGCCGCGGCAGGCTCAGCCCAGCGGGCCGCGTGGCCAGGGCAGGGGGCCACTGCTGGACCTTCCCCGTCTGCAAGGACACTCGCCCCGGCCGTCCGCCCTGGTGTCGTCCCCCGCCCCCCGAGTCGTCCTCCCCCCGCCCCCATGTCGTCCTCCCCCCGACCCGTGTCCATCCGCTCCCCGCCCCCCGGGCCGACCTCCCCCCGCCCCCAGTGTCCTCCTCCCCCCGCCCCCACTTTCTCACCCGCGCCCCGCCCCCCTCCCGCTTCCCGCCCTGGCTGCTCAGCGAACAGGCCGGGGACGCGTCCCTGAGACGCCATCTCCTGCCCCCGACCGCCTCTCTACGTGGCTTGCGCGCGGTCACAGCACCCCGGCCTCGGGGGCCTCCAGGCCGCCCGACCGCGGGCCAAGGGGCCTCCCGGACGCCCCCCCAGACCCGGCGCCAGCGGGAGCCCGCGCCAGCGGACGGGCTGCGGCCCGGCCGGAAGTCCCGCCCCTCCGCGCCGTCGCCGACTGCGTCCGGTCGGCTCCGCCAGGTGACTTATGGGAAATGCAGTCCGCGCGCCTACGGCGGCGCGCTCCCCGGTCGCCTTGGCAACGAGGCCGCGACGGCGCGCGGAGGCGGGGTGACGAGGTCATGGCGGGGTGCGGTGCCGATTGGAGCGGCGGAGGCCAGAGGCGGGACTTCCGGGGCAGCGCGGCCACGCCCCCGGCCGCCGAGGGTGCCGGCGCGCCTTCCGGGGGGCGCGGCGGGCGGCGCGGCGCGAGCCGTCGGGGGGCGGTCGGGGGGCGGCAAGGGCCCTCCTCTCGGCTCCGCTCTCCCGTCGCGGCCCCCGGTGGCGGCCTCGGGCCAGCTGCGCCTCGCCTCGGCCGCGTGCCCCCGCGGAGCCCGTCCGGCCGCGCTGCGCCCGGTCCCGATGGCCGCGGAGGTGAGCGGACGCCGTCCCGCGGGGGGGCTGGGGCGGGGCAGGCCCGGGCGCGCGTGGGGCGCCGTCGCCGGCGTCTGGGCCCGGGGCGGGGTGGGGGGGCTCGCGGGGCCGTCGGGGCGGCAGGTGCCCGGGACGGCCGCGGGGCGCTGTTGGAGCGCGCGCGGGACGGCTCGGTGCCCGCCCGGCGGGAGGACGCGCCGGACGCCCCGCGACCGTCTTCTCGGCCCGAGGGGGCAGCCGCGCTTTGCCTCCTCAGTCAGGTGCGCTCCGGGCCGCGTAGTCAGCTGACAGGCGGGGCCCTTGTCCTAGGGGCGCGGAGAAGGCGCGCTCGGTGACCAGCCTGCGTGGGCGCCCTGCGAGTCCAGCAGCCCTGTGAGGGGAGAGGCGCCAGCCGCCCTGAGACCCCTGGAGTCCTCCGAGGTAAGGGGCCTTTGGGGGTGCGTGAGGAGCTGTGGAGTTGGGGGGGGGTTGGTATTCAGAGGGAAAGACATCAGCGACAGAAGTGACAGGACCCGAGACACAGGTCAAGGACCTTGTCCCATTGTCCGTATTTTATTTAGCGTTTTCCCGCTGTTTTTAAAAAAGATTTGTTTATTTTTTTAAAGGCCTGTACCCCAGGGTCTCTCTGGTGGCCCAAGGGGTTAAGCACAGCACTAGGAAGCAGTTTGCAGCCTCTGCAGCACAAGTTCGATCCCCGGCCGTCCAAGGGGCAACCCACAGGGCACAGCAGACCTCTCCTGTCTCGCCCGCTGCTCCCCTCAGCAGTGTATATCATCAGTCTGCCTGTTCTGTTCCCGCTCTGTCTCCGGTGAATCCTCTCACCCCCCGCATCTCTGGCCTGCATCCCAGCTCTTGTATACATAAATTAAAAAAGATTATGTAAAGATTAATTTTTATTTATTTATGCATGCAAGAGCTGGCGTACAGGCCAGAGGTGCGGGGAGATGAGAGGACTCGAGAGACAGGGTGGGCGGCAGGAACAGGCAAATCCACTGAGATCCATGCTGAGGGGAGAAGCCGGGAGACAGGAGAGCTCTGCTGCGCCCTGTGGGTCAGCTCCCCGGCTGGGGATGGAACTCAGACCACAATGGCTGGGGATAGCTTGGTTGCCCTGAGACTTAACCCCTTGCACCACCAGGGAGGCCCTTTGCCAGCTATTGCTCCCACTGCACATCGGAGTGCATCATTTCAGGGGCTGGTGAACTTTGAGGATGTGGCCGTGTATTTCTCCCGGGAGGAGTGGGGTCTCCTTAACTTGACCCAGAGGAGCCTGTACCGGGATGTGATGCTGGAGAACTTCGCACTCATTGGCTCACTGGGTAAGTCTCACTTTTGCCCTCTCCCTCAGCAAACTGACCTCTTCCTTTTATGGGAAATTCTAGCCATTCTAAAGCTGCCACACAAGTTCCCTTCAACTTTTGGTATATTGAGTTCTCGTTTTCTTTTTTAAAGATTTATTTATTTCTGCATAGAAGAACTGGGGTGTAGGCCAGAGATGTGGTGGGGGTGAGAGGACTCCCCAGAGACAGAGTGGGGAGCAGAACAGGCGGATTCACTGAAATCCACTGCTGAGGGGAGCAGCGGGGAGACAGGAGAGGTCTGCTGTGCCCCGTGGGTCACCTCCCTGGCTGGGCTCGAACCCAGGCCGCAGTGGTGATAGTGCTGAGACTTAACCCTTAGGCTACCAGGGGGTTGGGGCATGGCTGGGTTCTCATTTTCATACTTGTCAAAGTCTTCCAGGTGCTTCCTTTGCCCTCTGGGGAAAGACGTCACCAGAATGCTGGGTGTGATTGAACTGGAGAGGACTCGTGTAAAGGGAGCCAGTACAGAAAGGAGAACTTAGCCTGGCTCCTTAAAGGCTGTTTGGAAGAGATGTTTAAAGGGTGGGTCCATGAGGCAGGGTTCAGGAGGGCAGTGTTGCAGTTTGTTCTTGGTTGGGCTAAGGAATGCGCAGCCGGGTCCCATCCCAGCCGCACATGTGGGCTCTCAGCCTTCTCCCTTCAGAAATTAGGAGATAATCATTAGGCAGGATCTAGCCCTTGTTGTCCAGCACGGTGCCTTGTGGTTGGTGTGGTGGCCAAATTGCTTGGACAGGACTTTGGGACAGGGCTCACCTGTGCCTGATTTAGTCCATCTGCTCAGTCAGCACTTGAAGTAGCTTTATCCTGCCAGCTCCCGACTTCTTTTACCTAGGCTGTCTCCGAAGTACTTTGCAATTTTCCTTGTGCATGTTTAAGAGTGTTTTTTAATTCTATGAATACAGGAGTTTTCCAAACTTCTTTCTGTTGTTGATTTCTACTCTTATTTGTTTGTGGTCAGAGAACATGCTTTGTATGATTTCAGTCCTCTGAAACCTACTGAAGATTGTCTCATGTCCTAGCAATCGGTTGGTTCTGGAGAATGTTCAGTGTTCATTTGAAAATGTGAGAAGACGATGTACTCTGCTGTTTTCAGGTTACTTTTTAGATGTCTGTCAGATCTCACTAATTTTTAGTGTTTTTCAGGGCCTCCCGGGTGTTCGAGGGGTTAAGTCTCAGCGCTATCACTGCTAAGGCCTGAGTTCAATCCTGGCCAGGGAGCTGACCCACATGGCGCAGCAGACCCCTCCTGTCTCCCCGCTGTTCCCCTCAGCAGTGTATTTCAGTCAGTCTGCCTGTTCTGCTCCCCACTGTTTCTGGTGAGTCCTCTCACCCTACACCACTGGCCTGTTCCCCAGTTCTTTTTTTCATTTTTAAAGGTTTATTTATTTATACAAGCACTGGGTACAGTCAGAAGCGCGGGACAGTGAGAGAATTCACCAGAGCCAGAGCAGGGAGCAGAGCAGGCAGAAGGACCGAAGTACACTGCTGAGGGGAGCAGAGGGCACCGCAGGAGAGGTCTGCACGCCATGTGGGACCCTCGCCGGCGGCCGGGGATCGAACCCGTGCTACAGAGGCTGCGGGCAGCTTTGCAGCCCAGCGCTCAACCGCTGCGTCACCAGGGAGGTCCGGCCTGTTCCCTAGTTCTATACACACACACACAGATTTTTAGTGTTTTTCGTCTGCTATATCCTTCTTCTTTTTCCGCCTAGTGGTTGTATGTGTTATTCGGTCCTGGAAATTGAAGTCTCCAACTGTTATTACCTATTTCTTACTTCAGTTGTATAAATCTTATTTCATAGAAGTGTCTCCAGTTTCTTTCCGGGTTGCCATGATGACATGAGATTCCTGTGTTGGTGGGAGGGCAGGTCACCTTGATTTGGTGGGTCACTTTTGCCTTTCCCCTCCTAGGATTTGCACCTGCTACGTCCCATGTGGTTGCCCAATGGGAGGATGAAGAAGAGCCCTGGCTCCCCAGCAATGTGGGCGTGACTCTGGTTAGCAGAACAGAGGCCAGGAGGGGCCCTGGTCTGGGTGAGTGGGGCCGGTGAATGCCTGTGTTTCAGGGATGGGCTTGTGGCATTCTGGGTCTCTGTGTGCTTTGGCATTTTTGCCATCAAGCCAGTTATCACACCTGATCCCTGCCTGTCCTCTCTGGACGGTGTCTGGTCTTGCTGTTACTGCAGGACTCTCAGACCCTGGGTGACCGCCTCCCCGGTCCTTCTCTGGGCCAGCGCGGAGCTCTCCCCAGTGATCTGCTTTGCAAGTGACTTGAGGTGCGCACAGGAGAGCAGTAACAGCTGCTTTTCGCCAGCGTAGACACGTCCACTTCTCATGCTTGCTGTAGCAGGTGCTCGTGCACACCCAAAACCTGCTGCAAGGGAAGGACTGGGCCTCAGCTCTTCTTCACACCCCCTGTCTTTGTGTCTTCATTTTTGTTGGGTTCTGACTTTTTTTTTTTAATTATTTATGCTTATAAGAACGGGGGGACAGTCCAGAGGTGTGTGTGTGGGGGTGAGAGGACTCACTAGAGACAGAGCGGGGAGCAGAACAGGCAGATCAGGTGAAATCCACTGCTGAGGGGAGCAGTGGGGAGAGAGGAGAGGTCTGCTGCGCCCTGTGGGTCAGCTGCTTAGCTGGGGATGGAACTCATGCAGCAGAGGCTGGGGGTAGCTTGCTAGCACTGTCTTTCACCCCTGCGCCCCCAGTTCTGCCTTTTTTGTGGTCTCCTCCTGTGCTGCTCCCCATCTTCGTGTGTATGTTCTCGCTGAGTCTGCCCTGCGTTGTGGTCTTCTGCCCCTGCTGCTGGCATGGGTCCTTCCTTACCCAGTCTTCCCCAGCAAGCTCCCGGCGTTCTGTGGGCTCCTTTCCCCACATGCCAGAGGACATTGGCGATGAGGCTTCTCCCCTCTAACCCAGCTTTTGTCTCAGGTTGTCTAGGTGGCCTGGGGGACGCGGAGGCCCCTCCTAAGCCGGTGACGAGCCACAGACGCCACCTGTCAGAGAAGCCGTTTATGTGTGGAGGGGCCGGGGAGAACGTTCCAGCTACCGTAGGCCGCCTCCAACGCCAGGCCGCCCGCAGGGAGGGGGGGCCAGCCGGGAACCCCAGGCACCGGGAGGCCGCCCCGCCCCGCGCCAGCTGCCCGCAGCGGCAGGAGGGCCACACCCCGCAGCGGACCTTCAAGTGCAGCGGCTGTGGGAAAGCCTTCCTGAAGGCCTTCTCCCTCCTTGACCACCTCGTCACGCGCTTCAAAGAGCGACCCTCCAGAGGCCTGAAAGGTAGCAACACCCCAAGGGAGAACCCAACCCATGTTCCTCCCCGAAAAACGCACACTGGAGAAACATCTCATGCGTGTTTGCAGTGCGGAAAGACCTTCAGTTACCCGCCTAAACTGAGGAAGCACCAGAAGGTTCACACGGGTGTAAAGCCTTTCAAGTGTGGGGAGTGTGGGAAAACCTTCAACCGCAAAGACGCTCTTGTTCTTCACCAGAGAGTTCACACTGGGGAAAGGCCGTACGAGTGCGCCGAGTGTGGCAAAGCCTTCAGCGTCCTGTCTACTCTCATTCGGCACCGGAAAGTTCACATTGGAGGAAGACCTTACGAGTGCAGGGAATGTGGGAAGCTCTTTAAATATCAGCAGAGTTTCATTCTTCACCAGAGAGTTCACGCCGGGGTACGGCCTTACGCGTGCAAGCAGTGCGCGAAGACGTACGTGACCCGCTCGGGCCTGTACCAGCACTGGAAAGTCCACACTGGAGAACGGCCCTATGAGTGCAGCTTGTGCGGGAAGACCTTCACCACCAGGTCCTACCGCAACCGGCACCAGCAGTTCCACGCTGAAGACAGGTCCTTTGAATGTACCGAATGCGGGAAAGCCTTCAAACACGGTTCCACCCTCCTTCAGCACAAGAAAGTCCACGCTGGCGAAAAGCCTTAGGAAGACGGGGTGTGGGGAGGCTTTTAGCTATGGCTGACGCCTCATTGAACAGGCAGGGCCTCACTCCAGAAGGAGGTGAGGAGGGTAGCCGTTTGAAAGAAGCTAAACTTGATCCACCCCAACACCCACCCTCGGGTGGTGCCGCCAGGTATGTGGGAAGCTTTCGGGAGCCGCACTGCGCTCTGACCTGCCCGCTGTCGGGTGGTGGCGTTCAGCCACGCCCGAGTCCGTGGCCAAAGTTATCCCATCTTTGCCTCCTGGCGGGGTCCTGTGATGGGGATCCGTCGCCCCGTGTGCTCAGGCATGGTGGACTGCCGTACTGTCGCCTCTGTGTGGGAGACAATCATGAGAAGGGGAGCTCATAATGAGCCTCGTTCTCTCCCCCGAGAACGTTGGGTGTGGACCTAAGCTAGTCTGGCCAAGACTATGGGCAGCGTCTGCTGGGGGCTTAACCTTTTTAGAAAGCAGTGTTGACACTGCGTGTGGTGTCATGGATTTATCTAGCCCTCGAACTGACTCACCTTGCTCGAAATATGCTAAAGATCTCGTCCTGTTAGCCACCGTCAGTGTTGGGGATTCTGATCCCTCTATGTGGAGGAATCGAGAACAGAACTGGGCTGGTGAATATAGAACATGACCTCTGTGGGAGTCCCTGACTCTTACAGTTTCGGTCAAGGCCTAGTTTGCACTGGTGCTTGAGATCTCTGGGTGAATCTTATAACCCGGGTGCCAGGTTTATTTGCAGGTCCAGAGCTCACCTTGTATAACGGGGCACTCGGTGTGTGATTCCATCATGTATCTGGGGACATGAGCTGGGTTCCTGGGGGACGGTGCACAATCTCGAGCATTGCTAAGCAGCAGCTGTTTCCAAAAATCAGCTCAGGGGCTGAGGTTTCTGAAATCTAGAAAGTGGAGTCATTTCTAGATTGACCATAGGCCCTCAGGGGGCACAGTGAGTGGGCTTAAGAAAGACCTGTAAAGCAAGTGGGCACGGAAATACTGAGTTAAGCAGTGGGGCCTGGAGCCTGGTAAACCAGAGGGCCTGAGCTGGTCCTGCAGAGGCATCTACACGTTTCAGCGAGTCTGGAGTGGCGGCCCTGTTGCCTGTGGCCGAGGTCTGCAGGTCTGCTGGGTTCTCGTAGCCTTCCTGGGCATGTTTACCTTGTGGCCATCACCGCAGGACCTGGGGAAAGAGCCAGCGGTCCTGGGGTGTTTGGTTTGTTTTCGTGGTTTTTGGATGTGGCTTTTGTGACCCAGCCTGTGTTCCTCAGTTTTGGACTGTGGCTTTTGCTGCCCTGTCAGCGGGTGCAAAGGGGAGATGTGGTGGAACCAATCTGGTTTGTTGCACCTTTAAAAATGGAAAACATTTTCCTGAATGGCAAATAAAACTGTGTTGGATGTCACTGTGTTCCTGGTCCAAAAATTGGGCTTCCTGTCAAGGAATTGTTTGCTGGGAGGCATGTTTGGGAGGGCAGTAGCGACCCGCAGTTTGGGGGGCTTCGGGCGAGTCTTGAGCCAGTATCTTGTGCTGAAGTTGGCAAACACTGCTGCCTTTTCTAACTGGGGTGATTGCTCATGCCTCTGCCCCCGTCGGTGGGAGGGGGGATGACCACAGATGGGAAATCCCCAGCAGGTAGGGAGTTTGCACCCCGTCTGCTCACTTTCTCCCCAACACCATAAGGTACAGGCCCACACAGGCTGGCTCAGCACCTCCTCCCTTGGTGTAATCACTGTCTGCCTCAGTGAGGGTCTGAGCTCGGTTCAGTTGAGCCAGGTAAGGCTCAGGTCTCCAAGCAGCTGGGGCAGGGCAGATGTTGGTCATCAGAGCTGACTCCTTTGTGCCCTTGCAGGGTCACAGCTCACAAAATGGCCCAAGGCACATGGCGAAAGGGTCCTCTGACTTGGCCTGAACGACCTTCTGGTCTCCCACCGGGTCCTTGTGTACAGCAGCAAACCTGCTGGAGTGGAGGCGGAGGCTAAGGTCTCCTGGTGATGGTGGGACATCCTCAGCAAACCCTGGCCCTTGTGAGCCTTGACCTGCGCAGAACAGTAGTGTGGAGGGAGATCACTCTCCTTCACTCTCAGCCCAAACCCCACCGCGGAAGCCAACGCCGGCAACTCGTTGCAGCCTGTCTTTCTGCCCTGCCTGTTCTCAGGAGTCCACCCAGCAGGCCCTGGCTTGTGTTCATGCTGCCGCCTCGGTCCCTCTGCCATGCCTGCTGTGAGCTTGGTACCTCAGCCGGCAAGCGGGCATGTGCAGTTCTGCTTTATCCACCTCTGAAAGCAAACTACTGTCCTAAGGGGTCCGTGCAGGCAGCAGGCTGTGACTGGCACATTACCTGTCTGTCTCCATCTACGAGAGAGCCTTTGTGAAGACCAATCTTCAGACAGCTCTTACTTCTGGTATTATGGAAGAGAAGCTGCATGTACTGGCTTAGCTGCAGAATACTTTGTGATGTAGGAGCTGGTGCCACGGATGAAGGTTTGAGAGCAAATACTGGTGTTGGGAGTATTTCGCTTTGGCAAAGTCTGAACTAAAAAAGGGTAAACTAGGGGTCTCCCTGGTGGTGCAAGGGGTTAAGTCTCAGCACTCTGAAAGCTATTGGCAGTGGCCTGAGTTTGATCCCCTCCAGGCAGCTGACCCACATGGTGCGGCAGACCTCTCCTGTCTCCCCGCTGCTCCCCTCAGCAGTGGATTTCAGTAGATGCGCTTGTTCTGTTCCCCACTCTGTCTCTGGACCTCTCGCAACCCCCATCCCCAACACCTCTGGCTGTGAAGAGGTCTGCTGTGCCCTCTGGGTAGCTCCCTGGCTGGGGATTGAACTCATGCTGCAGTGGCTGCAGATAGTGTCATAGTGCTGAGACTCTTGTGCCACCAGGGAGGCCCAGAAAGTTTTTTTTTTTTTTTCCTTAAAGATTTATTTATTTGTTTATACAAGCACTGGGTACAGTCAGAAGTGCGGGAGGGTGACAGAATTCACCAGAGCCAGAGCGGGGAGCAGAGCAGGCAGAAGGACCGAAGGACACTGCTGAGGGGAGCAGTGGGCGCAACAGGAGAGGCCTGTCACGCCATGGGGGACCCTCGCCGGCAGCCCGGGGATCGAACTGGCGCTGCAGAGGCTGCGGGCCACTTTGCAGACCAGTGCTCAACCGCTGCGCCACCAGGGGAGGCCCCCAGAAAGTATTTTTCATTCAGAAATGGAAGTTCAAATTTTGGAGGATACTGGGAGAATTTTGGTTGCACTGGAAAAAATTAAAATTTATGTCAGTGATAGAAAATGAGAAAATTATGTTAGCTTTTGCGTAAAAAATAAGAAATCCTTTATTGATTAATAGCCATTTAGCCAAAACCCAAAGTCAGAAGAGACTAAAAGGGATCTGAACGATTTCACTATTTGAGTTCCAGGCCCAAATTTAAGAACGGCAAAATAAAGTTCAGTCAATAGAGGGGACATGAGGTAAGTAATAAATACCTAAAGATAAATAGTTCCAGGGCCTCCCTGGTGACCTAGGGGTTAATTGTCAGCACTATCACTGCTGAGGCCTAAGTCTCATCCCCATCCAAGGAGCTGACCCACCGGGCGCAACACACTTCCATCTCCCCGCTGCTCCCCTCAGCAGCGCATTTCCGTGGATCCACCTGTTCCGCTCCCCACTCTGTCTCTGGTGAACCCTCCCCCCTCCACATCTGTCCCGCACTCCAGTTCTTGTAAGCATAATCTGTAAAAAAATGAAATAATGTATTAAATTCACCATCTCTGTGAATTCTAATGTCCTTAAAAGAAATGCAAATCTCTTCCATCATCCCATATGCATATCTGCCTTTCCCTGTAATTATCAGGACAGTCACCTATTTGTCTTCATGATCTCCTTCAACCAAAGTAACTTGCTTTTTACAAGACCAAGAGAAAGTGAAGCGAATGGAGTTTCAGTACTTCTTAGCCGATTTCTCTTTGTGAACACACCATTCATACAATTTTAACAAATTTGGGGTTTCAGAAATACAGAGCAAACATATCTGCTACACAATGCACTCATGTAGATTGCGCTGACCTAACACAGTAATTGAGTTTTTTTTAAATAGGCGATAAACACATTACACAAGATTCCGAACCTTAACCTTCTGAAGTCCCAGACCTGGCGACTGTGTATTGAAACCGGCACCCTGTGTCCATTTGTGTGCTGGGCAGCAAGACTGTGAAGCCAGAGACATCTGCTGATTGACCAGAAATCCTCCTCAGGTTACAGAAGCCCCTTCCTTGGATGACAGGTTATGTCTCTGCCCGAGTTCCTGCCAAGGGTGATGGGTGCCAGATGCAGCTGGAGGGGAGGTGAATTTGCTTTGATTGTGGCCTCAGCTCTTGAGGGGCTCTGGATACTCTTACCGGACACACTGATGCAGAACAGGGGCTGCACCTATGTGGGATGGCCTGTGTCCCCGCCCCCTATTACATCCCCTCTAGCGTTCATCCACATACAGTGCCCACGGGCCCGTGTGACCTGCGAGTGTGCAGTCTCCTCATTAGGCACAAGAAGGCAGCTTCTCCTAACGTAGATCTAGAAACCCAGACTTCTGCCTGAGATTAGGAACTTGCCCCCGGCTCAGCAGTAGTGTTGCAGATGAATTTCTTCCTTCCTCAGGGGCGCTCTGGGCACTCAAGGACTTGAAAGTCAAGCTGCTCACATCACTGAATCGAGCCCTTCAGATACTAGTGCCAGGTAAGCACAAACCAACAGGCGTTCCTACTACACTGAGGCAGACCTGCGGGCTCCCTCCCAGTCACTCCCCAGCCCACCCATTTCCTGTAACCTGTCACACCCCCACCCCCAAGCTTGAAGGTGACTTGACAAATCAGGTCTTTATTATACAGTACAGAACCACGTAGTGGTGCCAGGAGGGAGTGGCTTCTGGGCCCACTGGCCACACATCTGAGGTTATATGCAGAATCAACCACTTCCACGATGAACATCCATCTCCCCAAAGTCCCAACCAGAGAACCCCAAGGCCCCTCGACCAGCGTGGGGTGAGTTCATCCCCCGAGGCAGCGAGCAAGGGTCTGGGCAATACTGGTTTCCTACAGGAAAGGGGAGGGGAGGCCTTGGGCCTTGTGGGGAGGCCGGCTGCAGATGCTTGGATCTAGATGCTCTGGAAAGAGGTTTGTGCTCAAGGTCCCGGTTGCCCCGAAAGGGCAGAAGAGTTTCTGAAGGTTTCTCTACATCGGCGATGCGTGTAGGGAATATCGCTGTGGGTGTTGTGTGCGGCCAAAGACTATTTCCATGAGGCTTCACTCAAGTATGAATCTTTGTATGCTGAGCAAGGTTGCAAAGGCGGCTGAAATTTTTCCCACAGTGTCTGCACTCGTAAGTCCTTTCTTTGCTGTGAACTGTCTGGTGTCGGATGAGTGTGGACCTTTCACTAAAGGCTTTTCCACATTCGCTGCACCCATAGGGCCTTTCCTGTGTGTGAACTCTCTGGTGGCGAACTAGGTGGGAATTGCTGCTGAAGGCTCTCCCACATTCACTGCACTCATAAGGCTTTTCTCCAGTGTGAACTCTCCAGTGATAGATGAGGCTGGACTTTCTGCTAAAGAATTTCCCACACTCACTGCACTCGTAAGGTCTTTCTCCGGTGTGAACTTTCTGATGTTTAATGAGAATGGAGCTTTGGCTAAAGAATTTCCCACACTCAGTGCACTCATAAGGCCTTTGTGTTGTGTGGACTCTGCAGTGCTCAGTCAGACTGGAGCTGTGAGCAAAGGCTTTCCCACAGACGTTGCACTCATAGGGCCTCTCTCCGGTATGAATTCGCCAGTGCTGGATCAGACTGGAGCTGTGAGCAAAGGCTTTCCCACAGGCGTTGCACTCATAGGGCCTCTCTCCGGTATGAATTCGCCAGTGCTCGATCAGGCTGGAGCTGCGGCTGAAGGCTTTTCTGCATTCACTGCACTCAAAAGGCCTATGTCCGGTATGTACTTTCTGGTGCTTGATGAGGGTGGAGCTATTGCTGAAGGCTTTACCACATTCACTGCATCCAAAAGGCCTTTCTCCTGTGTGAACTTTCTGATGTCGGAGGAGGTGGGAGCTTTGGCTAAAATCTCTTCCGCACTCGCTGCACTCAAAGGACCGTTCTCCAGTGTGAACTTTCTGGTGCTGAGCAAGGTTGTAGTTATTGTTAAAAGCTCTTCCACACTCGCTGCACTCATAAGGCCGTTCTCCAGTGTGAACTCTCCAGTGCTGAATGAGGGCAGAGCTGCGGCTGAAGGCTTTACCACACTCGCTGCACTCATAAGGCCTTACCTGGCTGTGAACTTTCTGATGCCGAAGGAAATTAGAGCGCTGGCTGAAGGCCTTTCCACATTTGTTGCACTCAAATGGCCGTTCTCCCGTGTGAACTTTCTCATGCCGAGCAAGGTGTGACCTGTTATTGAAGGTTTTCCCACATTCGCCGCACTCATAATACTTTAATCCAATGTGGAACTTCTGGTGTTTTCTCAGTTTAGAGGGATCACTAAAAGCATTCCCACACACCAGGGACACTTCTTCAGCATGAAATGTGTGATGAACACGGGTTGATTCATCCTCTAAGGTGCTTCCAGCTGTTGGACATCCAAATAGTATTTCTTCAGAATGAGTTCTCAGGTGGCTAAGGAGTGCAGAGTCCTCCTGGAAAGGGTTTCCACAGTCACTGAACTTGAGGAGATTCTGTGTATTAAGAACTTCTTGGAGCTCCGTGAGATCAGAACTGTTTGGGAGGGCATCCCTGCACTCAGTGCTCCCGTGTGGACTCACGCTGCCGTCAACGGCCAGGTGCTGGAGGAGGACATGGCTACCTGAGGCAGCCCTATCTTGTCCATCAGTGAGGGGTTTCTCTGACAGGACTCTGGGGCTCTTCACAAGTGAGTTCCTATTCTCATCCCCTGTGAAGGGTTTCTCTCCGTTAGGCTCCTCGCGGTGCTGGTGAAAGTTTGCACCAAACCAAAATTCTCTCCCGCATGTTTCACATGTGTGCGATTTCTCCTCAGAATGTGCTCCTTGATACTCACCCAGGTAAAACACATCGTTCAAGAGTGGGCCACACGTGTCACAGTGATCAGCCTCCTGGGTGGAAATCTTGACCTGTGACACCCTTTCCTCAGAATCGGTCTGTCTGGAACAGTTGTCATTATCTTCTCCTCCATGCCGACAACCTGGAAGCAGGCAAACGGCCAGTTAGTGGAGTGTTCTGCCGTGGGGAAAAGGGTGACATTAGAAATGACAGGCCAGGGGGCCCAGAATAAAACCGGAAGGCTCACTATCCAGGACAGGGCTCAGCCGAGTCACAGAACAAGGCAAGGATACACGACGGGGATAAAGGACTGGGATAGACATTCCTGCCAAAAAGCTACACACACACACACACACACACACACACACACACACACACACCCCAGTGGTCAATAAGCACATGAAAGTTGTTCAACACCATTAGTCACTAGGAAAATGTAACCGAAACCCACAATGAGCTAGCACGTCACACTCTCAGGTAGCTGTAAGGAAAAGGCCAATAACAAGCATTGAGGAAAGAGATAAACTGCAAATAGGGTAAATGGGAATGTAAATGGTGCTATCCATTTGGAAAAGTTGGCAATCCCGTTCCCGTCTGTACCCAAGAGAGATGAAAACATGTGCACAGAAACTCGTACAAGAGTGTCCACGGAACCATTTCTCATAACAGCCAAAAAGTGGAAACAGGTCAGATTTCCATCAGCTAATGAAGGGATAAAGAAACTGCAACATGCATACAGTGGAGAATTAGTTGACTGTAAGAAGCCATGGAGTACTGATACGGGCTCCAGCATGCACCAAACTTGAGAACATTATGCTAAGCGATAAGCCACTCACCAGGAAACATGTGAATCTGCCTACATGAAATATCTAGAACAGTCTCTATTGTCAGAAAGTAGATAGGTGGTTGCCTCGGATTGGTGATGAGGGATGAAAGATGAGGAGTGACTGCTAATTTAGAGATAATGACAATGTCCTAAATTAGAATATGTTTTGCATCAGTACGCTAAATTGTATAATTTAAGATGGTGAACTTTATAATATGTCTCGGTAAAGCTGTGTTTTAAAAATGTCTCATGGAGAGAGCGTTGTAGAGTCTCCCTCTGGACACAGACCCGAGTCTGAACCAGATTTGAAAAAAGCCTTTATTATCCGGCTGGCGACTGTCCCTCTAGTAGAGAGCAGCCCCGAGCCGGGGGTGATAAGGGTTTTTAAAGCCAAAAACCGCACCTGGGAGTTTGTAGTTGCCACAGCAAGCTGCTGTTACAAGCACCAGAGTGTTTCACCACATCCCATGTTTCAGGTGCAAAGGGTCCATACATCTTATTTTATTTATTTTTTTAAAGATTTATTTATTTATTATTTACACAAGCACTGGGTACAGTCAGGAACGCGGGAGGGTGAGAGAATTCACCAGAGCCAGAGCGGGGAGCAGAGCAGGCAGAAGGACCGAAGGACACTGCTGAGGGGAGCAGCGGGCGGCAGGAGAGGTCTGCGCGCCATGTGGGACCCTCCTCCGGGGGCCGGGGAGCAGCCGGGGATCGAACCGGCGCTGCAGAGGCCGCGGGCAGCTTCGCAACCCAGCGCTCAACCGCTGCGCCACCGGGGAGGCCCCATACATCTTATTTTTGACGGGATCCCAACCTCTACTGTTTTGGCCTGAAATTTTCCCACAGCCCTAACTTGTTGTCCTGAGGTAGCTCAAGGCTTAGGCCTTGCGTGGTCTGCTACATTTCACATTGCCCCCATTTCACAAAGGGACAGTCCTGGGCATGGTGCCACTCAGGATGATCCAGCCAGGGATTAGTTAAGTTCAATGGGATCCATTAGGCAGATGGAAGATTACTGATGTGCCTCCATGGAGCCCCTGGCAACAGCTATTAGGGTTGCTCAGGGAGAGGAAGGGGTATCCACAGCCCAATGCCAGCACCCACAGTTCCTAAACTGTGGGAGAACTGTGGGTACTGCTAGGAGGCGGCAGTACCCATGGTCTGGCCTTGGGCCAAACTGATCTTTCTGCGGGGCGAAGGCACAGGGCAGAAACCGGTCACTGTGTCGGATAGGGCCTTACCAAGGGAGGTCGTGAGCTCCAAGTTCTCCAGCATAACACTGTGGTACAGGCACCTCTGGGTGGCGTCAAGGAGCCCCCACTCCTCCTCGGAGAAGTACACAGCCACGTCCTTGAAAGTCACTGGGCTCTGCAACGACAGGACAGTTAAGCCAGCGGGCCAGTCGGTGGCTGCAAAGCACGCAGTTAAATGAACATGCCCAGGTCCTTGACCTGTGACTTAGAGTCGGCTCTACTGGCCTCTCCTCGTGACAGGCACAGCCACTGTGTTCACCTCCCATGGTTCACCCTCCTTAGAGGACTAACCAGACCCTGGCGCTACCGGCGTCCCTTTCTCCTCTTGTCCCACTGGTCACTGTATCCAGGTCAGTCCAACCCAGAGGCAGGTGGTCATCTGGGCAGCTGATGAGCTGTAGGCTGGTATGCACCCCAGCCCCCTGGCTAGTTCCCCCCAGGTCCTCAAGGGTCATACCTCCCAGTGATAAGAGAATTTGGGCTGTCCTCCCATAAGCCTCTAGTACCAGGGCCAAGGCCCATCCGTTCTCGGTAACAGACGCTGGACACATCAGTCTTTGCACAATATTCTTCTATCTCCAGCCCCACAACCACCACCACTCCTCTCCCTGTCCACACCATGGGTTCTTCCTAGCGTTCCCCACAGCCCACAGCCAACAAAGGTGAGAACCCAAGACTTGCTGTGGTTTACCCCAGATCTCCAAAAAACCCCACTGCCAGAGGCAGCCATTCCCCCTCTAGTAGATACCCGGGTGCTGCCCAGACCAAGAGCAGATCTTAGAAACTTCAGCTCTTCACTTCTGCCCTCACACATGCTGTCTGCCTACCAGTCAGCTGTCCTTGCTCATCCTAATGTGCCAATCCCAGAACTACTGACCGCCCTTGGCTTGTGGACTCAACGTGGGCTGACCCTTTTCATGCCTGTGGCTTGTCTAACCTGGTAAGACCCCCCAGACTTCAGCATCACCACAAAAACCTGGTGCACTGTAGACAGGCAAACCAGACTGACCTCAGGCCCCAGTACCCTCACCCTGCCCACCTTTCTGCTTCACTTTTTTATCCTCCATTTACTCTCTGCTTAGAAGCTTGGTCACCATCCTGGACCGGTGCCAGAGTTGCACTCAGCGTCCACACAGAAGCTTCCACTCCTTGCATGCCTCCAGCATGGCCCTGGCCTCAGCCCATACACTTCGGGGCGCTCCTGGTACAGCACTTCTGGAGACATCTCCACTACGATGTGGCGATGTGGCTAAACTCAATAAGTTACTGAAAGGTCGATGCAGGAGGCCGGAATGCAAAAAGCCCACCAGGAAGCCCACCTGGAGACAGGAATGCGCAAGCCTGCCTAGAAAATTCAGACAATGAACCCCTCCCCGCCCTAGAATCTTTTTCCCGCCGTGCAAACCCAGTCTCCCACCTGACCTCTCCTCACCCTATGAAAACCTGCCTCCCCCTGGCAACGTGCCCGACGTCACCGACCCCCACCTTGGGTCCGTGAATTCCGCCCGGGCGCAATAAATTTTCCCTTCCTTAGAGAACGTTTAGCCTGGCTCTCCTTTTCTTTACCGCGCCGGCCCTTTCATCTACCTTCCCTCTGACACCTACTTTCCGTTCACAGCAATGACCACGCGAAAAATCTGCACTGACACCTCTGCCCCTCATCAAGGAAGCCGGCCCACTCTAAAAGGCAGGTCCAGGGACCAACCATATTTCTTACTCCTGCGCTCCAGCCACGAGCACCCCCAGGCACAGCACTCATGGCCTCCCGGCGCCATGGCACCCCACCCCGTCCCGCCCTTTCGGCCTGGCACCCCCAGGAACCTTGGGCAGACTTGGATCCGACCCTCTTGTACCCGAAACGCTCGTGACTCCGCGCGGCCGGAGAGGGGTCCGGCCCAGCCCAGCCCCTCAGATCTACCAAGGCCCCAGCCCTATTTTCACCAGAAGAAAGGGAGGCTGCACCCCCAACGCCTCCGCCTCAAACCCGCGGCCGGGCGGCTCCCGCACCCCACCCCCGCCCCCGGGGCCAGCAGCGGCTCCGCACAGAACGCCGGCCCGGCCTCGCGGGGTCTAGGCGCGGCTTAGGGCGCCGAGCTCCAGGGGGTCCAGGCCCCCAAGCCCCACCCCGGCCCGGGGCCCTGCGCGCGAGGGCCGGGCGCCCCCGCTCACCTGCTCCGGGCCCATCGGCGCCCCTGCCAGCCGCGACGGGCACCGGCCGAGCGGGTTCATCCGGTGCTCGGCGCCTCGGCGCACCCCACCCAATCCGAGGACGGCGAGGACGGCGAGGATGCGCCCCCGATCGCCCACCCCGATCCCGGAAGCGGCGTCCGACGGAAGTCCCGCCCCGGGCCCTGCCGTCCTCGTCTCATTGGCCCAGGGCCTCTCCCGTGACGCAATTTTCCAGAGGCCGTCGCGGTGCGGCGTGGCGTCGCCTAGGTGATCGGGAGCGGCGCGGCCCCAGCCCGGCTCCCGCGACGCTGCCTCGTTACCCGGCGACCCTCGCTGCTGGCCAATGAGAATCCAGGAGGGCCGGGACTTCCGGCGCTCGCGCTTCCGGGCGCGGCGGCTGACGCGGCCCGGCGGTGGTTCCGGGCGTCGGCGGAGGGCCCGGGCCGGGCGGAGCGGCGGCCGCCGTGTGGGCCGCCCTGGCCTGGGCGGCGGCGCGCGGCGCGGGCCCCGGCGGGCGCGGTAAGACGCGGAGCGTTCCCGGACGTCCCGGGCCAGCCCCGCGGGCGGCGCGGTCCCCGCTCACCCTCAGGCGTCGGCGGGACCCGGGGTCCTGCCTCTGCCGGGACGGGCGAGGCTGTGCCGGGCGACGCGGGCCGGCGTCCGCGGTCGTTGCTGTCGGGGCGCCGCAAGCTGACGATCACGGGGCGGCTCCGGAAGGCCTCGATACCCGTCGCGTCCCGTCTCGGGACCCTCCAGTCCTGGCTGTGAGGCCGGGAGTCCCGCCCTGGGAGGCGCCGGGAGAGGGAGGCCAGGAGTGAGTGAGGGCTTTGAAAGTATCCCCGTGGGCCCCGGGAGCTCGCCGGGCACAGGGCTTGTGTTGGGGCGGAAGCAGGCCGGCAAGAGGCCACTGCACAATTTGTTTTTTTAAAGATTGATTGATTGATTGATTGATTGATTGATTGATTTATACAAGCACTGGGGACAGTCAGAAGCGCGGGAGGGCGAGAGAATCCACCAGAGCCAGAGCGGGGAGCAGAGCAGGCAGAAGGACCGAAGGACACTGCTGAGGGGAGCAGCGGGCGGCAGGAGAGGTCTGCGCGCCATGCGGGACCCTCCTCCGGGGGCCGGGGAGCAGCCGGGGATTGAAATGGCGCTGCAGAGGCCGCGGGCAGCTTCGCAACCCAGCGCTCAACCGCTGCGCCACCGAGGAGGCCCCACTGCACAATTTTTAGGGGCCTTCATGGTGCTCGTGTAGGATTGAAGCAGGAGAGGTGGGAGAAGTGGATCGCTTTCCAGAGGTTTTGAAGATGGAGCCCATAGGATTTGCTGTTGCACACGCGGAGGAAGGGAGGGAGTGAGAGGAAGTGGGGACGGAGGACCATCCTCAGTGTCGGCAAGAAGGGGGTGCTGCCTATGGCCCTCACAGGTTAACTGGAGGAGACTGTTTTAGGGAAGATGAAGAGTTGAGTTTTGTATTTATGGAGTTGGGGGTATCTGGTCGGCTCTGGCCGAAGATGACACTCGCACCCATGAAAGTGCAGGGGGTTCTGGTGTGGCTTCCAGATGTCCAGACTGCGATGCGCACCGGGGAAGGGCTGGAGAATGGGTCTGTGGAAGGAGAGCCTGAGATGAGTTTGGGGAATCCAGGCTGAGGAGCAGAGGCCAGTGGAGGTGGGGGGTGCAGAAAAGGAGGAGGGTGGTCTGGGGCCAGTGCATCTGTCCTCTGCCTTTCCGTCTTTCTCATGCTCTCGTGGCCAGGTCCTCCACTAGTGTGGCCTGAGCTGTTGTCCTCGTCCTTAGAGATTCCTGAGAACCTGTTCCTCCATGAGACTGGCCTTTTCCTTTGCAGAGGGGCCGACTCAGGCATGGTTCGCCCTCTCACTGCGCAGCACCTGCCTGCCCCCAGAAGCAGAGACTCTGCCCCGTCCACATTTGTAGCTTCCACAGAGAGCTTAACAAAGAGACGCCCGATAAAGTACATGCGCAGCATTTGGAGAAGTGTTTTGAGCAGAAACACTTTTCTGCCACCAAGAAATTTCAGAATGGGGGCCACCCTGGTGGCGCAGGGGTTAAGTCTCAGCACTGTCAAGCTATTGTCAGCCACCGTGGCCTGAGCTTATCCCCGGCCAGGGTGCTGACCCACACAGCACAGCAGAGCTCTCCTGTCTCCTCACTGCTCCAGCAGTGGATCTGCCTGTTCTGCTCCCCACTCCGTATTTGGGGGGTCCTCTCACCACCCCCACATGTCTGGGCTACAGCCCAGTTCTTATATTCATAAATAAATAAAAATAAATCTTAAGGGCCTCCCTGGTGTGGCAGGGAGTTGAGCACCGCACTATGGTGTGGTCCGCAGTCTCTGCAGCACGAGTTCGACCCCCGGCCGGCCAGGGAGCAACCCACGTGGCGCAGCAGACCTCTCTTGTTTCGCCCGCTGTTCCTCTCAACAGTGTGCTTCGGTTGGTCTGCCTGTTCTGTTCCTCGCTCTGTCGCTGGTGAATCCTCTCACCCCCTGCATCTCTGGCCTGTACCCCAGCTCTTGTATGCATGAAAAAAAAATCTTTAAAAAAAGAAAAGTGTTTTAAAAAATCTTAAAAAAAGAATTCAGGGGCTTCCCCGGTGGCTTAGCAGTTGAGTGCTGGGTTGCGAAGCTGCCCGCAGCCTCTGCAGCGCAGGATCGATCCCCGGCCGCCGGCTGAGGGTCCCACATGGCGCAGACCTCTCCTGGTGCGCCCGCTGCTCCCCTCAGCAGTGTCCTTCGTCAGTCTGCGCTGCTCTCCGCTCCAGCTCTGGTGAATTCTCTCACCCTCCCGCGCTTCTGACTGTACAACAAACAAACAAATAAATCTTTAAAAAAAAAAGGCATTCAGAAGGGGAAAAAAATCCCAAGTACATTGGGTACACAGGTGGGTCTTCACCTTTGTCCCCATTCTGAGAAAGCAGCAGCCCATGCTGCAGTCAGAGGGCTTATCCCTTTGAGCACCAGAAAAAAACCCTTACAAGGGCTGGGAGTGTGGCCCAGACTTGAGCGAGAGTTTGCTCTGCCCCTAACGCGCAGGCGTTCACAGAGAAGAGCAGGGCTGTGGCGCCCCCTTCTGGACTCGGCTTCGAGTAGCACCAAAAAATTTAGAACAGGTACCAGTTGTTCAAATGCAGTAACTACATGAACACTCTTAAACCTTTCACACAAGCCCCATGGAGGAAGTGTAGTGTTAGAGCGGCAAAGCTGCCTCAGCCTTAACCCTGTTGCAGCAGCCAGTTGCGCCATTGTGAGTGACCAAAGCTGGAAGCTGCCATTGCTGTCTTGTTCTGCAGAGAATGACTCACACTGGAGAGAACCCCTGGGAGTACAGTAAAGCACTGCCCCGCGGTGGGGACTGTGTCCTGTTTGGTGATTCCGTGAGTGGAAGAACATCATAGAGTGTGGTCGGAGCATTGGGTGCCAGCAGTAGCCTCTTCCGACGCGTGCGTGCCGTGTCTCGTGGTAGTCTCGCTGTCCTTTGTGCTTGATCTAATTTTCATTGAAGATTTATTTATTTATGCACACAAGAACTGGCTGGGGATCGAACTCGTGCTGCAGTGGCTGCAGATAGCTTCAGAGTGCTGAGACTAACCCTGTGCCCCCAGGGAGGCCTTGGTTTTAGGTTTTGTTTGTCACGGCCACTAGCATCCAAAATTCACTGCTGCTATGTCCAGTGACAGGTCCCACAGACCTGGAAGTGAAATTAGAAGTGACTGAGTACTACAGAAGTGGGAAATCAGTGGTGGTTGTTGGTCACCAGTAAGGCACATCCCATTCTAACATAATTAAATGATCTTCAAGAACTAAGTGACATGGAGGGCCTCCCTAGCGGTGCAAGGGGTTAAGCGTCAGCAGTTTGAAGTATTTGCAGTCACTGCAGCACGAGTTTGACTCCCAGCCAGTGAGCTGACCCACAGGGCGCGGCACACCTCTCCTGACTCTCTGCTGCTTCTCTCAGCAGTGGATTTCAGATGATCCACCTGTTTTGTTCCCCACTCTGTCTCTGGTGAACACGCTCAACTCCCTGCACGGCTGGCCTGTACCCCAGTTCTTGTGGGCATAAATAAATTAAAAAAAAAAAAAAAAGCAATGAGGGCCTCCCTGGTGGCGCAGGCAGTTGAGCGCAGCACTAGCACTGTGAAGCTGTCTGCACCCTCTGCAGCACAGGTTTGATCTCGGCTGGCCGCGGAGCTACCCACATGGCACGGCAGACCTCTCCTGTCTCCCCGCTGCTCCCCTTTGCAGTGTATTTTAGTCAGTCTGCCTGTTCTGTTCCCGCTCTGTGTCTGGTGAATTCTCTTGCCCTCCTGCACATGTGGCCTGTACCCTGGTTCTTGTATGCATAAATAAATCTTTAAAAAAAAGAAGGCAGTGAGACAAACAAAATTTGCAAGAGACGGAAGCGCATCCCCCTTAACAGCACAGCTACAACATCAGCATCAGCTACAACATCACTGGGCAGCAGGAATTTGGAAAGCACCTTCATTGTCTGTGATCTTCTGTTGAGAGGCCTTGCTTTGTGGTGCTGAGCTGTATAGCCATTCAATGTGGAAGAGCTGGTCAACCCTAATAGCTCCTGCCTTGTCTGAACTTCACCATAATGTGAAGCCTCTTGAGACCGGTGACTGATTAAGTCTTTGTCTGCCTTATTTTTATTTATTTGTTTTATAGAGGCATGTATTGTTTATTTATTTATTATTTGTTTGTTTGTTTACACAAGCACTGGGTACAGTCAGAAGCGCGGGAGGGTGAGAGGATCCACCAGAGCCAGAGCGGGGAGCAGAGCAGGCAGAAGGACGGAAGTACACTGCTGAGGGGAGCAGCGGGCGGCAGGAGGGGTCTGCGCGCCATGTGGGACCCTCCTCCGGTGGCCGGGGAGCAGCTGGGGATTGAACCGGCGCCGCAGAGGCCGCGGGCAGCTTCGCAACCCAGCGCTCAACCGCTGCGCCACCGAGGAGGCCCCTGCCTTATTTTTAATGTTTTTCTTCTTCAACCTCTTTTTTTGTTGTTGTTTAAAGATTTATTTATTTATGCACGTAAGAGCTGGAGTGCAGTTCAGAAGTGTGGGGGGTAAGCAGATTTACCAGAGACAGAGTGGGCGCAGAACAGGCAGATCCACTGAAATCCACTGCTGAGGGGAGCAGCGGGGAGACAGGAGAGGTCTGCTGTGCCCTGTGGGCAGCTCCCTGGCCAGGGATCGAACTCGTGCTGAAGTGGCTGGTGATAGCTTCCTCGTGCTGAGACTTAACCCCTGTGCACCAAGGAGGCCCTCAACCTCCTTTTCTTTAGTAAACCACATTTAGTATAAAAGAATTGGCCTTTGTGGAAGCCCCTGCATGGGCACCCTTTGGCCACAAGCTGGACCTCGTGGAAGAAGTCCCCCCTGCGGAGTCAGTTCATGATTGCCACAAACCGCTGATCTGCTTCACGGCCGTATATTTGCCTTTTCTGAACATTCCACGTGGATGGACTTACATGACGTGCAGCCTTTGTGGCAAGTTTCCATCGCTTACATAATTGTGAGGTTTATTCATGTTGCATCATGTCTGTGGCCTTTTTTTTTTCGCTTTCATTTATTGACTTTTCACTAAGTTTAAATGCTTGAGGGGTACAGTAGTACAGTACAGGTGGATTCTGTGTGGTATGCCCTTGGCGGGAAGGTGGCTTGGGGATTAGGCACCAACCTCGCGCCTAGCCTGGCTCGCGTGACCTTTCCCTGTCACGGTGGTATTGCGAAATGTGCCCTCAGGAGTCGCCCTGTTGCTCTCTGCTTTGTGCACATTAGCAAATCTCTTGCCTGCACAGAATTCAGTTTCCTTTCCAGCATAAACACCTTTTTTTTTTTTTTTTTAGATTTTTAAATTTTTATTGATACCTGCAAGAACTGGGGTGTAGGTTCATCAGAGACAGTGTTGGGAGCAGAACAGGTAAACACCTTCAGCCAGAGTTTAGAAGTCCTGTTCCCTGCAGGCCTTAGTTATTTGCCCACAAAGTTCAGCAGCAGGAACCTATTTTATTCTGTTTTATGGCTGCATAATTTCCCAGCGCGTGGATGTACTGCGCTTACTTACCTATCCCCGACGGATGGAGTTTTGAACTGCCTCCGTTTCTTGGCTGTTGTGAGTGTATTAGAATACAAACATGCTTCCTCTTCTCCTTTACCTAAGCACTGGAAGCAACTAAGTATAGAGTAACAGATACTTTTCCAGTAATAGAATCCTGTTTTTGGATTTCAGAAAACAGTAGGTGTGGACCTCCCTGGTGGCGCAAGGGGTTAAGACACAACCTATGAGCCTGTCCACAGCCCCTGCAGCACAAGTTTGATTATCAGGCCCAGCCGGCCAGGGAGCTACCCACAGGGCGCAGCAGACCTCTCTTGACTCCCCGCGGCTCCCCTCAGCAGTGTGTTTCAGTAAATCCGCCTGTTCTGTCCCCACTCTGTCTCTGGTGAATCCTCTCGCCCCCAACCCTTCTGGCCTGCCCCAGCTCTTGTATGCGTAAATAAATAAAATGTTAAAAAACAAACAAAAAAAGGTAGGTGTGTTCTACCACATTTTAGTAAATTTCCTCACCTCTCCTAGGCTGCTTAAAATTTTTTAATTTTTGTCGAATATCCTAAACATTTTGCCATTTTAAGCATTTCATTGTCCAGTTAAATGGCATCACATACGTTCACGTTGTGTGCAGCTGTCACCATTATCCATCCACAGACCTTTTCATCGTCCCAGGTCCTGCCTAGCAAGGATGTCTTGGAGGAGAGCCGTGCGGGTGAGGTAAAGGACGGCCCAGCATCCTCAGGTGGTTTGCTCCGGCAGCGGGCAGCACACCGAGAGTCGCACCACCCCATGGAGGCCTCAGCGTTGACTCTGGAGGATGAGCCGACGGTGCAGGACTTCCCAGGACTGCAGCGCTGGGTGTCTCCTGGGCCCATGTCACCGTCTGCCAATATGGCCAGCAGTACAAATCAGGTTTTCATGATTGTTAATTTTTGTTGTTTTTTTTTTAAAAAGATTTATTTTATTTACTTATGCATACACGAACTCGGGTGCAGGCCAGAAGTGCGGGCGGGTGAGAGGAGTCCCCAGAGACAGAGCGGGGAGCAGAACAGGCACATCCGCTGAAATCCACTGCTGAGGGGAGCAGCGGGAGACAGGACAGGTCTGCTGCGCCAAGTGGGTAGCTCTCTGCCCGGGGATCGGACTGGTGCTGCTGCAGCTGCCGATAGATTCTTAGTGCTGAGACTTAACCCCTTGCGGCACTGGGAGGCCCCCGCTTGCTAATTTTTGTAGTGAAACTTCCACCGGGTCACTGAATGTGGAGTTGAATACAGTCTGCTCCAGTGAGTGGGTATGTGGTAGTTTGTATGTCCTCCACTTGCCACTGCCTCCCCGACCCCAAACCCAGTGTTTGCGCCCATTTGTGTTTTCATCCAGCTCCAGTAGATCCCACATCCACCGACACCCGCCTCCAGGGACAGGCCCCAGGCAACAGTGCCCCCAAAGCAGTGCTGCGGAATGTGGGGCATTCCTAGGAACAAGAGAACCAAGCCCTGCTACCCAGATGTAGCTGGAGACTCATACCACGAACACCCAATTCCCCAAACTCTGGGCCCAAGGCAGTCCTGGCATCTGAGACACAGATTTTGGCCCAGAGACCTTCAGTCTGTCCCAGGAGGCCTGATCAGAAGGCAGATTAGGTTATGCTGCACTCAGGCTCCTCCTTGCTCTCCTGCTGTGGGGGTCGGCGCTCCTTCCCCAAAGCCTCTCCTCTCTCTGCACTGTAAGGTCCCAGTTCTGTCCTCAGTCTCCACACACAAGGGATAGAATCCCAGGAGTCAAGGTGGCATCAACATTACATTAAGGCCTTTATTATCACACCGAGGCAGGTCTCAGGGTTGGGTCATTTGGAGGCTGGCCTCATCCTCGCAAGCATCGTATGGGCTCCACACTGCCTGCAGAGAAGGGACGGCGCCTGTGGACATCCTTAGACACCAGTTCACCACCTCCAGGAGGGAGCTAGGTCAGGGCATCACCTGAGAATGGGGGATGGGGGGGAGGTGGAGAGCACCCCCAAAGGCTTCTACCACCTGGGGCTCCCTCCAAGGAGTGTAAGGAGAGAGTCCACCTTCCCTGAGTGTGGTGAGGTAATAGGCACATGCTGTGGGGTCCTGCCCGCTGGTGACATGGCATCTGGGCGAGGTAATTTGGGAACGCACCTGGACGGGTTTGAAAGTTTGGCGCTCCTGGAAGTTTCCACTTGTCTGGCAGTCATAGGCAAGCTCTCTGGGAGGGGTGTGGAGATGTGTGTATTTTGGCCCTGTCTTCCTCACAGAGGCTCCTGTCAGAAGTTTCCTCAGAAGTGTGTCCTTCTGTGGTGAACCAGGAAAGAGCCCAACTAATCTTCCCACACTCGCACCTACCTAAGGCCTCTGTTTGGTTCGAGCTCTCCCGTGGTGCAGGAGGCTGAGGCTCTGATCAAAGGCTTTCCTGCGGCCACCCCGCTCACGACGCTCCTTCCCGGTGTGACCCTTCTGGTGCTTAGAGAGGTTTGAGCTGTAGCGGAAAGCTTTTCCGCATTTGTTACACCTGTAGGGCTTCTCCCCAGTGTGAACTCTCTGGTGCTGGCTGAGAATGGAGCTTTCACTGAAGGCTTTGCCACACTGACTGCACGCGTAGGGCCTTTTCCCAGTGTGGACTTTGCGGTGCTTCCCAAGGTTAGAGCTGTAGCTGAAGGCTTTCCCGCACTCAGGGCACTCATAAGGCCTTTCTCTGGTGTGAACCTTCTGGTGCTGAATGAGGGCGGAGCTTTGACTGAAGGCTTTTCCACACGCTCCACACGCATAAGGCTTTTCTCCAGTGTGAATCCGCTGGTGTGGGACAAGGTTGGAGGGGCAGCTGAAGGCCTTCCCGCATTGGCTGCACTTGTAAGGCCTCTCTCCTGTGTGGCTCCTCTGATGCAGAATGAGCTTGGAGGTCTGCCGGAAGGCTTTCCCACATTCACGGCACTCAAAAGGCCTTTCTGTGTCGTGAACTTTCTGGTGTCTGACTAGGTGGGAGCTGTTGATGAAGGCTTTCCCGCACTCGCTGCACTCATAGGGCCTTTCTCCGGAGTGTATTTTCTGGTGCTCCACAAAGTTGGAGATGCAACTAAAGACCCGCCGGCACTGTCTGCACTCGTAAGGCCTCTCTGTGTTGTGAACCTTCTGGTGTCGAACAACGTGGAAGCTGCGAGTGAAGGCTTTACCGCACTGGTCACACTCAAAAGGCCTTTCTCCAGTGTGAACTCTGCGATGCTGAACGAGCGAGTGTTTGCGGGTGAAGGCCTTCCCGCACTCACTGCAGCTGTGATGTGCTTTTCCATCGTGAACCTTCTGATGTGTCCTCAGTTGAAACAGGTGGCTGAAGGCCTTCCCACACTCAGGGCACACATGGGACGGCTCGCCAGCATTAACTGCTTGCTGATTAGCACGGGTTAAGTTCTGCCTGGAAGCGTTTCCCCTTGCTGGACATCTGGAGGGTCGCTCTTTGAAGCGCGTGACGAGGTGGTCAAGGAGGGAGAAGGCCTTCAGGAAGGCTTTCCCACAGCCGCTGCACTTGAAGGTCCGCTGCGGGGTGTGGCCCTCCTGCCGCTGCGGGCAGCTGGCGCGGGGCGGGGCGGCCTCCCGGTGCCTGGGGTTCCCGGCTGGCTCCCCCTCCCTGCGGGCGGCCTGGCGTTGGAGGCGGCCTACGGTAGCTGGAACGTTCTCTCCGGCCCCTCCACACATAAACGGCTTCTCTGACAGGTGGCGTCTGTGGCTCGTCACCGGCTTAGGAGGGGCCTCCGCGTCCCCCAGGCCACCTAGACAACCTGCGACAAATGCTGGGTTAGAGACAAGGCCGGGACTCCAACTCGTTCCTTAGCTTTCAGCAGGGCCAGCACAGGCAGCCCTGGGAGATTTCTGACTGGAAACAACAGAGAAAAATAGGCACCAGCCTAGGAAAACCCAGCACAACTGGGCCTGTGTTGCTCCCAGGTTTTGTGCCGCTACATGCGTATTTCATAACGCACCGATGACAGGCCGATGCGGATGGCCCTGGCAAGGGGGAGTGGGGAGACTCGGTGATCTGGGCACGGGGGTCGTCCATCATCCAGCATTGGGTGTGAGTGCAGCGGGCCAGAGGCGGAGTGTTCAGAGGAAGGGAGGAAGGTGGGTGTATGGTGCTGCGACTGGCACAATGACAACCTCTGCCCCAGCTCCTACTTGCCACAGCCAGGGCCCCTCGAGGCCGCTCCTGCGGAGCCACGTGCACTCTGCCAGGCACCCAAGGCTCCTGTCCTGTTCCAGGGCGCAGGGAGAGGGCGAACTGCACAGGGCTTGGGAGTTGCCAGGCCTGGCCGGAAGACAGGTTGGGTAACTGAGAACACTTCTCCGTGACAGACCAAGGGACGCCCATCAGGTTGGCACTGGGGAGGAATCTCCAGTCGCACTTAGCCTCGGAGGCGTGCTCAGTAAAAGGCCAGCTGTCCCCTGTGCGGTGACCACTGCCGTGTCTGCCGGCCTGCACGGCCAGGCCCCTGGGAAGGTCTGACAGGAAAGGTTAGCGGTGCCACTGGCTGGACAGACGGGCAGTGGGAATGGGACTCCTGGCCCGGAGCCCTTCCCAGGAAAGCTGCAGAAGCAGCTGTTGGGGCTCCGGGGAGGAGGCAGCACCTGGATGAGGAGAAACGCAGGGCCCGGAATAGGACCCCGGGGGGTCGGTGGAGGGCCTCACCCAGCGAGGACACAAGGGCCAAGTTCTCCAGCATCACGTCGCTGTACAGGCTCCGCTGAGCCTCGTCCAGGAGCTCCCACTCCTCCCGGGAGAAGTGCACGGCCACGTCCTTAAACGTCCCCCAGCCCCGCCACGACCGGGACAACTGAGTTGACCAGGCCCAAGGACAGCAGCAAAAAAGGAAAAAGGTCAGAGTGAGCTCAGGATGAAGCGCCCGGGCCGGGGCCGGGACCCTGCCCAGCACCACCTCTGACCCCGGCCCCTGCCCCCCGAGCTCCAGTGCAGGCCCCCCCCCCCCCCCCCCGGTGCGGTCACCGTGTGCCCCGTCGCCTGCCAGGCACCGCCCCGGCTGCTCCTCCCCAGCCTCCCACAAACGCCAAGCGGGCCCGTCTGCTCCCGGACCCGCTGCCAGCACCCCCGGGGCGCGGGTTTCCCGGGCGCATCTCCAGAGGCCCGCGCTCGCCAGTGGTGCCGCTCGCCCCGCGCGGGGCGACCTGGCCGCGCCCGCTCCCGCCCCCCGGCCACGGCGCCCGGGGCCCGGGCTCGGCGCCGCGGCTCCTCCACTCACGTGCGCCAGCGGCCCGGGCGCCGCCGCCATCGGCCCGGCCCGGGGCTCGGCGCGGCGTCAGCGCCCCATGGCCCTGCGCCCTCGGGTGCCAGCCGCGGAGCGGCCTCGGCGTCCGGCCCAAGGGCGGCGCGCGGCGACCTGTCAAGAGCAAACCCGGCGACCCGGAAGTCCCGCCCGCGCGCGGCCTAATTCCGCGCCGATTGGCCCGTGAGCGGCTTCCGGCCCGGCGCCTTCTGGGCAATGTAGTTTCCGTCCCGGCGCTTCCTGGCGGCCCGGCCGCGCCGCGAGGAGTCCTGGGACATGGGGGCGGGGGCGGGGCCGCGGCGCCTTGAAGGGGCGGGTCGGAGGCGCGGCCTGGGCCGAAGCGGGTGGGGGGTGCCCCCCTCCCCCCGACGGCGCCCTGTTGTCCCGCCCGCGGCGCGCCGCCCCTCCCCCGCGCGGCCCCCCAGCCGGCTTCCTCCGTTCCGGCCGGCGCCCCTTGAGGGACCGGGTCTTGTCCGGCCGCCTGGACCCGGCGCCGCGCCCGCCCTCTGCCCGCGGCCCGCCGCCCCTCGGGCCTGCTCTCCCCGCCCAGGCTGCGCGCGGCCGCTTTCCGCCCTCAGCGGCGCGGCCTCCCGGCCGTCGGAGCCCGCTGACCGCCGCCGCCTGCACCTCGGGGCCTCGCGGCCGGTGCGGAGCCTCCCGGCGCCAGCGGGTTTCGCGAAGGGCCCCCTTTACCTCTCGGGCCCCTGGGAAACCCTGATCCCCCATGTAACAGGGGATCCCCAGGAAAGGGGGATCCGGGTTACCTGCCCCACCCAGGGGAGGCGGAGCTGAGCAGGGAGAAGAGGCTCCCAGAGACTGGGAAGGAGCAGGACGGAGCCGCAGGCGCCCTGGGGGAGGCTCGTGGAGCCAGGCAGGAGGAGAAGCCCGCTGCCTTGTAGTAGGGGGGGGGGCAGTGCCGGTTTTGTCTTGATTTTGCTCTTTTCCTCCCAGACTTGTGTGGTTGTTTCTGACCCTTTTCTGTGGGTCCCCCCTGCAAGGTGCTTTAGACTGTGGCAGCTTTGGGGCCTTGCTCTGGGCCAGTCCTGCTTGGATGGATTTTCACCCATGAGGGGACGGGTGACTCCGGTGCTTGATTTAGAAATTATACTCTTTGCCTTTCCTGTGTTGTTTACTAATTGTATTAAAGTTCATTTTCATTAAGGTCTCCTATGTTTTGTGTTGATGTCGCGAATGGCAGAACCTATTTTGAGCAGGCAGGTTTGTGCGAGTCTGGGGTGCCCCTCTCCCTTCCCTGTAACAACATTACTCTGCATTTGCCTATTTTATCTGCTTCATTTCAGCAGAAGTGTATAATCATAGGCCCCTCGTGCCTGGATTATTTCTCTTAGTATATTCAAGGCCCGTCCATGTTAGCACACCCATCAGTAAAAAGAACATTTGTTCCTATAATTTTTTAAAGATTTTATGTATTGGGCCTCCCCGGTGGCGCAGCGGTTGAGCGCTGGGTTGCAAAGCTGCCGGCAGACTCTGCAGTGCCAGTTCGATCCCCGGCTGCTCCCCGGCCACCGGAGGAGGGTCCCACATGGCGCACAGACCTCTCCTGCCGCCCGCTGCTCCCCTCAGCAGTGTACTTCGGTCCTTCTGCCTGCTCTGCTCCCCGCTCTGGCTCTGGTGAATTCTCTCGCCCTCCTGTGCTTCTGACTGTACCCAGTGCTTGTATGTATAAATAAATAAATAAATCTTTAAAAAAAAAAAAAAAAAAAAGATTTTATGTATTTATACGCACAAGAACTGAGGTGCAGGCCAGACGTGTGTGTGTGGGGGGTGGGGGTGAGAGGACTCCCCAGGAACAGAGTGGAGAGCACAAAAGGTGGATCGGCTGACATCCACTGCTGAGGGGAGCAGTGGGGAGACAGGAGAGGTCTGCTGTGCCATGTGGGTAGCTCTCTGGCCGGGGATGGAATTTGTGCTCCAGAGGCTGCGGATAGTTCAAAGGGCTGAGACTTAATCCCTGTGCCACCAGGGAGGCCCCTGTGTTTGTTCCTTTAATAGGTAAGTAATAAATATCCCATCGTGTGGATCCATCATTTTATGTTTTGTCCATTCACCATCTGGTGGTCTAGGGTTACTTCCACCTTTTTAGCTTTTCTGAATAACACAGTAAACTTCGGTGTACAAGCGATTTTGAGTCCCTGTTTTCAACTCTTTTTACTGTATCTAGGAGTGGAATTGCCAAAAGATGTAACGATCATGCTTTCAGATTTCTGAGCAACCACTAGCATGTATTCTGAATGTGAAACGATGTTAAGCCCTTTCAGATATGCAACTTGCAAATATTCTGTAAGTTGGGTTTTCATTTTTTTGGGTGGTGTCCTGTGGTATACGAATACTTCAAATTTTGATAAAATCCAACTTACCCATTTTTTTGTTTTCGTGTTACAAATAAAGATTTACCACTGTTTTCTTCTACGAGTTTCGTGGTTTGGGTCCTTATATTTATGTTGTCAGTGCATTTGGCATTAAATTATGTGTGTGGGTCTGTTATGCGTGGGTGTGTGCCCAGCAGTGGTGATGTGCCCAACGTGAGGTTCCTGGGGCGCTACAGGAGCCTGTACTCGCTGCCGCCATCAGGCGCTTGGAAGCACAGTCCACAGCTAGGGGGGCAGATGCACGCTGTGCAGAGCCATGGAGGCCACAGCCAGGTGCGAACTGCTGACCATCGGAGAATCCAGTCTGCAGAAGGACCATCGTGGGGCGCGGGCTGTGCAAAAGCGTTTGGTGAGTCGTGACCGAGGCAGCGAGGTCAGGCGGCCTACAGGCCCCGACAAGCATTGGCTGCCCCCGGCGTCGTCTCCGAAGCACAGGTCCTCCCTGCGCCCGGCTGGGCCCTCAGGGCCCTCAGGCGCGCCTGCGTTTCGGGCGTCGCGGCCGTCGCCCCCTCCCAGCCGGGTCACTGCGAGGGCGGCGCGGCCGGACTCCACTTCCCGGCGGCCCGCGCGGCGACGCTTAGCCGTTGCCGTGGAGACCGCGCGGCGCGGCGTCCGGAACTACGACTCCCAGGAGGCGCCGCGCGTGCGTCGCGCGCGCCGGGGCCAATGGGCGCCCGAGGCGGGGCCTCCGCGCCCGGATTGTCACTTCGCCGCCGCGTCGGTCGCTCGCCCGGGGCCGCCGCCGCGCCGGGCCCTGCGCCGCGCCCCCGGGACGCCGGGGGCCGCGAGGACGGCGTGCGCGGAGCCCGCCCGCCGCCCCGCCGCTCCCGCCCGCCGCCCGCCGCGCGCCGCGGCCCCCCGGGTGCTGGGCGGCCCGCGGGCCCGGGCGGCCGCAGCCACGTGCTCCCCGGCGTCGGCGGCCGCCCCGGGGGCGGCGCCCTGGGCGGCGGCGCGCCTGACGGCCCGGGACGCGGAGCCCCGCGCCCGACGGCGCCCCGGCCGGCCGCCCCGACGGCAGGCGCGAATGGCGGCGGCGGCCCCGGCGCAGGTGAGGGGCACCCGGCCTCGAAGGAAGGCGCGGGGGTCGGCGGCGCGGGGCAGAGCGCGGGCCCGAGGCCGCCCGACCCGGCGGGGTCCGCGCTGGGTCGGAGCTTGGGAGGGACCCGCGGCTCGCCGCGGGCAGCTCGTGCCCCTGCGGGCCCCACCAGGGCGGCCGTGGGTCCGGGAGGGTGGGCGGCGGCCTGGTAGGCTGGGGCGAGCCAGTGTCGGGGAGAAGGGCGCCCCTCGATGCTTGTCCCTGGGCCAGAGCAGCTGAAGGGGTGGCGCCGCCGCACACGGGGTCGTGAACATGAGGGGCCGCGTGTCAGGTGAAGGGCAGGGGCTCTGTCCCCAGGTGGAGGCGGTCACGGCCAGGGTGGCCAGTGCCCGTGGGACATCCATGGAGAGGAAGGGGGCGGGGGCTCGGGCCTGGTCACGCAGCTGCAGCCCAGACCGTGACCGTCTCACCGCATCTGCCGGTGCAGGACCTGATGGCCTTCGAGGACGTGGCCGTGTACTTCTCTCAGGAGGAGTGGGGGCTCCTGGACGCAGCCCAGCGGGCCTTGTACCATCAGGTGATGCTGGAGAACTTTGCCCTCGTCGCCTCCCTGGGTAAGGATCTGAGGTTGCCAGACTGGGCTGCTGGCACTGACCCTTCGCCCTCTGGCCACAGTGAGCAGCCTCCCTCACTGGCTGAGCGTCCCCTTCCTCAGGCGTCCCCTGACATGCTTCTCCTGGTGGGGACAACTTGTGAGATCACTGGGTTCCTCGATTGTGTCTATGATGCTATGCGTATCACAAAGCCCCGGCTCTGGGTCGGCCTCCGCGGGGCCCTCACATGCTCCTCCTCACAGGACTTGCCGTCTCCCGCCCCCATGTGATCGCCCAGCTGGAGCGTGGTGAGGATCCCTGGGTTCTTGCTGGGATGGACGTGGCCATGACCAGGAGCTCCCACAGGAGGCCCAGCCCCGGTGAGTAGGAGCGGGGTGGGCTTGGGCCACTCTGTGGCCAAACTTCTGTTCTCCCCTCCTGCCCCTCCGGGACACACTTCCTCCCGCCTCCCATTCCGTTTCCACCGTCAGCCTCTCCTAGCGTCCCCGCTGCCCCCAGAGCACCATGGTGAATCACTCTCCGTGGTGTTTCCCCGTCTGTCTTCACCAGCGCGTCCCTGAAGGATTCAATTCCTCATTCACTCGTGTTTTCATAACACCTGCAGTGGCTGGCCCTGACCCAGCCTGGGCACAGTCTCCACCAGGCCGCTGCGGGCCTGGGCTGGGGGAGAGCGTGGTGGCCAGTTCACCATCAGGTATACAGTGTCCACAGCCTTCGGCCCTGGTCACGACCTCTTGGCCGGGACATGCTGGCATCCGCCCTGTCTGCCTGCAGGTTCCCAGCACCCGGCCAAGGATGGAGAGGTTTCTGGAGAAGTGACGCTGCTGACAACTTTCCTGGAAGCCCCGTCTCGGGTGCCGCCTGGGGCCCTCCGCTCAGGGGATGCTGTCCGGGGACTGGAAAAGCGCCGGGAGTGTCGGTGGGGCCCTGCGCCCTGTCAGGAGAGAAAGCCCAGCGGGGTGTCCGTGATCTACTGGGAAAAGCTGCTGCTGGGCGCAGGCCGTCAGGGGGCGGGAGTCAGCCTGCGACTCACCTCCCCGCTGAGGGCTCCCGAGGGCGGCCCGCCCGGGAAGCAGACCCCTGGCAGGACTGCCCGGCGAGGCGCCGGCCTCGAGGTGGGTGACGCCAGTGGGGCCCCGGGCCGGGGCACGGTCTGGCCCGCGCCCGGGAGCCCCCCCGCCGGCCCGGAGCCGCCGACCTGGGAGGAGCTGGGGGAGGCGCTGCAGGCGGGCAGCGGCCTGCTCGCGGGAGAGAAGCCCTTCGAGTGCCGCGCCTGCCGCAAGGTGTTCGTGAAGAGCTCGGATCTGCTCAAGCACCTGCGCACGCACACGGGCGAGCGGCCCTACGCCTGCGCGCAGTGCGGCAAGGCCTTCAGCCAGACGTCGCACCTGACGCAGCACCAGCGCATCCACAGCGGCGAGACGCCCTACGCCTGCCCGGCCTGCGGCAAGGCCTTCCGCCACAGCTCGTCGCTCGTGCGGCACCAGCGCATCCACACGGCCGAGAAGGCCTTCCGCTGCGCCGAGTGCGGCAAGGCCTTCAGCCACGGCTCCAACCTCAGCCAGCACCGCAAGATCCACGCGGGCGGCCGGCCCTACGCCTGCGCGCGCTGCGGCCGCCGCTTCTGCCGCAACTCGCACCTGATCCAGCACGAGCGCACGCACACCGGGGAGAAGCCGTTCGCCTGCGCGCTCTGCGGCGCCGCCTTCAGCCAGGGCTCTTCGCTCTTCAAGCACCAGCGCGTGCACACGGGCGAGAAGCCGTTCGCCTGCGCGCAGTGCGGCCGCGCCTTCAGCCACAGCTCCAACCTCACGCAGCACCAGCTGCTGCACACGGGCGAGCGGCCCTTCCGCTGCGGGGACTGCGGCAAGGCCTTCGCCAAGGGCGCCGTGCTGCTCAGCCACCGGCGCATCCACACGGGCGAGAAGCCCTTCGTGTGCGCGCAGTGCGGCCGCGCCTTCCGCGAGCGCCCGGCCCTCTTCCACCACCAGCGGGTCCACACCGGGGAGAAGGCGGCGCGCAGGCCCCGGGCGCAGGCCCCGGCCCGAGCGGCCCCGGGGGGCGCCGCAGACGCAGCTCCCGGGCGGGTGGCCGGGCCCCTTCCTGGCCCTGGCCCGTCCGCGGGGGCCAGGTCCGCGCAGGTCTGAGGCGGGCGGCAGGCCTGTCCCCCGGAGGAGCCCGCACCTGCTCTCTGCCATCCGCGATGGCGGGCGTGGCGGCGCTGGGAGGTGCTTCCTCACATCGGGACTGGACGCTTGGTGCTTGGCCAGCGGCTGCGCCGATCCAGGCCGCCCCAGGGCTTCCCGGGAGTGTGCCGGGCGGGGTCCCGGGTGGCCGCCTCGGAAGGGCTCAGCCTGAGCTCAGATTTCGGCTCAGGAGGGCATTTGCAGCCCCCGATGAGGCAGGATCCTGATGAGGGTCAAACATGCCCGCCCCGCCTGTATGCAGGGCTTGAAGTCCCCTGGCAGCCCGGGAGCTGGTCGCATAGGCTGGCACCTGCCGGAGGAGACACTGGTGAGCAGAGGCAGCCGTGAGCTGCACACAGGAGAGCCGGTACTTGAACCCAGGCCACTGACCCAGCCTTTAGGAGCCCAGTGGGGCTGGACCGGGCTCCCCAGACGTGGGAGATCCACAGGGGTGATGGGGGCGCAGCTCAAGGATGGTGGCCTTGGTCGGACCACTGTGCCAGTTCGTTCAGTTTCTGCCTAAACCTCCGCATTGGACATGCCCTTTCATCAGCAAGGTTGTTGCAGTTTGAGCCCTGACCAGAGCAGTTGTTTCCGAGGAGACGATGGGCTGCTTATTTCCTCGCCTCGGGTGTGTGTGTAGTGCCCTCCCGACACCCAGCCCTGGTGTCACCCCGCCCGGGGAGCACTGAGGCGATGCAGCTTGCCGCAGTGGGCTTCCTGTGGCTCTCGCCAGTCACGCCTCACCTGTGGGGGCGAAAGCCTAGAGATGGAAACAGGATGTCATTTGGAATTGTCATGCTGATCTGGGAGCGCAGCCCCCCTCACGCTGCAGGCCGTGTGCGGAGGTTTGACAGAATCAGTCTCCAGAGGCTTATAAAAGTTTCATTTTGATAACGTGTGTGAGCAGCGACTGCCCCTGGTGCTGGAGCGACTCAGACCTGCCACTGAGATGGGTTGTGGACTCAGGAGAGGTGGAGGTGGGGTGCTGGTCAGGGCCACGGGGCATCAGAGGAGGTGCAAGGGGCAGAGACCCTGGCAGGGAACAGCGATGAACCCACCGCAGCAGCAGCAGCACCGGGAGTTGGGCAGGCTGGCAGTCTGAGGCCATGTGACCAGGACGGCTGACCTTACCAGCCTTGTCCTATCCCCTCACTTGCGGCCCCGCCCCCCACCCCTGGGACCTCACAGGCCTCCTGCAGAGGGGACATGATGGGACCTGGCTCCCCCAGATCCTCAAGCAGGCGTGTACCCACCCAGTGGGCCCCGCAGGTGTGCTTCAGCCCCAACCAGTGATCGGCACTTTCCCCAGGCTGCCTCCCTCTGCGTGCAGGTCACATCTACCTCAGGCTGTGCTGCCCTCACCTTGCAGACCCCCACCCAGGCCTCTGGTGAACCCATGGTCTTCAGGAGCAGAAGCATCTGGTGACTGCAAGTGGGGGCCCAGTCTATCTGGAGCACTCCCCACCCCACTGATGCCTCCCCTCAGTTGCTCCCCCCTTCTCAAGTGCCCTTCCCACTACCTGTGGTCATTTTAGGCCTGTCCTGCCTGTTCTTTCTGCTGTCAATGAACCCTGAACACGCTGTGAGTGAGTCACCGGGCTTTCTGCTCTGGTTAAGCTGGTGGACTGGACATGTGTCTTGATTCTAAAGCCACAGCAAGGAGCCCCCCCAGCAGGTTGGTGACAGAATGCTGTCACCGATGCAGGAAAGACAAGTGCCGCCGGCCCCTTATCGGCGCTGAGGTGCAGGTGCTGCCTCCACGCCACCGAAAGCCTTCCGTTTTCCTGAAACCTTGCTACAGCTCTGTGGTAGGGCGTTGGTGTCAGGCCCCGTGGATGCCACAGTTCGCAGCGCACGAGTCCCTCGGTCGCGACCCTTAGTACCCCCGCATTTCCCACGTGCCGTTAGCTGATGTGAAAGCAGAGCCGCGGGGAGAAAATGAAACCCCACGGGTCAGGCCCGTGTCGCAGAGCGCCGGCTGCCCTGAGCTGGCACAGAGGTGGGTGGCGGTCGGTCCCAGCAGCCTAACTCCGGGCACGACCCAGCGGGCCCGGATGCCGGCCTCGCACGGGAGGGGGCAGCCGGGGGAGCCGTTCCTGCGGGGCCTGCTTTCCCCAGAAGACAGACAACGCCGCGGGACGGTCCAACCGACCGCACCACGGCGGGGTGGCGCGGCCCCAGCCCCAAGCTGGCGCCCCGCGTAGCCGCCCGGGCTCCGACGCCGACGGACACGCCTCGGGGTCCGGTAAGTTGCGGCTCGAGCGCCTGACGGTGGGAGCGGAGCTCCGCCGCCCGCTGAGGAGCGCAGGTCGCCCCGGCGGGAGCGGAAGGCCGAGGGCACCCCCGCCTGCTCCGCGCCGGCGTCAGCCTCGCGGGCGTCCTCCCAGGGTGGGCGGCGGGCCGGGGCGCCTTCCCCCGCCGGGGCGCTGCCGCCGGTCTGCGCCGCCGGGCCCCCACTTCCGCCCTCCTGCGGGCGACGGGCGACGCTCCGGCCGTTGCCGTGGAGAGAGCGGAAGTGCCCTGCGGTTGCCAGGGGGATGGCTGGGCGGGGAGAACATGCCTGTGGGGGCGGGGGCCGGGCCGAGCGCAGCTCTGATTGGCTGGAACGTCCGCGCCCTCACCACGCCTGCCAATAGGAACGGGCCCGATGTGCACATGCGCAGGAGTCCAAGGTCCCGGCCGTCTCAGCCGTTGGTGAGTCCAGGGCTCGGATGCCCAGAGAAGTGGCCGCCAGTCAGGGGAGAGACCCCCGGGCCCCGCGGCCTGCACGTTCCTCTAAGGGGCGGGGCGCCCGTCAGACAGGCCTATGAAACGGGAGGCGGCCGCGCCCGTCCTTTCCTGCGGAGGCTCATGGGAAACGTAGTCCGCGGGCTTTCGGAACGGGCGCGTGATTGGCCAGAGGAAGGCGCGGGGGCGGGCGGCGCCATTCCCGGATGTGCCTCGGGCCCCTGTGCGCCCTAGAACTGAGCGGGGGTCGGGGTCGGGCTGTCTCCGTGGGGGGCGGGGCCTCCTTGGAGGCGGGGCTATCCCCTGGGGGCGTGGTTTCCCGAAGAGGTGCTCTCCGGTGGGGCGGGGCCTCCTTGGAGGTGGGGCTATCCGCTGGGGGCGTGGCTTCCCGGGAGGGGCTCTCCGGAGGGGCGGGGCCTCCTTGGAGGTGGGGCCCTCTCCGTGAGGGTGTGGCTCTGCCTGCGAGGGGCGGGGCCTCAAGGGGCGGGGCTACCTAAACGAGGGGCGGGGCCTCCGTGGAGGCGGGCCTATCCGCTGGGGCGTGGCTTCCCGGGAGGGGCTCTCCGGAGGGGCGGGGCCTCCTCGGAGGTGGGGCCATCTCCGTGAGGGGGTTGGCGCTGCCTGCGAGGGGCGGGGCTACCTCGGCGAGGGGCGGGGCCTCCAGAAGGCGGGGCTCCCTCAGCGAGGGGCGGGGCCTCTGGGAGGGCCGCCCGCCGCGGACGCGCTCCCCCCTCCTCGCCCCACCCCCACCACCTCCCGGAGCCCCGCCCACCCGCTTTGGGGGCGCGGCCTGCGGGCCGGCACCCCCGCGGCGCGCTCTCAGACTCCCCCTTGCGCCCCAGCGTCCTGTCTGCTGACCGTGCCCGGCGGGGCGCGCCGCACCCCCGGGCGCGTCCTCACCGCTCCTTCCCTGCAGGCTCCTCTTGCCGGCCGGGACTCCCAGCGCGATGCCGCCGCCGCCGGGCGCCCGCAGCCTGCCCCCCGGGGGCCCCGCAGCGGGCTTGGAGGAGCCGGAGGCCGCGCGCCAGCTGTTCCGGGGCTTCCGCTACCGGGACGCGGCGGGGCCGCGCGAGGCCCTGGCCCGGCTCCGCGAGCTCTGCCGCCGGTGGCTGCGGCCCGAGGCGCGCTCCAAGGAGCAGATGCTGGAGCTGCTGGTGCTGGAGCAGTTCCTGGGCGCGCTGCCCCCCGAGATCCGGGCCTGGGTGCAGGGCCAGCGGCCGGGCAGCCCCGAGGAGGCCGCCGCCCTGGTGGAGGGGCTGGGGCAGGACCCTGGGCCACTGCTGGGCTGGGTGAGTGCGGCCGGCGCTCCCGGGGGACACGCAGCCCGGAGCCTCTGTGACCGGCCTGCGCTCCCCAGATCTCCACCCAGGTCCTGCGGCGGGAGGTGGCCGCCGCCCAGAGGACAGACACGCCCCACCCTTCAGAGACAGAGGAACGCCCCGGGGCTCCTGAGGAGGCCCCCCCGGACACCCAGGGGCCGGGCCCTGCCCCCCTTGGCTGCAGCGTGAAGGAGGAGCCGGACCCTGACGCGCAGGAAGCGGGTGAGGGCGGCACCTGCGACTCCCGCAACTGGAGGTTGTGTGGGAACAGGGCTGCGCGGGAGAGGAGGTCCGGGGTGCACGAGACCCCAGAGGGACTGCCCGCTGCCCCGGGGGAGCCCAGGGCAGCGCGGTGCACAGGGCAGAGGGCGCAAGCGCCAGCACTGGCTTGTCCTGGCCTGGTGGCCGCTCCTGACCCTACCCGCCTCACCCCCAGCACCTTCCAGCCCCCTGGCGACAGCCCTGAGCCCAGGGGGGCACCTCGGGCCCCAGGACCCGGCTTCCTCCACCTTCCACCCACCCAGGATCCAGGTGAGCAGCCCGGCAGCAGGCCCGGGCCCCCGGTGCGTCCTTGGGGACTAGTATCCATCCCCTTGCTGTCCTGGCCCCTGCCAGGGCTCCCATGCGCTGGGTCCAGAGTGGAGTGGGTGTCGGGCGCCCCGGCGGGTCGTGGAGCTGGGGGTCTCGCCCTGTTGGGAAGGACTGGGGCCTCCGGCCAGGGAGAGCTGGTCTGGAGGCTGTTCGGGGAGCAGGCGGCTTCCTTTCTGGGTCCTCAGCTAACCCCTGGAGACTGGGACCTCCTGTGCAGGTGGGAGGGGCAAGATGGCCCAGGGCGGGTGCTTCTGACGGCCACTTGGCTGGGGGCCTCCCGGACTCCCGGGGTCAGAAAGGGGACCTTCTCTCAAGGACATGCCCTCCTCCCGCGGGTCTCCGGGTCTCCAGCCCCGGCCCTGGATGCAGCCGGCCGTGTGGACCCGGCAGAGGTGCCGGGACTGGCCCGTTGGCCCCCTCGCATGGGTGGCAAAAAGGGTGGCTTCCGAGTCCTGCTGGTCAGGCCCGTGCCTGCAGGCTCCCCGCATGCCTGGCGCCGAGGCCGGGTCCTCTCCCCGCCCAGCAGGCTCCTGATGGCGGGTGGTGCCCTGGGGGCTGAGGAGGGCGACCGGCAGCCAGGCAGGGACAATCGCCCCGGCACAGCCAGGACCAGCCCAGCGCCACCCTGTCCCTGCTGGCCCACAGGCCTCCGTCCCGGGGTGCTGGCTGCCCTCCCGCCCAGGCCGGCGGCTCAGCCCCAGGCGCCGTCCCTGACCCTCTGCGTCGGCCCCAGCACTGGGAGGCCCGGCTGAGCAGCCCATGCCCGGCCGGGCCGTGGCTCCCCAGAGCGCCGGGAGCCTCAGCCCCTGACTTCTTGCTGAAGGGGGCAGTGGGGCGGCGGAAGCGCTCTGGGCACGCCCAGGTGAGGCTGGGTCGCCCCGGCGCTGACGCCCGTCCCGCAGGAGCCCTGGGGGCTGCTGAACCCGACCCAGAAGGAGCGCTACTGGGACGCGCTGCTGGAGGAGTACGGCTCCGTGGTCTCCCTGGGTGAGCGCCCGCGCCCCGCGCCCCGCGCCGGCCCTCGCCCCCGGGCGCCCCTCCTGACCGCCCCTGCCCCCAGCAGGGCTGCCCGGCCCCACCCCGACGCGCCCGCGGAGTCGGCGCCAGGTGCCCTGCGCGCGGGACCCGAGGGCCAGAGCCGGCTCCGGGCGGGTGAGCTGCGCGCCGGGACCCCGGGTGCCGCGCGGGGGGCGGGGGGCTCGGGGCCCCCTGCACGCGGAGGCCGCGGGCACAGCCCCCCGGGCCCCCGGGCCCCGCCGCCCCCCCCCGCCCCGCCCCCGGGAGCAGAGGCCGCCGGCCGCGAGGGCCCCCCCAGCAGCCCCGAGCCCCCGCCGCGGGTCCCTGGCCCGGGGGACTGGGGGGGCCGGGCGGGCCCGGGGCCCCACGGGGGCGCGGCGCGGAGCGCGCCCTACACGTGCGAGCAGTGCGGCCGCGGCTTCGACTGGAAGGCGGTGTTCGTCATCCACCAGCGCTCGCACGCGGGCGGCCGGGGCGCGGGGGGCCCCGAGAGGCCGCCGCCGCGCCCCCGCGAGCCCGGCCCCCCGAGACCCCCCCGGCGCGCGCTCGCGGGCCCGCGCGGCTACGCCTGCGACGAGTGCGGCCGCAGCTTCAGCTGGAAGTCGCAGCTGGTCATCCACCGCAAGGGCCACGCCGGCCAGCGCCGCCACTGCTGCGGCGACTGCGGCCGCGGCTTCGACTGGAAGTCGCAGCTGGTCGTGCACAGGAGGAGCCACCGGCCCGAGGCCCCCTGAGTTGGGGGCGCCCAGAGCTGCCCAGCGTCCGTGAGGGGCCGTGGCCCCGCCGCTGCCACAGCGTGGGTGACCTGCCCGGGGCGGGCAGCAGCCCCCCGACGGCAGCCCCCGCGCTGCCTTGCAAGCTTCGGTCTGGAAACCCGGCCTTTGTGCAGGACCCGGCGGCTGGCGCAGCGTGTCCGCCGGCCGGAGCCCCAGGCAGCCCCACCGGCCTGCCCGCCTTCCACTGGGCCGGGCAAACTGGCTTCCCCGGGACGCGCTCGCGGTTGGGCTCCGGTTCTTGAATAAACGCCTGTGGGTAACATCAGAGCTGGCGGCTGCTTCTCGCCCCACTCGCCTGACCTGAGCGCTGGATCCCCAAACTCGGTGTTCCGCCCAGTGAGGGGGGCTCCTCTGCCCGCACCCCAGTTGCCGAGCGCTGCGGCCCGCAGGTCACCTGCTGCGGCTCCGGCCCAGCCCGGCTGGGAGCACGAGGCCCCGGACCTGCTGCGCACAGGGGGAGCCAGGCCATGACATGGAGGGGGGGAGGCTGGCCCTGGTGGGGCCCGGGCCAGCGCGCCAGTGTGTGCCCAGTGCCAGAAGGGGCAGAGGCTCTGCGGCGCCAGGGGCCCCGGTAAGTGGCGGCAGGAGAGACCGCTTCTCGGGATCAGAGGCGGTCCACACACCCTCACATCTGGACCCCACGCAGGCTGAGCCCAGGGCACCCTCCGCCTGCAGCCAGGACACGCCTGCGGGCAACACCAGCCCCCTTCATGCCGTCTGTCTCACCTGCAGTCCCCAGGTGCCCAGGAAGACCTCTGTGGGGCCAGGGCTTCCCAGGCATGCTCAGCAGCTCCTGTCCCGCTTCCTTCCCTTCACCCTTCTCGCCCCAGCCCAGCACCCATCTCCTGCCACACCCGCGCCCTTCAGCCCGGCCTGGGTGTCTCCTGAGCCACAGAAGACCCCCAGTCACCTCTGCCTGCACCCTCCTGGTCCAGGTCTGCCAACTCCTCCCACACGGCTGGCATGGCCAGGCTGGTCTTGTGCCTTGGTGCAGAGGAAGGCACCCCAAAGGTCCCGGGGGCGCTGCTGGTGTCTCCATGCATGAAGGTTTGTGCACACAACCGATTTTATTTTCTGACGCCCGCCCAGGGTCATACCAGCCCCGCCCTACGCTGGGCAGCAGGGGACAGGCCAAGCTGGGCCTCAGGACAGCCCCCTAAAGGCCTGGGGTGGAGGTGGCCCCGGAGAGGGGCTGCTCGGTCAGAGTCTCCAGGTTCCCTCGCACACGGCCTGGTAGGTGTCCGCTGTCAGGGGCCGGAAGGTCTGGGCCTGGTGGTCCAGCATGAACAGGGGATCGGCGATGGTGCCCACGTTGAAGCCCTCACGCACCAGCCGCGATTTCAGCAGCTTGAAGGTGCTGGTCACCTCCAGGGTCTCCTGCAGATGCAGCGCGGTGCTCCTGCTGTGACTGCCCCACCCCCGCAGGGCCCCCGCCCCCCACTCCTGCTCCCGCCGCTCACCTGGACACGGATGAAGTGGGGGGTTGCGTAGGCAGGCAGCCAGGCGCGGACGTGCTGGTACAGCTTCCGCCCGTCGAAGGAGCGGCCGGGGACCAGCCGCACGGCAGCCATGCCCACCTTGCCCTCACACCCTGCGAAGCACAGCAGTCACTCGGCCGGGCCCGCGCGCACCCCGGTGGCGCCCCGTGACCCCGGGTGCCGCCGAGCACCTGGCAGGGCGCGGGGGCGCAGCGGGCGGCGCGCACCTGGCACGGACACGCCGTAGACGTTCACCTCCCGCAGGAAGTCCGCCAGCAGCAGCAGCACGCCCTCCACCTCCCGCGTGGACACGTTCTCCCCCTTCCACCTGCGGGCGACGCGCCCCTGACTCCCTGGCAACGTGGGGTAACGGCCCCACCGCGTCCTCACCGCCAGCCCCGCCCCCGGGACCCCGCCCCTCCCGGACTCGGCTCCGCGCCCCGCCCACGGCGGCCCGCCCCGCCCGCCCCGCCCCGGCGCCCCGCCCCGCCCCAACGCCCGCCCACCGGAAGGTGTCCCCCAGCCGGTCGCGGAAGTACAGGAAGCCCTCGCCGTCCATGGCCAGCACGTCCCCGGTGTTGAGGTACACGTCGCCCGCGCGCCGCACGTCCCGCACCAGCTTGCGCTCCGACAGCTCGCGGGGCCCGCGGTAGCCCTCGAAGGGGGCGCGGCCGAGCACCTGGGTCAGCAGCAGCCCCGGCTCCCCTGCGGCGCGGGCCGTCAGCCGTCAGCCGTCGGGCGGGGGCGGGGCGGGGCGGGGCGGGGGCGGGGGGCGCGGGGCGGACCCGGCCCTACCTGCGCGCGCGGGGATGCAGAGGCCCCGGCCGTCCCGCGCGGGCTCCGCCGCCTCGACGTCGAACCGGACCAGCTCGAAGGGGTTCAGCGCCTGCGGGGGTCGGCGGTGGGCGGGGCGCGCGCAGCCCCCCCCCCCCGTCTCCCCGTCCCCCCGCGCCGCCCCGCGCCGCCTCACCCGCAGCAGGCAGCTGGTCTTGCCCACGGCCCCGCAGCGCCCCGGGTAGTTGACGAAGCCCACGTTGCCCTCGGTGGAGCCGTAGACCTCGAGCACGCGCACGGGCCCGAAGCGCCGCTGGAAGGCCGCCCACACGTCCGCGCGCAGCCCGTTGCCCATCGCCAGGCGCACGCGGTGCGTCCGCTCCTCGGGGTGCTGCGGGGGCGCGGTCGGTCGCTGACGGGCGGCCCAGGCGCGCCGGGAACGCCCACCGCGGAGGCTGGGGGGGACCGGGACCGCGGGGCCAGCCCCGGGCCTGGCTTCCGGCGGGGTGCCCGGGCCGCAGAGGCGACCCGTGGGGGCCCCCGGGGCGGTCTGCCCTCGCGGGGCTGTCCGCGGCCTGACATGGGGTTCGCTAGCTGGCGCGTCACCGGGCGGGCGTCACGGCCCAGCCTACCTGGAGAGGTTATTCGGGCCTTTATCTGGAGTCACCTGGGAGTGACCCGAGACTTTATCTGTCGCGGGCTTTGAGGCACTCCCCGGGGCCGTCCCCTGAGGGGGCCCTGCAGACTGACGGAGAGGTCGCGGGGGCCTTGCCTGGACCCGCCTTCTGAGATGCGGTGACATCTGCGTTTATCCAGAGCCACCCCTGCCCTGGGCACTTCACCGGTGTCCGCACGATGTCCTCTTGAGGCACCATGCCCAAGGAGCCCGACAGGTGAAGTCACCTGCCCAGGCAGCACCGCTGAGCAGGGGAGGAGCTTTGTGAGGGACTCTGCCTGGGGCCCCTGAGGACGTGAGTCCTGTCCCTGCCTCTACCTGGGGTTACACCTAGGGTTTCAACCTGGGGCGTTCGGAGGGAGCCTGGCCCGCACCCCTCACCTGAGGAGTGTTACACAGGTACCGCAGAACCTCGCCCACATACTGGATCACAGTCACACCGTGCTGCCGACAGTCGTCCCAGAAGCGGGAGGCAGAGAACTTCGGGGTCAGGACACAGGTTGCCCCTGGTGGGGAGGAGAGGAGAGGGCTCAGGTCATGCTTCCAAGCCCCTGTGGGAAACTGCTCCCCTCGCCTGTGTGGTCCCCGGAAGGGAGGACACGGGGCTCAGCTCTGTCTCTAGTTGAGCTGAGTCTGAATCCTGTCTTCAGATTGTGTGGGATCCTGGTGCCTGGGGCAAAGTGGGCACGGCTCAGTCAGGGTAGTGGCTGCCCATCACCCGGTGGCCGTCAGTGTCTCATGGCTGCCAAGTGGGACATGCACAGCTGGGCGCGCGGTTGGTGGCATGGAGGGAGGAGGGCCGGAGGGAGCGCGGGGGCTGGGAAGGGGGCGGCACGGATGGGTGAATGGGTCAGGACGTGGGTGGCATGAATGGGTGGGTGGATAGAGGAGTGGAGGAATACGCGGGTGGCTGGATGTGTGGACACGTGAATTGATCCGTTTCAGGGACAACTGCCTCTGGGACGCCTGTGCACGCCCCCCTGGTACTGTGGAAGGCACGCCCCCTACCCCTCAGCGCGTCTCAGCAAACCCCAAAAGCCAGTATTATCCTGTCACAGGAGCAGCTGTGCAAGTGTGGTTGAGTAACGGGGGTGTCTTTGTTGAGACTGTACTTGGCTTGTGAGAGAACACAATGCCCTGCATGTGAGGCTGGATGGCGTGTCCTTGGGAGGGGCTGTGTCTGCAGCCCCTGGAGAAACGCCTGAGTCAGAACAGGTGGGAAAGCCGGGGGAGGCTGGTAGTTTCCAGTGAAAGCTCCCAGTTCACTTCAGCCTCTCTGCAGGAGGATGGTGTTGAGTAGCTTCAAAAGCAACAGCTAGGAGGCGCAAAGCGCCCTCCACCCCACTGCCGGGTGCCTGCCGGGAACCACGGACCCGACGCGCATCCCTGGAGGGAGTGTCCGGTCCCTCAGGTAATGTGGGGGCGGAACAAAGCCCTCCACTCTGGGTGTGCCGTCCACTCGGAGACGTTTGACCAGGGGGCCTCGGACCACGCTGGCTACTGCTAGCCGCCAGGGGTGGGTGTCGGGGACACGGGTCCGCGCCCTTTCCAGGCACGGCGAGTGTCTGGGCTCGCGCCAGCGTCCAGCAGGGCAAGTGAAAGGGGCAGCGGGTGAGAGGGGCTGGGCACCGCCGTCCGCTCTGCTTTTGTGCGTGCCGGAAACTGATAAATTTTTAATGAGATGAGAGTCAAAAAAGAACAGTTTGGGGAGGAAAAATAAACAGAAGCAGCCAGTGCTGGTGTTGGCGGGAGCCGGGTTCTAGGCACATGAGGCGGCAAACTCTAGAAAGTCGTGTCTACTCTTTCACGATAACGACAGGCTGTGGGGAGGCCCCCAAGTCCTCACAGTGCGGCCGCCAGGGGCCGTGGGGAGCCCTGGGCTTGGCGGTGTCACCCCAGGGCTCCCGTGCAGTGGGGGCCGCGGAGAAGGGCTTACCGACCTCCAGGCAGCTGAGCACCCCGAGGACCAGCCCCATCACATGGTACATGGGCAGGACGTTGTAGACCACGTCGGCGGCCGTGACCCCGCACAGGGGCAGCGTCCCGCACATGAAGAGCAGCCGCCGGTGGGTGAGGACCACCGGCTTCGGGAGCCCTGTGGGCCGGGAGAGGGAGGGCGCGGGCACGGCAAGGGCCGGTGAGGTGCGGGGTCAGAGCCCAGCTTGGCGCTGGGGTTTCAGTGGCAGAGGCAGGCTCCTGGCCCGGCCGCTGGGGCCCAGGGGTCAGCGTCAGCTCAGGGTCACAGCCAGAGGGCAGCGGGCCGGGGAGGCCGGGCGGGCGGGGCAGGCCAGGCTGGGTGCTCACCAGTGGTCCCCGAGGTGTAGATAAACAGGGCCGGGCTGCGCCACGAGACCCCGGCGCGCACGTCCGCGGGCACGGGGGTGGTGGGCGCCCGCTCCAGGGCCGGCCCCAGCGCCCCCACGCCGGGGGTGGGGGAGGAGCAGCCGAGGTACAGGCAGCGCACGTCCTGGGCCAGCAGCTGGGGCAGGATCTCCTCCAGCGGCTCCCGCAGGTCTGCGGGCCAGAGCGGGGCTGAGGCCGAGGCGGGGAGGAGGGAGGCCCTGGCCGCGCGCGCGTGGGCGTTGGGGCAAAAAGGATGCAAACAGCTACGGGGGCGCGGGGAGGAGAACTTGAACCCTGGCTCCCAAAGAATTGTGTCCCGCCCACCCCTGGGACCCACGCCCCCGAGTCCTCACCTGGGTCCACCAGCAGAAGCCGAGCCCCAGAACTGAGCACGGAGTGTGCCAGGGGCGCCCCGCGGGCCTGCGGGTTGATCCAGGCCACGGGGCAACCCAGCTTGGCCAGCCCCAGCCACAGGCCCAGGGCTGGGACGGTCTGCGCAGGCAGCACCAGAAGCGCGGCCGTGTCCCCGGTGGGCAGCCCCGCAGGGCTGCCTGGCTCTCCGCCCTTCAGGGCCCAGGCTGCCCTGCAGGCCCGCTCGTCCAGCTCCCTGAAGGTGACCGGGCGGCCCCTGGGCCCCGTCCACACCAAGGCTACGCCGTCCGGCTGTGCACGCGCCCTCCGCTCCAGCGTTTCCACGAAGGTGGCAAGCGGGCGGCGGCCCTGGCGTGCCAGGATCCTCAGCCCCAGGTGGAGGAGCCGCACGACGTAGGCCAGGTCTGTGGGCAGCCAGCGCAGGCCCGGGGGCGGCCGTGCTGGCAGCAGTGCTAGGGTGAGGGCAGCGGCCGCCAGGCTCAGCCCCGGGGGCACCCAGCTGAGCCCAGGCCCTGCCAGCACCGCCAACCCCAGGAGCAGCCCCAGGCCCAGGTCCCCCAGGAGCCAGCGCAGGATCAAGGCCGCTGCGGAGAGCCCCATGGCCTGCCCCAGGCCGCCCAGCAGCCACAGCAGCGGTGGCAGCAGCAGCAGCAGCGCCAGCCTCGTCCGGGAGCCCATGGCGCCTGCTCCTGCTCCTGCTCAGAGGCGCGCCCGCAGCCCACGCGCAGCCAGCCCTTGCGCCCTGGCCGCTCTGCCGGCACCCCGTGGGACTTTGCCCTGGCCCTGCCAAACCCCACCTTTGTTTTGCCCTGCCTGGTCTCCACTGGCTGCTGGTCCCGACCTCTGTCGCCACCCACTGTCTGCAGCGCCAGGAACTAGGGATGGACAGTCTCTGCTCCCGGGGCCTGACCTCTCGGGCGACGGCCAGTGCGCCCTGGCCGGCACAAGGCGGGCTGAGGCACAGCCAGGGCTTGGGGAGGGAGCCCAGGGGTGTGGTGTGAGGCTTGGTGCAGCTGCAGCCTTCTGAGGAGCAGGCGCCCGACCCCGCACGCACCAGGCCAGCTGCGGTCAGCACCTGCTGAGGACATGGGGGCGCTGGGAAAGGCCATGCTCCTGCCCCCAGGCCTCATCCCCGCCACTGTTCCAAATCCTCAGGACAGGGACCCAGGTGCTGGGGCCAGGGAAGGGTCCGGGTGACTGACTTGGGTGCTGTGGCCCCCTGGGTCTCCCCTCTCCAGCTACCGAGCGCCTGACGTCTGCCCTCCCCGTCCCCTTTCAGCATTCGGGGCGTTTCCTCCCGGGAGCCAGGAAGCTCTCCCCGCAGATCAGACGCGCCCCGCCGGGCCCCCCTAAAGGCGCTCAGCCAGCACCCCCTCAGATGAGGGTGCAGGACGCCTGGAAGATGTGCAGGGCGCCCAGGGGCTGGTGATGACGGGGTTTCTCAAATGTGGCCTCCGCTCCCAGACCCCCGGGAGCTGCCCTGCGGCCCAAACAGACCCGAGGTCCCGCGGGGAGGGACGCAGGTCCGGAGGGCAGCCTCGGCTGGGCTCGCGGCCCCGTCCTTCATTCGCGAGCCGGCGTCCGGAGGCACGGCCGGGCCCGCATGTGTCCACCGGAGCCCCCTCGGGGGCCGATGAAAGGGGACGCGGGCGGGCGGGGGGCGGGGGCGCGGGCGGGCGGCGGGGCGGCGGGGCGGCCGGTCAGGGCGCGGGGTGCGCCGCCAGGTGGCGCTCCAGCAGCGCGCGGTGCGAGAAGACCTTGCCGCAGGCGGGGCAGGGCGCGCGCTCGGGCCGGTGCGTGCGCATGTGCACGTTGAGCGAGCTCTTCTGCGTGAAGCGCTTGGCGCAGACGGCGCACTGGAAGGCGCGCACGCCCGTGTGCGTGACCATGTGCTTGAGCAGGTAGTCGCGCAGCGAGAACGAGCGCCAGCACACCGCGCACTGGTGCGGCTTCTCCCCTGCGGGCGGCACGCGGCCGCGCGGGTCAGGGGGCGCCCCGGCCGCGCCCCCCGCGCCGCGCCCCGCCCGCCCCTGCCGTGGCACGGAGCGCGCCGGCCCCTTTCCTGCGGGCCGCCAGGGCGCCCCTGGGGTGTCGGCCGGCGACCCCGCGCCCTGCTTAGGAGGGGCGGGCAGAGCCGCGCGGAGTCGCCGGCGCACCGGGCAGGGCCCCGGGCCAGCCCCGCGAGCCCTGGCCGCCCCGCCCCCGCCCCTCCCCGGGCCCCCGCGAGGGCAGGGCGCCCCACCCCGAGGGAAGCCCCGCGTGCCCAGCGGCTGCCCCGCAGGGCGCCCCGCCGGCGCGGCTCACCGGAGTGGATGAACATGTGCTTGGTGTAGTTCTTGCGCGAGCTGAACGTCTTGCGGCAGTGGCTGCACTCGTAGGCGGGCGGCTCGGGCCCGGGGGGCGCGCGCGCCGCGGGGGCCGGGGCGGCGGCCGGCGCGGCGGGGGCCTCGGCCAGGGGCTCGCCGGGGGCCGCGTCGGGCTGCAGCGCGGGGTAGAAGGCGGGCGGGGGCGCGGGCGCGGGCGGCCCGGGCGCGCCCAGGTGGAAGGGGTAGAGCGCGCCGGGCGGCCCCGGGGTCTTCGCGCCGGGCGGGCGCGGGCCGGCCAGGGCGCAGTCGGCCGGCGCGGGGGCCTCGGCGGGGCCGGCCTCGGCGGCCGCGCCGTCCTCGTCGTGCCAGGCGGGCACGTAGCCGTCGGCGAACGCGTCCTCGGCCGCCGCGCCCGCGCGCAGGAAGTCCCGGCCCGGCCCGCCGAAGTCGGGCAGGCCCGCGGGCCCCGGCGGCTCCTCGCGCGCGCCGTCCGCGGCGCCCAGGAAGCCGGCGGCGCAGTCCGGGAAGGGGGCGGGCGCCGGGCCCTCGCCCGGGCCGCCGTCGCCGTCCTCGCCGTCGGTGTCGTCCCCGGACTCGTCGTCGTCGCCGCCGCCGTCGTCGGGGCCCGCGGGCGGCGCGGGGCCGGCGCCCTCGGCCTTGGCGGGCGGCGGGGGCGCGGGCAGCTGCAGGCGCGCGGGCTGGCGCTGCTTGCGGCTGTGCGCGGCGGCGAGGGGGCCCGGCGGCCGCGCGCTCAGCAGGTGGCGCAGGCGGTGGCGCAGCTGCGCGGGCGCGAGCGGCGGGGGCGCGGGCGCGGGCAGGGGCGCGGGGGCGCCGCGCGCGCGCGCGATGATCTGGGTGCACTCGTCGATGACCGTCTGGATGCGCAGCACCGACGCGGCCGTGAGCACCTGCAGCGCCTCGCCCTGCGCCACGACGAGCGAGCCGCTGTAGAGGAACTCCACGAGCTGGCGCACCGTCTGCGCGGGCACCACGGGCGGCACGCGGATCTCCGAGTGGCCGAGCAGCAGCTTGTCCTGGAAGAAGGGCGAGCCCGCGGCCAGCACGCAGCGGTGCGCGCGCAGCGAGGCCTCGCGGATGCGCACGGTCACGTCGCAGAAGTGGCCGCCCAGCCGCTGCCCGTTGAGCGTCTCCAGCAGCGAGCGCGAGAAGTTCTGCAGGTGGATGTGGTGCACGGCCTCGGCCGCCGCCATCTGCGCGGGGCCGGGAGGCAGCGCCGTCAGCCTGGAGCCCCGCGGCCGCGGGGCACGGGCTTCCCGACCCCGCTCCCCGGGGCCCCGCACGCGGGACTCCGCGCTCGCCGCTGGAGGCGGGGGCGCTCCAGGCCGCCCCACTCCCACCCGGCTTTCCGCCCGGGGGAGGGCCCAGCACCCTCCCCCCCGCCATGCAGGGGTCGCCCTGCGACGAGGCGGGGACCCCCACCCAGAACTGGGCGCGCGGCCTCCCCAGCACAGGCCTCGCCGCAGGGACCCCGCCGCTCCGGTGTGGGCTCCCCGGCCTGGTCCCCAACCTCGGCGCGTCCCAGGCGCGGGTGGGGCCGCCCGCCGGGAGCCTCGCGGGGGGCTGCGCGATGCGGGCGCGCCGGCCCCGGGCCTCGGCCCGACAGGCGCCGCGGCAGCGGGCGGCAGGGGCCCGCCGAGCGCTGCCCCTCGGGACCGTGGGCGCGGGCTCCGCCGGAGCCGCCGCCGCGCGCGCCCGCCCCGTCCAGGGACCCGCGCGTCGGGCCGACCCGGCTGCGCCCGCCGCCCTGTCACCGCGCAGGGGCGCGCCCGCCCGCCCTCCGGGTCGCGGCCTGCGGCCCCTCGCGGGCGCCCCCGCCGGCACCCGACCCCCGAGTCCCGGCGCGCGCCAGGCCTCAGCGGGGCAGCTGCTCGGGGCGCCGGCCGGGCTTCCGCGGCGGGGCCGGCGGCTCGGGCCCCCGTCGGGCACAAAGCCCCGGGGCCGCCGCGCCCGCCCCGCCCCGCCCCACCTTCGGCTCCTCCTCGGGCACCGGCCGGGCCGCGGCCGCCTGCGCTCGCCACCGCCGGGCCGCACTTCCGGGCCTCGGCGCCCGCGGAACCCGAGTCTGCGGCCGCTGCGGCGGGGGAAGCGGTGGGTCGTCGCGCTTCCGGCGTTTCCGTGGAGACCGGCCGCCGCGGCCCGCACTTCCGGCTCTCCTCGGCCTGGGAACCCGAGGAGCCGCGGCCGGGCGGCCGAGCCGGGGACCCGGGCCGGAGCACACTTCCGGCGCCCGGGTGGGCGGGGCCGCGGTCCCGAGCGGGCCGCTCCGCTCGGCGCGGCGGGAGCCCCGGCAGCGCGTCCCTGCACCCCGGGGCGCCGGGCTGGCGGCCGCCCTCAGCACGCGCGTCTCTGGGCGGGCCGAGCCGTCGCCTTCGGGGAGCCGCGGGCGCCCTGCGGCGCCGTGCCCGGGCGCGCCCCGTCGGGGCCGCCTCGCCCGCCCTGCCCTGCCCGGGTCCCGTGCCCGCGAGCCGCCCCCGCGGGAGGCCGCGCCCGGGCACAGCCCCGCGAACAGCCCGGGACGAGGCCGCGACCCCGCGCTGGGGCACCCAAGGGCGCGCGGAGCCGACACACGGGACGGGGAGCTGAGAGGCCCCCGAGTCCGGATTGTGCGACGGCGACAGTAGACTCGGGGCCTCCACACACCAAGTGTCGGGTCGGGGCCGCGCCCTCCCCACCGGGCAGCTGCCGGTGCCCCTCTTGAGTGCGCCTCTTGGTGCTCGCAGCGTGGGGAGGACGGAGCCAGCTGTCCAGATGGCAGCTGTGAGGGCTGCGAGGTCGTGCCAAGCAGGGAGCCCCCTGCAGCCCCCGCCGGCGCGCTCTTGTTGCAGGGCAGGGAGCCTGGAAGCGCCCCTTTTCCTAGGCGCCACACCCTGTCACACCCGGAGCAGTGGGGCGCTGAGCTGCTGCGGGTATTGCAGGGGTGATGGGAGGGGACGCGGGACCCATCTGCTTGTTCAAGGGGCGCTGGGGGACCCTGTGAGGTGGCCGAGGCGGGAGGCGACAATGGTTGCTCACATCTCATCAGGCACGGGCAGCAGCCGCCCTTCTAGGGGGAGACTTGGGCTTCCTGGAAGGCTCCAGCCGGTGAGGGTGAGGGAAAGGCTGTGAGATGCAGGAGGCAGAAGCCCCTGCCGGAAGGCAGGGAAGTGGGTGATATGGCCCCCAGACCAGTCACAAAACCCTGAGGCCATGGGAGCGGTGGGTGGGACCACATCAGAGCCCAGAGCCTTCTGCACTGACCGAAAGGCCTGGAACCTAGACCTGTGCACGACTGGGTGGGGCCCGCGGTATTTGCAACAAAGAGGGAAAGAGTGAACCTGCTTTCATGTGCAAAGCGCGCCGTTTCCAAGGAGGACTGGGGAAAGCTAGTCCAGAGGAGTCATATCCACAATAAACACTCCTGACCTCTCTCCTCCCCGCCCACCCCACCCTTGGGTTAATTCTGAAAACTTAAGAAATATGGAGAACAAAACAGCATACTTTGGAACACATCCCCAAATGAGCCAAAGTTCCCGTTTTGTCTTTTTTCTATTTAGTTTTTAAGATAAAATTTGAATGAAAAAAAGTTTAAGTTTGCAGGTGAAAAGCAAATGCCCCTTGGGGCAGCACAACTGGGCTGTCCTGTCCCTTGTTCCTTCCCCGGGTGTGCCCTCCACTGCAGTCGCATTAAAACGGTGATCTGTTAATCCTGGTTCCCCAATCGCTGGCCCCCGAGGCTGGGAGTAGGTGTGGATTCTGGCCCCAAGCTTGCCACTCCCACCTCCCACCAGAGCCCGCCTGTGTGTGCAGCCCTTCCTAGATGTACATCCCATCCATACCATCCGACCACTTCCAGTAAATTTACTCAGTTCCCAAACCTGAGCACCCTCCCTTACAGCATTTCCATCCTCCCCAGTGACACCCCTCACTGGTCACCACAGGCTTGGGCCCCCGCCAGGCCCCGGCAACCCTTAATCTCGTTTCACTGCCTGGAACATCTCAGGCCAGTGGAATCACACCAGTGAGGTCTCCTCACTGCCTTGGGCCTGGTGCCACCAGACACTGAAAGCTACCTGGGGGAATCCTCCCTCTCCTATTCGGGAGCTTGGAAAGCGTGTCCCAACCAGGGGGCCATGCACCACCAGCCCAGCTCCCCGGCTTGGGCCAGGTGCCTCCTGGCCTGACTCCTCCCTGGTGAGAAGGGGAGCTCCCCTGCAACCTAGTTGGTGTTTTGTATTGTTTGACACTAACGAACCCTTTCCTTTTAACCTCAGAATGCATCTTTTAAAAACAAGGATGTGTGGGCCTCCCTGATGGCGCAGGGGGTTAAAGCACAGCATTGCGAAACTTTCCGCAGCCTCTGTGGCATGAGTTTGATCCATGGTCGGCCAGGAATTGCCCACATAGCACAGCAGACCTCTCCGGTGTCGCCCGCTGCTCTCCTCAGCAGTGTGTTTCGGTCAGTCTGCCTGTTCTGCTTCCCACTCTGTCTCTGGTGAATCCTCTGATCGCCCTCACCTCTGGCCTACACCTCAGGTTTTTTTTTTTTTTTTAAGATTTATGTATTTATGGGTCCTCCCTGCTGGCACAGGTGGTTGAGCACTGCACTGTGACGCTGTCTGCAGCCTCTATAGCACGGGTTTGATCCCGGCCGGCCGGGAGAAACCCACATGGCGCGACAGACCTCTCCTGTGTCTCCCGCTGCTCCCCTCAGTAGAGTATTTCGTCAGTCTGCTTGTTCTGTTCCTTGCTGTGTCTCTGGGGAATCCTCTCACCCTCCCACACCTCTGACCTGTACCCCAGTTCTTGTATAAATAAATAAATCTTTAAAAAGAAATTTATGTATTTATGCATACAAGAACTGGGATACGGGCCAGAGGTGTGGGGAGTGAGAGGATTCATCAGAGACAGAGTGGGGAACAGAACAGGAGGTTCCACTAAAATCCATTGTGGAGGGGGACAGTGGGGAGACAGGAGAGGTCTGCTGCACCATGTGGGTCACCTGCACCTCCCTGGCTGGCGATCGAACTCGTGGTGCAGTCGCTGCCCATAGCTTCATAGTAATGAGACTAACCCCTATCGCCACCAGGGAGGCCCCAACACCCCAGCTCTTGTATGTGATGTCGTTTGTGAAGTTGTGGGGTCCTTGGGTTCACTCTGGGGAAGGTTTCACCAGAGCTCCCGGTTCAGCGGCACACGGCGAGTTCCCCAGGCCGGTTTCTCCACAAGACTGAGACATTGGTTATATTTAAAGAACAGGTTTATTAGGGAAAGGGACAGGTTTTGCTAAGAGAGGCCTGCATGGTTGCAGGCGGGCGGCCTTGAGGAGAGCGGCCTCAGCTGAGGGAGGTGAGTGAAGAGAAGTCCTGGCATGGTGCAGGTCACGGGCAGGCAGGAGGCTGCTGCCCTGCAGAGGGAGAGAGTTGGTGAACGGAAGCACCTGCATAGTCCCAGGTGGGCAGTGGGAGTGCTGCCCCGAGCCTGCGCAGAGACGGCGTTGAGAGAGTCCTTTTCTCTTTGGGCGGGTCACTCCTCCGTGGAGTGGCTGCTTGTGGCTGATGTTGGGTAACAGGCAACACTAGAAAGGGACCAGAGATTCCAGGGTGGGCCCAACCTCCGTATCTTTACCCTTAGGCCTGTGCTCCACTCCCTAGAGCATCTGATCCTGCTCGTGTCTCAGGCCCTGTGACAAGGCCCTGGCGCCTAAGTGTCACGACCTCCACAGCTGGGTTAATGGTCGTGTTCTTCCCCTTGACCCCCACCTCCTTGTGTGAGTCAGGGTTTAGTCTTGTGAGGCCACCTTTCCAGGCTTTCCATTCTTGTCCTCCCTGAGATGCGTAAATAAAGTAAAAAAAAATAAGGTGTATAAACTTAAACTGAAGAGGGCAGTTCTTGAAGGTCCCAGTCCAGCAGGAGGAATTCAGGGATTAGTCACATGACAGTTATAGTTAAAAACAAAACTAAGGGGAAAATCACACAACATGAAATTAGCCATTTCAAAGTTGACCATCAGTGGATTTCAGTATAGAGCCAGTATATCGTTTTCAATATGTTGTTTCGTCCTAATGTTTCCACTTCAAAATCAAAACCCCTACCCATTGCAGTTCTCTTCATACTGCACTTCCAGGCCCTGGGCTAATCTGCTTTCTGTCTCTGAATTAGCACATTCCGGACATTTTCCCTAAATGGGGTCACACAACATGTGGCCTTTGTGTCTCACTTCTCCCACTTAGCGTCATGTGTTCAGGGTTCACCATGTTGCAGAAGGTAGCAGAGCTTCATCCCTTTTATGCGTGAATAAAAAGGCATTGCTTGGGTAGGACACATTTATCCATTTACGTATGCGTAAGTAAATAAAATTTTTTTTTTTAAAGAGATGCATCCAAGGACTGGGATATAGGCCAGAGGCGCGGAGGGTGGGTTGTAGGAGGATTCACCAGAGACAGAGTGGGGAGCAGAACAGGTGGATTAACAGATCCACTGGTGAGGGGAGCAGCAGGGAGACAGGCGAGGTCTGCTGCGCCCTGTGTGTCAGCTCCCTGGCTGGGGATGGAACTCAGGTCATGGTGGCTGGCGATAGCTTGTTAGTGCTGAGACTGAACCCCTTGAGCCCTAAAATAAATCTTTTCAAAATTTATTTATACAAGAACTGGGGTACAGGCCAGAGGCGCAGGAGGGTGAAAGGATTCACCAGAGACAGAGTGGGGAGCCGAACAGGCAGACTGACTGAAATGCACTGCTGAGGGGAGCAGCGGGGAGACAGGAGAGGTCTGCTGCGCCCTGTGGGTAGCTCCCTGGATGCCCGGGAACCGAACTTATGCTGCAGTGGCTGCGGACACCTTCACAGTAAGGTGCTTAACCCCTTGTGCTGCCAGGGAGGCCCTTGGATGTCTCTAAATATAAGTTCATCCTCCTAAGGGCAAGGCGGGCATCGAAACTGCCTGAGCCTGCACTGACTGTCGACAGAGTACCCCAGACTGGGCGGCTCAGGCCACCAGAGTTTACTCTTCACAGCTCTGCACCTGGGATGTGCAGATCAAGGAGTTTCTCTTCTGGGCCTCCCTGGTGGTGCAGGCGATTGAGCACCGCACTGTGAAGCTGCCCGCAGCCTCTGCAGCACGGGTTTGATACCCGCCAGCCGGCGAGAAGCCCACATGGCGCGGCAGACCTCTCCTGTCTCACCCTCTGCTCCCCTCAGCAGTGTGTTTCGTCAGTCTGCCTGTTCTGTTCCCCGCTCTGTCTCTGGTGAGTCCTCTCACCCCCCCCCACCCCCGCGCGCATCTGGCCTGTAGCTGGATTCTTGTATAAATAAATACATCTTCTTTTAAAAAAAGGAGTTTCTCTTCTACTGCACGCGGTGCTAAGGCTTTGCCCTGCTGAGCTCACCAGTCAGAGGACCTCCCCTCGGCCAGTTCCCAGACCCCGTCACATGGGCAGCTAGAGCTTTAGCATGCAGATTTTAGTGGGGATTGACCTGAAGCAAAGGACACACACAGGCAGCACGAGGGGTAGGAGAGAAGCTGAAGTGTAGGCCGTGAGGATGGAATGGATGCAGCCACAAGCCAGGAGCCCTGGGAGCTGCAAGGCAGCTGGGGTCTCCCCCAGAGCCTCGAGCATCCACAACCTGAGCTGCCTCCTTGCGGTGAGCCCAGCTTGGCTTACAGTGGCCACAGGAAACTTGGGGCGACTTTCAGGGTACGCACTCACTGCCCACCGGGGCCCCGGGCATGAGACCAGGTCACCCCATCTTCTGCCAAAGCCTGTGAGCTCCTGGTTACAGTCTAAGCAGCGCGGCCTAGAGCACCACATGCAGTGCCTGCAGGAGGGACACCCAACTGTGGCCAGCAGGAGGGGCGCCCAGCCCTGGGGCCCTGTGTGAGGGCCTGAGCCGCCGGGTTAGCTGTTTCAGAGTGAAACTGGCTGGCGCTGAGGGCGCCCACGGTGCCCCGCGCCACCTTCCCCGTTGCAACGGTGAATGGAAGTGCTGAGGGAGAAAAGAGGGGACCGCGGGCAGCCAGGAGCCTCCCCAGCAGGGGCTTTGAGCGACACTCAGGGGTGGGGCTGGGGGGAAGGGAGCCTCGGTGGCTGTCCGGGGGGTGCCCAGAGCGGCGCCGGGCATACCTGGCCGCCGAGCCACCCCTGGAGCTCTGTCGCCCGCGTTCCGGGCCCAGGACCGGCAGGAGCGACGCCGCGGGGTGGACGAGGCGGTGGCAGAGCCCCAGGGCGGGCCTCAGAGCCGGGGTTCGCCTGGCCTTGCCCTCGGCGCCCCAGGTCGGGGAGTCGCTCCGGCCTGGTTCCCAGGGCATCCTCCGGCCCGCACCGGTCCGTCCATCGGACATGGGGTCCGCGGCGGCCCGGCGCCCGGGGGCGGCGGCCCCGGAGCCTGAGACGGGACCCTCGCGGGAGGCGTCCGGGAAAGCCCGAGGCGCCACGCCCGCCCGCCTTCCATGTGCCCCAGAGGCCCGGCGGGTGGGGTCCCCGGGCCTGCGCCGACCCTCGCCCTCCGCGCCGACCCGGGGACCCCAGCCTCGCCGCCGAGGGCCAGGGGGGAAGGGCCGGCCGGCGGGGGCGGGGCGCCGGGGCGGGGCTCCGCGGGGGGCCGGGTCGGGGCCGGCGCCGCGCTGGAACAAAGGCGGGCGGGAGACAAAGCCCCCGGCCCCTCCGGAACAAAGGCCCGGCCTGCCCCGTGGCCGGCGGCGGCGCGGGCGGCCCCCCGCCCCGCTGCGGCCTGGAGTCCTGGGCCCCGGAGCCGGAGAGCGCCCCCGGGGCCTCCGGCCTGGTGGTCGCGGACGGCGCTCCCCGCAGAGGGGACCCCCCAGCAGGGGACCCCGATCCCCACAGGGGCCCCTCTACGGACCCCACCCTCCCCACAGGGGCCCCCCGCCACGGACCCCGCTCCCCACACAGGGGACCCCTCTCCCCTCAGGCGACCCCGATCCCCTCTCAGGGAACACCTATCCCCACGCAGGGGCCCCCGCCACGGACCCCGCTCCCCACACAGGGGACCCCTCCTCTCTCACAGAGGACCCCTCTCCCCTCAGGCGACCCCGATCCCCTCACAGGGGACCCCTCCTCCCTCAGAGGGGACCCCGATCCCCTCTCAGGGAACACCTATCCCCACGCAGGCGACCCCGCCCCCCACACAGGGGACCCCTCCCGCCTCGGGGATCGCTCCACGGGCCCCGCTCTCCCCGGGGGCCGGCCCAGACGCCCCCGGCCGCCAGCCGGCCGCGGGCGGCGCGCGGGCCCTCGCCGGCAGGCCGGCCGGGGGGCGGGGCCGCTGGCGGCCGGCCCGGCGCGCGCGTGCGCAGGGCGGGCGGGGGGCGGGGCTGGGAGCACGCGCGCCGCGCCCGCCGCGGGGGTGCGCCGGGGACGCCCGGGGCCCGCCCCGCCGCGCGGGCCGGGCGGGCGGCGCGGCTCCGGCGCAGGCGCGCTGGCGGCTGCGCCCGCGGCGGCCGGCCAGGCCCCGCCCCCCCGCCCCAGGCGCCCAGCGCGCGTGCGCGGCGGCGTCGGCGCCAGTTATTTCTGTCCCGCCCCCCGGCCGCGGCTCTTTCTGCGCTGGGCGCGCGGGCGGGCGGTTGTGCGCGGCGCGGGCCTCGGCGGCGCGGGGCGCGGCGCGGGCGGCGGCGGGCGGCGGCGGCGGCGGGCGGCCGGGCCTCGGCAGCGCCCCGCGCGCGGCGGCGGCGGCGGCGGCGGCGGCGGCGACCCGGGCGGCGCGGGCGGCGGCGGCCTCGCGGCGGCCGGCCGTTGGCGGCGAGCGCTCCTGCGCCTGCGCGGCGGCCGCGCGCCTGCTCCCTGCGCGCCCCCGGCGGCGTGCGAATGGCGGCGGCGGCGGCGGCGGCGGCGGCGGCGGCGGCGGCCGCGGCCTCCTCGGGCAGCCCCGGCGCGGGCGAGGGCCCGGCGGGCGGCGACAAGCGCGGCGCGGCGTCCTCGGCCGCGGGCTCGGCGGCGGCGGCGGCGGCGGCGGCGGGCGCGGCGGGCGCGGCGGCGGCGTCGCCCGCGGGCGGCGGCGGCGAGGCGCTGGAGCTGCTGGAGCACTGCGGCGTGTGCCGGGAGCGCCTGCGGCCCGAGCGCGAGCCGCGCCTGCTGCCCTGCCTGCACTCGGCCTGCGGCGCCTGCCTCGGGCCCGCCGCGCCCGCCGCCGCCAACAGCGCGGGGGACGGCGGCGCGGCGGGCGACGGCGCCGGTGAGTGCGGCCCCCCCGGCCCCCCGCGCGGCCCCGGAAGCGGGGGTGGGGTGGGGGGGGTCGGGTCGGGCCCGGGCCGCCCGCCGCAGCCGCGCCCTGCCGTGTCCCCGCAGTGGTGGACTGCCCGGTGTGCAAGCAGCAGTGCTTCTCCAAGGACATCGTGGAGAACTACTTCATGCGCGACAGCGCCGGCAAGGCCGCCGCCGACTCGCAGGACGCCAACCAGGTGGGTCGCCCCGCCGCGGGCCCTGGCGGGGGGGGGGGGGGGGCTGCCGCTCGGCCCCGCTTCCCGCCGCCGCCCCTGACTCCGCCCGCGCCCGGCAGTGCTGCACCAGCTGCGAGGACAACGCCCCGGCCACCAGCTACTGCGTGGAGTGCTCCGAGCCGCTGTGCGAGACCTGCGTGGAGGCGCACCAGCGCGTCAAGTACACCAAGGACCACACCGTGCGCTCCACCGGTACGTGCGGCAGAGGGCGCGGGGCTTCCAGGCAGGCCCCCGGGGCTGGCGCCAGAGGACTGGCTGTGCTGTGCAGTGCCTGGGGGCCCCGTGGGACGGCACCCCCAGGTGGGGAGGGAGTGCCCGGGGGTCTTGGCCCGAGGGGCAGGAGGTATACCGGGGTGGCAGGAGGCGATTCGGGGAAGCTCCCGGCAGGGCAGGAGGTGGACAGGGGCGCCTGGCCGGGTGAAGACAGCCGCGTCCTTGCAGGCAGGACGCAGTGTCGTCTTGGTGCCGAGAGTGCCAGGCCCCTGGCTTCAGGCTGTGAAGGCGGACTTGAAGGGTCTTGACAGGCCCTAAGGCAGTAAGACTTAGGCCGAGAGTGAGTTTTGAAAGTGGTTTGACTTCAAGCGTTTGAGATCTTGTTTGGAACTTGGAAGTTCCAAACTCTTGCCCTCTGTGCTGGTGGTGGTTTGGCGGGGGAGTTGAGCTTTCTTGGTCTTTGGTTCGGAATTCCCCGCGAGTGCTCTTTTGTTGGTTACATTGGGGCATCTCAACCCCAGAGGAGCAGCATTGGTGGAAAGATGCGGAATGGCCCTGGCTGTGGAGCACTAGAAGTCAGAAGGATGAGATAATGTGTTATCTGGGGTATGTGTGGTCTGGGGCTTGCACGATGTTGAACTAGGTCACGTTGGCTCGGTATGGGTCTCCACATCAACATCACGGGTGTCAGGTTGGATTGGTGCGGACAGGGATGGATGGGGACTGGGGCTATGAGCGATGATGTGTTACCAAGTACGAGAAAGAGGTATGCTGAGGCGGAGTGACATTCTGGGCGGTAAAAATTCGGGTACTGGTTCGTTATCCTTAGAGAAAGGCTCCTGACGTTCCCGAGGGTCCTGGCTGACATGTTATCTCTCCCAGCCTGAGAAGGCTCTGCAAGGACATGGTGGGGCCCACAGGTTGTAAGAGGTTTGTGGCCTTTTGTTGCCAGAGAAGAGAGGGGTCACCCGGCATGGCTCCTGAGGAAACTGCATCTGCATGGTATCTCTAGGCCCTGATTTGCTTTCTGTCTGTGCCAGAAAGCAAATTTCCTGCGTGCTGGGATGCCACAGTAGCCAGAATCCCCTCCCCTGCTGGACAGAACCTACTGTGAGTGGAGGAGAAAGGGAGCCCCGTGGGGGGGTTCGGAGTTGGAGCTCTCTCAAGTTTCCACGTGGAAAAGGTTTCCCGTGGAGGGAACAGCAGGGGGGAGGTCTTCCTGCCCAAGATCATCTTGCATAAGTTCTATGTTGTCGTTTCCAGAAGCTGGAAGGTGGGGGCGGATTTTCTTGGCCAGGTTGGCCGGGACAGGGTTTTCAGAATAAGGACCTGGTTCCCAGGCCTGTGTTCTTCCGTGGCCACAGCCTCAGGGCCCTCAGGGACTTCCCAAGAGACATTCCATGATTACAGGAGAGGCAGGAAGTGAGGCCCCAGGTTCTTTCTGCCACCCCAGTCGCTGGTGGCCAAGGATGAGGTTGGCCTGGGTTTCAATCCACAGGGCCGGCCAAGTCGAGGGACGGAGAGCGCACCGTGTACTGCAGCGTGCATAAGCACGAGCCGCTTGTGCTGTTCTGCGAGAGCTGTGACACCCTTACTTGCCGGGACTGCCAGCTCAATGCCCACAAGGATCACCAGTGAGTGTTAGGAGCGGAGGGGGTGGGGGGGGTTTCCTCCCGGTCCCTTGTTCAGTGCGCTGGCTGACCCGCCTTTGCTTTCAGGTACCAATTCTTGGAGGATGCAGTGAGGAACCAGCGTAAGCTCCTGGCCTCACTGGTGAAGCGCCTTGGGGACAAGCATGCAACGCTACAGAAGAACACCAAGGAGGTTCGCAGCTCGTAAGTGTGGGTGCCAGGTGGTCTAGGGAGGTGTCACCCGACCAGCCTCTTCTAAGGGTACTTGACCCGCCCTTGTCTCCCTCCCAGAATCCGCCAAGTGTCTGACGTACAGAAGCGGGTGCAGGTGGATGTGAAGATGGCCATCCTGCAGATCATGAAGGAGCTGAATAAGCGGGGCCGTGTGCTGGTCAATGACGCCCAGGTTCTACCCCTTTGCCGACTGCTGGTGGCTCGTCCTTGGGCAGGGAGGGGTCCTAGCTTTCTCCGCGCTCACTCCTGAAACTCCATCTGCAGAAGGTGACGGAGGGGCAGCAGGAGCGCCTGGAGCGGCAGCATTGGACCATGACCAAGATCCAGAAGCACCAGGAACACATCCTGCGCTTCGCCTCCTGGGCGCTGGAGAGTGACAACAACACAGCTCTCCTTCTCTCCAAGAAGCTGGTGTGTGCTGGGGGCACTGTGGTGGGCGCCTCCGGGGAGGAACCCCTAGAGCCCCGGCTCTCACCGCTCATCTCCCACCCCCAGATCTACTTCCAGCTGCACCGGGCCCTCAAGATGATCGTGGACCCTGTGGAGCCCCACGGCGAGATGAAGTTCCAGTGGGACCTGAACGCCTGGACCAAGAGCGCAGAGGCTTTTGGTGGGTTCTCGTATTTCTGGCTGCCAGGATGCAGCAACTACGGGCGCGGCGCTTTGTTAACACTAGCGAAACTTGTGCTCGTTGTAGGCAAGATCGTGGCGGAACGTCCTGGCACCAACTCGACGGGCCCTGCCTCCATGGCCCCTCCACGGGCCCCAGGGCCCCTGAGCAAGCAGGGTTCTGGCAGCAGCCAGGTGAGTGGGGGAGGGGCGCCTCGGGAGGAAAGAGGGGTGTCTCAAGGTACGCTCGCCTAAGGCCTTCCCCCTGCTCTTCCCACAGCCCATGGAAGTCCAGGAAGGCTATGGCTTTGGATCAGGTGAGTGGGTCGGCCTGGTTGGGGCCGGGGGGCGGGGGGGGGGGGTGCCAGCGCTCTCGCTGCTCCATAACCCGTTGTCTTTGTTTTCGGAGCAGACGACCCTTACTCCAGCGCAGAGCCCCACGTGTCAGGCGTGAAACGGTGAGTGTGGCTGTGCTTTGGCGACGCTTACGTGGGCCCGGGCATCGGTGCTCATGCCAGGCCGTGCCCACAGGTCCCGCTCAGGTGAGGGTGAGGTGAGCGGCCTCATGCGTAAGGTGCCACGAGTGAGCCTCGAGCGCCTAGACCTGGACCTCACGGCTGACAGTCAACCTCCAGTCTTCAAGGTTTTCCCAGGCAGCACCACTGAGGATTATAACCTCATCGTCATTGAGCGGGGGGCCGCTGCGGCTGCTGCGGCTGCTGGCCAGCCTGGGACTGCGCCCCCTGGGACCCCTGGAGCCCCTCCTCTGCCTGGCATGGCCATCGTCAAGGTGAGGCTGCCCCGGATGCCTCTGACAAAATATCAGCACCCCAACCTGGACCCTGCTGAGCATCCCTCCTCTCCGCACAGGAGGAAGAGACCGAGGCTGCTATCGGAGCACCCCCTGCTGCCACCGAGGGCCCAGAGACCAAGCCTGTGCTCATGGCCCTGGCGGAGGGTCCTGGTGCCGAGGGCCCCCGCTTGGCCTCCCCCAGTGGCAGCACCAGCTCCGGCCTGGAGGTGGTGGCTCCAGAGGGTACTTCAGCTCCCGCCGGTGGCCCTGGTGCTCTGGACGACAGCGCCACCATCTGCCGTGTCTGCCAGAAGCCAGGCGACCTGGTCATGTGCAACCAGTGCGAATTCTGCTTCCACTTGGACTGCCACCTGCCCTCCCTGCAGGACGTGCCGGGGTATGGGGCCGAGGGTCTGGGTGGGCCGGGCTGGGCTTGGGCGCTACGCGGCCCTCACGCTCCGTTTACCCAGGGAGGAGTGGAGCTGCTCTCTCTGCCACGTGCTGCCTGACCTGAAGGAGGAGGACAGCAGCCTGAGCCTGGATGGCGGGGACAGTGCTGGTGTGGTGGCCAAGCTCTCCCCTGCCAACCAGCGGGTGAGTGCAGGCCCATCCCATGGGGGTGCTCATGGCCTGACTCCAGCCCCCGCTGCCACATTTGATGCTCTCTTTGGTGCCTCTACCTTAGAAGTGTGAACGTGTCCTGCTGGCCCTGTTCTGCCACGAGCCCTGTCGGCCCCTGCACCAGCTGGCCACCGATGCCACATTCTCCCTGGTGAGTCCTGGTCTGCGGGAGGGGAGGGCTGGGGTGGGGACCCGCCTGGCCTCATCTTCAGCTCATCTCACTGCCTGTAGGATCAGCCCGGTGGCACCCTGGACCTGACCCTGATCCGTGCCCGTCTTCAGGAGAAGTTGTCTCCTCCCTACAGTTCCCCCCAGGAGTTTGCCCAGGATGTGGGCCGTATGTTCAAGCAGTTCAACAAGCTGACCGAGGTGAGCCTGTGAACAGAGCTGATGGGGTGGGATGTGAGGCGATCGGGAGCCAGGACCTACTACTTGTCTGCCGGCACAGGACAAGGCGGACGTGCAGTCCATCATCGGCCTGCAGCGCTTCTTTGAGACTCGCATGAATGAGGCCTTCGGTGACACCAAGTTCTCAGCTGTGCTGGTGGAGCCCCCACCGCTGAGCCTGCCTGGTGCCAGCCTGAGTGCCCCAGAGCTTTCTGGCGGCCCTGGCGATGGCCCCTGAGAGCGGGACTCCCCCGGCCGGCCCAGCCTCACTGTTTTCCTGTCCCGTCAGCCCCCTCACCCCTGTCCCTCGGTGGCCCAGCTCCCGCTCCTTGGTGGCTCCACCCCCCAGCCCCTCACAATATGGTTTTTACTTCTGTGGATTTAATAAAAACTTCACCAGTTCTTCTGGGGTCTGGTTCCTGCCTGCACCAGCTCCTCACAAAGCTCTGGTGGGCCCGGTGGAGGCGGTGGTGCTTGTGGTCACCAGCCCCCTCTCTGCTTGCCCAGGAGTGGGTGGGAAAGGTTGCACTTGCTGAGCCCACCCCAGCTGCTGGATGTGCCCACTTGCTGAATCAGGTGGGCACCGCTCCCATGAGGTCCCGCTGAGTTGTTGGCTTTCTAACCCAGAGTTCAGGTTACGAGGGGAGGCTTCCGTTTTGGACTAACAGCATTGAGGCCGAAGCAGACCCAGCGGCAGGGCTGATGCTCCTAAGGCCCAGCTTAATCTGTCACTTCACTGCAGCCCTGTCTGAGTGACCCTCCCAAGGAACCATCGCCCCATACGCGGCCACAGAGTCTCAGGAACCTAGTGTCCAGTCTTTTATTTTGCAGGGGTATAGTGAAAACGGGCTGTCGCTGGATTCCCAAGGGTTGGGGTTGGGGGGAGTGGAGTCTTGAAAGCAATCAGTCCCTCCGCAGATTCTTGAGCCTTTCCTCCAGATCTGCGTCGGCATCTACCAGGGCTGAGGCTGAGGCTGCAGCCTCTGCTTTCTTCCCAGTGGCAGTCACACTGAGCGAGCCTCCAGTGGAGGGGAGGTCTGCAGAGGAGCAGAGCAGGGAAAATCTTTGTGGAAAAGAACAAAGCTGGGGAAGGAAATCCAGGGCTAGGCAGCGTCCGCCCACAAGTGGGGCGGGGCCGAGATTCAGGGCACTCACTTGACAACTCATCTGTCAGGCTGAGTCCCAGCTCGTCCAGGACCTGGGACACCACAGCATCGCTAGGAGAAGGGAAGAGAACTCTGAGGGCCAGGCCCGTGGGAGGGCCAGGCAACCCATTCCACCCTCCCAGCTGCCCCCACCTAACCTCTCCTCTTCGTCTTCCTCATCACCCATGGCGTCATCGATGGCATCATTCATCATCTCCTCCTTCATGTCCATGATCTCAGCCTGTCGCTCAAACTCCATCATGATTTTCTGGATCTGGGGCAACTTGAGCTGGAAGTGGGGTGGGGGGGAGGGTAAGTGAGTCTAGTCCCTGAGTGGGGGCAGGGGCAGAAGGGTGGAGGAGGAGGGATACCTGTCTATTCATGGTGCCCATGGCCTTGGTGACGCCCTTCATGGCTTGCGCCATTGAGTTGTTAGACTTGAGCGTCTGGATCTTGAGGGACACAGCCTGGATGTTTGCGCGCATCAGCACAAACTTGCGCACGTAGCGGCGGGTGCGCACCAGATCTTTAGCCATGATGCGCACGGCGTCCTGTAGGGGGACAGAGGTGACAGGGAGAGGCCTGGAATTCACCACCGTCCCTACTCAGGCTTTCCAGAGACCTTGCAGCTGACCCTAGGTCACTGCCCTGCCCCTTAGACCCCACCCACTTGCCTCTAGGGACACACCCCCCTGGCACCTCTGTAAGTTGCTTATCTTTCCAGCCCATGATGGCTGGAAAGAAAGTCCCCGCTCACTCTTGGGATTCTTTTCTTTCTCTAGTCACTGCCTGACATCCATTACTGAATTTCTGAGCTGGACAAGGAATCTGCTTCCCCGCCCATTTACACAGAAGGCCGTGGTCAGCCACCCTCCTTCCTCAGCCCCCAGGCTCCAGCTGCGTAGTCAATCCCCCCCCCCCCGCGCCGCCCCCCCCCCCTTAAGCCATGTGCGGAGCGGGATGGAACAGGGCCCTCACCTTGGGCTCAGTGAAAATAAGCCCAACCAAAGTTCAGATGTTTACTTCCTAAGCCTCCTGTTCTGCTGCCTCTTCCCATAAGTTGCTCAGGACAATACCCGTAGGAAACGCCCTGGGCCCTGTCCTCGTTTAGCCACGTTCCAAACGCCAGGAACCTGTTGTCTGGCCTGGACCTGTTAGCGTCTGGCCCCCTTGCTCGGGCTCCTTCAGTGGGAGCCTATCTTTGGCCACAGGGCGCCTGCCCTGAGCTGCCTCGGGTCCGCTGTGGCCCAGGACTCCAACTCGCACCCCTGCGTGCCCTGTCACTCCTGCAACATCTGCTGCTCTCTGCTCAGGTCTTCACGGGCTGCTTCATGACTCAAACTTTGGCGACAGTAGCACCTTCGAGGTGGCCCTTCCCAAGCCCCGAACTAGGGAAACCCCAGCTGTGCCACACCAAGGAGGGACACCCAGCCCTGTTCGCCAGCCCCGCTCACCATCTGGCCCTGCTTCGCCATCTTCTTGATGTCTGCAATGATTTTCTTCTCCTGGGTCTCCAGCTTCTGTCGCTCCCGGTCCAGCTCTCGCATGGCGCGGTTCAGGGCCCGCTGGTTCTGGCGCAGCAGCTCCTCCGGAGTCTTCCGGCGCCCAAACAACAGGTCCATGGCGGCGGGGCGGCCGCGCGGGGCCTGGGGAAGGTGCGGGGCCTGGCTGCGGGGCGGCCGGGAGCCACAGCGGGGGCGGGGCCTGGCCGACTGGGAAGGGGCGCGGAGGCGGGAGGCGACGGAGTCAGGGTCGCCCCGGGGGCGCGAGCGCTGACCCCGCCGGGACCGGCCCCTCCACCGGTGTCCCCAGGAGGCTCGAGGCTCCAACCCCTCCCGAGGCCCGGTGAGGGGACGCGGCCGCGGGTAGCGCGGGGCCGGCGGGGCCTGCAGGTGGGCGGGGCTGGCCGCCGAGAGGCCCTCGAGCCGGCGCCCCGCAGCCCCGGCGGGCGGAGCTCGGCCCTCGGCGGGGTCCGCGCCCACCCGGGACCGCGTCCGGCGCGCGCCACTCACCGGAGCCGGGACGAGGCCGCTTCCGCTTCCGGGTCGCGCGCCTGCCGCTGGTCGCGAGCGCGCCCGCCAACGACAGCCCCTCGGTGCTGCGGGCCCGGCCGCCGCCGTTTCCGGATTAGGCGAGCTGACGTCACGCGCACCGCCGGCTCCCGGAATGCTGGGAGGCGACGTCAGAGCGCGTGCGCGCCGCCCCGGCCCCGCCCCGCGCGTGCTCCCCGCCCCGCCCCGCCCCGCCCCCGGCCTGGGGTTCGAGCCCCCCACCCGGGGAGCCGGCCTGGCGGGAGCGGGCGGCCCTCGCCCGGCCACCTGCCCGCGGGCAGCCCGTCCCGCATGGCCCCCGGGGGCCCGGCCAGGACCCGGCCTCCCCTCCCCCGCTCCTAAGGCCAGCAGCCAGCAGCCAGCAGCCAGGGATGGAGGGACCCCTAGGGTTCGCTTCTGATGGCCCGGGCGGGTCCAGAGTCACATGTGACCGCATGCCTCCCACCCCGAGAAGGAAGAGGCAGAGGCCATGCAGTAACATTCCCCTTTAATAGCCTGGTGGGACCTCCAGTGGTGGTGGAGGGGTGGGGTGCCGGGGCCCTGGCCACCCAGTCCCCTGAGCCCCCCACCCCAGAGCCCAGAGTGGGGGGCTGGACAGCACCCAGCAGGGGGCTAGACAAGCCAATTCATTTCCCATTGCTGAGCGGGTCGGGGAAGGCAGCGCCGACCTTAATCACATGGTGGTTAAAAAAAAAATAACTATGAGCCGGTGGCAGGGAGAGGCGGCCAGGCCAGGGCATGGGCTTCCCCCACCGGCTGCCCCATGCCCCCCACCTGTGGCCCCCAATAAATATTTGCAGGGGATGCCAGGCTGCTGGCCCTGGCAGGGGCGGGTGTGCGCCAACCCTATTTCAGGCAACGCTCGAAGTAGGTGGAGCCGATATAGCCGCCCCGCATGGAGCGCTGCACATTCTGCTCAAACAGCCGCCGATTGTTCTGCAGGACCTCGGCGGCCTCCTTGTTCAGTGGGTCTTCAGGGTTGGGCTCCTGTGCCGGTATGGATGGGGGTCAACAGACCTAGGGTGCAAAGGGCCACCCTTCCCCAGCCCCACCTGTTTCACCCCTACTCACCAAGAAGAGATACTGCAGGCCATAAATTATGGAGTTTATCGTAAGGACTGGCTTCCAGTCCTCTCTGTGGGCAGAGAGCATCTGGGTCAGGTGACGGTGAGTGGGCAGCGGCCATTGCTGGGACTGGCCAGGTCAGGCCCAGAGCACGGCAGGGGACAGTGCAGATATGAGAGGGAGGCAGAGGAGGAGGAGTAGGATAGGCCAGGGGCAGCGTCAAGGTCAAGCCATGAGGAAGAAAATGTTGGGAGATGAAGGGACCGAGGTGCAGACCGCAAGGGGTTGGGGGAGACCCAGAGAAGTAACTGAGGAGGCTGCTGTAGTGCAAGGTCATGAGGGGCCCTGGCAGTGGAGCCAGTGCCATCACCTGAGGATGTTGAGGCAGACGTTGCCCTCGAGGTCAATGTTGGGGTGATAGACCATCGTCTCACACTTCACCTTGGGGGGGTCATGCGGGTAACCCTGGCCCACCTGGCTCCAGGAAAAGAGAGGGAAGGTGGATGGGTGCCCCACAGTACCTGTCTGGGGTCTTCTAGCTGTTGTCTCCTTAGCCCATGCAACCAAACCTGCCCACCTGGGACTCACCTTAAAACTGAACACAAACTTCCCGCTCTTGTAGAAGCCCTGGAAGAGGAGAGCAGGGAAAGACTTAGGCCTGGCAAGGAAGCAAGTCCCCCTTCTTGAGAGGAATCCCCTCGCTGCCCTGCCCTGTGCCCAGGGGTCTGGCTGTGTGGACCCTCACCTCATCAGGACAGATAACCAGCTTGAAGTTGAGGAGGTCGTCGGGGTCTGAGAAGCTGATGTCACACGTCTTGGGCAGGTTCAGCTCGTTAATGTCTGGGTGGGGACACGGGGGTGGGCGAAGAGAGGCGGGTGCTCAGAGCCGGTGGAGGCACCAGCAGCCCCCCTGCTCTTCCAGGATCCCCAGAGCTGTCTAGGGCTGTGCCCCACATGCCCACCGAAGTCCGAGCCCTTCGGTCAGATTCTTCTGGATCCACAGCAACCCTGAACGTACACCTTCCACGGTAGCTGTGCCCCAGCTCTTGCCCAGCGGTAAGCCCCCATTCCTTTGGAATGCTCAGTCCCAGGTCCCAGCACCCACCGGCTGTGCGCCCCCCCAAAACCAGGCACCAAATAGGCCCCATTCCCTGGGACCGCCACCTCGAAACCTTGTTCTCAAGAGTCTTGGGCTACCAGAGAGCTTAGAAACCCCAGCCGTGATCTTCATCTCCAGGGGACAATGCCTGCCGGGCCAAACTCCAGAAATCTGCTCTCCACAACCCGAGTCAGGCCCTCGACCCCCAGCCCCCAGCGCCCCGCCTCTCTTCTCCCGGCGTGTGGCCCCGGCCCAGGTTCCCAGGTGAGCCCCAGACCTGTGATCCCTCAGCCCCCACCATGTAATTTACACATAGGTCCCCACCTGCAGCTCGATCGTCTCCACCCAACCCACTCCTACCTTCAATCCGTGACACCCAGCACCCTCTCCTCCACCTGTCACCCCAAATGCCGAACTGCATGGGACCCCCGCCGACCCGCGAACCCCAGGCCCCACGGACTCCTCCGCCCCACGTGACTCAGACTCCCGGCTGCCCCTGCACGACCCCCGCGCCCCCCGCCCCGCCCCGCCTGTCACCGAGGCGCCCGCGCCCCCCGCCCCGCGCCCACCCCCGCCCCCCACCGCCGCCCCGGGCGCCGCGGGGACCCCAAGCGCCGCCCCGCCGCCGGCCCCCTCCCCGGCCGCGCCGCCCCGCGCCGCCCCCGCGCCCGGCCGGCCCGACCTCCGACCCGCGCCGCGGCCCCTACCCTTCTGGATCCGCAGCTGCGCCGCCGACGCCTTCTTGCTGCTGCCCTTGGTGCCGCCCGCCGACTCCTCCTCCTTCTTCTGCTGCTTCAGCGAGAACAGCTTGATCATCCTGCCGCCGCCGCCGCTCCGCCGCCGCGGGCCCGGGACCCCGGCCGCCCGGCCCCGCCGCCGCCCGCCGCCGGGCCTCCTCCGCGCCGCCGCCCGCCGCCCCGCGCCCTCCGCGCGGCCCGCGCCGGCTCCCGTAGCCCGCCGCGGCCTGGCCCGCTCGGGCGCGCTCGGAGGCGCTCGGGGGCGCTCGGGCGCGCTCGGGGGCGCTCGGGGGCGCTCGGCCGCGCCCGCCCCGCCCCGCCCCGCCCCGCGCCGCTGCCCGCCCCTCGCCGCTCGGCGTCCGCGGCCGGGCCGGCGGGGCTCCGCGGGGCGTCCGGGCCGCCCGCCGCTCCGCGAGGGCGCTCGGGTGGCGGCGGCGGCGGCGCGCAGGGGCGGCGGGTCCCGCGGGGCTCGGCTTCGCGGCAGCGGTGGCGTCGGCGCGGACGTCCGCAACGGCCCGGCCCGCCGCCTCGGAGACTTCCGCCGCCGCCGCTTCGGGTCTTCCCGGCCGGCCCGCGCTCTGCGCCTGCGCGGCCGCCGCCGCGGGGGCCGGCGCTCGGGCCCCTTCGGCCGCGCTCGGGCGTTTCCGTCCCCGAGGCCCCCGAGGCCGCTTCCGGGGCCGCCCGCGGGCCGGGCGGGGCGGCCGCGCCGCCATTTTTGAGCGGGGCAGGGGCCGCTGTCTCCGCGGCGCGGCCGCCCCGTCGCCCTCGCGCCGCGCGGCGGGCCCGGCCGGGGAGGCCTTGCCCGAGGGTGCGGGCGGAGCGCCCCGGGGACGCTCCCCACCCCCTGAACCCCCCCGGGGACGCTGTTCGGGGCGCGGCCCGGCATCAGCTCCAGCTTCTCGCGCTGGGGTGGGGCCCGGAGAGTGCGGGGAGACGCGGCCGCCGCAGGCCGGCGTCCGCCGGCGCCCCCCGCCAGGGCCCTGGAGACACGGGCGCCTCCGGCCCGTCCCGGCGGCCTCACGCAGGCGCCCCGTGGGGGGGGGCTGTCCGCCGGGGCCGGCGGCTGCCGCGGGGCGCTGCGGGCCCCGGGAGGGGGGCTGGCCCTGCGGGGTCTCCGGCCGCGGCGTGTCCCGCCCGCGTGGGCGCCGCCGTGCCCCAGAAGCGCACGAGGGTGTGTGGGGCCCAGCCGGGGAGCAGGGGTGGGCAGATGGAGGCGAGGGCGGCTCTGCAAAGGGGGCAGCCCTCGTGGCCCCCGAGCGGCAGAGGAGTGTGGGTGTCGAGGGCTCCCGTACCCCAAGGGCCCGCGGCGGCCTGGGGAGGGAAGCTGGTCTGTGCTGGGAGGGGCTGGGCAGCATAGGGCGGGCCGCTAAGTGGCCCCGGGGTGTCCCGCGGCCGCTGGGCGCTGACTCGGGCAGACGGGAGCCGGTTTTGAAAGGAAGGGGCAGAGCAAGCAGGGGCGGGATGTGGGATGTTGCAGGCGTTGCGGCCGCGGAAGGGAGGCTGCCATCGGCAGAGTTGGGGCTGGAGGGAAGTGGATAGTTTTGGGCCCTGGGACTGGAGTGAGGACAATGGGAGGGCACCGCAGGGGGAGGCTGGGCTCTCGAGGCAGCGCCGTTGGGCCAGGGATGGGCGCGCTCGCTTCCCCAGCAGACCAGCGCCTGCGGTTCCTCCGGTGGCCAAGCGGCCTGATGGCCACCCAACCTGAGCCCTCAGTCCTGCTGATAGACAGTAGCACCAGGTGCTCAACCACCGGCCACGTGGCCAGCTGGCAGGCTGTTCCTGACAACTGCAGGGATGGCATCGTGTGGGGGGCTCACGCTGACCCCATTCCTTCCTTCCCAGAGGCGGGGTTTGGCAGGAGGCCGGTGGAGTAGGGCAGGGGCAAGGCCTGACGTGCACGCCTTTCATAACATGTCGTTCCCTGTGCTGCGCGGGACCCCTGTTCCCAGGTGATCTCATCGGCACAGATTTCCCTCCGTGTTCGGAACAGTAAGGGGATCAAAACACGGTGGAGAGCTTGCCTGGCCTGTTTCCGATTACATGCCACACAGGCCGACAAAGTTCCGGAAGTGTCCCTGGGACCACCTGCCACCTGTGTTCACTGTCAGGAGCTCCAGCATCTCGTTCTGCAGATTCCAGACCAGGGTCCTCCGAGGCCCCTTTGTGGTTCCAGAGGCCAGGGCCTGTCGTCATGGGCCCAAGGGCTCCCCCTGTAACAGGGTGGTCCCCGACCACTCCGCTGTGCCACACAGGAGGGCCCCTGCCAGGAGTGGTGAATACCACTTGTCCTGGGCCTGGCTGGGCTCGAGGGGAACAGGTGAGGAGGACGAGCAGGGGAGGAGAGAGTTCGGCAGGGCTGTTGGCAGCCTTCGGGCCCCTGATGATGTCTTTCCCTGATGCCAGGACCCCCAGTGGCTGTGAGGCCCACACTGAGACCAGGAAAAGACACGCAGGCCTTGGAAGTCTGTTTCTGGAGACCCTCAGGCTAAGGTTAGGCTGGCACCCACCTGCTGCATGCAGATCCCTTCTTTGGCATTTTCTTTACCCTGCGTTCTGGCACTCAGGGCAGCCCCGGGTGGGCGGGGAGCTAGGTGAGGGGCCTGGCTAATGAAATGGAAGGGGAAGGGCAGGCAGCAGGCTGGAGGCTCCAGACACATGAGCATGAGCCAAGTTTGCAGGACACTGATTGTGGGCAGCATCTGTCCACCTTCACTCGCCTGCTGCCTGCTGCCCCAAGGACTGGCCAGTGAGCAGTCTGGTGGAGACCTCCACGCGTGGGGGAACCCCCGGGGCCCTTGGGCGGTAATGAACACCAGAGGGCTGGCATATTTGGTTTTCAAACAGGTTGGGGCACTACCTGGAGGGGCCCCCTAACTTCAAGTGCTGAGTTGACATGTACTGAACAATACGGACTTCCAGATAAAACGTTCCAGCTTTCTGGGGATCTCTCTGGTGGCGCAAGGGGTTAAGGCGCAACCTTTGACGCTACCCGCAGCCACTGCAGCATGAGTTTGATCCCCGGCCAGGGAGTGACCCATGTGGCGCCGCAGACCTCTCCTGTCTCCCCGCTGCTCCCCTCAGCAGTGGCTTTCAGTGGATCCACCTGTTCTGTTCCCCACTCTGGTGAATCCTCTCACCCCTGCCCCTCTGGCCAGCACCCCAGTTCTTGTAAGTGTAAATAAATCTTTAAAAGCGCCACACTGGGGGGCCTCCCCTGGTGGCGCAGCAGTTGAGCGCTGGGCTGCGAGGCTCCCTGCGGCCTCTGCAGCGCCGGTTCGTTTCCCCGGCTGACGGCGAGGGTCCAACAACAACAACAACAAAAAGCGCACTGTGAAGCTGTTCGCAGCCTCTGCAGCGCAGGTTCGATCCCGGCTGGTGAGAGTCCCACAGGGCGCAGCAGACCTCTCCTGTCTCACCCGCGGCTCCCCTCAGCAGTGTGTTCTGTCAGTCTGCCTGTTCTGCTCCCCGCTCTGTCTGGTGAGTCCTCTCACCCTCCCGCGCATTTGGCTTGTGCTCCAGCTCTTGTATAAATAAATCTTTAAAAAAAATTTTTTTTAATTAAAAAAAAAAAAAACCCTTTCAGGTTTGCATCTATGAGGTTGTGTTCTGGACCTCAAGTTGGACTCCCTCTCTGCCCAGTGTTGGCTTGGCCTGAGCCCTCCAGTTCCCCAACACACTGCAGGCCGAGTTGCAGTGTCGGGCAGGTGGAGGCATGGCCCAGAGGGAGGCACACATGTGGCGGCCTTTACCGAGCGCTTATTGGGGACACCGGCGGCCTTTACTGAGGCTTAGTGGGGACACTGGCGGCCTTTATTGAGCGCTTAGTGGGGACACCGGCGGCCTTCACTGAGGCTTAGTGGGGACACCGGCGGCCTTTACCGAGCGCTTAGTGGGGACACCGGCGGCCTTTACTGAGCCTTACTGGGGACACCGGCGGCCTTTACTGAGGCTTAGTGGGGACACCGGTGGCCTTTACTGAGGCTTAGTGGGGACACCGGTGACCTTTACTGAGGCTTACTGGGGACACCAGCGGCCTTTACCGAGCGCTTAGTGGGGACACCGGCAGCCTTTACTGAGGCTTAGTGGGGACACCGGTGGCCTTTACTGAGGCTTACTGGGGACACCGGCGGCGTTTACTGAGGCTTAGTGGGGACACAGGTGGCCTTTATTGAGCGCTTAGTGGGGACACTGGCGTCCTTAACTGAGCGCTTAGTGGGGACACCGGCGGCCTTTACTGAGCCTTACTGGGGACACCGGCGGCCTTTACTGAGGCCTAGTGGGGACACAGGTGGCCTTTATTGAGCACTTAGTGGAGACACTGGCGTCCTTAACCGAGCACTTAGTGGGGACACCGGCGGCCTTTATTGAGCGCTTAGTGGGGACACCAGCGGCCTTTACCGAGTGCTTAGTGGGGACACCGGCGGCCTTTACTGAGCCTTACTGGGGACACTGGCGGCCTTTACTGAGGCTTAGTGGGGACATAGGCGGCCTTACCGAGCACTTAGTGGGGACACTGGCAGCCTTTACTGAGGCTTACTGGGGACACCGGTGGCCTTTACTGAGGCTTAGTGGGGACACAGGTGGCCTTTATTGAGCGCTTAGTGGGGACACTGGCGGCCTTAACTGAGCGCTTAGTGGGGACACCGGTGGCCTTTACTGAGCCTTACTGGGGACACCGGCGGCCTTTACTGAGGCTTAGTGGGGACACAGGCGGCCCTTACTGAGGCTTAGTGGGGACACCGGCGGCCTTTACCGAGCGCTTAGTGGGGACACCGGCAGCCTTTACTGAGGCTTAGTGGGGACACCGGCGGCTTTTATTGAGCGCTTAGTGGGGACACAGGCGGCCTTTACTGAGGCTTAGTGGGGACACTGGCGGCCTTTATTGAGTGCTTAGTGGGGACACCGGCGGCCTTCACTGAGGCTTAGTGGGGACACCGGCGGCCTTTACCGAGCGCTTAGTGGGGACACCGGCGGCCTTTACCGAGCCTTACTGGGGACACTGGCGGCCTTTACTGAGGCTTAGTGGGGACATAGGCGGCCTTACCGAGCACTTAGTGGGGACACCAGCGGCCTTTACTGAGGCTTACTGGGGACACCGGCGGCCTTTACTGAGGCTTACTGGGGACACCGGCGGCGTTTACTGAGGCTTAGTGGGGACACAGGTGGCCTTTATTGAGCGCTTAGTGGGGACACTGGCGTCCTTAACCGAGTGCTTAGTGGGGACACCGGCGGCCTTTACTGAGCCTTGCTGGGGACACCGGCGGCCTTTACTGAGGCTTAGTGGGGACACCGGCGGCCTTTATCGAGCGGCTTAGTGGGGACACCGGTGGCCTTTACTGAGAGCTTACTGGGGACACTGGCAGCCTTTACTGAGGCCTAGTGGGGACACAGGTGGCCTTTATTGAGCGCTTAGTGGGGACACTGGCATCCTTAACCGAGCACTTAGTGGGGACACCGGCGGCCTTTACTGAGCACTTACTGGGGACACTGGCGGCCTTTACTGAGGCTTAGTGGGGACACAGGCAGCCTTTACCGAGCGCTTAGTGGGGACACAGGCGGCCTTTATTGAGCGCTTAGTGGGGACACTGGCGTCCTTAACCGAGCGCTTAGTGGGGACACTGGCGGCCTTCACTGAGGCTTACTGGGGACACCGGCGGCGTTTACTGAGGCTTAGTGGGGACACAGGTGGCCTTTATTGAGCGCTTAGTGGGGACACTGGCGTCCTTAACCGAGTGCTTAGTGGGGACACCGGCGGCCTTTACTGAGCCTTGCTGGGGACACCGGCGGCCTTTACTGAGGCTTAGTGGGGACACCGGCGGCCTTTATCGAGCGGCTTAGTGGGGACACCGGTGGCCTTTACTGAGAGCTTACTGGGGACACTGGCAGCCTTTACTGAGGCCTAGTGGGGACACAGGTGGCCTTTATTGAGCGCTTAGTGGGGACACTGGCATCCTTAACCGAGCACTTAGTGGGGACACCGGCAGCCTTTACTGAGCACTTACTGGGGACACTGGCGGCCTTTACTGAGGCTTAGTGGGGACACAGGCAGCCTTTACCGAGCGCTTAGTGGGGACACAGGCGGCCTTTATTGAGCGCTTAGTGGGGACACTGGCGTCCTTAACCGAGCGCTTAGTGGGGACACTGGCGGCCTTCACTGAGGCTTACTGGGGACACCGGCGGCTTTTATTGAGCGCTTAGTGGGGACACAGGCGGCCTTTACCGAGCGCTTAGTGGGGACACCGGCGGCCTTTACTGAGCCTTACTGGGGACACTGGCGGCCTTTACCGAGCGCTTAGTGGGGACACCGGCGGCCTTTACTGAGCGCTTACTGGGGACACCGGTGGCCTTTACTGAGGCTTAGTGGGGACACAGGTGGCCTTTATTGAGCGCTTAGTGGGGACACTGGCATCCTTAACTGAGCACTTACTGGGGACACTGGTGGCCTTTACTGAGCACTTACTGGGGACACTGGTGGCCTTCACTGAGGTTAGTGGGGACACAGGCGGCCTTTACTGAGGCTTAGTGGGGACACTGGCAGCCTTTACTGAGCCTTACCGGGGACATAGGCGGCCTTTACTGAGCACTTACTGGGGACACTGGAGGCCTTTACTGAGGCTTACTGGGGACACCGGCGGTGTTTACTGAGGCTTAGTGGGGACACAGGTGGCCTTTATTGAGCGCTTAGTGGGGACACCGGCGTCCTTACCGAGCGCTTAGTGGGGACACCGACGGCCTTTACTGAGCACTTACTGGGGACACCGGCGGCCTTTACTGAGGCTTAGTGGGGACAGGCAGCCTTTACCGAGCGCTTAGTGGGGACACCGGCGGCCTTTACCGAGCGCTTAGTGGGGACACCGGCGGCCTTTACTGAGCACTTACTGGGGACACTGGCGGCCTTTACTGAGGCTTAGTGGGGACACAGGCAGCCTTTACCGAGCGCTTAGTGGGGACACAGGCAGCCTTTACCGAGCGCTTAGTGGGGACACCGGCGGCCTTTACTGAGCACTTACTGGGGACACCGGCGGCCTTTACTGAGGCTTAGTGGGGACACAGGCAGCCTTTACCGAGCGCTTAGTGGGGACACAGGAGGCCTTTACCAAGCGCTTAGTGGGGACACAGGCGGCCTTTACCGAGCGCTTAGTGGGGACACTGGCGGCCTTTACCGAGCGCTTAGTGGGGACACCGGCAGCCTTTACTGAGCACTGACTGGGGACACCGGCGGCCTTTACTGAGGCTTAGTGGGGACACAGGCAGCCTTTACCGAGCGCTTAGTGGGGACACTGGCGGCCTTTACCGAGCGCTTAGTGGGGACACTGGCGGCCTTTACCGAGCGCTTAGTGGGGACACTGGCATCCTTAACTGAGCGCTTACTGGGGACACTGGTGGCCTTTACTGAGCACTTACTGGGGACACTGGTGGCCTTCACTGAGGTTAGTGGGGACACAGGCGGCCTTTACTGAGGCTTAGTGGGGACACTGGCAGCCTTTACTGAGCTTTACCGGGGACATAGGCGGCCTTTACTGAGCACTTAGTGGGGACACTGGCGGCCTTTACCGAGCGCTTAGTGGGGACACTGGCGGCCTTTACCGAGCGCTTAGTGGGGACACTGGCATCCTTAACTGAGCGCTTACTGGGGACACTGGTGGCCTTTACTGAGCACTTACTGGGGACACTGGCGGCCTTTACTGAGGCTTAGTGGGGACACAGGCAGCCTTTACCGAGCGCTTAGTGGGGACACAGGCGGCCTTTACCGAGCGCTTAGTGGGGACACCGGCGGCCTTTACTGAGCCTTACTGGGGACACTGGCGGCCTTTACCGAGCGCTTAGTGGGGACACCGGCGGCCTTTACTGAGCGCTTACTGGGGACACCGGTGGCCTTTACTGAGGCTTAGTGGGGACACAGGTGGCCTTTATTGAGCGCTTAGTGGGGACACTGGCATCCTTAACTGAGCACTTACTGGGGACACTGGTGGCCTTTACTGAGCACTTACTGGGGACACTGGTGGCCTTCACTGAGGTTAGTGGGGACACAGGCGGCCTTTACTGAGGCTTAGTGGGGACACTGGCAGCCTTTACTGAGCCTTACCGGGGACATAGGCGGCCTTTACTGAGCACTTACTGGGGACACTGGAGGCCTTTACTGAGGCTTACTGGGGACACCGGCGGTGTTTACTGAGGCTTAGTGGGGACACAGGTGGCCTTTATTGAGCGCTTAGTGGGGACACCGGCGTCCTTACCGAGCGCTTAGTGGGGACACCGACGGCCTTTACTGAGCACTTACTGGGGACACCGGCGGCCTTTACTGAGGCTTAGTGGGGACAGGCAGCCTTTACCGAGCGCTTAGTGGGGACACTGGCGGCCTTTACCGAGCGCTTAGTGGGGACACCGGCGGCCTTTACTGAGCACTTACTGGGGACACTGGTGGCCTTTACTGAGGCTTAGTGGGGACACAGGCAGCCTTTACCGAGCGCTTAGTGGGGACACAGGCAGCCTTTACCGAGCGCTTAGTGGGGACACCGGCGGCCTTTACTGAGCACTTACTGGGGACACCGGCGGCCTTTACTGAGGCTTAGTGGGGACACAGGCAGCCTTTACCGAGCGCTTAGTGGGGACACAGGCGGCCTTTACCAAGCGCTTAGTGGGGACACAGGCGGCCTTTACCGAGCGCTTAGTGGGGACACTGGCGGCCTTTACCGAGCGCTTAGTGGGGACACTGGCGGCCTTTACCGAGCGCTTAGTGGGGACACCGGCGGCCTTTACTGAGCACTTACTGGGGACACCGGCGGCCTTTACTGAGGCTTAGTGGGGACACAGGCAGCCTTTACCGAGCGCTTAGTGGGGACACTGGCGGCCTTTACCGAGCGCTTAGTGGGGACACTGGCGGCCTTTACCGAGCGCTTAGTGGGGACACCGGCAGCCTTTACTGAGCACTGACTGGGGACACCGGCGGCCTTTACTGAGGCTTAGTGGGGACACAGGCAGCCTTTACCGAGCGCTTAGTGGGGACACTGGCGGCCTTTACCGAGCGCTTAGTGGGGACACTGGCGGCCTTTACCGAGCGCTTAGTGGGGACACTGGCATCCTTAACTGAGCGCTTACTGGGGACACTGGTGGCCTTTACTGAGCACTTACTGGGGACACTGGTGGCCTTCACTGAGGTTAGTGGGGACACCGGCGGTGTTTACTGAGGCTTAGTGGGGACACTGGCAGCCTTTACTGAGCTTTACCGGGGACATAGGCGGCCTTTACTGAGCACTTAGTGGGGACACTGGCGGCCTTTACCGAGCGCTTAGTGGGGACACTGGCGGCCTTTACTGAGCGCTTAGTGGGGACATTGGCAGCCTTTACCGAGCGCTTAGTGGGGACACTGGCGGCCTTTACCGAGCACTTAGTGGGGACACAGGCAGCCGTTACTGAGGCGTTTACCCGGCCCCCGGGGTCCCGCGCGCCCGGCGCCTGCAGCCGGCCTACTCGGCGCTGTGGACTCGCTGGTGCTGGATGAGCTTGGTGCTCTGGTGGAAGCGGCGGCCGCAGTCGGGGCAGGCGAAGGGCTTCTCGCGCCGGTGCGTGCGCAGGTGCTGCGTGAGCGTGGGCCGCTGGCGGAAGGCCTTGCCGCACTCGGGGCAGGCGAAGGGCCGCTCGCCCGTGTGGATGCGCCGGTGCTGCGTGAGGTTGGCGCGCTGGCGGAAGCGCTGGCCGCACTCGGCGCAGGCGAAGGGCCGCTCGCCCGTGTGGATGCGCTGGTGCTCGGTCAGCCGCGAGACCTGCGTGAAGCCCCGGCCGCACTCGCCGCAGGGGTAGGGCCTCTCGCCGGTGTGCGTGCGCTGGTGGCGCGTGAGCTTGAGGCGCTGGCTGAAGCGGCGGCCGCAGTCGGGGCAGGCGAAGGGCCGCTCGCCCGTGTGCGTGCGCAGGTGCTGCGTGAGCGTGGGCCGCTGGCGGAAGGCCTGGCCGCACTCGGCGCAGGCGAAGGGCCGCTCGCCCGTGTGCACGCGCCGGTGCTGCGTGAGGTTGGCGCGCTGGCGGAAGCTGCGGCCGCAGTCGGCGCAGGCGAAGGGCCGCTCGCCGCTGTGCACGCGCCGGTGCTGCAGCAGCACCGAGCGGCGGCCGAAGCGCTCGCCGCACTCCGCGCAGCCGAACGACCTGGCGCCCGTGTGCAGCGCCTGGTGCTCCAGCAGCCCCGCGCGCCGCGCGAAGCTCGCCCGGCACTCGCTGCACGGGAAGGGCCCGGGCGGCTCGGGCGCGGGGCGCGCGGGGCGCGCGGGGCCGGGGCCCGGGGGGTCGCCGTGCACGCGCCGGTGCTGCAGCAGGTTGGCGCGCTGGCGGAAGCGCTGGCCGCAGTCGGCGCAGGCGAAGGGCTGCTCGCCCGTGTGCACGCGCCGGTGCTCCTCCAGCCGCGCGGGCCGCGCGAAGCCCCGGCCGCAGTCGGCGCAGGCGAACGGCCGCTCCGCCGAGTGCGTGAGCCGGTGGCGCAGCAGGTGCGAGCTGCGGCTGAAGCCGCGGCCGCACTCGCCGCACACGAAGGGCCGCTCGCCCGTGTGGATCTTCTGGTGCCGCCGCAGGTTGCTGCGCTGGCTGAACCCCTTCCCGCACACGTCGCAGCGGCCGCCCCGCCGGGGGTCCTCGGCCGCGGGGCCGTCTTGGCGGGACGCCGGCCGCAGCGCACCCGCGAGGTCCCAGGGCGCGCGGAGGTGAGGCCGCTCGGGGTCTGGGTCCGCGGCGACGCTGTCCATGGGGAGGCCGGACCCTGCAGGGCACAAGGGGGGGTCCCTGCTCGCCGGGAGGCGCCGCCGGCCTGCGGGCCCCTCCAGCGGGGCAGTGGGGAACAGGCCCCCAGAAACCGACCGGCGGGCCAGGGAGGCGTGCCCGGCCTCCCAGGGGAGGGAACGAGGGGACAGGGGAGAGGCCGGGCAGCCTGGGCCGGCTGCGCGGCGGGGGTGGGGGGCCTGCGTCTGACTTAAGCCCAGGAAGCTCTTTCTGGAAGAGACAGGTGCCCTGGCAGCGCCCGGGTGGGCGACGTGGCCTCCACCCACGCAGGGGCTGGGGCGGGGGCAGCAAAGGCAGGTTCAGGCACCTGGGCCCGAGGCGCTTGCTTGGGCTGACCCTGGGCAGGGGCAGGGCAGAGGCTGCTGCGGGAGGGCCCCGCCTGGGGGCGAGAGGCGCGTCAGGGTCTGGGAGATGCGGAGGGGACAGCGGCTGGGTGAAGGCCACGGGAGCCTGGGAGGCGGAGGCCGGCCCAAGACAGCGTCGCAGAGGCTCCCGCGGTGCCGGGGCCACCAGGCACCAGAGCAAAGCCGGATGGGGCCGACCGCACGGGGGGAGTCGTCTGGGCCCCACGGGAGCAGGGTGGATACGGGAAATTGGTTTCTCGAGAGGCAGAGAGCTGGGTGACTCGAGACCACCCCGACCGCCCCACAGCCAGCAGCGGAGGGACAGGAAACGGAGGCTTCGGCCCCCGAACCCACAGCCCACCGCCTGGACGAGACCGCGAGCTCCCATGCACTCGCTTTCGGGGAGGCGGGGAGGGCGATCCACTCCGTCCTCCACGCGCCTCCGGCCCGGACAGTGAGCTCACCGGTCACTCAGGGTGTCCTTGGGAAGAGGTCTGCTCTGGCTGCACAAAGGGGTGCAGCTGAGGGGCGGGCAGCGGGCCCTGGGGGACAACAGACGCCTGAGGCAGCCGTGGCTGTCTACGGGGCCAGCCGCCTGGGCAGAGGCCACCCTGAGAAGGCGCCGCCACGGAGCTGAGGGTGCCGGCGGTGAGGCCGCAGAGAGCCGAGGGCTGTGGCCTGGGAGGAAGCAGGTCCACGCCGGAAGGAGCAGCGGGGGTCTGGCCGGAGGCTGATGCGGGGCACAGCTGCAGGACACAGCCAACAGGTGTAGGAAGCCTCCGGGAGCACCTTGGGCAGCTCCGCAGTGAGGATGGACCTCGGGTGGCGTGTGGGGGCCACGCCTGGTTGGAACCACCAGGCTGAGGCTGGGCTGCCTCACCCCTGCCCGGGAACAAGGGGCCGGAACCGAGCCGGCCACGGGACAGCTGGGACGGTCGGCCTGTTTCAGCCCAGAGCAGGCTCTCAGGTGGGGAGTGAAGGGCATCCGGGCCTCTGGCCAGGAAGAGGAAGGCCGGGCTGCCCGGTGGGAGGTCTGTTCACACGCGGAGGCAGGCAGGCAACCTGGAGCCCCCCGCCCCATCCTGGCCCAGGGCGGGGATCGGGGAGCGTGAGCGCTGAGGCCCCGTCTGCCTAGATGCTTCCTGGGAGAGCCCACAGCAAGGGCTGCCCCCAGGCGGGGCGCCCACGTGCCCCTCCCTTAAGCGAGGCTCCTCAGGGAGCACCCCATGGCCCTCCGGGGGCGCCCCGCTGTCCTGGCCCCGTCCCCACCCACCCCTTCAGCCATGAGGACAAGCGACAACTCGGAGAAGCTGCACAGAGACAGCGCTGGGGGACGGCCGGGACAGCGGGTCTCGCTGCCCCGGGGGCGGGACGGCCCAGCAGAGAAGACAGTACGAGGACAGCACCTCGGAGGCTGCTTGCCAGGCGGGACCTGGGCCGGGCGCCTGGAGGCACAGGGGAGAGTTTGTGAGGGCGAAGCAAAATGAAGGCAAGATGGGGCCTGTGCCAAGGGACCTGGGCTCGGGCAGGTCCCGCCTGACCTCGGACCACCCACGGCTCCTTCCCGGCTCCCCCCCCATCCCTGTCAGCCCTCCCTTCCTGCCCTGCCCCAAACCAGGGGCTGCTAGTCCCGAGCCTGTAGCCTGGCCCAGCAAGCCGGGCTGGGGAGGGCAGGGCAGGGCCTGGAGGTGGACGCCCCAGGGACAGTCCAGGGATGGGCACGTGGGGCACCATCAGAGGCCCGGCACCCGCATGCTCGCCGTTACTCACCTGGGGAGAACACATCCCCAGCGGCGTCCTGCCACACGGCCCCGGGGTGCTCCCTCCCGGGGGCCCCCTCCGGCCCTGTTTCACTGAGGGGGGAGTCCCGGTCCAGTGCCAGCCCGCAGCCCTGGAAGCACAGCGCCCACTGCCCATCTGGCCAGACTCGGGGACCGCCAGCTCCCCGCCGCTGCGCGCCCCGTAGGGAGAGGTGCTGTCCTGGGGCTCACCTGGGTCTCCTCTGGCAGCAGAGCAGGTGCAGCCTCCTGGGCGGGGGTGAAGGGCTGGGAATCCAGAAGCCCTGGAGAGGGAGGGGGTCAGGAGGACCCAGGCCGCCCTGTCCTGATGGTGCGCAGCTGCTGGGCACCAGGTGGCCGGGGCCTGGGTACAGGCTGGACCGGGTGCCCAACTGGGTGGGGCACGGCAGCCCGGGCTGTGCCTGCCACTCCAGGACAGGCGGGGCTGCACTTGTGGCTCTGGTGGAATGGCCGGGTGGGGTGGGGAGAGGCAGCGCGCCCACGGGGTGGGGGACATGGTGACCAGCTCTAGCGCCTGCCTGGGAGGTCAGCGGGCCCGAGCACTTCGGGGTCCCCTCGCTGGGCTGGTCGCCTTGGGGAGGGAACCTCATGTGCCTCCCACATGGGGACTCCCCGACATCCCGCTCGCCCCGGGGCTGGGAGCACGGCTGTGAAGGGGCGGCCTGCCAGGGGCACCACAGCGCAGCTGGGGGCACTCAGGGCAGCGGGCACAGGGCTGTGTGTCCGGGGGAGGCCCAGCGGGTTGCTCAGGTCAGGCCATGGGCCCTGCCACCCTGCTGGCCTCACCTGGGTCCTCCGCTGCAGGGGGCTCCTCTTTGACCCGCAGGCCCAGTGGTGGCTCCTGTGGGGCTCCAGAGCGCAGTTCAGGCCCGGGCTCTGGTGTCTGGGGCTGGACCTGCGGGAGGGGCTGGGAGCCGGGGGACTCCACTTTCTCTGACAGCACCTCCCGGCCCTGTACCTGGATGGTCACCTAGAAGGGGGCCCGCACGTCAGGGGCCAGGTGCAGCCGGGGGCTTCCGGGCCCCCACCCCACATGGGGCCCCGGAGGACCCTGCTCCCTCAGGGCTGGTGCAGGGGTTGGTCCGCAACTGTCTTTTTGCTGCTCCCCCCACCCCCTTCTCCCACCCTGTGTCCAACTCCAAGCTCACGGCGCTAGGGGACACAGGGACAGCCAGCGAGACTGGCCCCGGAGCTGTCTCCCCTGGCACAAGGTCAGCTGTACGTGACCCCCTTCCAGACCCAGAGGGAGCTGGACCCCAGGGTGAGCCCAGCTGGATGTGGATCCAGCCGCAAGCCTGGCTCAGGGCCCGACTCACCCATCTCCGGGGCCCTCCTGGCTCCTGCCCCAGCCCCTCCACCAGGGCGGCGGCCTCCTCGGGGCTGCCCGGCCGCTGGCCCTGCACCCAGGCCCGGATCTCGGGGGGCAGCGCGCCCAGGAACTGCTCCAGCACCAGCAGCTCCAGCATCTGCTCCTTGGAGCGCGCCTCGGGCCGCAGCCACCGGCGGCAGAGCTCGCGGAGCCGGGCCAGGGCCTCGCGCGGCCCCGCCGCGTCCCGGTAGCGGAAGCCCCGGAACAGCTGGCGCGCGGCCTCAGGGCCCGGGTCCCCCGGGGCGGCCTCGCTGTCCTCCTCCGGGTCCTCCAGCTTCACCGCGACAGCCCCTCGGCTTCTGGGCGGGGGTGGCCCGGGAAGCCCAGCGCCGCGAGCCTCATGCCGGAGCCAGGGTCCGCGCCTGGGGAGGAAGGACAGGCTGGGTCTGCGCGCGCCCCGGGGGCCTCCGCGCGCGTCGCGCCGGCCCGCAGACCGGCCCCGGGGGAGGGCGCTGGGGACACGAGGCAGAGGCCGCCCGGGCCAGGGGCCCCCGCGCGAGTCCCGCCCCCTGGACGACCTGGGCCCGCCGGCAGCCGCCGCTCCAGACCTGGCGGGAGGCGCGGCGCCCCCGCCCCCCAAAGGGCGCCCGGCCGAGCCCGGCAGCCTCCGCCCCGCTCGCGTCCGGAGTCCGACTTCCCCGCGCGCCGCGCCGCCATCTCGAACGCCCTCCGCGGGGGGAGGAAGGGCCGAGGGTCGGGCCCGCCAGGCCCAAGTGGGGGCCGAGACGCGAGCCCCGCCGGGGCCACGTGACCTTGGCCTGTCCCCGCGCCCGCTGGACCTCGTGTCCCCAGGAGCCCGCGGGGCGCCCGGCCCTCCCTCCCGGGGCTGCGGGAAGGCGCGGGCGGCGCGGTGCAACCCGCTTATTGGCGGGGTGGACCCCCGCGCCTCACCTCCGCAGGTGAGCGCGGAGCCGCGGCCGGGCAGCCCCGCGGAGGCGCCTGAACTACATTTCCCACAAGTCCCGGCGGCCGGGGCGGGGCTCCGGCGTCCGTCGCCGTGGCAACGCGCCGCGACGGACGCGCCCCGGCGGCGGCGCCGAGCCGGCCCGCAGGAAGGCCCCGGCCCCACGGGACCCCGCCGCCCGGGGTGCGCCCGCGCCTCCCGGAAGACCCGTCCGTCCCTCGGCGCGCGGCGGGCCGCTCCGCGCTCGCGAGCATGCGCACTCGCCTGCGCCCCCCCCCGCGGACCGTCTCTCCCAGGGTGCCCCGCGCGGCCCCACCCTCGCCGGCCCCACCCTCCTGCCCCGTCCCCGGGGCGGCGTTCGCAGCAGCCGGCCGCCGCTCCGCGCGCGTCCCGCCTCAGGTCCCGGCGCGCGGGCCCCGTGGGCGTGCGCGAGCTTCGCAGGGGACGACGGGCGGGCGCGGCGCCTCGCCGACCGCGCATGCCCCGCACGCGTTTCCCGCAAGACACCGCTCGCGGCCCCGCCGTGTCTCCACGGCAACCGCTGGGGGGGGCGCGCCACGCCCAGCCAGGTGCTTTCTGGGAGGCGTAGTCCCGGGCCAACGGCGACGCGCTACGCGCAGCGGCGGGGGCGGTGCCGGCGGCGCGGGGCGGGCCTGGGGGCGGGGCGGGCGGCGCGGGTCTGGGGCGGTGCGCGGGGCGGAGGCCGGGCCGGAGCGCGCCGGGCCGCGGCGTCCGCCCAAGGCCAGCGCGGAGCGCGGCGGCGTGAGGGGCCTCAGGGCCGCGCGCAGACTCGGGGCGCGGGAGGGCGCCAGGGACACGGTGGCTGCACGGGCCGCGAGGCGAGGCCCGGAGACTGGAGAACAGGGTGGCGAGTCCGTGGAGGTCCCGGGGGACGCGCCTCCGCTGGCCGCCGTGATGGCCGCGCGCTGGCGGCCCCCGAGCCCAGCGCGCCGCCTCCGCCCGAGGCCCTGGAGGCCCGCGGCCGCCCGTGCCGCGCGGCTGCTCGTCGTGCCGTCCCGTGCCGTCCCCGTCGCCCTGGGGCCGCGCCCGCCGCCGGGGCGCAGTCCGTCTTGGGGTCCACGCGCTGGCGTAGGCGCTTCCCTTGGGCGCGCGCTCTGACAGCCGGGAGGGGACGGGACGGCGGCGGCCGGGGGCGGGCAGCGGGGCCCACCCGGGGGCGGGACGACCAGGACGGGCGGCCGACGACGGGCTGCGGGCGCGCCCCGCGCCCTCCCGCGCTTCCACCGCGTCCCCGTCGGCCGGCCACGCTTCCCGGCAGGCTCCGGGGCGCGGCGCAGGCGTGACGCAACGCCAGGGCCGACGGCGGCGGCTCCTCCAGCCCGGGGCGGGGCCCGCCGGGCTCCTCCAATCCTGGCCGTCGCCGACGGGATGGGGCTGGGCCCGCCTGCCGCCGGGAAGCGGTGCTGTGGGACCGGAGGCGCCGCCTTGCGCCGCAGCCGGAGGTGAGGGCGGGCTGCCCAGCCGGCTCCGGGGGCAGGAGCGCCGTGCCGGCCGCGCGGCCGGAGACGGGCCCGGAGCCCCCGCTGCGCGCGCCGCCGAGTCACCGCGCGGGCCAACCGGAGCCCGCGGCCGCCCCGCGGCATCCTGGGAGTTGTAGTCTCGCGGGCGCCCGACGCCCGGACGTTGCGGGCGAGCTGTGGCCGCGGCGCTTCCCCGAGAGCCGCCGGTCGCGGTGCTGGGGGCGGCGGGAGGCCTAGCGAGCCCCGTCAGGCTCCCTCTCCCCGCGCGCGCCCCCTCGAGTTTTCTCCCCGGAGCGGCCCCGGCGGCGCCCGGGCAGAGCGCGCAGGGCGGGCGAGCGGGCTGCAGGGACGCGCCAGCCCTGCTCGGGAGGAGCGCGGAGCCCCGCGCCGAGGTCTGCATCCCGCCAGGGAGCCCGCGGGAGTGAGCGCTGGGCGGCGGCCGGGGCCCGGGACGCACCGGCGAGGACTGTGCCTCGACTTGCAGGAGAGCCGGCCCCGCCTCGTCCGCGGTGGCGGCCTGCGCCGGGCGTGCGGTGAGCGCCTGACACCGCCGCAGCCGTGGTGGTTCACGCAGCATTTAACACCGCGGGCTCCCGAAAGAAACCCGAGACGGTTCTCCTGGGTAAAATCGGGGTGTTGGCAGGGCTGGTTTCTCCTGGACGTTCTGGGCTTCGGTGGTGACACCTCTTGTGAGTGAGGTGTTGCGTCTCCCTTTATCAGGGGCCCTGTGACTACATTTAGGGCCCACTCCCATAACGGAGGAGAATCTCCCCATTTTAATGTAATTAACTTATCCTATCTGCCATGTTTCTTGTCATATCAGGTACTTAAGTCGCAGGCTCCCGTGCAGCTGTGATGTCTACAGCACGTGGACGCCTTTGGGAGCCACCATTCAGTCTCCCGCACTGATGTTTGATGTCTCTGAGTGAGAAGCATGCAAATTGGCAGCTTGTCTGCTCACCAGTGTGTGGGAGGTAGGTCAGGGTTTCCGCTGGTGGTTGCAAGGGAGCGAATGCTGCTGGTAGAACTCTCTCAACCTCATAAACTCAAACTAGGCGATGTGCGTTTTCGGATGCAAAGGATGTATGGGTCCAAGTGAGTGCGCAGTGTTCTTAGGAGGAGGAGGGAGACGGACGCGCCTGGGCGTGCCTTGCAGGCTGTGGTCAGCCACGCAGGTACTCTATGTTGACCGTGGGAAGCCGGGCGGTACTCGGGATTCCACATGCTTACACATTGATGCCCTCTTACAGGCAGAGGCAGGCGTGGCAGGAGAGGCCGAGAAGCTGTTAATGTGGGCAAAGTGGTGGCTGCCGTGGATGTGCAGGGGGGACAGAGCTCTTCGAGGTGCATGGCTCAGGGAGGCGGAATGAAGACAAACTCCCACCCGCAGGTGTCAGGGAAGGCGTCCTTTGCTGGGATCGGCCTCCGCCACAGCTCCAAGCGGGACCGGAAGTCCATCACCCTGCATGTGAAGTTGGAGGTGCTTCGGAGGTTTGAGGCAGGTGAGAAGCTGACGCAGATTGCCCGGGCCCTGGGGCTGGCCACGTCCACCGTTGCCTCCATCCGTGTCAACAAGGACAAGATCCGGGCCAATTCTCAGGCTGCCACGCCCGTCAGTGCCACACAGCTGACCCGCTGCCGGGGGGTGGTGATGGGCCACATGGAACGCCTGCTGAGCCTGTGGATAGAGGAGCAGAAGCAGCAGAACCTGCCCGTCAGCACGCTGCTCATCCAGGACAAGGCGCGCCGGCTCTTTGCGCAGCTGCAGCGTGAGCAGGGGGGTGGCACCCAGGCCGAGACCTTCGGGGCCAGCAATGGCTGGTTTGCCCGCTTCAAGGCTCGCCACAACGTACTGCTGACGGATGAGCCAGCTGTGGCTGACATCCAGGCCGCGGCCCGATATCCTCCTGTGCTGCGCGCCATTCTGGAGGAGGGTGGCTACTCGCCTCGCCAAGTCTTCAATGCAGATGAGACGGGGCTGTTCTGGAAGCGGCTTCCTGAGCGCATGCTACTGGCACTGGAGGGGGCAAAAGGGGCTGGGCCCAAAGCGTCCAAGGACCACCTGACACTCCTGCTTGGGGGCAATGCTGCTGGCGACTTCAAGCTGAAGCCTCTGCTGGTGTACCCTTCGGAGAACCCGCGCGCCCTCAAGGGCTACTCCAAGGCCAGCCTGCCCGTGGTCTGGCGCTCCAACCGCAATGATTGGCTGACACCTAGCATCTTCCAGGAGTGGTTCACTGGCTGCTTCTGCCCTGCTGTGGAGAGCTACTGTGCTAGCCACGGCCTCCCGCACCGGGCCCTGCTGCTCCTGGACAGCGCTCCGTGCCACCCTACTCACCTGAGTGGCCTCTCTGCCCACGTGCGCGTCGAGTTCCTGCCCAAGAACACCTCGGCTCTCATACAGCCTATGAACCAGGGAATCATTGCTGCCTTCAAGGCCCATTACCTGCGCCGCACCCTTTGTCAGTTAGTCCAGGAGACGACTGGTGCAGACCGGCCTTCTGTGCGGGAGTTCTGGCGCAGTTACACCGTCATGGCTGCTGTAGACAACATTGCTGGGGCCTGGGCGGAGCTGCAGCCCGTCACCATGAACAGTGCCTGGAGGAAGCTGTGGCCGGAGTGTGTGCCCACGGGGGCCCCCGAGCCTGACGCCGTGCCCCAGCTCCGGCGAAGTATCGTGGCGCTGGCCAGTCACGCGGGCCTAGGGGAGGTGGCTGAGGCTGATGTTGCCCACCTGCTTCAGGCCCATGGGGATCCCCTGCCTGATGGCACCCCCCAGGATTCAGAGCAGCGGGACGCCTGTGGCTCTGGGCAGCCCCGGGAAGCAGGAAAAGTCCTGACTTCCAGAAAGCCAGAACCAGATTTCGCAGAGGCAAGCGTGGGGACAGAGGGAACTGGGGCGGGGGCCCTGAGCCCTGAGCACCTGGCCGAGGCCCTGTCCCACTTTGCCACTGGCCTTCAGATCTTCACAGAGAATGACCCCAACCGGGAGCGCAGCCTGCGGGTGTGCCGGGGTGTCAGCGGTGTCATCGCCCACCTCCGGGAGTTGCACCGGGAGAGGAGGCGGCGGTCACGGGTGACTGTACCTTCGGGAGACTTCGTGATGGTGGCAGCGAGGGAGTCGGCCGGAAGCCCGCACTTGCTCCAGGAGGGCCCCACAGAGGGTAGACGAGTGGGTAAGGGCACGGGCCCCGAGGGACACACTTCTGTGGCTGTCCTGCATGATGTGGGGCGCACACCAGATCTCAGATGAGCCTGCGGCCTGTTTTGTTTCTGGAGGACGGACACTCCACTTCTCCCCGAGTTCCCATCTCACGCCTCGCGGTCTTTGTATAGTGATGCACACGGTACCAGGCTTGGGGAACAGGAGGTAGTGTCCCCAGCAGGCAGATAAGGTGTGGGAACCCAGGAGTGTCCACCCACCTGCGGCACAGAAGTTGCTGAGTAGCTTACCAGATGGGCTTCCAGGTGGCGGGAGGCCAGGACTCAGACCAGCTTCTGTTGGCCAACTGACCTGTCGCTGCTTGGAACCATCCTTTTCTCAGGGCTCAGTGGCCTCCTGAGGGTTGGTTTCTCCGCACATCTGCTGTACCCCATCTTCTCCCAGAGGCTAGACACTGTGGTTATTTCCCTCATTCTAGCTGTTCCTCTGTCGCTCAAACTAACATCTGGCACCCTGGGGTGTCCACCTGATTGCACTACGTGGGTCCCTCCTATGGAAAGGGAAGGTGTTAACACTGCTCCCAACGGCTTCCTAAACACCTTTCAACCAACATACATGCCTGGGTGTCACTGTGCATACGTGCGCACACACGCACATACCAAGAAATAAAAGATGGGTGAAAGGACTCGCGCCCCGTGTCCTGGCTACACCAGTGACTGTCCTGCTGGCCGAACATCACCGGCTGGGGGCTAGGTGGGGGCTGGAGGGACAAAGGCCAGTCCCGGGGCAGCGGTCAGCGGGATGGCCCAGGGAAGGGGCATTGCCCAGGACACAGACTCGGTACTTTTCGTGTGCTCAGCGTGGGGTGCCCGCACCCGTCGGGGGATGCCGGCGAGGGGGCCGGTGCGCGCAGGGACTGCTCGTGTCCGGAGGCGTTGTCCTGGCGCACGACTAAGAAACAGGCACGCCGGGGATGCCGGGTCTCAGTGGGTCGTCGGGGAGGCCTGAGGCCCGGGAGGCAGGAAGGGCAGCACCAAAGGGCGCGGGGGCTGGCTGGCAACGTCCGAACGGGGCCGGGGGCGGTGGGGGGGGGGCGGTAGAGGCGAGGGGAGCCCTCCGGGCGCGTGTTGCCAGGGGGTGCGCCCCTGACGGGGTCGAGGACTACATTTCCCAGAGAGCCCTGGGGCCCGGCGCGCGCTGTTGCCCTAGAGACGACACGCCGCGTCCGGCGCCGGAAGCTGGGGTCGCGGGCGGAGGGGCGCTTCCGGCGCGCTGGCCCGGGCGTCGCTGCAGGGTCCAGGCGGCGGGCCGGCGCGGCCCCGCGCGGTGAGTCTGGCGCGGGCGCGGGGCAGCCGGGCGGCGGCGGGGGCGCGGCGGGGCGCGGCGGCCGGGCCCGTTGGGGTCGCGGGGGGGCCTGGGACGTGGAGTCCGCGGGCGGGCCCCGGAAGTGCTTCCGCCGCGGGCGCCCCGTCGTCCCGGCGCGCGCCCCCGCCTGAGGTCCCGCGGTGGGCCCGGGTGGCCTCGCCCCGCGGGCCCCGCGCCCGGCCCGGCGGTGGCTGTGCCCGGGCGCTGCCCTCGGGGACGGCGTTCGGCGGTGGCGCCTCGCAGAAGGGGCGCCTTCGAGTCCCTTCCCCGGGGCCAAGGGGTCGGCTCTGTCGTTGCCTCTTCGTGCCACGGCGAGGCCCCGGGCGGGTCAGGCGCCCCCCGCCCCGCGGCGCCCGGGCTCGCGGTCGAGCTGACCCTCAGCATCTGGGGGCGCCGCCGGGGCGGGGCGCCTCGTGGTCCTCGTGTCCGGCGGCCGCGGGGCTGTGCTGCAGCGGTGCCATCCGTCCCCCGAGGCTCCGGGGCGCGGGGCCGCCGGCGCCGTTCGCAGCTAGTTCCCGCGGCCCCTCCGCTCGGCCCGGGGGTCTCCGGCCCTGGACAGGGGCGTGGCCTTGACCCCTGACCCCACGGCCCGGCCTTCTACCTTGACCCAGTTTGGCCTCAACCCCTGAGAGCCTGCTGGGGCGAGCGGGCTCACCCCGCCTGGGTTCCCAGTGCTGGAGTCCTCCCCAGGGTACGGGCGGGACGTGCCCGGCTCCGGGGTGCTGGCTGGCCAGGTCTGCAGGACAGTTCCCCTCACTGCAGGTGGCCTGGCAGCGGGGTGCGTGCAGGGGTATGGGAGGTCCCCGACCCTTACTGTGTGGACGTGTGTCCCAGGAAGACTGTGTGTGTGTCCTGAGGGAAGCCTCGCTATGGCAGCCAACCCACCGCCCTTTGACCAGGAAGAGCTTGTGATCATCAAGGTGGAGGAGGACGAGGACTCCCCGTGGGATCCTGAGCCCCTCTCTGATTCTCACCCCCCGGTCCTGTCATCCGGGCTTGGTGGGGACCCCCGGCAGCGTTTCCGGGGGTTTCGTTATGAGGAGGCGGCAGGACCCCGCCAGGCCCTAGCCCAGCTCCGCGAGCTCTGCCGCCGGTGGCTGCGGCCCGAGGCGCGCTCCAAGGAGCAGATGCTGGAGCTGCTGGTGTTGGAGCAGTTCCTGGGCGTGCTGCCCCCCGACACCCGGGCCTGGGTGGAATCCCAGTGCCCCCAGAGTGGTGAGGAGGCCGTGGCGCTCGTGGAGGACCTGGAGCCAGTGTGGCGGAAGGATGGTGAGCGCAGGGCGGGGCCTGGTGGGGGTGGGTGAGGGTGCTTGAGGAAACACCACCCACTGCTCTGGGCCTGAGCGCCCCCCCCTTCCCAGGCTTTCAGTGTCCTCCTTGCCAGTGTCCTTGCGAGGACATGGATGCCAGGCATGTTGGGAGCCTTTTGTAGCTCTGAACCTCCCGAGGCGTGAGCTTGAGGTTACGTGGCTCGTCTCCGTCGGCACCCAGGCCTCCTTCCTTCGCTCTTCTCTCTCCTCCCGAGGTTGCTGAGCGAGGGCCATTTGCCGATCCCTGTGCTCCAGGGAGCCTGGGCGGATGAACATGTGAACAGTGGAGCTGCTCCTTGTCTCGGGCAGGGGAATCAAGAGACCAAAATCACGGTTTTGGTTACTACGTGGTTTTAGTAACTGTGATTTACATCCTCAAGAGACCAGTGACTTGGAAGTTTTAGTGAGGGCAGCAGCTGCTACGGCCAGCACCACTGCCCCACAAGGTCAGGTTGTCTGCAGAGTCGGCCCAGACGGTCCCCCCTTGGCCCCTCTCCACGTGCCCTGGCAGGCGCTTGTCCCTGGGGGTGAGGTGGAGCCCGGTGCTCAGGGCAGCGGGATCTGCAGCTTGAATGGGCACTGCCGTCCGGGACAGGGAGGGTTCCTGAGCTGTGTGAGGAGCGAGGCCGGCTTTGCTCAGCCTCAGCTCCCTTTGAGGCCCCTCTGGCACACGCGACCCTGCTTCCACACGCCACGCTCTCTGTACAAAGCCTCTGGAGACACTCAGCAGGTGCAGGCCCCCGGGCAGGAGGGGACACCCTAGGGCAGGTTTAAGGCCAGGTTTTGTCTGGAAGGTGCAGATTTGAGACACCCCGGGTGTGCCAGTTCGGTCCCTGCATCACACAGCTGGCTGCAGCCAGGACGCATCTGGCCACTGCCTCAGCGTCTCAGGGACTTGGGTCTGGGGCTGAGGCACGTGGGGTGGGGGGTACTGGGGCTGAGGCATGCGCATCTGGGGGTTCCGGGGCCACAGGTCGGCTGGGAGCATGGTGTCCTGTGTGATGGGGGTGTCTTGCGTCATCCAGAGTCCGAGGCTAGTGTCCGGCCCACGCTGGCCCTCATGGTGGGTTGAGGACACTGACGTTCCTTTTCCCCCAGCACTGTTCCAGGCCCCGCCCCAGGAGCAGCTGTCTGGAGACCTGGCGGAACCTGCCAAGCCCTTCGCCGATGAAGCTCAGGTGAGTTGCGGTCCCCCATGTCCGGATGCTCCTCTCGCTGCCCCTCTCCACAGGCCCAGCCTCCCGCCTCGCCTCACCTGCCCTGCCCTGGTCCTGCCCGGCGCCCCTGCTCCCGAATCTGCGCCGGGCTCACACCCGAATAGCGGGGCTTGCTTGTCCCCAGGTCTTGGGGCCTGGACCCCACCCGAGGCACTGGAGAGGGGCTGGGCCAGGAGCAGGTGTCACCCCCATGCAGGCCGCTGGTCTGAGCTGCTGGCTGGGCATGGGGGTACCGCAGGAGAGGCGGGGCCAGGCGCTGTCCCTGGCACCCAGATCCAACAACATGGCCAGACGGGTTCCTGTTCTGGGCTCTGCCTGGGGACCCGGAGCTCAGAGCTGGGTTACGCTCAGACATGAGTTTCTGTGCTGGCCGGAACTGCCTCTCCCTGCCATGAGAGTCTGACGTCAGCCGGTGTGCGGCACTCCCGGCCCTCTGGCCACCCCCAGTGTGTTCTGGGGCTGGAGTGGCCAGTGGGGGCTCCAGTGGGTGGGCGCTTGGAGCCGAAAGAGCAGAGAGAGAGAGACGTGAGTGGCTTTTGGCACGCGCTGCCCCAGCCAGCCCGCTCCCCTGAACCTTGTCTCCCACTTGCATTAGGGTGGGCCCGGGGCTGCTGCCGCGCCATCAGCAGACACAGGGCAGGAGTGTACGTATTCTTCTGCGCTGCCTGGAGTCAGTGATGCGTTCAGGGCGCCCCTGTCAACGGTCTCGGGCCTGAAGCTGCCCCTGAAGCGGCCGAGGAGCGCCGACACGGGCCAGAGTGCCAAGCGGGACCGCAAAGCCATCAACCTGCAGGTGAAGCTGGAGGTGCTGCGGCGCTTCGAGGCCGGAGAGAAGCTCAGCAGGATCGGCCAGGCGCTGGGGCTGTCCACCTCCACCGTGGCCACCATCCGTGACAACAGGGACAAGATCCGGGCCAGCTCGCAGGCTGCCACGCCGCTGGCCGCCGCCCGGCTGACGCGCAGCCGCAGCCTGGTGATGGAGAACATGGAGCGGCTGCTGAGCGTGTGGATCGAGGACCAGACCCGGCGGCGTGCGCCGGTCAGCGTGGTGCTCATCCAGGAGAAGGCACGCAGCCTGTTTGAGGCCCTGAAGCGCGAGCAGGGCGTGGACGCCGAGGCGGAGACCTTTGCCGCCAGCCGCGGCTGGTTCGCCCGCTTCAAGGCGCGCCACAGCCTGCAGGCCCTGGGCGCGGGGGCCGAGGCGGGGCCTGCTGACCCCGTGCGCCGCTTCCCCGCGCTGCTGCGCAGGGTCATCCGCGAGGCTGGCTACTCGCCCCTCCAGGTGTTCAGTGTGGACGAGACCCGGCTGCTCTGGAAGCGCCTGCCCCGGGGGGCGTCCCCACCCCGGGGGCAGGAGTCGGGCCCGGGACCCGGAGCACTGCTGACGCTGCTGCTGGGGAGCAATGCTGCCGGTGACTTCAAGCTGAAGCCCCTGCTGGTGTACCCCACGGATAACCCGCGCGCCCTCGCGGGCCTGGCCAAGCCCACCCTGCCTGTGCTGTGGCGCTCGCACCGACGGGCCCGGGTCACCACCGGGCTCTTCCAGGAGTGGTTCGTGCACTTCTTCTGCCCCGCAGTGGAGCGCTACTGCGTGCGCCATGGCCTCCCCTTCCAGGCGCTGCTCCTGCTGGCCCGCGCCCCCTGCCGCCCCGGGAACCTGGATGACCTCTCGGACCACGTGCGCGTGGAGTACCTGCCCCCGGGCGGCGCGGGCCTGCTGCAGCCCATGAGCCGGGACGTGGCCACCACCTTCAGGGCTTGCTACCTGCGGAGGGTCTTGCGCCTGCTGTTGGCCCGGGCGGGCGGCGTGGACAGGCGTGCGGGGCCCTGGGATGCCTGGCGGGACTACAGCATCCTGGACGCCATCTACAACATCGCCGAGGCCTGGGAGGACCTCCCGCCCGCCACGCTGAACGCAGGCTGGAGGCAGCTGTGGCCCGAGTGTGTCCGGCGCGAGGCCGGCGTCCCGCCCGGGGAGACGCTCCCGCAGATTCGGCGGGATGTGCTGGCGCTGGCCCACGCCATGGGCTTCGGCGGCATGGTGGAGGCGGATGTGCTGGAGCTGCTGCAGGGCCACGGGGCCGACCTGCTCAGCCAGGAGGCGGTGGGGCTGCAGCAGGAGCTGGCCGCCGAGGAGGACGGCGAGGACGGCACCCCGACCCCCCGCCAGCTCACTGCCAGGCGCCTCGCCCAGGCCCTGGCCCACTTGGACGCTGGCCTGCAGGTCATCCGTGACCACGACCCCAACCTGGAGCGCAGCCTCAGGGTCTGCCGGGGCATCAACAGCCTCATCTGCTGCTACCGGGAGCTCTTCAAGGAGAAGAAGAGGGGCTCCAAGTAGGGGTCCCCAGGGGCTGGGGCGCGGCGGCCCCTGCCTGCCCGCCCCGTCCTTCCGTGGCAGCCCCTGCCGTGAATGTCCAGTCCTTCCCGGCGCTCGGGTGTTTTTGGTTTTTCACTCTTGATCGGCAGCCAGCGCCCCTCAAGGAAGGCTCTGGGGCACATGGCTCCAGAGAGCGCGTCCCTCTCCAGCGTGCTTTCGCTCTCGGCGGGGCCTCGGGGCGCGCCTGGGGCCGCTGGGCATCCAGCCAGAGGCGCTTTCTGGTCCTTTCCCTCCCTGCCGGGCTTCCGACCTGTAGCTGGCCAGGGTGACCTGGGCTGACCCCCGGAGAGACTGGGGTCTGGAAAGCGACCCTGACTGGGGCCCTGTCTTCCGGGCCCGGCGGAGGCTGGGGAGCGGCAGGAGACCGCGGCCTGCGGGGCCAGAGGAGCGGCACAGCCACCCACCTCCCGGCTCCCGTCCGGGCGGCCTCGGGCGGCCGGCGTCCCTCCGGCCATCTTGGTGCTAATTCCCTCTCGCCTCCTCCCTGCATCTCGCCCCCGTTTGCCTCCCGCCACCCCCCGTCCCCTTCCTGCGCTCATGGCGCTGCTGGTGCTTGGAGACCGGGAAGCCGGGGGTGCCCGAATGCCCTCGGGAGGAGGGCCCGTCCCCCTGGGTGAGTGCGTTTCTGGGTGCGGGCTGACTTGAGTGCTGGGCTCAGGTCCGCAGTGACCGGCCCCTGCCCCCAGCCTCGGGGCTCCCGGGGAAACCTTCCCCAGAGCTGCTGTCCGCAGGGGCGCGGCCCGCCCGGGGCTGTGGCAGGGGTGAGCGGGGCCTGGAGGTTCGGCTGGAAGACCCCAGTGCCCACGCGTCTGCCCCCGCCACCTCGGAGTGTGCGCGGAGCGGCGCCTTGCGAGCAGCTCGCCGAGGCCAGGCCCTCTGCGGCAGCTTCCGGTGAGGAGAGGGGCCCACCGTGAGGAGAGGTGCTCCCCATTGGGCGGTGCTTCCCGTGAGGAGAGGGGCCCCCCGGGAGAGGTGGCACCCCCGTGAGGAGGGGGTCGCCCCGTGAGGCAGGGCCCCCCGGGGTGGCGGGACAAGACCTCCCGAGGCCTGGAGGGAAGTCTCCCGTCCAGTTGGCCACAGGCACCGCGTCCGGCCACGAAGCTCGCCAAAGCAGGGCCGAGGCCTCGCGGGATGTCGCCCTCGGGGCGCGAGGCTCAGCTGGCGGCGGGAGGTCGCGTGAGAGTGGGGTGCGCAGCCTCGCGTGTTGGTGGCCCAGGCGCCCGTGTCCAGCTTGGCGTCTCCGCGAAGGGGTCTCGCCGCCCTGGCGCTTGGGGCTCGCCCGCGCGGCCAGCGCAGCATCTGGGGAGGCCGGGCTGGGAGGTCGTGTGGTCTCGGGCGCCGGCCCTGTCCCGGGGGCGGCCCCGCCCCACCAGCCCCACGTCCTCCGGGCCTGCGCGTGGGGGGCGCCCGGGGAAGCGCTTTTGCTTGGAGCAGCCGCTGCGGCGGTGACACGCGGGTGCAGGTGGGACTGGGGCGCCCCGGAGGTTCTGTCCATGTGGGTCCACGTGGGTCCCGCCGCACCCGTGTCCCTGGGAGTCTTGGGTGCGGCCGGGCGCGTCATGCCCAGGGGCACCCGTGTTCCTCCACCGAACGGCCGTCTCCGCGGAGCAGTGCAGACTCCTGCCCCGGATGCAGCGCCTCGGCTGGGGGCTCCAGTCTGTTGGTTGTTTCAAGTCAAGTGGCTCGGAGCGGAGCGGTTAGGAGAGCTGGAGAGGGCGCTGTCGTGGCGCTGACCCCCGCTGGCGCGGCGGGCATCGTGTCCATTCTTTGTCAGGCCAGAGCCAGGCCTGGGTTTTGTGATTTTGTTGCAGGGCAGCCCCGATACAAAACGGGGTGCCTGACTGTGGGTCCTCACCCGCGCGCTTACAAGGGACTTATGAATACTCCACTGCAGGCGCGCACGAAAGGTTCATAAAAGGTTTATTTACAAGGGAAAAGGAAATAAGGAAAATGTACAACTCGGGGAGAAAAGAGGGAAATTAAGTCTTAAATGCGTCCTACCCGTTCTGCCGACCCGGAATCCCAGTGGCGCACCTAGAGCTGGCCAAGAGCCAAGAGCCAGGAGGCCAAGAGCGAGCCCCAAGGCCACATGTGTGGTTTTCTACCAAACCTGGCAGCTTAACTCCGCCCTCGGGTCCCAGCAACCCTCCCTTTGGTGCTGATGGCATTTGTGTCTTGACGGCTTGTGGTCGGGGGTGGAGTCCACAAAGCCTGTATGGAATTAGCTCAGGACATCCCTTCCCCCTAACAATTTTAGGATGAGCCAGTCTATGCTTAAAAGTTTGTCATGCCCCAAAAAGGTTACAAATAAGAGTACCGTATGTGTCAGCATTTGCGCACCTCGATATTTCCCCCAGAGGATTGAAAACAGGCGTCCGGCTCAGCTGTGCACATAAATGGTCATACTCGCACTCTTCATCCCAGCCAGGGGTAGAAACAGGGCCAATGTCCACCGGTAGGTGAATGGAGAGGCAGAAAGTGGTTGATCCCCAAACGCCAATATCCCTCTGCCACTTAAGGGAGAAAGTCGGTCGGCGCGGCTGCTGTGGCGCGCTCCCCGGCAATTCCCTTAAAAACTGGACATAAAATTCACACTGGATCCAGCAATTCCGCGTCAGGAATGTGCCCCAAAGAACTGAAAGCGGCGACTCAACCAGATGATCTGCACAGCAGCAGTCACCATCCATCAGAACCTAGACACTGGTGTCCCGGGATGAACGGATGTAGCATCCAAATGTGGCACAGGGACAATGTCACAGGTTCTGACTGCAGCTCGTAGGAAACGCAGAGTCAGGATAAAAAGTGCAATACATCGCCCAGATACAAAAGGACAAATGTCGAGAAACTCCACTCCGGTGAGTATCCAGATTGGGCAACTTCAGAAGCAGAGGTGAGAACGTGGTGGCCAGAGGAGGGAAAGAGGGACAGGAAGTTCGTGCTTCATGGGTGGGGTTTCGGGGGGCGGGGAGAGGAAAAGAGCTGGCCAGTGGCGCTGCCCAGCTCGCCGCCTCCACACACTTGTCGCCAAATGACACCTAAACCCAGGCCGCGGGCTGTGTGCCCGCTGAGCGGCCCGGGTCGCGCATTTTCTAGCTTCACCTCCCCCTTCTCTCTGTCCGAAGGGAAGCTGAACAAGTGAGACGCATACAAACGTAAAAAGTGGGGCTCCCTGGTGGCACAGGGGCTAATGCCCGCGCTGTGAAGCTCTCCCCAGCCACTGCAGCGCGAGTTCGATCCCTCCGGCCAGGGAGCTACCCACCTGGTGCAGTTGACCTCTCCCACCTCCCTGCTCTCCCCTCAGCTGTGTATTGCAGGCAGTCCAGCTGTTCTGCTCCCCACTCGGTCTCTGGTGAGTCCTCTCACCCCCTGCACCTCTGGTCTGAGAAGCACTGGGCACAGTCAGAAGCGCGGGAGGGTGAGAGGATCCACCAGAGCCAGAGCGGGGAGCAGAGCAGGCAGAAGGACCGAAGGACACCGCTGAGGGGAGCGGCGGGCGGCAGGAGAGGTCTGCGCGCCATGGGGGACCCTCGCCGGCGGCCGGGATCGAACCGGTGCCGCAGAGGCCGCGGGCAGCTTCGCCACCCAGCGCTCCACCGCTGCGCCACCAGGGGAGGCCCCAGAAATAAATCTTTAAAAAAAAATCGCACCCACAAGAGGCAGCCAGCAGGAAGGAGTAACGTGTCGCACGTGCTGTGTGTGACCAGGGCTGCTGCTGCAACACGGACACGCAGGCGAGAGCAATGAGGCCAACGACCCCGACACACGGTGGGCGCAGGAGCCCCGCGGGCACTCGGAGAGGAGACCCCAGCGCTGCAGACGCGGCAGGCATTTTGCCGTCGTCGTGAGGGAGCTAAGACGGCCGCGGGGAGGCGCCTGCCTGCCGGCCCCGCCCCTCCCGGCGTGAGCGCGGCCCGGGACACCCGGGTGCCCCGGCCGGAGCCCGGGAGGGGGCGCCGGGTCGTGGACGGAGCGCCCTCGGCCCGGGCCCGGGGCGGGGGTTCTGGCCCATTCGCACCCTTTTCTGACTCGGGGTGTCGTGGAAACCAGTTCTGGCCTTTCCCCAGGCGGGGGGACACGCGGCGCTTCGGGCCCGGCGAGGTCAGGAGCGGCGCCGTGACCCGCGCGTGAGCGCCCCGCCCCGGGCGCCCCGGAGGTCCGCGCCCCGCAGGACGACCAGGGCCCCTTGCACGCGGGCCCCCCGCTGCCCGCGTCGCGTCTTCCCGCAGGCGCAGCGCGCGCAAGGCGGGGGCGCGGGCAGCGGGCGGGCCTGGGGCGGGAGGCCGCGTGGGGAGAGCGCGGGCGGGCCCTGGAGCCGGGCCGGGGGAGCCGGGAGCCGGCACTTGGGGCGCTGCCCGCGGGGGCGCGTTCGTCCCTCCGGGCGGGAAGTTCTGCTGGAACCGCTGTTAGGTTCGTGCGCGCGCTAATATGTTTCCTCATGGGGACAGCTCTTGGCCTTCCGGGGCCGCTTTGGGGCAGCCCTATGGGGCCGGGCCTTCCCCACGGGGGGCGGGGAGCTCTGGGTGCTGGATTTGGAACCCGTGTGGGTCCCCTTTGCTTCGTCGCACACTAAATGTATTCAAGTCCCTCTCCACGGGGGGCCTCGCGCTGGGCGGCAGAACCTACTGGGGACGGGCGGGTTTGGGGGGCTGGGGGGTCCTCACTTTGTTGGAAGGCGAGTGAGAATGACAAGGGCAAATATCCTCGTTGACTTAGCCGGTGGGAAAAAAGGGAAAATTCCTGGAAAGAAGAAGGGGCTCTAAGAAGCCAGCGAGGTGCTGGGGTCAGAGGACGGGGGCGCGCGGACAGGCCAACGGGAGTGTCAGCGGCCAGCAGGTGTGAGGAGGGGAAGGCCAGGAACACACGTGGGCCTGCGGGGGTGCTCTCGATGCAGTTAGGTTTGTCTTTCCCCCATTTCTCGCAGTTTCCCCTCATTTAGCTTTAACAAGATCAATGGTTTGTCT